CGCGTCGTTGTCGTATTTCGTATTCTGTATTCTGTATTCAGTGTTCTGTATTCTGTATTTCCGTGGCATGCAGGTAAGCGACAATTATTTATCTTACAAATTTACCTGAAATTAAATACTTTCGTTTGACGGCGTTGCAACTACACAAAAGGCGACAAATTCCCCCTTTTTTTGCGCAGAGGCCATCCAGTATGTGTGTGTCGTGTTTTCATTTTTTTTTTTGTCTTTAATCAGCGGCTGTTGCTTTGATCACCATCTCGGAATTGCCATCACTACTACCACCATCACCTGACAAGGTGCTACGTTTAAGCCCCTCCTTACTATTCTGCTTACCTGCAAAAAAAAAAATAATAAAACTGCGTCCAACCTGCGGCCGAAGGTGTGACAAGTCAGCGGATTTGCGTGTTGCTTCTTGCGAAATATTTAAAATGCAAGATTATCGCCCAAAAAGGCTCGCTCGCCGCACTTAATCCTGCCGCTTTTGCAGGCTCCCATTTCAGCTGCACCCCTACCCGGTTCCAGTGCACTGAAAATAATTATCGAAGCTGTTTCTTATGAAGTTTCTCATCTGTTTCTGTTTCTTATAAAGCTTATTCTTTTCTCTATACAACACCTTAAAAATTAAATATATTTTCTTTATAATTAGACCTCAATATTAAACTCCATCCCTATTTCTTTGCGTGCCTGGATTACAGCCTTTTTTGATCTTGCCGTGCCTTCAACTAATTAGCAGCAAAAAAAAGGTAATGGGGGGGAAGCCACAGGGAGTGAGAGCTGGAGATATATTTTTATTTCGATTAAAGCCAAATCCACCGGCAACTAATTCAATCATAATCGCGTAATCATAATTACAACAATCTGGTTTCTCAGATCCAGCCTCTAACGGCAGCAGAGATCAGTGTACCTGGAATTCTATTCGAAAAACTGAAAAACCAGCAGTAGTAGCAGCAGCAGCAACTGCCACAAGAAAGAAAAACAAAAATACTAACAACATCGACAACCTGTTGTTGTTGCCGGGAGCTGGGATGTTGGAAGCTGGACACTGAAGTGCTTCTTGGCCCAGACAAACGTTAAGATTGTAATAACCATGTTAAAAGCAATTTACGTTTAAAGTGCTACCGTGATACGCCGCCGATGCGTTTCTTGATTAAGAACGAGGGGCAGTTGCCTGTTTTCTGGCCAGAGGGGGTTTGGAAAAAAAAATACAAAAAAAAGGACCAGGAACTGAGTCTTGCATTTATTTGGCGGCAAAAGTGGCTTTGGGTTTTGTTCCTTTTGGAACTTTCCTTTCATATTCACAGTCCACTTAACACGCGCGTCGCACAATGCGCCTCAAAACACAAATGAGCAGCAGCAGCAACGCATACCCACTGTTAAAACACTGAAAGAAATTTTTGGATAATAATTTATAAATTAAATTAAATAATAATACAGACAATTCAAAGCTTCTTTGTTAGGTTTACTCTTAAAATTCTATAGAAATCTTTCATGAAAGCTCATTTATCCTCTTTTTCCCTAAGTGTATTACGGCTACTGCTGCCGATGGTGTTGCTGCTGCCCCAACGGTGGCGACGGTAACCTCAGAAAATCTGTGCTGGCGGCACGCTTTGATGTTGGGAATGGCGTGTGCCCCAATGCAGAGATTTTCGCTTTGTTGTTTCGCCGACTTCGACTCCGACTCTACGACTCCGATCTCGACTACATCTTCGTCTTCGACGTCTTCGTCTCCATGCAACAGCAATTTGCCGCCAAGTGGACCGCAGCAGCATGGAGCGTGCGATTCGAGATGCCAGCTCCAAGCCACCAGAAAGTGGTTGCCACTTTTCAGATTTTAGTAACTCTGAGAAAGGATTGTATTTAAAGATTTAAACTAGATGATCTTTAAAAAATAAATACTAAATCCTTATCAAAATAATTTAAAACTGTAATATATATTATATTATCTATATACTCATCACTGACCTCCATCAATCCTACAGGGGAATGCAATTATGATCGCCTGGCCATTGAAATTAGAGATGCCCGCTCCGGCTGTCGATCGATGATTGGATGGCACCTGTTGCTTTTCCCACAGTGTTGTTGTGGCGGCTTCTCTTGCCTTTTTGCAAATGGAAACGGGAACAGTTGCACACTGGGATCCTTGAAACGAGGCTGGAAAGGATCAAAGGACGTGACCGTGACTGGGCCGAACCGATAATAAAGTTGTGCATTAAATGAAATTTTAATTGCTTATCGGTGGAGAGAAGCGATCCAGGCCCGTAACCCGTAACCGTTGCCCACGACGATGTCGAAGCCCATCTGTTGGGATTAGAGCGGCAATGGTCGCCTCGATTGATGTCAAGCCATGTCGGCGCTTTGAAGATTATGCCCAAAGTTATGAGGCTGGCTCCGTTTTCCAGGTGCTTCTGCTGCTGCTGCTGCTGCTCCAGGTGATCAGCCTATGCGAAATTATATAGTTTCGTGACAGCAGAGAGAAGGTAGCAGGGTGTAGCTTTAACTACGCATTGGCCGGGTCTTCTTCATCATCATCATCATCGTTACCAGCATTGCCTTCCCAATCATGATCATCCTCATCATCATCAGGGGATCTTCTTCAGCAGGGGCATCAGCTGGCGCTGCTGCTTACTGCTTGCTATTTGCTGCATGCGGCAAAAGATGAAACACGGCGGCAACACTTTGATGCGGCCAAGATCAAAGCCGCCGATTGTTTACATAATAGTGGCCTTTGAAACGGAACAATAGAATGCCAGGATCAAAGACACCGACCAGTTTACCCGGTTAGTGCGCTTAAGCGAAATGAATGTCCATGTCCGTTCCCCGTCCGCCCGTGATCTGTTTTTCTGGCCCCAAAAAACACCAAAAAAAATCTTATCATGTGAAAGTTTTTCAAATAAATCCTAGCTAAAGGGGATATTAATTTTAAAAAATTATTAGTTAGTTAAATCTTTGTGTATAGGTCTATGATATATACTAGTCTTTTAAATATTAAATTATTTCATTTTGGAAAGCTATTGATTTTCTCGAAAGGTTTACTTTAAATAATGGTACTCTCTCTATTGACAATTTTGGATAATAATTCTGATACATTTTGTAAACTAGTATCTATATTATTCAGAAATTATTAAACCCACTTTATTAAAAATAAAGAGAAGGAAGAAAAACAATATATTTAAGCCCCAAAAAAGGTTTTCGTAAGGACTATTTATCTGTAAAAGATTTTAATATTTTCCCAAACTAAAGACCACCTTTATTTATAAAACAAATCCCTATATTTTTGTCTCAGTGCAGTAAAAGTAGCACTCACCACAGCCAGATCATCATCACGATCTCAACATCATCATTATGCTGTGCCCGCTGGAGCGTCTTTGAATTTGTGCTGCTGTAATTGCTGGCAGCCAAAGGAGAATTTTCTGTTGCTGCTGCATCTTATGCTGCTCTTACTGTTGCAACTTCTTCTGGAGCTTTAGCTGCTGCTGCTCTTGCTGCTGCTGGTGATTGCGCGTCAAATGTTTATGGCATTCATCGCGTGCTGGCGGCTCTTTAATTGCCCGAACGGAATGGAACGGCACAAGCGCCTAGTGTCCACGCTGCGTATGAGCAATGCGAGCATCAATAATCTCCAGAGATGTTGCCGCCGTCGTTGTCGCATAATAATTGCGTGTACTTAATGCATAAATATTGCACTGAATCGGACTACGCCGTCCAGGAGTCGGTAGTACGAAGTCGGCTCCTTTCTATTTGCCACTTTTAAGTTTGCCGCCGCCGCCGCAGGTTGGACATCATTTTTTTCCCCCTCCCCCCTCCTCTTGGCCGTTGAATGTTGTTTTCTTCCTTTAGGCCTACAATTTCTATTGGGGCAGCGGCATCAGCAGCAGCGGCGGCGAACAGCTAAAATCAATTTGGTCAGTGATAAAATTTTTGCAAAAGCGAATCAATTTTATGGCCGGCCGTCGTAAAAGTATTTCGATTTCGGGGCCAAACGGCAAATATCAAAAGCCCCGAAAAAAAGAATCTTTAATGATTTGTCATTAATTGCGTTTCGTATATATAGAAATGGAAATGAAAAGGCACAGAGGCAAGGGCCAGTGGCAAAAAGGAAGCACCTAAATGATATCTCTTGTGAATTTTTTTTTCTTAACCGTATTTTTTCCTGTTTTATATATTTTATTTTTTTGACTTTTTTTTGCGTTTCTTTAGATTTACAATTAGATAAAAGTTGTTGGCTACTTTATTGAGATTTTATGTCTTTAAGCCGCCCCTATGGAATCGGAATTCCCATGGTCATATCAAAATCGGTCCGTTTCCAAGAAATGCCGCCGACCAGCCATAAAACAGAAAACGAGCCAGCATAAAAAACCGCCAAATCCACAATAAAAGTATACAAATTTTCGAATGGCGATGAGCGAATTATGAGAGCATTAAATGAGTATGCATTATAATTGCAATTACACTAAATTAGCATTAACGCAGAGGGCCAAAAGAAAGGAATCCCAACGAGCGGACAGCGAGAAAAACAAAAGACTTAGGCAACGAACTTGAGAAGGGAAAGGTACTCGATTCCGTGACCGAGACCGAAGACCGAAGACCAGAAGCGAATTTCATTTCGGCTTTTCGATTAAACAGATCAAAGGGAACCTTAATGCGGTTATTAACAAGTAGCAGTCAGCATTGCTGCCACTGCCACTGCCGCTGCCTCTGTCTCTGTCAACTGCGCTGCCAGCGATTCTCTCAAATTGCATTGCCCTGCAGTTTATTATTAGTTTTGTTATTATTTTGCGTATTCTAAACAAAAAAGCAGCCGACAAACAGAGAACGAGAGCCAGAGCGATAAATATCGAAGCAGAGAGAGAGTGACAACACGTGAGAGAATTGATAGGCGACGTCAACGTCAGCGTCAACGTCGACGGCGACAGCAACAGCGATGCCAGCGGCAACAGAGGCAGAGCAAGGTAAAATTTCGTTCCGAAGGCGCAAGGTAAAATTTCATTCCGTGGCGAGCATTCGACGTGAGCGGACGTTTTGAGCGCGTGTGTTGTCGTGGCGGCGATAAGAGAATCAAGTGTTATCAGTGGCGGCGGCAAAAATTCAAAAAAAGAAATTATATAGAATCGTATATCAAATACATTACGAAAAATTCCCCCGTAAACAAAACATAAATCAAAAAATCCCCCACGAAAGCAATTCATCAAATTAAAGTTCATCAAAGTGCCAAACCGAAAAGCGAATAAAAAAATATCTATCGAATACAATGCAGCGCCACAAAAAGTGCTACAAACTGTGTTGAAAAAATCATTAAAAAAAATTTAAATTAAAATAATAATATAGGTGTAATACCTTTCAACATAAAATATACTTCAAATCTATGTGTAATCGAATCGAAAATGGCAGACGAACAAATCGCTAATATGGCAGCTAAAGAAGCCGAAGAAGCTACAAATAAATGGATTAAAGCCAGGTCAACATCAGCCCAGCAGGTGAGTTATCAATACAGTAGCTCATCGAATGAAATATGAAGCTGAGCAGCTCCGTTGTCGAGCATCGGCATCTGCGAATTATAAAATCCAAAAAAAAAAAACTTGGTCGGGGATATCAAAAAAGTTTTGCCGCTTTAAGCCAAAAGCCGAAAACCAAAAATACAGTAGCACGTCAATTAAAATTAATAGCTTCCGACTTAAGCCTTTGAGCTTAAGCCAAAAAAAAGATGTGGGAATTTGGACCAAGAAGTAAGAAAACTGAGAACCGAAATCGAAAGCCTCTATGGCTTTATTTACGACATTAGCATAGTTTGAAAATCCTTTGCAAGGGCATTCAAAATGAGATTAAAATTTGCCTGCGTGCGCAAAATGCCACAAAAAAAATAATACAAAAAAAATTAAGAAATAATACACAACAACAACAAATATAAAAAGGCGGAAAAATAATACAACGGAAGGGGGAAGAAAACAAAAAGACCGACAAAAATGAGCGGGGAATGAGACTTTAAGTGTAGCTAACCAAAAACCCTCATCAGCAGCAACAGCAACAACAACAACAATAACAAAAATAACACCAACAATAACAAAAATATAAAAAAAAAACAGCAATAACAACAACAACAAAGTGCAGGCCGCTTTCGTGCGCCCCACTTCGCTTGAAGTCGAGCCGAGTAGTCGCCAGCCATATCCCCGCCACAACCCCATTCCCATACTCATACTCATTCCCCTATCCATCCATATCCACATCCACATCCCCAGATACATTCACATCCACAAGCCACATCGTATCCCCACATCCACATCCACTTCACAGACGTAGTAGCTACTGTTTTCAAAGTTAAGATCAATGAGTGCGACGACGATGCCTTATGCCTTGGCTTTTTTGTATTTGGCCCGATGTGCAGAGAAACAATTTTTTAAGATCTTTCAGTTTTAGTTTAATTCTAGAAGTGGTTTAAAAAATTAAATTAAAATAGGATAAAGAGGCTTTGATTTTTTCTAGCCCTTGAACGTTAAAATAGGACTTAGGATGATATAATTTTTAAAAATAGGATTATGGACTTAAGTTTAGTCACCAAAAAAAATATTTTCGTAAGTTCAAATTATATTTTCCAGACTTTTGAAAGTTTGTTTCAACAAATTAGTTTACAAAAGTCGTTTAGGATTTTAGAGACGTTTGCATGTTTTACAGATATTATATATAAGTCTCCAGAACAACTATGGCAGATGGTGTTTCTATAAATTAAAAAAGTATTTACCTACTTTTTACGTAAAATATTAAAGAAAACTATTTAAATTTTCTAGTGATATGAAAATAGAAAAAACAACTTAAACAAAAATTGAAAAAAGGAACCAGAAACCTATTTCCAATATTAATAATACTTCAAAAGAAACTCAAAAAATTCTATAAACGAAATTTTACTACAATTTTTTCCTGTGTGTTACTGGCCAGGTCCGATCTGCTTTGCAACATGCCGCAAACATACAAGAGTCCATGGGGCGGCAAAGTACAAAGCCGAAAACGGCACGGGTTTAGCGCGCTCGGAGTAAAAAGCGATCAGCGAGCGGCCGGCCGACCAGCCAGCCAGCTAGCCAGCAGCCGTAGCAGCGAACCGCTTGGCAGACGTGCGCACAGCTACAGATACAGATACACATTTAAAGATACACAGATATACAGATAGAAAGATACAGATACATACGGCCGAGGGCAGAGGAGATCTGGCCCGGTCTAATAACGCTGTTGCCTGTTGTTGGCACTGGCTCTACACGTTTCGGCGGCTTCGCTTTTGTTGTTGGTTGTGCCCCTTCTCCTCCTGCTCCTGCTCTCTTCAGTTGCCTCTTCAACCAAAACTGCTTGCGGCTTCATTTGAGGCTGCTTCCGAATTACCTGCGCCTCTTGCCATCCCATCCCATTCCATACCATGGCAGGCCATGCCATACCGTGGCAGTAATGCAATGCAGTAGCAGCAGCAGCAGCCACCGCGTTATTTCCCTGCCATAAAAAGTATTAAATTGCCGCAAACAGGTGTATTTTTATGCCCAACAGGCAGTCAGCCAGTCAGGGAGGCAGCAACGGATCGTTCAGGTTTCGGGAACTGCAATTATACTCGCCTAGGCCTTGCAGGTATTCTAAAGCCCATCCAAAGCCCGATTCAGGTCATCATTTAAATCTCTTACAGCTGTGATACTAAAATTAGGAAATACCAGTTATTTTTGGGAAGGATTAGGGAAATGTTAAAGGTAGGAAAGGGGTTTATTTAAGGCTTAAGTTCGTAGTTATTTTAGGAATATTTAGTTATATTTAAAAAAAATATAACCTTTAAAAATCCATTAAAATAAAAATTGGTAAAAAATCGATTTAATAAAAGAAACTTTTTTCCAAGAATTTATTTAAATTTTCCCCTTTTTCCATAACTTCTCTGGTTCAATGTAATCTTCTAAAAATTCTTCTAAAAACTATACCTTCTTAAAATCGTGATTGCTTTCATAATGCTTTCATAATACGCGGTTTAATTGTAGCCGGTGCCGGCAAACAAAAAAAAAAGGTAAATAAATAAATAAATATAAATAAAAAAGCGGGACAGAGACCGCAATGCCGATGCCGATGTCGACGCCAACGCCGACGCACGCAAATCAAACAAACTGGCAACAACAATTACTACGACAACGGAAGTTTATTTATGAGTCGGACCGATATTTACTTAAGCGTATTGCGATAAGCTGCGAGTGACTGAGAACTCGATCGTCCATGTGTTGTTTATTTATTGTTTTTGTTGTTGTTGCTGCTGCAAGTGCGCCAAGAACACCAACAACAACAAGACGAATAACAACATCTGAGAAGAGCTTCCTCCACTTTCGAAAAAAAAAGAAAAAAAAAGATCAAAGCGGCAACGGGGTCTCTTTGATTTGGACAAGGTCGCAATTGTTTAATGTTCTTTTATGGGGATTTGAGAAAGATATAATGAGATTACAACTTGAATAAGGGATAATCTAGGGTATTTTCAAGAAAGAAAAGTCTAAAATATCTTAACCAGGAAAAGCTTTATTATTTTAATGGCATTATAATTGAACTATTAATTGGATCAAGCTTTCCAAACCCTAATCAACTTTCAGATGCAAATCGTATTTCAATTAATTACAAACAGCCGCCTTCAATTGCCACCGCAATCGATTCGAATCGAATCAAATGAAATCAAATCAATTCCCGTCACAACGGGGCGTATACTCAATTTTTTATTCACCATTTTGTTGTTGTAATAAAAAAAATGGAAAATAAAGAACGCTTAGCGCCATCGCGACTGAGTATTTGCAGCAATTAATAAAAACTGACAATATAATCGGCGCGACAAGTAGTTGGCTGCCAGCCAGCCAGCCAGCCCCCAGACATACGATTCCGAATACCCCAGAGCAGTAAGCCTTTGTCGGCATCGATTGGATAAAAAAAAAAGAAACTATATAATAATAATAACAAAAACAAAATGTATAAGAGGGGGTATAGGCAGGTAGGCTGGCAGGTACAGGCCAAAAGCAAAATATTAATAAGCACTGCCCGCAATTAATAGCGCAACTTAAGACTCTATATAGGGTAATTAAGCGGCGCTTGTGAACATTTTTCCTTTGGCAACGCCGCCGTCTAGCTACTAGCCTTGTTTTTCTTCTTGTTATTGTTGCTGCCGTTTATTTTATATAGTTTTTGTTGGTTTTTTTGTTTTTTTTCTAAACAGGTAAATAGCCACAAGCAAGTGCAACGTACGCTGTATCTGTATCTGAAGAGTGCGTATTTACTCACACGTGAAATCTTTTTTTTTTTGTTAGTTGGTTATTTGGTGGTTCATTGGCGCTGTGCTGAGAACTAATCAACAATGGAAACTACTCATCTAATGTTGAGGAGCCAGGGCTCTTGTCAATTTTCGTTGTTTGGCGGCAAACATCAGAAGGTGCGACTTAGACGAGCCACAAGATATCTAAACCTGTTGTAAGAGACTCGCAGAGCGAAAAAGTTTGGAGGAAGGAGGTGTGGGAATTGGGTGATAAAATATAGATATATCTATAAATAATAAGATAATTTCAAAAATAATTATTAAAAACAAAAGATAATCTGCAAAACTCCCTCTCTAAAGACCATAAATCCAAACAAAAATCCCAAATAAAGTCTTAAACCATAGAATTAATTCTAATTTATAACCTTATCTGTCAGATAAAATCAATTTACTATTATTAAAATGTTATCAACTAAAGTATTTGTCTCTTCTTTTTTTAAATCTAATTTATTTGACTTTGAATTTGCATTTTGAATATCTTAGTATCTGGAAACTGGTCACCTAAATGTATTTTAAAAATAGATGTTTTTGTGTCGGCTACCGTTATTTTTTTTTGTTGACCAAATTATATAAATTTATTTATCAATTTTTAGGCCTTTTTATTGGCCAATAATTGCTCATATGTTTTTTTTTTTTGTCATTTGCATTTCTGTCTGCAAATTGTCGTTGCTGGCGGCTGAAAAAAAAAACAAAACAAAAAAATGGTCGGCAGACTTCAAAAGCCTGTATAAACATTGATTGAAGATTTCTTTACGATTTCTGAATGGTTATTTATGCGGAGGCAAGACCGTAGACTGGAGACTCGACCGAATTGACAGACTGACACACTGAGACACTAAAATCGTTGCCCCATGTTGTCGGCACAAATGTCTTGTTGTTCTTTTTGTTATTTACAAATTGCTGGAAAATAGCTAAACAACAAAAAAACCAAAAAACGCCGACTTGAGAATCAGCGAAACAACAAAACAAATCGCCAGATAGCTCATTTGATTGATGTCTGTGTGCCGGCAAAAAAAAAAAAGTTAAGAAAAAAATATCAGCCGACCTTAAGTTCAAAGCCAAGAACGGACGTTGAAGTTAGCAGAGCTGCTGCTGCCTCAGTTGCTGCCTCTGTCGCTGTCAGCGTCTCTGCCGATTACCACGCGTCAGCGGCCATGACAATGTGAAATTGAAATTTGTTTGACTAGCACTGGGCCTATGGGGCGTATGATTAACAACAATTTCTTGCCATGTTTGACTAAATACTTTGAGGTTGTTCTTCTTATTCTTCTGGTTGTTTTTTCTTCTCTCTCTCTCTCTCTCTATGTAAACCAAAACACCAATAACAACAAACAAACAGAAACACAAACACAAACACAACGAAACGAAACGGAACGGAACGACGAAACGAAATGCGGCAAAAATTTCTTTGATCTTATCGCAAAGCTTCTTGCTCGCATTTTGATCAAAGCAAGTTTTTCCGCCAAAACACAGAAAGAGAGAGAGAGCGAGAGAGAAAATTAAAGAGCAGGACAGCAAGAGAAACTCTGAAAGAGATAGAAAGTATCCCCCCACCAAGTAGGAGAATCCCCCTCTTATCATTACAAAATATTTTAATATTAAATCTTTAATTTTTTAGATGCCGCTGCTGCTGTTAACTGTGATGGTTTTGGCCACGTTAAGTCACCTGCCTGCCAGGACGGAAGCCAGCATGGACAGCTTCGGAGTGGCCAGCCCTAGCCTGGACAAGGATCCATTGCGGGAGACCAGCATGAATATGATCCAGCGTAACTACATGGTGATGCACTCGGCCAGTGGCTCTACCACTTCCGGGGATCACAGTCGCTCCCTGAAACGGGCCAATCTGGTCAACACCAACATCACCTGCAACGATGGCACCCATGCCGGCTTCTACTTGAGGAAGCAGCCCAGTTCCAAGAAGTGGATCGTCTTTCTGGAGGGTGGCTGGCATTGCTACGATCTGAGGTCCTGCCGAGCACGTTGGATGCGACTGAGGCACCTCATGACTTCCTCCCAGTGGCCAGAGACGAGAGATGGTGAGTTCGAAATAGTTTTTCAAGCTTGAATCCTTTTTCTAATCGTCTTTCCTCCACTTCCAGTTGGTGGCATTTTATCCCCACATCCCGAGGAGAATCCCTACTGGCACAATGCCAATCATGTCCTAATTCCATACTGCAGCAGTGACTCCTGGTCTGGCACTCGCACTGAGCCAGTTACCACGGATCCGGAGAACAGCTGGCGCTTCATGGGTGCTCTGATCCTCCGGCAAGTAATTGCAGAACTCATACCAGTGGGCTTGGGTCGAGTTCCTGGTGGCGAACTCCTCCTAGTCGGCTCCTCAGCTGGAGGGCTAGGTGTGATGCTGAACTTGGATAGGATCCGTAACTTTTTGGTGAACGAAAAGAAGTTGCAGATCACCGTGCGAGGTGTGAGTGATTCGGGTTGGTTCCTGGACAGAGAGCCCTATACCCCAGCGGCGGTGGCCTCCAGCGAGGCAGTACGCCAGGGCTGGAAGCTGTGGCAGGGATTGCTGCCGGAGGACTGCACCAAAGCCCATCCCACAGAGCCCTGGAGATGCTACTTTGGCTACAGACTGTACCCCACTCTAAAAAGTGAGTTTTAATTGCGAATTTTCAAAGTTATTTTTTAACTAATGGGATTATTTTTATTTCCAGCTCCCCTGTTTGTGTTCCAATGGCTCTTCGATGAGGCCCAAATGCGAGCCGATAATGTGGGAGCTCCCGTGACACCCCAGCAGTGGAACTACATCCACGAAATGGGCGGAGCCCTGCGCTCCTCGCTGGATAATGTGAGTGCCGTGTTCGCGCCAAGCTGTATTGGCCATGCCGTGTTGTCCAAAAGGGACTGGGTCAACATCAAAATAGACGACATATCCCTGCCCTCGGCTCTGCGTTGCTGGGAGCACTCCACGCGCCGCAAGAGACACGACAAGCAGGTCAAGCGATCCACGGAGGCCTCCACAGCGGTGTCCAGTCCGTCGCAGTCAACCCATCCGAATAGCCAAAGACACCAGAGGCATCAGCGCCAGCGGCAGCAGAAACAGAAGCAGAACAATGTGGCACGAACGGAAAACCAGCGGAGGCACAACCACCTCAGCAAGGAGGAGCGCGAGGAGCGGAAGCGTCTGCGTCAGGAGCAGCGGCAGCGACGCAAGCAGCGCCGTCGACAGCAGCAGCGCCGCCAGGAGCAGAAAAATAAGAAAAACAACAACAGCCCCAAGTCGAACACTGGCAGCGAGCCCCACAAGCAGCGACGTCGGCAGCAACTGACTCCGGAGCAGCGGCAGGAGCAGCGCAAGCTCAGACGCAAGGCGCAGCAGCAGAACATGGAGTCCAACATGCAACAGGAGCAGCCCCTGGGTGTGGCCCTGGAGGCGGAGGAGCCCCAGAAACGAAGATCCTCCAACAACGCCTCGGCCAGCACCAAGTCGAAAAGAAGACAGAGGGTGCCACGGGTGCCGGAGAAGTGTGCCTCCCGTCTGCTGGAACGCTGCAGTTGGCCGCAATGCAACCACTCCTGCCCCACCCTGACCAATCCTCTGACCGGCGAGGAGATGCGCTTCCTGGAGCTGCTCACATCCTTCGGCCTGGACATCGAGGCAGTGGCCGCCGCCCTGGGCGTGGATATGCACACGCTGAACAACATGGAGCGGACGGAGCTGGTGAGCCTGCTAACACAGCAGGTTAGCTAGACTGACTGGATACCCTGTAAATGGAAGTGGATCGATTTTAATATAATAGGGAATTAAATAGGATTGTAGGGGGAGATAAAGCATAGATATTTGGAAACAATCCCTTTACTTCCCAAAGAACCGACACCCTTTCTTCTAAAAAAAAATCGATCCACTCGTTCTTGTAAATATATACGACCCTGTATTATATAGTTTATAGGTAGGGTCGCTTTGTAAATATCACACATAATAATACCCAAAAAAAAAAGAAAATGAGAAAAAATCAGACACACCCACCCACACATACACCATAAGTGGAGCCAACTCCAATTCCTAGAAAACACCAAGAAAAAAGACATGCGCATAGTACCCAGTAATTAAGCTGAATTTATTTTTAGTAACACTCGAACTGCAGCTCGTATTCGTATTCACATTGACATTCGCACTCGATCTATATATATTATATATTTATTCATTCGCATTCTGATATCACAATCACACAGAGAAAGTGAAAAAAATCAGCTTAACGAGAAACTAAACACAAATGCAACCACAAGACTGTTTTTATGTTTTTTGTATATATATATATATATATTTTGTTCAATATATATATGTATGTATATATCGATACATAGAGTTTATAAAATGTAGGTTATATACAAACTAGATATGGCTAAATAATCGTAAATGTTTATGTAATTTATTTGATAATTTATGACCCGTTTAGGATTTTACTGGATTGTGTGTGGAATCTAGACTGTTTCAATTGCCCAAAATGCAAATGTTTATTTTTTTTTATTTTTTTTTTATATTGTTTAATACCTACCTCAGATCAGTAAGAATGAAATTGATTAACAGCTGCCTTCATGCATACATACAAATATAATCATTATCATTGCGTACCTGTGCAACGAAAATCAAATACTTAATACTTAACTTAATACCGCCCGCATTCCGTTAAAACTTAAAACTAAAATACAAAAGCATGAAAACAAACTAAAAAACATAAAAATGCGAAACCAGAAGCGAAGTGAACAAATCGAATATTTAATTGTAGCAATGTTTTGTAAAGAATTTCTAGATAAAAACTATTAACGACAAAAGCACACAAAAATAAAAATATTTAATCTAGAAATAATCATTATTAGTGTTAAGCCTGTACAGCAGTGGTTGAAGCTTAGTCCTAAGAATTGTTATGCTTAAACTTAAAATAATTTTAAACTTATGCAACTCGATGTAATTCCCAATGTAATTCATTTGTTACAGCTTTAGCTTTTGTTAGCATTCTTCAAATGAACTGGTTCCCATTTTCGAAAACAAAAAAAAGGATGATCAATCAAATAACTGAAAATAAACCAGAAAAATAATTTTATAAAATTATTGTGTTTAAATAAATGGGGAGGTTTCTTTTTTGAAAGGTTGGATACCTTAAAATAACCTTAATAATAAGGTTCTAAAACAATCAAGTTTTTTGCTTTTAATTGTCTTACATTTTTTGCAGCGAGTTTTATTTCAAAATCAGCACAAGGCTAAGCTTAAAAAAAATACATTATAAAAACCGTACTATTATAATTTTTTTTAAAAACTTAATAGTCCAAGATCAACTGCAAACTGTTATAGATTTAATGTTCCTATATAAACTGCAAAAATGTTACTTATTTAACAGTTTAACTAAAACACTACCACCTTAAAAATGAAGTGCATTTTAGTACTTTCTAGCTTAATAATTTTCTTGGCTTACACCTCCGCCCAGGAAAACTGTGTTGGCCGACCATGTGAGTGGAAATACTTTTAATTTTTGAATGCAGGATCTAAGAAAAAATTCCAGTTTTCCAGGTTTGCTCTGGAGGTAGGTGATAACAATAGTAGAAGATGCATCGCCTTCGCCATGAACGAAATGTGGTATTACGATTCGGGTTCCAGGAGCTGCAAGACAATGAAATATCTCGGTTGTGGAGGAAATAATAATCGTTATTGTTCCAGGGATCATTGTCGTCGTAAATGCAGGCCCTAAAAATGTTTTTTTTTTTTAACAAAAGTAACTAAAAATAAACGAGTAAATCAAACAAAAAGCGTGTTTAATATTTAGAGTATATAGCCGAAGTATAGCCAATAGGTTTAAAGACTAAAAAATATGTTGCATACTTCAGGGCAAATGCCTACAGTCAGTTGGAAAAAAATGTAGACCAAGCTTTCGCTTAAATATTACCAGCTTAAAACTACACTCTATTATTAATAAATATTCAGTAAAAAGTACAAGTAATAATTTTACACTTTTTTAAATCGGATTAATAGTATAATCTGATTATAACCGTGAAATGCATATAAATATTCTGTAAATAGATTTATAAAAACAGTTTCTATCGAAGGCTTGTACAAGAAAACCATTTTCTAATGAAGGTTCTCTTTATTTTAATATTTTTAGCTCTATTAGCGAATTATATTTTTGCAAAAGAATATTGCCTTGGCCGACCAAGTAAGCTTAAATGAAAGTGCAAGAAATATTTAACAAAAAACAATATTAGTTTTTCAGGTTTGCTCGGGAAAAGGTGATCCAGGTACTAAAATAGGTATAACATGTAAATTAAGAGCCACGAAAGAAATGTGGTACTACGTTTCGACAAAAAAAACGTGCCAGAAAATGAATTATTTGGGCTGCGGTGGAAATAATAATCGCTATTGTTCCAAGGATCAGTGTCTTCAAAATTGTGCTACCAAAAAAACAAACAAAAACAAGAATTGTGGAAAAGATGACTCATAAATCGGAAAAAGATCCTGAATTTTTAAATTGATTGAAAGTCTTAAACTCCTTAAATTTAACTGAAAATAAATCTATAAATACATGCATGTGTAAGAAACAGATACAAAAAATATTATATATGTATATGTATATATAAAGCTGTAAATAAAAAGAAGCCCCATATGCATTTTAAACACAAAATCATACAGCATATTTATAGGAAGAGTTAATATTAAATCTAGCCTCAAATTTAAGAATTATCAGTTGTGTATATAATGCAAATATTTACGCTTTTCAAAAGTGCATTAATTCTATAATAGAATTATACATGTACTATCCAATTTAAATAAAACAGTTCAAATCAAACCTTCTATAGAGAACAAACTTAGAAGAAATGTGGTTCTATTTTATTTTCATCTACTTGGGCATAAGTTTGGCACACGGTGAAAGCCATGAATTTTGTGGGGGACTACCAAGTATGAATAAATTTTAAAGTCATAATTTTAAACTGATTTTAAACTTGTTAAAATAAAAATAAATTCAGCGGAACAATCTTGTACAGGCGGCAAGGACATCGGTCATGGCAAGGGATGGAATTGCAGACCCCAGGCTAGGGAACTAATGTGGTGGTACGACACTGAAAGGCGTGACTGCAGAGCTCAGATATATCGAGGCTGTGGCGGAAATAATAATCGATACTGTACCCTTCATCATTGTCGCAAGAAATGCAAATCCTAATCACAATGTAGGCCTATGTTTCGAACTTTAGTTGAATTGAGTTAAAATATGTTAAAATTAAATCTTAAAACTTAGATAAATATACAAATCAAGTATAGTATACTCTAATATGCTTTTATTTTTATACAAAAGTGTTTTCAGGAGTTGAAATTAAAAACAAAATCTATTTAAATGAAGTTGTCTGACAATAACAAATTATAATCGATCTACGAATCGTTCAAGATACTCCGCTCAAGAATCGGATGATTATTGCCGAAGATATAGCCACTGATGGGTGCCATAAGCTCCATGCATTTTAAGATTATTATAAGATTAAGATTATTGCCACCGCTCTGGAAATGATGACTCATAAATCGGAAAAAGCATCCTGAATTTTTAAACTAACTAAAAGCCTAGTAGCGTTTATATTTAACTGAAAATATTTACATAAATATGTAATATATAGTTAAGTAAAATATTATATATATATATAAAGCTATCAATATTCCTTTTAACTACAAAATAACACAGCATATTTATAGGAAGAGTTTGATTTCATTCGAGCCTCAGATTAAAGAATTATCAGTTGTGTAAATAATGCAAATTTTTACGCTTTTAAAAAGTGCATTAATTCTACTATAATAGAATTATACTCGTACTTTCCAATTTAAAAACAACAGTTCAAGTCGAACCTTCTAAAGAAACAAACTTAATAGAAATTCTGTTGCATTTAATTCTCATCTCCTTGGGCATAAGTTTGGCACACACGGAATTTTGTAGGGCAAAACCAGGTATGAATAAAATTTTAAGACATAATTTGAAGTTGAAAAATGCTAAAAAAGAAAAACAATTTCAGCGGAACAATCATGTACATCATGGACATCGGTCATGTCAAGGGATGGAATTGCAGTCCCCACCCTATGAACCTAATGTGGTGGTACGACACTGAAAGGCATGACTGCAGAGCTCAGATATATCGGGGCTGTGGCGGAAATAATAATAGATACTGTACCCTTCATCAATGTCGCCAGAAATGCAAGACTTAATCACAATATTGGCTTAAGTTTCGAGCTTTAGTTGACTTGAGCCAAAATTTATTAAAGTTAAATCTCAAAATTTAGATAAATATACGAATCAAGTATACTCTAGTGGCTTTTATTTTTATACACAAGTGTTTTCGGGAGTTGAAATTAAAAACAAAATACATTTAAATGAAGTTATTAAATGAAGTTAAATGAAGAATTATCAGTTGTGTAACTAATGCAAATATTTACGCTTTTAAAAAATGCATTAATTCTATAATAGAATTATACACGTACTATCCAATTTAAAAAAACACTTCAAAACAAATCTTCTAAAGAGACAAACTTAAAACAAATGTTGTTCTATTTTATTTTCTTCTCCTTGGCTATAGTTTTGGCACACGGTAAAAGCCATGAATTTTGCGAGGGACAACCAAGTATGAATAAATTTTAAAGACATAATAATAAGTTGAAGAATGCTAAAATAATAACAATTTTAGCGGAACAATCTTGTACGGGCAGCAAGGACATTGGTCATGGCAAGGGAGCGAATTGCAGAATGCAGGCTATGGAAATAATGTGGTTCTACGACTCTGGAAAGCGTGACTGCCGGGCTCAGATATATCGGGGCTGTGGCGGAAATAATAATCGATACTGTACCCTACATCATTGTCGCCAGAAATGCAAGAAATAAATAATGACAATATAGACCTAAGTTTCGAACTTTAGTTGGCTTCGGCCAAAATATATTAAAGTTAAATTTTAAAATTTAAATAAATATACGAATCAAGTATACTCTAGATGGCTTTTATTTTTATACACAAGTGTTTTTTAGGGAGTTGAAATTAAAAACAAAATCAATTTAAACGAAGTTGCCTGACAATAACAAATTATAAATAAAAAACAGATAATCGCGAAAATTTCCATTACAATTTAATCAATAAAGATGAAAATCAAAAACATAATTTATAAATTTAGATCAAAACATCTGACAAAAGCGATCTTAAATGAATGATAATGGGGATCAGAGTATTGTTGGATTATCTTGCTCATTGATCGGCCAGATAAATCTGACTATATAAAAGCCCTCTGATCAATCAATTAATCAGTTCAATTCGAATATTCAGCAACAATCCAATAATTATGAAATTTATTCTGATTTTGAGCATTCTCGTCCTTTACTTGGCCTACACTTATGCCCAAGAGGATTGTCAAGGAAAGCCTAGTGAGTTTCAATAATGCATTATACTTCCATAGATAAAATACAAATTAATTAAATTTTAAATAAGGACTTCGCCAAAACTGCATTCGTGGCAAGGATGAAGGACATTTCAATCAAAGGGCATGCCGTCGAACCGCCAATGCCAATATGTGGTACTTCGATGAACGCGCCAATGAGTGCAAGAAGATGAGATATCATGGTTGTGCTGGCAACCGGAACCGCTACTGCTCCTTGAGGCATTGCAACAGCCGTTGCAGGCGCCGAAATTGAAATCTTTTGTTGAAATCTCTTCAACAATCCCAGAACATTTGGTCAAGGACAACGAATGCATTTTAAACTACATATAAAAAATCTAAATTAAATAAATCTAAACCTGCATTTATTTGGCATTTACCTTTATTATTTTTCAAACTAACACTTCCATTGTGATTTTGATCCAGATTTGTGGAGAATCGATCTACGAATCGTTTAAGATACTCCGCTCAAGAATCAGATGATTATTGCCAAAGATATAGCTTTCGCTGTGGGCCATATAGTGGCTCCATGCCTTTTTCTGGATTTTGAAGGGGCCCTCCAGAAATTTGGACAAAAAATCTAAAAAAAAATTATGCTTCTAGATTTTGATGCAGATTTGTGGAGAATCGATCTACGAATCGTTTAAGATACTCCGCTCAAGAATCAGATGATTATTGCCAAAGATATAGCTTTCGCTGTGGGCCATATAGTGGCTCCATGCCTTTTTCTAGATTTTGAAGGGGACCCTCCAGAAATTTTGACAAAAAATCTAAAAAAAATTAAGCTTCTAGATTTTGATGCAGATTTGTGGAGAATCGATCTACAAATCGTTTAAGATACTCCGCTCAAGAATTAGATGATTATTGCCAAAGATATAGCTTTCGCTGTGGGCCATATAGTGGCTCCATGCCTTTTTCTAGATTTTGAAGGGGACCCTCCAGAAATTTTGACAAAAAATCTAAAAAAATTATGCTTCTAGATTTTGATGCAGATTTGTGGAGAATCGATCTACAAATCGTTTAAGATACTCCGCTCAAGAATTAGATGATTATTGCCAAAGATATAGCTTTCGCTGTTGGCTATATAGTGGCTCCATGCCTTTTTCTAGATTTTGAAGGGGACCCTCCAGAAATTTCGACAAAAAATATAAAAAAAATTATGCTTCTAGATTTTGATGCAGATTTGTGGAGAATCGATCTACGAATCGTTTAAGATACTCCGCTCAAGAATTAGATGATTATTGCCAAAGATAAAGCTTTCGCTGTGGGCCATATAGTGGCTCCATGCCTTTTTCTAGATTTTGAAGGGGACCCTCCAGAAATTTTGACAAAAAATCTAAAAAAAATTATGCTTCTAGATTTTGATGCAGATTTGGTGAGAATCGTTCTACAAATCGTTTAAGATACTCCGCTCAAGAATCAGATGATTATTGCCAAAGATATAGCTTTCGCTGTTGGCTATATAGTGGCTCCATGCCTTTTTCTAGATTTTGAAGGGGACCCTCCAGAAATTTCGACAAAAAATATAAAAAAAATTATGCTTCTAGATTTTGATGCAGATTTGTGGAGAATCGATCTACGAATCGTTTAAGATACTCCGCTCAAGAATCAGATGATTATTGACAAAGATATAGCCTTCGCTGTGGGCCATATAGTGGCTCCATGCCTTTTTCAAGATTTTGAAGGGGCCCTCCAGAAATTTGGACAAAAAATCTAAAAAAAAATTATGCTTCTAGATTTTGATGCAGATTTGTGGAGAATCGATCTACGAATCGTTTAAGATACTCCGCTCAAGAATCAGATGATTATTGCCAAAGATATAGCTTTCGCTGTGGGCCATATAGTGGCTCCATGCCTTTTTCTAGATTTTGAAGGGGACCCTCCAGAAATTTTGACAAAAAATCTAAAAAAAATTATGCTTCTAGATTTTGATGCAGATTTGTGGATAATCGATCTACAAATCGTTTAAGATACTCCGCTCAAGAATCAGATGATTATTGCCAAAGATATAGCTTTCGCTGTGGGCCATATAGTGGCTCCATGCCTTTTTCTAGATTTTGAAGGGGACCCTCCAGAAATTTTGACAAAAAATCTAAAAAAAATTAAGCTTCTAGATTTTGATGCAGATTTGTGGAGAATCGATCTACAAATCGTTTAAGATACTCCGCTCAAGAATTAGATGATTATTGCCAAAGATATAGCTTTCGCTGTTGGCTATATAGTGGCTCCATGCCTTTTTCTAGATTTTGAAGGGGACCCTCCAGAAATTTCGACAAAAAATATAAAAAAAATTATGCTTCTAGATTTTGATGCAGATTTGTGGAGAATCGATCTACGAATCGTTTAAGATACTCCGCTCAAGAATCAGATGATTATTGACAAAGATATAGCCTTCGCTGTGGGCCATATAGTGGCTCCATGCGTTTTTGTGGATTTTCAAAGGGGGTCCTCCAGAAAATTTGACGAAATATTCAAAAAAAATTATGCTTCTAGATTTTAATGCAGATTTGTGGAGAATCGATCTACGAATCGTTTAAGATACTCCGCTTAAGAATCGGGTGAGTATTGCCGAGGATATAGCCAATGTTGCGGGCTCCATGCATTTTTGTGGACTTAGATAGGCCATTAGAGCCCCTCATTCTTCATGTGAGCTACTTGCCCTCCCAGGTCTCCCCAATTTAAAAGTATCTCAAAGATGAACTCAGTTTCTTGAAAAAACGCTCAATTAATTGGGCTTGTGAGTATATCTTAGTGCTTCCAATGGAGGTAGTTGATGAGGGGGATGGGACATAGGGTGGGTGGTTTAATTCAATTGAGATACAAATGCACAGAAAACTGTAGGAACTGTAGCTCACTTCAATTTGGCGCTGGACACCGAGCAAATAGCACACAAAATCAAATTCAAAGCGCACGTAATCCCTAATTGAGTGTCAAGTTTAAGTAATGATGAGGAAAATAAAAGTACAATTTTTAGTGGCATTAATGCATTTTGTAATGCTTTTTGGTAGACTTGAAGGTAAGTAATGCATACACTTTTAATGGAAAACTGAAGGGAAATGTAGATATTTCTACTTACATTTAATTTTATATTTTCCCAGCAAACTGTCCAGTTTATTTGACCATTTCTTTGAGTGGCAAATCCTTGCACGAGTCCTTCCTGGAAATCAATTGGGGACCCGATTGCTTTGGTCCTCCTGACTGGGTTGGAATCTACGGCCAAGATCCCGCCATTTCCAATTTCCAGCCAGAACTGCGCATCGATGGCATTGCCAATCGCACTGGGAAAATGATAACACCCATCAAGCTGGGAAAGCTTAATTTTCCGGGAGGTTGGAATCGTCAGGAAAGTAACCAGGATCAACCTGCCACTCGATATCCAAAGGGGAAGTGCCTGCCCCATTATGTGGCCAGTTACAATGGCACCGAGCTCCTCACAGTGGACTGCCTCAAAATACAACCCAATTGGATGGGTCAGATCAAGGACATAGGACTGATGCCCTTGAAGAACATATTCTTTCCGGGGACACATGCCTCGGGAGCCGTGGTGGGAGTCGGGTCCAAAACCAAGTCGGCTCTTGTAAAGGATTATCTTTTAGCCCAACAACTAGATGTTTGGTCGCAACTGGTTTTTGGGATTCGTTATTTGGATATCAGTGTGGGGTGAGGTGTTCTCTAAAGTTTATGGATTATTTCTTTATAAATATTATCCTTCTTCCTATAGCTACAAGTACATGGACAGCAATAATGATGCGGACAACTTTTGGGTAGCGAATGAAAACATGTTCATCACTCCTCTGGTGGGTGTCCTGCGGGATGTAAGGGACTTTGTGAAGCGATCTGGTGAGCTGGTGGTGCTCGATTTCAGCAGTTTCCCTATAGGATTCTATAAGCACCCAGAAGTCTATAGTTCCCTGTATCACCTTCTGCGCCAGGAGCTGGGCGAGGTGGCCTATAATCCCAATGCCACCATGGAGGTGCAATGTGCCCATCGGTATGTGGAGGAACTACTCCAGGCGGGAATACGTGTGGTGATACTATTTCCCAAAGAGGAACTCCCACATCCTGAAAATGGTAAGATTACTGGATAATCTTTATTTTTGGGTAAATCATGTTTAGATTCCTAATTTCAGAATCTAATGTCCTTTGTGTTCCTTGGCAACGATTCAGCACTAGCTACATGAACATCTCCCAGACCCTGGACTATATGCGTCTCTTGTTTAGCAAAAAGAAGGACTCTCCGGTTCAGGAAAATGGTTGGATATTCACGGCAGTTCGTGGTCTGGAGCAGACCCTCAACTCCCACAAAATGCTAACGGCCAAGGAGCGGGCAGAGGTCCTTAATCCCAAGGTGAATCGTTGGCTCAAAGGACCCTGGGGCAAAAACGCCAATGTGGTGTCTATGGATTACTTCAGCAATACCAATATCGTGGATTTGGCCATACAAGTTACGACTCACAAGGCCTTTGTTATGGCTAATGTGGATTTTATTAATTTAGAAATTTTTAGTTGAATTTTTTATACTTTCTAACCAAGTATTTTGTTTCAGTGTATTAAAAAGAGTTGGCAGCTCCTAGTTTAGCTTAAACACAAACCATCTTATAAGAAAATATTTAGTCTTGATTCAAACCCCTGTTAAACAAGTTTTAGCAAAGAAACAAACCCCAAATAGACCGTTGAGAAAAATAAACTACAGTTTTTAGAGATTTTTTAATAAATTAATTAGAATTAGAACCCCTCCTACCAGGTGCAGTTAATCTCAGCAAAGGCCTTCGTGGGGTGCATGTGCCTCGATGTGAAACCTCACGCAATCTAAGGTCAACACTTGACTTTCCGATCATTTGGCGCGGAATCTAGATCACCAATTTGCATAAACAACATCGTCTATAGCTTTGCGACTTATGATTTCTGATCTTACTGATCAACATTCTTGCTAATTCCAGGTACTGCTAGTGATTCATTCATTAAATGTGATTTCATAATAATAAAATACCACAAGTGTCTGATATCTGGCACGTGTGTGTGCAACTCTCCAAGTGATTGCATTACCATATGTGTCTATCTATCTAGCTACAAGCTTGGGAGTGGGAGTGATGCAACCGCTAAGAAGTGGCAGCATTTCTCACCTTGGCTATAATCCGAAACCGGATCTGTAAAGATCAGAATACTAATTCCAGCTCCCAAAAAACCTCGTTTTTTTTTGCAATTTTATGGCACCTGGCAACCGAGACAACAAAGACCTCTGATTTGTCATTGCTGGAGAACTGCAGGCGAGAACTGCAATTGCAGTTGAATGCACTTTGTTTAGGCGTGGGCGATGATTAATTCCCTTTACAGATAAACCCAATGACTGATAAGAGCCTCTCTTGACTTTAGTCAGATTTTTAAAGAAACCCCATTGCAGGTGAGTCCTTTGTTGAAGTGGACTGGACAATACCCTACACTGATTAAAACAATGCAGAATTTGCGCAGAATTCCAAAAACTAATAAAATCATAAACAAATAAACCTTTTTATCAATTACTATATCTTATCTTTGTTTTCAAATCTTAAGGAATAAAACCAAATTCTTCAATTCCACCAGCAAGTTCATTATCTGATAGGAGGAGGTCTTTATTTTGGTTTTTTTTAACCAAAATATTAAAAGGCGCGTGTCCTCCTTGATAAAGATCATAATAATCTCCTTGATAAGATTATGAAACTATAGATTCCTTATACCAGATTGTTGATTGATTTTCCATCAGCATTCCCTGTTGTGAATCCCAGATGATGTATTTCCAGGGCTTGGTCATGAGCTCATCATCGCGAGCCCGCTCCCTTTTTCGAATCCCACACCCCCATTATTGATAAAAAACAATGACAGTTTCAGTAATATGTTAGTTTTTATTATAAATAACGCATACAAGCGCTGCACTACACTAATATTACATTGGAGGCTTACACTTTCTACCAGGCTTCGAGTCATGGTTTGTGCCAACGGCCAGCTGAAGGGCTGCCCAACAGCTGGCCGTTGCGATCGCCGGACGAACCACAATTTCAATGAATTCTTACATTCTTTCTTTTGTTTTATTTTTTGATTCATTTGAATGGTACTTGGTTGGGTTTGGATTTGGGTTTGGGTGTTACTTAAGAAAAATATACACGCATCACATCGGTAAAGGGTTTCCGGCACAGTGGGCACTTGGTAACGGATGAGGCGCATTTGGCGCACGCCACCACATGGCCGCAGGGCAAAAAAGCCGTATTGTACTCGGCACCATAGCAGATCTTGCACATCTTCTCCTCGGGTATGGCGGGTGAACCGCTGTTGCTGCTGGCAGGTGGTGGAACATCGGCGGACGTGGCTTCCGCAATTTTGTCGAAGATGCGCCGGGCGGCTGTTGATGCTACGGATGATGGTGCCACATCCCCGGATCCTGAAGATGCCTCCTCGGAAGTCTCCGTGGCCGATGTACTGCTGGCTACTGGCGGAGTATCCTCCTTCTCCTCGGACGCCACTGGCTTGGCAGCGAGGGAATCGATATAGAGCTGACCCTTCATCAGCTTGACGAAGCGGCATTGGCTGAGCCAAAGGGCATGCTGTTCCCAGGGCTCGTCGTTGTCGTCCCAGTCCTTCAGGCCACCGCCGCAGCTGAAGCAGCGAACGCGATCGCCCACACCCGTGTAGAAGAAACCCGCCTCGGCCAGCTGGGGGGGCTTTTGTTTCAGGTTCCGTGGCCACGCCTCGAAGGTGCGCAGGCGTGCCGCCTCTACGGCGTATTCCGGATATTCGGGAAAATAATTTCCACTGGCAGCCGGTGCCCTGCACGTCTCCGGCTGGACATCTCCGTTGGCCTGGGTGGCCGTTGATGCCTGTGTCGCTATCGAGCTGAGAGTCGGGCCCATGGACACTGAACCGTTGGCCGTATTCACTCCAATCGATTGGATCATGTGGGACATGGGAATGCGACCCTCGGGGTAGGCGTGTTCGCGCAACTCCACACCGGCTGTCGCTGCATCGTTGGCACCGCAGATATCGTAGCTGAGGGGTGGCAGGACGCGGTCCAGCGCCTCGCCATTGAGCGGTACATTGTTGGTGGTGCGACGACGCAGCAGCGGGCAGTTTGGGGACCATCTCTGGTGCTCCGGCACGGGCTGATCCTCGGGCTCCCAGCGTCCAATCTCCACGCCACAGAAATAGCATTTCACTTTATCGTCCACGTTGGTGTAGTACATGCCCGTTTGGGCCAACTGGCACTTGTCCAGCCAATCCAGCGGCCAGTTAACAAAGGTCTTCAAGCGATCCTCCTCCCGATTGTAGTTGTTGTTCATGATGTTGTTGTAGATGTTGTTCTTAAAGAGCTGGGTTGCGTTCGTGTTGTTATCCACCTGATCGAACACTACCTCGTGTGCGGCGGGCCCGTAAATATAACGTGAGCTGGTTACCACATTTGCCATTTTGCCTGGTTCTGGTGCTCTTGGCTGCTATCTCCACTGGTCTGGCTTTGTTGATCCTTAATTAATGTCACTCCGTTCTGGCCACAAAACTGAAATGGCAGCAAAAATACAAAAAATATCAGTATATATGTTAACGTTTGCATTTAGATAACAGCTATCAGACATCAGAACTGATAAAAAAAAAAGTACCTAGAGGTTTCTGGGCGTATAGACTTCTAGAGAACCCTAGGCCCGACGTGGAGCTGACATGTTGCCGTCCAGTACTCTCGATAGGAACTGAACTCGAAGTAATTTTAACGAACAATGTCTAGCTCGGGGTAGCACTATAGATAAGGTCAAAAAAAAAAAAAAAACAAAGCCGATAGACACGAACAAACGTCAATGGAAATATCAATTATTGAAATGAAATCAGGGATGGAGAATAATACGAACAACTATCAGTAGATTATTTCAAAATGACTAATTTTTAAAAACCACTCACTTATTTTTTTTAGGAATTTTATTATCTCGAATTATTAATATTCGTTCAATCACTCTTAAGACCCTTCACTAGATAACCGAAAAATATATTTCACCGCCTTGCTAGTCAGACTGTGTATCTGGAATCTGAAACGCAGTTCAAGAAACTGCAGATGCAGCATCAACGAACTTTAAGAGCCCTTAAATAATGGCCAACAGCCGGAGCATATCGGTCGTCCCACTCGCTCTCATCTGGTCAGAGTTCAGAGCCAAGTCGAGGGTGGTTTTCCCTAGTATAGTGTATACTCTATAGAGTATATAGAGTACGCAATATTACAACCGCTCGTTTATCCAGTGCGCCGAATCGCAGTGAGTATTCCCAGACACCGAGAGAGTGGGTGTTGGGTTGGGGGGGTGCCCACACTGGCCGATAACTCGATCTGAGTCACCACCGCCACAAAAATAAAGAGTTGCCAAGGCAATAGATAAATCAGTATGCTAATAGGGAATCACACAGCCCACACGACATCTAGAGACTGCAATTAAAATAATGGCAGGAAACCCATTTTAGATTCTAGATCTCTATACTGGGGTTATATAAAAACTAGATATTAAAACTATTATAATATTAAATTTTCCTAAAAGATGGCATTTATCGTAAGCCAGCCTTAGGACCTAAACTGTATCTGCTGCTGCCTGGGCACGACTTGGTTGCTGTTCAAAGTCCAAATTTCAGTCCAAACCACAAACCAGCCAAACTCGCCAAACAATTGCAACTGGAAAAAGAGGAGGCAGAGGAGGAGGAGGGTGGGGGCCTATAGAGGGGGCCTCTAGAGCTGGACTGTGAGAAAGTTTTAATGGAATGCCGTCAAACCACTCTGGCGACGGCGCACTCGGCAACCACTGCATTGGAGCTCGACTTGCAGCATAAATGCATCCACCATCCAGCCATATGGAGGTACAGAGAGTGGAAGCGGGATAGCCATTTGGAGCCAAGACGAAACCATCAATGGGAAAAACAACAAACCACAAAGAGGAAAAACGCAAAAAAAAAAAAATAATAAAGAATAATATCTATACATATAGATGTACCTAAAGTGAAGAGATTTTCAAAGTGGATCAACTTTGGATACTATCTAGAATCTAGATACTCTATAAAACCATCTGAATTTCCTTTAGTAAGTGTATTTGGTTATTCGTAGTACTTCTGAACAAAGTTCTCATCACTTCCTAGCCCTGTACAAAGTGCAATTACAATTCTAGGTTGTTTGTTATTGTGGAATGCCGAACCCATTAACAATTGTAATTGAATCCAAGCGATTGGAATTCCAATTCTTAAAAGTTCAGAGACACTTACCCAGTGTACTTATTGTTGTTACTAGTTCCTAGTTTCTACTGCCCTTTAATCGTATTTTAATTATTAATTCAACTAACTAAAACTGGAGGAGAAGTCGAGGAGCAGCACCTTCACCCAACACCAACTGAATGCACACTGAAAAATTAAAAGACATGGCCTCCTGGGCGGACCATGAATGGCATGGGAACCAAAAAGAAAATTCCAACCACCAACACAGTCATAGACACACAGATACAGAAAGAAAATCATAATCTAAGGCCAGGCAAAGGCTAGGCCCAGGAGGCAAGGCAACAAACAGAAAAAAAAAAAAAAAAAAACCACTGAAGAACAAAAAACGAGCAATGGAATGCCGTCGAACAACTTTTCTACAAACTCTGGGGCTCTGAAAATCAAACTGGAGTTGGAAGTTGGAGCTGCTTTTCGAGTTTTCTGATTGGAATAAGCCGGAGCTCAGAGCTCAGAGCTGGAGCCGGAGCTAGCCCCTTCCAATCCCAGTCTGTAAGCAAGCTGGGCCTGGTGATTGGACGCTAGTGATTGTTGTTGTTTTTGTTTGGAGCTGTTGTAAGTGAAGGTAACCACAGAGGTCCAAACCATGCAAAAGGTCTTTACAGAACATTAACAGCAGAGGTTAGATTTTTAGGACCAGGATATGGGCTTGAAAATGGGGATAATATTTTATATTCTTTTTTAAAGATATTTTAATTTATTTAAAAATAAATATTATTATTATTATTATTATTATTATTATTATTTATTTCATTTATTATTATTTATTTTATTTATTATTATTATTTTTATTTATTTCATTTATTTTATTTATTTTATTATTTTATTATTTATTTATTTTATTTAATACCTCTCAAGCTCCTATTATTCTGACCCTAGCTGTATGTATCTTGCAGATACCTTAGCAGACCCCGAAGACATGAGCTCGACTGTGGGAAACTATTATAAACACTTTACCATTCTTTTTGTTGTTGTCTTCCAAACCGAGATTGGAATGCGGTGATACCAGATACGACAACAACAAGAACAACAGCAATAAGAACAAGAAGCTAGGGTTAAAGCAGCCAAGAAGGGGATCACCGAAGAGAGAGAAAGAGAGAGAGGGAGACGACCCTGCATGAGTCGTCATCGAGAACTCGAGAAGAAGCAGAAGCGGGCCCCAAAGAAGAGCACAGCATACCGAGAGGATGCAGAAAAATAAATAAATGCAATACACACAAAGAACATTCCTCCACGGCATGTGCGTGCGTGTGTGTGTGTGTGTGCTGTGTTGTGGCCTTCCAAGAAATGCAGCAACAAAACGACCGCCGACGTCGATAATACGAGAAGAAAACAGAGAACAACAACAACAACAATAATAAAGAAACAACATCTCCGGGATGCTGGCCATCCAGCCAACAGGCCAACAAAGGGCAATATTGTAATCATAATAAATGCGCCCGATCCCACAGAGCTGCTGAAGAATGCATTAAGATCGGCTCCATACCCCATCCATAATACACGGAAAGTTTTTCCTACAAAAGTTTGGTATTTTTAAGAATCTTCTATCTGGTATTCTGGAAGTATCTTAAAGTTTTTGAAAAATTTTAAAGAATTCTTCAATGACTTTTCTCTTTTCTAAGATTAAAATACTATGAATCCTTGAATTCCAAGGACTGTAAATAAAGTTTAAAAAATATTCCAAAGTTCTACAATCATTTTTCTGATTTTTTAAAAATAATACTGTAAAAAAACCTTTAAAAAAATCCTAGTTTTTCAAAATATACTAAAAACTCAAAATCAAACCAAATAAATCGAAAATATTTTGAATTCTACAATGATTTTTATGGTTTTTAAAAAACAATACTATAAAAAAACCTTTATAAAAATTTTAGTTTTTCAAACCTCTCCAAAAAATACTAAAAACTCAAAAAACTACTTAGAGTTTTAAAATATTGAGGAATTCTACAGAGGTTCTTCTGCCTTTTTAAGATTTCTATATCTTTGGGACATAAGTTATGAAAATAAGTCTTATAATAACCATCTTAAGGCACTCTAGTCTTTTAAAATTCCTCAAAAAATACCAAAAAAAAACCAAAGGACCCAATTAAAAATTTTCAAAATATTCTAGAATTCTTCAATGATTCTTCTGGTGTTTTTTGAAAATGTTTATACCTATTGGAAATTAAGTTTTAAAATATTAGGCCCTTAAGCTTTCCTACAATTCCTACAAATATTAAGCTATAAAATTCTTTAAAAATTGCCCAATTTTCTTCAGTGTATTTATAGCATCCTCCTTCCCCTTCTAGCCCATTGAGCAGTGATCGATTATCGAAAAAAAAAAACTAAAACTAACGGCGGCTCAGTTCAAAAACCCAGAACCGCCGACGCCGCCAGCGTTTTTCCGTGGAAAACCCAGAAGGAAAATTGTTCTCAAACCCAAAGTCAAGTCGTGTGCGATAGAGAGGGATATACTATATACTAGTTTATCAACGCAGCAGCATCTTCTATGAGACTTGGAATGTGGGTACGCTCTCATGGAAATCGGTAGAGAATAAAGAAAAACACTAGAGATGGAGGAGATGGAGGAGGAGGTGGAGGTGGAGGCCGCCTCGTTAGTGGAAATAATGGTTGAAAGGTCGTTTTTCACGCGGCTCGGGCTCAAAGGTCGTGGCGGTAGTAGTGGAGGCGAGATGATGATTCAGCTTGTGAGAGCATCCTCGACCAAATTCCGGGAGTTCCGAGAATTCTGTAATTTTCTTCCATCTTATGCTGTGTCTTGTTCGGATACCATTCCTGGACCATTTCCATTCATCTGCTGATTGCCGTCACGTCTGCTGGCGATAACAAATGGAAAGACGAGACAATAGATCTCGGGACTCTTTCCATTCTATTTTCAGGAAAATTCTACTCCCCTGAATTTTCCAGCATATTTTTGTACGTGAGAACGTTTCTGTTGTTGTTTTATTAAGCACCTTTATCTATCGTTTTTATTAAGGAATTGTCTTGATCCGTTTCGTGGGAGTAAGTAATGGTGGGCACACCAGGAGAGACCACCATGACGATGCGTGGGTGTGGTTTATAATGGGTATAAGTTGATGCCCTGCAATGATCTCGGGCTTTCCATATAGGGGAGATACTTCAGATTCCACTTAGAGATGTTGTACTGTATATCGAAGCTTTGGAGCTGGAGACTCTTATTGAGAAACGGCGAGACTTTCTCTTTGTTTCTCGCCAAAGTTCAAAGCAATGAAGCATAAAATAAAAAACTGCACTCGGCAGCAAAATAAAAAAATAATAAAAAAAAAAGCATAACCAGTGAAAATTGGCAACAGAGCTCCTCCAATGGCTTGAACCATGGTTTCGGTAGCTTCTTCTATATTTTTCCACTGCAGAGTGGAAAACACGCATGAGTGCTTCACTTCCGTTGGGAGCGGATGTTGCAGACAAAGAAGCTAATGCTCCGGAATCGGTAGTGATGATGATGGTGGTGGGTTGGGTTGGGTACGGATTATGCCAAAGAGAGAGTGTGTGTGTGTGCGTAAAAGAGGAAGTGCCTTACACATATAGAGTATCGTATATCGTATGGAGTAATTGTATGTACCCAGTGGCCTGACGCGTCATCTGGTTACACCGAAAAAAAATATGAGTATGATAATAAGCATTTAAATTAGAACTCTACTGATGGATGACACATGGATGGATGACCTTCGAGCTCCCAAAATAATTGGGTAAACTGGAATATTTCGCGAGCTATAGAGTCATCTCCGACGAAAAAAGCATATTGCGTAGCCAAAAATTCAGATGAATACAAAATTAATGGCATTGTGTATATATTGTGTACAATATACCCGCCCCTTCAACACGCGCCGCCCCCCTCACACATCAGACATCAGACCCAATTGAGAATGTTGTTTTTAAAACAGCATTTTCAGGCAAACGGGCGCGCGCGGAGTTCGTATGAAATCATTCAACGCAAACAGGGTTACCATATGCCGGAAAGTTTCATGTGTTCATAGCTTAAAAGTCCGCAGAAAAAGCAGTGTGTCATTAAAATAACTGTTTACTTTAAGCGAAAATATAAACCAACTCATTTCGTAAACAAAAAATGATAATTTTGTAAATATTTTAAAGATAAACAAGATTGCAAGCATTTAGCAACTCTAAAAGTCGCCATTTTTTCATATCTCTCCTCGTTGAGAGAGTGAGCGAGCAAGCAAGCGAATGGGAACACGAATGGTCGGGTGGTTTACCCGACAAAATAAAACAAGTCGTTTTTGATATAGTAGGTCATTTACATAAAAACAAATAATAGAATATTTTTTATTATTGTTTACACTTTGGAATTACATTTAATATTTATTATTTAAAAGAAAATAATAGGTTTTCTAGAAGTAAAGCTTATCAGCCAAACCGTATGCGACGAGTGTGTGTGTGGTGAGCAACACAAGCGATATGGTTATGGTAGCTGCATGGTTGTATTTGTAAGTGAACGTATCAGTAAAATTCAAGAAAAATATACATTTGATTTAGCTTATGCCTTATGCCTGGCTTCTGATGTCACGTTTTCATTTCAACTTTTTTGGGGTTAAATAAATTTTGTTACCACAAAATGGTATGGCTATGAAACTTCAGCTCACCTTGAAGGCTTTTCTCTTTTTGTTGAAAAACTCAAGTCTCCCTCGTATTTCCAATGAGATTCGACGATACAGAAAGTACAAAGCGCTTTCACAGTCACTATTGATTTTCCGTGAACAAAATGAACGGAAAACGTAACAAAGTCACACTTTTTAGACAAGCACACGTTCTCTGCTGTATTTTGCGTTCACGTTTTGGTTTATCAACAATTACAATGCCAACTATCACAATTGAGTCCGTCAATACTTTATGTTTGTACTTTATTTAGCTTTAAATGCATTTAAATTAATTTTTTTTGTAAGAAATAATTTCAGCTCTCAATAATCCATTTCTTCTGCTTCTGAGTTTCGATCCCGAACTGACACGATGGATGTTTCGTGAGCGCCGTCGAGACTATACGACCCTCTAGCGGTGCCGGCCATTTGGCTTTTTTACCGCCAACTGGCTATAAAACTGCTAACACTCTTTCGTATAATAATCTCTTATAAGAATTTGCCTGCTCTTTTATGGTAAAATATTATACGAATTATTTTAATAACTTCTAATTTCGGTGTTTTTTCTAATCATTAATATAAAAAATAATATAATAAAACCAGAAAAACCTAACCACCTAACCTCACAATCTAAAATGTAGCCTTTTTTTCGACAACTCTAAAACTGCACTCGAGAGAGAGCCACAAAGTCTCTCTCCGAGAGAGCAAAAAATAGAGTCTTTTAAGTGCATTTTACTTCTAGGTCTTTTACAGGTATACTTTGGGAAAAAAAAAAGTTTGCAAAGTAAATCCCATTTTAGCCATAAAGGTAATTCCATGAAACTATGTATTTACAATTAGCCAGACGATCGATTACCAAGTCCAGATATAACAAAAATAAACGGCATATTGCAGGTAACTGGAGACTAGTGTTGTACTACGGCTAGTATTAGTACGCAAGCCGTAACCGTAAATTGGCACTATATGGTTATCCTTTTCGCACTCGCAAGCACGGGCGCGTCCTGTCAAGGACCGCCAGGATCATTGATTTTATTACTCCTGCCAGAGAGAGCCCCAGAGCATGCGCCGAACTGGCAGCGCGTGTCAATGCACTGCAGCTGCGTTTTTTTTTTTTTTTGTGTGTGCGCTTCACAGCGCCCCACCTCCTCTCACCTTTTATTTTTAAGGCTTACCTGTCTGCTGTTCGCTGTTCTGGAGACAGCTGGAAATGCCCGGGAGTCTCTTATCAAGAAAGCCCGATAGGAATCTCTCTCACTCTCTTGAACATGTTTCGGAGCAGGAGCTGGAGCAGGTGATGCCTATCTTGGTTTTCGACATGTCAGGGTTTAAGGATAAGGTTTGAGGTACAAATTATATTTAAACACAAGAAATAATGTTTATTTTAAGGTATTACCTAGATTGGCAAAGTCTATGAAGGCTCGAACTATCCTGTTATCAAAGCTATCGAAAATCAGTCCACAATCAGAAAATCCACGTAGCCACAAACCTTAGTTTTAAAACAGCTGTCTTAAAAGACTGTCTTTATTTACTCTTAACTTTCATATTTTCTGTTCAATATTTATTTAAAAAATATTAACTTTTCTAAATTTTATTGTATAGCTACCTTTACCTATTCATCTTTCCTTTGAAATATAAAATATTAATAAAGTATTTCATAAATACATATGTCATCAGTAATACATCAGTAAAGATTGAAGGGTTTTCAGATATAGCATGTAAAAAAAAGCCTCTATATGTAAGTTTTAAAATATATGTAAATCATGAAACACTTTTAAAAATAATTCATTAAATAATGTTTATTTATGAAGTACAAATTTAAGTTTTAAAATGTATAGATTATCAAGAAACAGATGCAACAAAAAACCTAAAATAATTCTAAAATTCTCTCTGTATAAATACTATATTCTTATGATTTGTTTTATGGGATATAAAAAAATAATCAATATTTGAGGACCCCGCCAAAAAAGTACATATTTTTAATATGTATATTTTTATAAAGATTTTTAGAAACTTGAAGCATTGTTCAACACTTAACTCCAAAAGCTGAGTACCAGGGCTACCAAAAATGTGAGAATAATTATTAACAGGACATAAACAGGACATAAAAAATGAAAAATTATAAAAAAAAATTAAAGAATATTTTTAAAAACCTATTGTTTGAATAAAAAACATGATTGATTTTGGTAAGAGTATAGAAAGTTGAAGCTCCTATCAAAGTAGAATTCCTTTCCTAATCAACACTTTATATGATATGGCTTTGAAAGCCATATATTTATGGACTTGTTAATAATTTGCCAAAGGAAATTCCAACACGTTCGTTTATACTCTATTGGGATACAAAAGATTGGCGAGTTTGAATCACTGGGTAAGGCGACTTGGCAACAGTGCGAGACATAAGTATATAGCGACTAGCAACCCGCCCGCTAACGGGTTGAACTTTTATAATTTTATAAATACTCGTCGCTAAATTTACCAAGAAGATCTGTCGCGACACATTTGAGAAATTTGCCTATAAATGTGGAGTCTAGACGACTTTGACATGTTGCAAGGCGACACCATCGCAGGCGGTTGTTGCCACAAAATGTGGCGTAGAACATATACATATATTCTATTTGCGGATGGATGGATACTACTGGCTGGGTGTCTCTGGCAATATTTTTCATGTTTCACAAAGCTGACCACACAGATCATGGATTTTGGATGGATGTTGAGTTGCTGGACAAGTTTTAAACTGAAAATGTTGAAAATCCCTGGCTCAGAGGCCCCAAACGGCCTTGCAAGGCCTTTTAAAGTTGTTGCACTCGCGGCCAGTCTTCTAGCTGGCTTTGTGGTGGTTTTATTGTGATTTTGATTGCTCACCAGTATAGACTTGGGCGGCATTAAGCTCATCTACAGAGGGGATTCAATATAAAGAATATCTTAAAAAAAACTTGAATATCCTGTTAAAGATATCCTGTTTGTATCTCAAAGATATCTTCAAGGACTATCTTTAAGACTATCTTTTAAAATCTTTTTATAGGTTTACCTTATGAAATTAAACCTGTATTATTCGTGCCTGCTTCTGGCCACTTGGTTAGTGGTTTTTTTTAATTGACAGCCAAATGCAGCAGTTGGCTAAAACCAGTTTCTGGCTTTTTTGCATTCTCTTCTTTTGCGCGGCAATTGGCAAGAGGTGTCATAACATCGAGCTGGGCACGGACTCGATTAGATATAGCCTATTACAACATGTGCCGCTTGGCTTGGCTTGTCAGACCCTTACTACCTGCTTCAATCAGGGCCCAAAACCTGGATCCTGGATGGATCGACAATTGCAGACGTGTGCCGGCAGCTGCAGGCGAGCTGCAGACCGCGGCAGCCAACAATAAGCGGATCAAAGGAAACATCTGCTCCTGGGGCAGGCCCTTATCCTTGTCGAGTTTCCTGCCTCGAGTGAAAGGATCGCGCGGCACATGACGTCGCCAGCTGCCACAGACAGGCGATCCTTTGTTGAGGATCCTCAGTCAATCGGGGGAATTATATTCTTGGGGATGGTTATATGGAAGAGACTAATAATGGGAGTATCCTGTTTTATTCAACAGATTTTATTTAACAATTTTTAGGAATATATAGGAAGTCTTTCAAGAGCTTTAAAAGTCTATAAATATTTTAATTCTTTTTTTTAAGAAAGTCATCTCTATTTTGAAAATGTGTGAGAGTGTGTTCTGTTAGAAGAACTTTATGCAAATCTTTCCAGAAGACTCTATCCTGTTCTATTCCACAGATTATATTGAAAATATTTATGAATATATAAGAATTTCTATAAGAGTTATAACTTTTAAAATTCTTAATTCTTTTTTAATAAAGTAAACCCCATTTTATATAAGAACTGTTGTAAGAACTTTATGCTAATCTTTCCACAGATTATATTCAAAATATTAAGGAATATATGTATAGGAAATCTTGTAAAAGCTGTAACTTTTATAAGACTATAACTATTTTAAGTATGTTTTTATACAGTAATAATTATATAACTTTTTTCTAATCTATTCAGAAGACTATCGTGTTCTATTCTGGAGGATCCTCTTCTATTCTACAGATATAGTAAAATTATATCATCACCTTAATAGCTCCAATAATAGCTATAACTTTTATAAAACTAGGAACATTTTAAGTCTGTTTTAAGATAATAATAAACCCTATAAATGTGTAGAAGTGTCTACCATTTTAAGATAAGTTTGTAAGATTTAATCTTCAATTTTATAACTATTTTCCAAACTATCCAAGAGATTTTCCTGTTCTATTCAACAGATTATATTCAAAATATTATCTTAGGATATCATTATCTAGGAGCTCCTGTAATAGCTATAAATATTATAAGACTATGACTATTTGAAGTCTGTTTTTAGACAATAAACCTATTTATAAATGTCTAGAAGTAGGTTTTCTTTGCAAGATAAGTTAGTAAGATAGTTTCTTCAATTGTATAACATTTTGCTAATCTATCCAGAACTAAGCTCTATAAAAGTTGTATAAACAGCTTTATTGTTCAGCTGTGTTATAATTAAAGGCATATGGTAATTTTTGGATGATGGTGTCATAACATGATAAGAAAAGTAAATAAAAGATTATTTTAAATTCTTTCAGAATGTGCCACCCCATTTCATAAGAATTTAAAACAGATGGGGTTTTGGGGGCTTAGCAGTATCCTTTATAGCTTTAAGTTTCTATGATGATATTTTCTATACCTATGATTAATAACCCAAAGTCTACAAGTGTGTTTCTTAGAAAAGATTACTAAAACAATTGTTGCAGGTACTATGGAAAGTGTTATCTTTTGGAGGGCGGCGCCAGTGGGTCGCGAGTCAAACCGGAAATGTTTTTAAACTTTAAAAATATATATATGTGTATAGATGGTTTATATCATTCTGTTTGTGCCAAGTTTAGCACCTAATGACGCAATGGCGATGCACTAAGTAGAATGAATTTATTCTAGTGAAAAGAGTGAGGTAAGCAGCTGACTTTATAGGCGAATATCATCAATCTTTGGAACCTACGCAGTGCTGTAAATGGAAATGACATTGAATAGTAATTAAAAATAGGAAAATTCTAGCTCTAGCTGGGAGAATGGACTGGACTGTCATGTGGGTGGGGTGGTTTTCATCATCATGAATGAAATGCAATACGAATGAGCTAAGCATCGGCGGAGATAAAAGGCAAACACACTATATTTCACAATCTAGAATGTAAGATAATATCTAACAGATACGCGAAAGAGCAGGACAGCAATAGGATGTATGCAGGGGTTGGAAAATCTGTGGAAAATTCTCGAGAGAGCAAGAGAGACTCTTGCTGGGGGTGGGGGATGCATATGAGTAAGGGCATGAATGAAGAAAAACAAACAATTGTGAAATTATTGGCAAGGGTGAGATAAAATTTAGATCCTTTTTGTATGCAAAAAAAAATTTAAAAGAAATTATGATAAAAAATAAAAAAACAACACTTACCGGAGACATTTTAAACCGTTATATCTTATCAGTTTAGCATGCAGTAAAGCTTTTTTTTTTGTCCTTGAAAAATTTAATTCTTTTTTTGCGGTATTTTGTTTTCACTTTGCGATAAGATTATTAAAATATGTTTTTGATTAATTTAAAAAAAAAACTTGATTATTTTTTAATTTTTGTTTCAACGTTAGAGAGACAACCGGTGGGTTAGAATGTCATGCTGCGACTACAGAAAAACTATTTTGTAGCGCCGCCTAGCCTACTTTCCTATAGGTATTTTCTATTCGGCATTTGTTTTCGTTTTTTTGTCGCTTTTGCGTTCTCATTTGTTTTGTTTTGCTTGGCTTTCTGCCCCGTACGAGAGCAAAAGGGGTGGGAGAGGACGGCCAGATACGCGGCCGGGCGGAACGCTCGTAATAGTTTTGCCGCCAATGCGATGCGCAGTTTTTAACTTTTGGGGGTGGCCTCTGCTCGCTCTCACTCTCTCTAGCTACCACTTATTTTGCATTAATTGTAGGAAACTGTCATTATTTTACTATTATTTGTCATTATTTTATATTTTAATTATTTCTAGATCTTTTTAAAACATTTTAAAAGCTCATTTTTGAAAAAATACGTTATAACGAAACATTTAAACATGCCAGCCCTGGTCTTTGTCGTGTGAGATGCCACTTCCGATATTTTTCGTCAGTCTGGTAGCCTCTAAATGATCAAGATTTTTTAATGATGTATTATAAAGTTATTTTTCTTTAAATATGTTAAAAACTACGTTTTTTTCCACATTTTTGCTTAAATTCATTGTAGTTTTTGTTTTAAAAAAACCCTTTTATTTTCTTCCCGGTTCGGTAAGAGCGAGAAAGCAGATAGAATAATGTGACCAAATTGCAAGCCAAAAATGTATTTGAAATTAAAAAAGCTTTTCTCGCCTTTTAAAGTCGGCTAAAAAGACTTAAAATATTGAGCCGTTCAAAATAATTTTAATCATCTTTCTTATTTCTTTAAGCTTATAAAATAATTTATAGACGACCTCTTTAAAAATACTCGATATAAAAAGTAAATATCGATAGTCACAATCGAATATCGATGTTTTTAAGCTAGAAGTTTCTCCATCTCTAATGTTTACCCGATGTTTCCACCTCTAACTAGCACAGCCAAAAAACGTTCACGGAAAATAATAGCCACTGTTTCGAAGCCAGTGCGGAAAATCCAAAAAAAATCTGCTAATCGGTAAAATTCGGTGACGTGTGGCGTATCCCCGAGATCGCGAATAGTGCGCGTGCCGTTTATTCGAGAGCCCGCCACTCCCCTGCCTTCCATTCCGATGTTTCGCCAGCTCTGCGAATGATATTGTGGAAAGCCAGCAGCAAAAATATGCAAAATAAAGTGAAATACCAGTGCCTCGCAGGAGAGGAGCGCCCATACGGAGCGCTTTTCAGCCAATAGTCCCCGGAAAATCGGCCAATCGGTTTTGTGAGGGGAAAGGTGCGTTTTCCGTTTTCGGTGTGTGAAAAGTTTCTACTGCAGTCCATTTTTCTCTACGTGCGTGTGCTGGTGTGTGTGTGTGTGCTGGCTGCATGAGTGTATGTGTGTGAGTGTGGCCGAGTGTATGCGAGGTGGAGTGGGTCTTTTTTTTTTTGTAAAAATGCCTTTACATAATTACATAGCCCATACAGAGGGTTCATCTTGGCATTCCATTGCACTGCCGAATTATATAAAAACAGCAGGCGAAAAAAAAGAATTGTGCGTGAAAAATAAGCGGCGGTATCCATCTTTCGTTCTATTTACTCGCGGCTGTTGAATTTATGTCAAATTGGTAACACACACACACACATACAGACAGTTAGATCGTATGCAGGCCCTAGCTGCATGCGTGTGTATGGGTGGAGAGCCAGAGAGTGAGCGCCAAAGAGTACATAGAGCGGGAGAGAGAGAGAGAGAGTGGGAGCCCGCAAATGATAAACAAAGTAAAAAAAAAACAAGAGGGTCTGTTTTTTAAAAGAAAATTAATAAAAATAAAAAAATAATATATATTTAAATATTTAAAGTTATGAGAGTAGCTGAAAAAGCCAACACACACACACACACTCCCTCACACTCACGCAGAGTAAATATAAAAAAATAAAAATAATATTAAAAAAATATTACAAAATAATAAAAAATAATTCATTCAACAGGAGCAGCCCCAGTACAAACATTAAAAGTGTAGTTGTGATTCAAAAATCGAAAGTGTGAAGCATTTTTCTAAAAATAGTTCAAAAAATCAAAAATTTCAAATTCTCTGTGAAAAACAAAACACAAAAAATCAATAAAAAATAAATACAAAAAAAAATTATTAAAAAAGGCGCTCTAGTCGCCGACTGGAATTTTTGGATTAAGTTTATCTCGCAAGAATCCTTCGAAGATGTCCACTCTGGACGCACGGAACAATTCGGCGATGATGAAGCGGGCCGAGCAGCTGAAGCGTTGGGAGGAATCCGACACTAACCGAGCAGCTCCCACTCCTCGGGAGGAGCACGGACGCAGGATTAAGTTCACCTCCGGGTGTGTCTTCCTGGCCGCCTGCCTATCGGGGGACAAGGCGGAGGTGATTCAGCTACTGGACCAGGGAGCCGATATTAACACAGCCAATGTGGATGGACTCACAGCCCTGCATCAGGTAGGAATCAATAGAAAGGATATCTATACTCTACTTTGTATTTCCAAGAAGGGAAGTTGCATCATGGGTGTCGGCAACCCGTTGGAGTGGGGGGTGGGTGTGGTGGGTCGGTTGCAATTTCGACACTGTTGCTTCCAACAGCGGTGCTGACGTGGGGCGGTACTGTGGGGTAATAGCATGCCTCACTGAACAGAAATTACAAAAAAAAAATTAACAAAGATTTCTAAAAAATTAGTATCGAATTTTTAATAATTTTCTTTAAAATTTTAATAATAATTTTTATAGCTCCCTCTCTTCAAGGTCATCTCAGATCCTTCCATTTCACACCCACTGTGCTGCCCTACAATTGTTTTTGTTGCGTATTTCAAAGCTCCCCATCTCTCTCCCACTTCCTATACCTCTCTCTTTCTGCGGTTTCAACACAAATATTAACAAAATTTCAAAAAAAAAATAAGAAAAGCATACAGGCCTAAATGCAAGCCCAGCAGAACAACAGAAACGAAAGGAAAGGAAAGGAAAACGCCAACTGCCCCAACTGGGAAAATTGGGAAAACTGGCAAAAGCATTAAATAAGAAAAATACGAAAATTTTTCTATTTTTAAAAAGTCTAGAAAAACATACAATACTCGAAAGCACATATACCAGTATGTACGAGTATGTATGTATGTATGTACATATTGGAAAAGCCAGAGATTTTCGCAAAATCATTTTCATGTTTCCTTGCTTTCCTATTTGTTCTACTTAATCGCGAGAAAAAAAAAATAGAAATAAAAATTGAAATAAAATTTTTAATGATTTCAGCTGGCTAAGAATAATAAATAAAATTAACGCATAAAATCAAGCATTTTTGGGCTTTAAATTAAACCGGATAAAGACTTTAAAACTAACATAGAAAGGAGGGAGATAAATAATAGTAGAAATAGTAGAAATTAATAATAGTTTTTCATAATCTCTAAACATCCTATACACGTGTTCGACTTACCTTACAAATTAATCAAAATAATATGTTTTTAAGATTTATTTCTTAAATTAAACAAGAAAATAACTTAAAAACTAACTAAAGAAGGAAGGAGATAAATAATATAAATAGAAAAGAGAATAATAGTAGAAAAGCTTCGTTTTTTTTAGATTTCTTTCTTAAATTAAAATAAGAAATTACTGAAAACTAACTAATTCAAAAAGGAAAAATATTATTACATGACTTGCTTCTAAATATTAGAAGTAGCAACCCATTTTTTCTCAGTTTTCCAACACGGATACAATCATGATACAATTATACAATTAATTATAATTGTATCATGGATACAATGCCAAATAATGAAAAAATATATCTTCAAGATTTGATTCTTAAATGGAACCACAAAGAACTAAAAAAGCTATCGTACTTAAATTATAGTATAAATACTGTAATTTTTCTTCAATTTCTAAAGCTCTCCTACACGGGTTGGACTCCGGAATCTCCACTCCCTAATCAAAAATACATTTTTTTTAAAGATTTATTTCTTAAAGAGCCTAAAATATAACTAAAATTAACTAGAACTAAGCAACGAAAGAAATACATAATTAAGAGTAGAAATCCCCTATTTGTATCTTAATTTCTAAAAGCCGATACTAGGGGTTCAACTCCCCCATACCAAATTATCAAAAGAATATTTTTTTTTACACATTTATTGCTTAAATTAAACCATAACTTAACCAATATAAAACTAACTAAAGAAATAAATACATGAATATTAGTAGAATTCCTTTTTTTTATTCAATTTCCATACAAAAATGGAAACGTGAGGGGAGTTTTTATGAAAAAGAGGTATCTTTTTTTGAAAAATATCTTAAATCCAAAAACTTTAATGCCTTATTAAAACTGTATATTTCGGGGCTTGTCTAAAGCCGCCACTAGTAGAGCCGAGTGCTCCAGTTCTGAATAATTGATTCTAATTATGCTGCGCCAGCAGAAAGAGTCGTACATTTTCACCGTTTAACCGCGGCGCACTTGTTAACCAGATGCTAATTTGCTTCGAGCGGGAATTATAGTAGACTAGGGGCTACTAGAGGGGAGGAGGAGGGAGGGAGGGGTCATGTCTGGGGAGTGCACTGTAATTACGACAACCAACCACTGCAATAAGAAATAATAATAATAACAATGGAAAACAGTGGAAACGTTTTGAATTACCGGCTGCCAGGCTGATAGGCTGATAGGCTGCCACACAATGTATGGCGTTGCAAGTGCGACCGCAACCTGCGGCTATTTGCCTCGCATGTTGTTGTTACTAAACCGCAAACAAAAACAACAAACAAAAATAATAAATAAGAATTTGAAATTCAGTTTATTATAATAATTATCTTATCGCCTGCATTTACATGCCTCTAATAGACGCCCCCGCTTTCGCTGCGAATTTCTTTTTTATTTTTTACATTTACATATATCTATAACTTTGTTGTTTTTTTTAATGTTTTGGGCCATTCCATTCATAAAGCATTGACAAAACTAGAGAAAGAGAGGCGGCAGCAGGCCACCACACCTGCAACACATTTTCAATGGCATGCGACACGAGTTGCAGACTCGTCGGGATAGAGCACAGTGGGTGTGGTTGTGGGTTTTTTGAATAAATATATGGAAAAGTTTTTGCTTTGAAAATTATTTGTACTTAGGACGATTGGAAGATACTCATAATACTTAAAAGACTAATAAAACTTAAAATACTAATAATACTTAAATACTTACTAATATTTATGACTATAATTTATATATAGCTAACCAGAAATTAATACACTAATGTATGTTTATTAGGTGACTGGCTCTCTAGCCATAGATTTTTCTAGTTTAAGCGGTTCTTTTAGTCTAGAAATTGGAAAAAATCTACAACATTTTGTTTCATAATTCAAAGTTCGATAGATTAAATGTTCAAGAATATCTTACTATAAAGATTTCTTTTTTAAATTTCAATTATTTTTACAGTAATAGCGGTCTTAGTTTAGCGGAAGTTAAGAGGAAGAGGTCTTCTTGACTAGAAGACCCACATAAGTCATGTTATTACAATATTTATTTAATAAGAAATGTTTAAAAGTTAAAAAAAATACTAAGAAATCATAGTTAACCGAAAAGTACCAAAACTTAGCTACTTACTAGACTTAAATCTATTTCTAAACTTGAATCATTTTCTTATAACCATAAATAAAGTTATAGAAAAAAAACTATTTGAACTTTTTGACCTAAAAACCTATTGATTGAGCCCACTGTGCGCAATTACCTTGGACTTTATGTGAATGATGTTGACTGATGGAGAGGAAAACATAGGAGGGGGCAGGTGGGGCGAGTGAGGAGGGGGGAGGCCAAGGATTGGAGCTTGCAGTGACCGTGTATCCATGCCGCTGGCTGACTTTGATTTTTGGCCTACAGACGCCATGCCACGCCACTTGAATCGCTGGGGAACAGGCGCTGAAAATTATCAAAGAAATGGCTATAAATTACGGTTGTTTACAAGCCAAAGTATATATTTTATTTTATTATTTTTTCGAATACAGTTCAAGGATAATGGAAGGCTGTTTCTTGCTGTTTTGGATATTTTTCAAGAATTTATTCGCGATTTTAAAAATAGAAATATTTTTGGAGGAAATACGTGGGCCAGAAACCACACAGACTGACGGTAACTATCCGGAAATTAGGGCTCTAATTATAGAGAGATGAATAAGCTTTTAAAAAATATATATATTAATATTTGTATAAGAGCTTTCTATGATTGGGAATTAATTTATTAAATTCTAAACTGAGTCCTGACCTGAAGCTGTAGCTGGAAAAGCTGCGTGACTTTTTCCCAAAAAATAAATCAAGTGAGATTGTAGATGTTTGTCGGCTAACTCGCTTTATTGACGTGTTTTCTAACCTTGGCCCGGTTCTCGACGGACTGACTGACAGACGCACTTGCTCCGAGATCCTCTGTTTATAAATGGATGCAGTCTACACACTTGATTTGATTTATTTCTCGTTTCGTGTTTTACACCAAAAATAACAAATGCTACGATAGATACATAGATACATAGATACAGATACAGATACAATTTTTTTGTGATTTTTTTCTGATTTCTAATGTCTGCAGATTGCCCGCCTAAATGTATCTAAAAGTTGTATCTACGTCTCTGTGCGTTGCATAATACCATTTCTGGCTGCTGCCAGAGAACTACAAAATGTATGCCATTCAAAAAAAAAAAAAAAAATTGTGTTTCATTTTTACAAGCAGAGAGTTTAGGCCTCTTCTTCTGTTTGCCAATTCTTCAACGATTATACTATATACTACTATATACTCTCTATATAGTCTTCTATGTATACACAAATTTTGCTTACACGCGCCGTTGAATATTTGTGAGCTGTTTGTGAGCTGTTTTTATGGATAAACCAGCGGGAAACTATAACAGAAATATGACGAAATGATTTTTGGGTTATACTATAGGGTTATATATTCTTAAAATCACTACTATATCTACTATTATATCATTTTTTTCACACTTTTGAGGTAATCTTGTGTAAATAAACACTTGAAAGATAAGGTTTTCTGTCCCAAACATTGTATGACCATTAAGGCTTGTATTCTACTACTTTTAGTTATAAAATATAGGTTTTTAAGATTTAAAAAAATTATTATTTCTTAAAGATTTGTTTATTTTTTAGCCACCTGGCATATCCACTTAGCTCTGGCGCCCCCGATCGTTATACAATTTGGCCCAAAAGACACATGAGAATCTTTTGATTCTTGAAAGCAAGAATGTCTATAGCCTTCAAGAACAAATGCCTCAAAATCGGCCAGATATATATATATATAGGGGTATATATCATATGGTTTATGTAGATTCTCTGGGCTTTTATCTTGTGGCGCTAATTCAAATTTGTAATTTATTGAACTCAAGGGGTGGAATGGGTTATATTTTTTCGAAATATTTGGCAATATATAGTATACATCAAGAGGTCATTGTGTGGCAGGGAATTTTGCTTTTCAGGGAGTATCTCTTAGATATAATTCCTTAGAAAAGTAAGCTCTTCTCATTCAGAATTAAGTTCAAAAGGCCCCTAGAGACTAGACCAGTAAATGGAGCGTCTAATGAGCCCCGTTAAGCTTCTACCTTTGGCCCACGCTGCGTATACGTAATGCCACTGCCTGCCAGTGACTGGGTACTGAGTACTGGGTAAGGTGAATAACATTTGAGGCGTGCAGCACCACAAAATGCCGCTCAATAGCGTGCCAAAAACAAAAGGCTAAACTTAGCATGCAACAGTGCTTAGTTTGTTGCCAATAGAATCTCTAAAGATCGGACCTTATCATCGGACTAGCAAGGCCTGTCTGTCTATAGCTTCTGCTGCTGGCTGGCTGGCTGGCCAGTTTATCAAAATTGTTCATAATTAATTAATTGGCTGCGTTCCAGATTTGCAAATTGTTTGGCCCACCCGCTGTCTAGTCTTTCTGTTTTTTTTATTGTTTTATTTTTTATGCTTTTTAGAGCCAAAAGCAACGGCAGAAAAAAGTCGCAGGGGTTAAGGGGTTATACACAGTAAAGGTTTTTAAAAAATCTGATATATATTTTTTATTTTTATCTACATATTTACATATATATACTATTAGATACTATTATAGATATATACTAATATCTACATATAATCCACATAATATACATATATTAGTGAAAGTCCTTTTATAATTTAAAATCGAACCGATAAATATTTTTGGAGCAATACATTAATTTTTAAGCTCAAGTCAGAGTACTAGTAAAGGAAGTTGGATAACTTTGAAGGGTTTTTTCTTAAAACAGGGACTTTCTCAAAGTCGATGATCAGATTTTTTGAAAATTAATAAAATTTTCGAACTGAAATTTGTACAAAAACATCTTGGATATACTATATTTCCCATTTAATGAAAGAAGACATTTTTTTTTGAAAATATACTATTTTTTATATTAAAATACTATACTATTTTTTTATATTAATATACTATTAAAATACTATTTTAAAAAATTTAATTTTGAAAAAATACTATTTGAAAAAAGTACTATATACTATGAAGTAGTATGAAATATACTAAAACATACTGTAAAAATACTATTCCTTACTATTTTTTTCGACAATTTAATAAAAAATATTTATTAAAAATCTCAATTTCTTGTTCAAAGTTAAGCTTTTTTTCAAAAATGGTCATTTTTTAAATTTATATTTTTAACAATTGTCATTTTGTTTATGTATTCTATTTTTTATGTTTTAAACCTCCATTTGTTTAAGATTTCATACAATTCTTTCAAAGGCTGCAGAATTGGAATTAGAAAATATTTATTACAAGATTGACATGCTATGTTATCTTATCATACATATATATATGTATATATATATATCCTATCATCCTAATACCTTCTACTTGATAAAATAATAATTGTTAAATATTTAAACATTTAAAGTTTTTTTCTTAAAAAAAATTGTTTAAAAATATGCTTTTTTTGAGTGGCGAAACTGGGTATACCCCCTTAATTAACATATGCCAAAGAAAAGAATAAAATAGAGAAGAAAGGGTAGGGAGAGAGAAGAAAGAAGAAAGAGCCAGAAGAATTGGAGATTTGATTTTTTATAAGGCCTACCATATAGTAGAACTACTATCAGCTTCGAGAACAAGACACTGCAAGAAATTAGAAGCCCAACCAACATAATCTTGAATCTCTGCTTCTGCAATCTTAAATCTTAATTTTTTTCAAAAAATATGCTAATATTATTATGAAGCCTGTCAGGCAGGCAGATAACGATGAGGCTTTCCAAATGACTGATAAATACTGTTCAAATTTTGTTCGCGTGTTCTGATTGGAATAGAGTTGGGTTCAGTTCGGTTGAGTTGTCTTGGGTTGGCGCCTTTTGTAGCTCGAGTCCCCTTCTTTTACTTTCTTTTCTTTTGCGGCTTTTGCTGCAAAAGAATGGAATGCTTATCGGCATTTGCTGGCAACTACAAGGCGTTGTCGTCTCGAACTCGAACGGAATACATATTGTTGTGGGGCTTGGGGTTCTTCTTCGCTTTCCTACCGACACAGATAGCAGAGCCCAGGCCCAGAGTCACTAGCGATGATATCATCATCATCATCGTCGATGTCGGTCGCATGCAACAATTCCAACAACAACACTGGAAGACGTCTAGGCTGGTTGGGCGGTTCGGCGGAAATCCGCATAAACAACCGAATATTGCTATGGACTGGACTCTCTGTGTATATGTTTACTTTAACGTTTTTAGCAAGATAAACACAGCGTTTTAGTACATTGTACTAGCTCTTATAATAAAAGAAGCGGAATACCAACGAAAAACGAATTCTGCCCAGAATCTCTTCTACGAATCGGGGTTTTATGTTTAAATGTTTACTGACGAGACCGGGAAATCACAATTTTTTATTAATGTTTTTTAATATTTCAAAGAAAATATTAAAGAAAATAGAAAATATTTCAAAGAAAATATTAAATACTGAAATAGTAAATACAAGGCTCTGGAGGGATAAATAGGTGCTTTTAAGGTTGTGGGAAATATACGTTTTTATGGAGGTATGCACTTTTAGTAAAATGTTTGATTCACGTTTTAAATATTTAAACAAAAAATATTAAATACTAAGATATTAAATACAAGGATATTAGGAGCTGGAGGGATAAATAGACGCTTTGAAGGATTAAGGAACATTTAATATTTAATATTAGGAGCTGTAAGTATATTTTAATAAAAATATTAAAGATATTAAATACAAGGCTCTGGAGGGATAAATATCCCCAGTTTCAAGGGTCGTTTAGGAACATTTAGTATTCAGACTTAGGAGTTGTATTTTTTTAATGAAAATGTTAAATACTAAGGTATTAAAGCTCTGGAGGGATAAATTGACGATATTAAGGGTGAAGACATATTTAGTAAAATGTTTAATTAATGTTTTTAATATTTCAAAGAAAATATTAAATACCAAGATATTAAATACAAGAATATAAGGAGCTGGAAGGATAAATAGACACTTTGAAGGATGTAGTATTAGGACATTTAGTATTAGGAGGTGTTTATATACCAGTAGATTAAGGCTCATAGGGTTAAGTAGACATTTTTAAGGGTGGTAGGCATTTTTAGTATTTAATTTTGGGAGTCGTTTATATCTTTTGTTATTTTTTAATTAATGAAGGAACGCTTTCCGGAACGATTAGGGAATAAAGAAAGAAAAGGAGAAGTAAGGATAATTAAAAACTTTGCAAGAATCTTAGTATTTGATATAACAAGTTAGTATTATTGGTTGATAATATTAAAAACAAGGATTTTGTGCCTTAGGAAGGCACTTATACTATATCTATGGGTTATATGAAACACCAAACAAATTTGTTAAAAAAACATCCACGAAAATAATTTTAAATAAAGTGAAATATTTCTATAACAGTCGGTATTTCTATATATTCCACCTTGACTTTATTATTATTATTAATATGACTATAAAAACATAGTAATAACCCTGTAATAACCTCTCCACATCCTATTACTTGTTGCAGGCCTGCATTGATGACAACCTCGACATGGTGGAGTTTCTGGTGGAGCGTGGTGCCGACATAAATCGACAGGATAACGAAGGATGGACGCCCCTGCATGCTACAGCTTCCTGCGGGTGAGAATAACCCGATAATATATATATATTTTACCGATTTCTAATAAAAATTCCATTCCAAATAGCTTCATGAGCATAGCTCGGTATCTGGTGGAGAACGGCGCTGATGTGGCCGCCGTTAATAGTGATGGTGACTTGGCCCTGGATCTGGCCATCGATGTCCAGCACATGGCCATGATTCACTACATGGAGAAGATGGTGCAGGAGCTGAACATTGATGTGGAGCAGGCCCGCAAAGCCGAGGAGCAGGCGATGCTAAACGATGCCAAAAAGTGGCTGAGAAGCGACGCCGCCGAGGTGGACAGGCCGCATCCGAAGACGGGAGCCACGGCGCTACATGTGGCCGCCGCCAAGGGGTATACGAAAGTGCTGAGCCTGCTGCTGGCCGGGCGGGGTAATGTCGATCGGCAGGATAACGATGGCTGGACGCCGTTGCATGCGGCGGCGCATTGGGGCCAGCGGGAGACGGCCGAGATGCTGGTGGAGTCACTGGCCGACATGGATATACGGAATTATGCCGGCCATTCATGCATCGATGTGGCCGATCGGAAAATAGTCAAGTTCATGGAAGATCTGAGGGCCAACAAGCGCAACAAGCGGCGACCATCTAGTCAAATCAGGTACTTAAATATATTATTAAATTAAAATTCAATTAATTAATAAAATTATGTTAATTTTTAGCAGAATCTCAGATGCAATTGAAAACCATGTGGAGAAGACGCCCACGAAACTGGTGCGCGTGGAAGTGAGAACTGATGCCACAAAGGATGGTGTGTACAGCTTAAGGACTAGTCTAATGATCTAATTAAGTCTTTAGTTTTATTAATTAAGCTTTCTTTGGTTTCTTGCACACACACACTCTTGTGTTCGTCCTGATTATTGTCCTGTTTAGGTTCTCATGCGCGCTAGTCTGTTGTTTTTGGAGCATTTAATCGTCAAACATATGCCACTGCCTCTCGTATCTCATTATTTGCCTACATATCGATCATATCACTCGTAGCATTGTATCTCTCTTTATGTATCTTTCTATCTATCTGTATCTATATCTGTATCTGTCCCTTGTCTTTGCTTGTAAATCACGCACACTGCAGCTGGCAGCAGCTCAAGTGATCCCGCCGTGGCCACCAAGGCTTCTAGTCCCAATCCTGTTGAAGTTGAGGATCCTGAAAATGGCGACTCTGAGGAGCTAAGTGATTCCACAGAGAGCTCACACTCCACCAGCATGTCCGAGAGCGAAGGTAGTCGGCATTTGTTTTGAGGATATATCTCCTTAAGATCCTATATGTGCTAAGCTCACTTATAAAACTAACTAATTGTTTTAAGTATTTTTAATTAAAAAGGTTTTAATAAATGTTTTTTTAATATATTTTTTAGCCGAAAATGTAAAGCCTAATCAACAGATACATGCTGCCGAGCATACCGCCGAAGAGGAGGCACCCTGGAGACGCAAGTTGCCACGAAACTCCAATGATAGTCCCACTAATAATCGTAAGAATGGTATTATTTTTTATAAATAGGCTTTTAATTATTTTATTTTTTATAATTTTAGAAGTTCCTGATAGAGAGCTGGTCAGCAATAGCTCAGAGACCGCCAACGATGTCATCTTGCGACGCACCCAGAGCTTTGAGAATGATCAAAAGTGAGTTGTCCAGATAGCCAGGTTAAGTCCTAATCCCAGACAGAAATGCGTGCCAACACACACACACACAACACATCAAATCACATCACATCACAGATTAACCTACATTATAAATAAATTATATAATTATTAATCTGCGACTAAAAGAACTTGGTTTCTTGATTTGATTTTGCAGTTTGCGTTTTTTGTATTTTTTTAAATTAAAATATATATACGTACTTAGCTTATCATGGTTCTCACAACAACAACAACAACATACAAACCACATTTATTAACAACCCATTCATTGATAAAAAAACTTATCATTTGTGAATCAGAAGAGGCCTCAGCCAGTTGGCCATTTTAAAGCGCAAACTGCAAAAAAAAATTAAAATAAAAAAGACTCAAGCTCCTTATTAATTTTTAAAATTATTTTCATTTTGCTTTATATTCTTTTCTATAAATAAAAAATAAAAATACAAAATATATATCACCAACGCACCACCACAACAACAAACAACAACAAAAAACTCATCAAAAAACGCTTTAAAAAAAAATCTAACCTGCCCGCCTCGCTCGCCCTCGCTCTCCGACCTGCTCTGCCTGACCGCCCGCCCGTCCGCCCGCCTGCTCTGCCTGCCTGATTGCACCACCACCTGACCACCACCACCACCACCATACGACAGATTTTATCAAAAATACAATGAACTGAGAGCCCGCATTAAGGCCAATTCCTGTCCCATATTGCCAGCAACGGCAACTGCTCAGGCCACTGCTGCCAATTCCAATAACAATAATAATCTAAGTAGCAATAATAATAATAATAACAATAATAACAATAAAAGTGCTACAACAACAACATCAACAACATCAACACCAATCAACAACACGCACTCGAACACCACCACCAACAATACACCAACAAGTACACCACCAACTCAAGTAGCAGGATCAGCATCGGCCTCTCATCAATTATATAGCGTACAAAGATCGGCCTCACTCAAAGATAACTCAATGTTCTACAGGTTTGTTCCACATACACCCATGCACCTTGAAGGATCAGGACCTATTGATCTGATCCTTCAAGGAAAGTAACGCCTAATCATAGCTATTAATTAGTAACTAACTAACACTCTGCTTTCGCTTGGCTTCCTCTCGTCTACACTTCCAGAACTCAGAACTCATTGCACCCTCCAACTATTTAACATAATTTCCTAGGCCACGCACCAACTAGGGTCTCTATCCGATTATATAATATATAACTAATAGTATATATACTCCTTTCTATAGGAAACCAACAACAGGCACAGTTGCCACACCCACAAGCACAGCTTCACCGGCCAGTCCAGCTATTGGAGTCACCCCACCCATACGCAGGTGAGTTTTCCACAAAAACAAATCCCATTTTTAAGAATATATCTTAAACTTCTATTGTCGATCGGTGGTTATAGCCAAGTTTCAGTCAAGAGTACGGGCCAGAGCGATAATGTCAGTGATGTGGAGAGCTCCAAGCCGCCGCCCAAGCAATCGGCGGGCAATATAATCAAGAACTTCTTCAAGTAATAATCCTCCAACCAGTTAATGTTGAAGCTAACCCTGCTAGACAGCTGCTAACCCTTAAGAGTCCTTTAAAAACTGGCTTAAAAAGCATGATAGGTCTTAAATGTTTTTGTTGTTACTTTTCCAAGGCTCGAAATATTAAATCCTTTATATATATGATACTAATCCTGATCATCTTTATCTTGTAGATCCTTTGTGCCGCCGGTACGTGACGAGGAGAGCGAAACGCAGCGTAAGGCCCATGCCAAGCGTGTCAGGGAAACTCGGCGTTCCACCCAGGGTGTTACCCTCGACGAGATCAAGAGCGCCGAGGAGTTGGTCAAAAAGAAGAACCTCGGCATGGCCAACAACAATAATAACAACAACAACACAACTACTACCAGCAGCAGCGTAAGTACTCTCAGCGTCCAAAAGTCACAATTTCAAAAAATCATTCACAATCACAACAAAAATTCAAAATCAAACATTTCACACTTCGTGCAGGAAATTATATATCAGCCCTTCCCATATATAGTATCATAGTATCATATATAGAGAATCGGTAGATCCATCCCACTGTACTCCAATGTTGAGCAAAGACACACCAGATCAAGAAACAATATTGCTTATATATGGTTATGGTGTCCCCTCCCTCCTATTGTCTCTCTGTTTATGTGTTAGTGTTATACATACATATATGTTCCCTCACGCACACTATATATCATTAAAGAATAAAAAATATTATCATAATATATATTTTGGAGTGTGAGTGAACTTTATTACTAAAATATTAGTAACTATTTAGTTTAGTAGTGAAGAGAATGCAATAGGTTGCTCTAGAAACTATGATTTGGAGGTTAAGAGAATACTTCATGTTGAAACATGTTGGAATAGTGTGACCAGCTGCTTTAAAGGGTCTAGAACACCTCTAGCTAGCTTGAAAAAAGAAAACCTCTTGCATTCTAATTCTGAATCATCAGTCTCATCCATCAATCAGACATCATTCTCAATCAGTTTGTTGATCGATCGCCAGATCACAATTAACCAATCAAGCTGCCCAGCTCTGCTCAGCCACGCCCCTTTTGCCCGCCTTTAATGAATGACTTTCCAATCATCGTCAGAGATCAGTGAACCATATAGTAGTGTACCATTTCGAGTTGTATTTTCGTTTCTTAAGTTTATGTTTCTCTACTATGAATAGTTTTTAAATTTTTTTAATTTTTAAAATATTTATTATTATTGTATGTACGTCTAAGCATGTCCCATTTGCATGCCAATTCGAATCGCGAATTATTTTTTATTTTTTTTTTTCCAAAAGTGAGACCCTCTTTTGACACTCGCGTCCATCGTTTTAAGGACAACTAGTTCTTTTTTTTTTATTTGTATCACGTTCCGAACTAATATTATTAACAGAACGAATCAAGCTCAACATCCACCACTCAGGAACAGGAGCAGGATCAGCCGCCGCAGGAGCAGCAGCCACCGCCACCGCCCACCACACCGCCGCCCACATTAATACCCACCGATGAGACGGAGATCGAGGCGGTGATCCCCACCAGCGATGCCAATGACACCACTGCTACTTTCACCCTGGCCGCTCCCAGGAGATCCCTTTCTGGGGATGCGGATGCCAACAGCGATGCCGAGGTGGACCAGGCCGTGGTCAGTGCCAGCTATACGATAGTTTCCCGGAGGGAGAAGCAGCCCGACAGCCAAGCGGAGACTCAGAAGACTGATTCAGTTGCCAAATCATCGAGTATAGAGAGTCGGCCGGAGGAGGAGCCGCATGTCAGGCCCACGGATCTACCACTGATTCCAGCCCCAGCGACGGAGGCCATCAGGTCATCCTCGGCGGCCAATACGCCGGCTGCCCTCGAGAGTCCAGTGCGCTTGCGGGACAAGAGGGGACTGTCCAGCAGTCAGGATGCGGAAACCAAGTCCGATACTGCCTCACCCGTGTCGGGTCATCCGGATTTCAATGCCCGGGACTCGCTACTCAGTCTATATGCTCGACGAACAACGGATACTGGTACTGGTACTGGTGGTGGTGCGGGCAGTGGGGCTGCATCCACATCCACATCGGCTGCAGAGCGGCGTCCGTCTTGGCGCCTGAAGTTCGATGCCGGCTCCAAGGTATGCCCACTACACCTTACCCCCCCTCCCCCCCAAATCGACTAGCCGCTAGCCTAATCCCAACCTCAAGACTATATATCGTGTGTGTGTGTTTTTTTTTTTCGATCTATAAGTGTAGCATGGATGTATTATGATATGAGTGTATATAGTAACAGAGATATCCTTGGCTTTAGCTGATTTTTATAGATTTTCTTAACCTGGTTTATAGCTTAAGTTTATTTAGGTTGTTTTTTGATATTTTTTATTGGAAATTATATTTTTTATTTATTTTTAAAAAATTTTTAAAAGGTTTTAGAAGCTCTACTAGTTAACTGCTTGCATTTATTATTTAATTCTTTTAAGTTTCTTTTAGTACTGCTTGTTTTCTATTTAAGTTAAGCCTGTTTTTTATTAAATTAAGATTTAATTTTAATTATAATTTTATTTCATTTGTAAATATTCAAAACATTCTCCTTCAAAAACATTATTGTTTTCTGTACATAAACACACTGAAGCTAAAGAACTGCTTATTAATTGGGCTGATCTTGGCTTTAATAACACTTATTAGGCCTCAGCATGCCTTAGTACATGTATTTATTTTAATTATTAATTATTTTCGATTTAAAAACTAATACCAAATGGTTCATGAACTTAGACTAGGTTGTGGTTTATGGGTTGTGGGTTCTAATTTAAAAAAAAAGTCAGAGACTGACTTAGTTACTACTAAATGTTAAGTATAAACTATTTCCCGCTGCATTCCAAGACATAGCTTTTTGTAAGACAAAATAAACACATGGCACACCCAAAAAAACATTTCAAAACATAACTCTTTAAACTCTTAAAATATTTAATCATTTTCTTAAATATAAATACTAATTATAAAAAATTAAACCATATAGTTTAAGCTGGAGGATATAACCAGTGGTGGCACATATCCGCCCAACAACAGCACTATTATACCCAGTGCTCCGGCGGTAATGGCAGCGGCCAATCTCTCCACCGCCACTGGAGTCCAAAGGCGCATCAGCAGTGGTCCCAATGCACGTGAGTTTTATTTTTCTTAAATTATATATTTAATATTTAAATTAATTTTTAAAATTCTCCTTTCAGTAAATGCTTCAAATCAATCGCTCAACTCGGTGGGTCGTCCTGTTTCAGCGCCCAGCGAGAGCACAAACAACAGCTCCTATGCCACGCCCGCGGCTCGCAAGTACGAGACAACTGCCACCTCCACGGGGACGACCACAACGGTGGCCACTACCAACAGCTCCTCCTCCGCCTCCTCCTCGAATTCAGTGTCTGGAACCAGTGCCAATCATGCTACGGCTACCAATGCCACAGCAAACCATGACGATAAAGGTGGCTGTTGGATTAGCTTGATTCTAACATAGTTACTAATTAATTTTTAATATGACTCTAGATAACGACAAGGAGAACGATAATCGCACACAGACCGTCATACAAAGGAGACGCAAGCCAAAGCGCCGATCCACCGGCGTGGTGCACATCGATATGGATGTGAGTATTTATAATCCCGTCGTGATATCTTAGAGATACATCATTTTCGTGCCTAATTGCCAGGCAAGGCTGTTTGTCAAAATAAATGAGCCATTCGGCTTGCCAACTATTCCTCTAATTAGTCGAGTGATTAAGTCTGAAATTTCTTTTGTTTTCATTTTACAGGAACTGGATCCCGAACGTCAGAACGAATCGTCCAACAACGATAACGAAGACAAGGAAAAGGAGGTGAGTTTTTCTCTTAAAAATATATATATATCGTATCTCTATAAGGTATAACTACCAACAACAAGTCTTTAGATTTCTTTTCGCACCTTTTGCCAAGTAATTATAATTTTTGTCAGCCGCACAATCTCTTTCTCCACATCTTGAGGCACAATTTTAGATTTTAGAGCGTCAGAGCGTCCTTCAAAGTAGCTGCGTCTTTATACGCAGTCTGGTCCAATTAGCGGGCGACCCAAAAATGAAATTATTATTATTTTGTCATATTTTTAAAATGTGCGCACGTGTCATTGTGGCTTTCTATCTATTAAGAGCTATAGCTTTTGGTGTAAGTGCAAGGTGAAATCGGCAAATCCTTTCATGGCCGAGGTCAGAACTATTAGTGCGCATCCAATTTGCATAGAAATTGTAGAATTATAGAAGACGAGTCTTCAAGCGAACCTGTTGACCATTTATCTGAGCAAGTGTCAGCGCCGGTGTCACCTATTATTTAAAACTGACACAATTTTTGAGTGCATCGCTGTCATTAGTGTGCCATGGTGGCTTGTTGCTTAAAGCGATTATTAATTGTTTTGTTCAATGGACTATTTAAAAGATGTCAAGAGATGGATATTATACTAGATACTTTAATAGATACTAGGATATCTAGTAATTAGATAGATAGATTACTAGATAGGACACTAGGATGGTCTTAATCATGTAACAAATGTCTGTAAGGAAGTCTCTTTGCTGACCTTTTTTTTTATTTCAGTCCAGTGTTGTAAAGTGATTTGACAAACAAATTATTAAATATATTTAACCTTTACTGTGCGAAGGAAAAAATTACCTTTTTTAAATTTTTGATGCAAGTCCTTTATGAACTTATGAGACATTAAATTTATGAATGTATGTGCACCAAAAATTATAATAAGAATTTTGCAGCAATACTACCTTTCAAAATTTATGAAATATTTGTTTATCTAAATCAATTTATACCAAAATTATAAAATTTATAAAACAGCAAATACTTTTGAACTCAAAATAAAAATTAAATTTTGGAATAATATGGAGCGAAATTATAGATAGCATTGTGGGTTTTTTAATATAGGAGGCATATTTAAACCCTAGTCGCCGTCTAAGGGTTCCAAAATAATTTGTTAGTCAACACTGTTTCACTCACAATCTGCCATTTTGTTAACCGTTCTAGTTATGGTCTCTTGATTATGAAGAATTAGACATTAAAAGTCTATTTTTAAGAAATATCTACCATCTACACTAATTACTCCAGGCAAGGCTTATTCACAGGTATAATTATGGAGGTCTGGATGGAGGTATAGGTTATGGAGGTATAATTAAGCCTATTTTCAAGGATGTAGTAATGTTAAAACCTCCATAAACTGCCTCTCTTTTTAAAACTTGTCGGTGTCTTGGTTCCTTGTAGAATCATTATAACATTCCTTAGCGGTTATAGTTATGGTCTCTTGACCATATGGAGAGATAGGCATTAACTATTATAAGTCTATTTTTAAGAACTATCTACTAGTTGGGGCATTATTACAATTTAGTTATATTTAAACCTATTTTCAAAGATGTATTACTTTTTAACTGCCTCTATTTTAAAAATATTTAGTGATTCTTGGTTCCTTGTAGATCCATTAAAACATATCTCAGCCCCAATCCATCTAAACCTGGCAGACCAGATGACGCTGACTGTGTGTCACTCGCCTCTGATTGACGATGTCAAGTGTGTCTGGGGGAGAAAGCATTCTTCAGTGCACTTTCTGCAAAAATCACTTTCACAATCGCTCGACAGTTTTGCATTCTCTAACAAATTGGGCAATTACCGAGCCACAGCCCAAAACAATAGAATTCAACAATAATAATATAAGAACGTACATCACGTACATTGAACTTTGTTTTTGGCCACGGCAGAGGCGCATTTTGTGGCTAAAATTATAACAGTTTGCAACAGAAGGCATTTGCTTCCTCATTTCTCCCAATTGGGGTTTTGGCAGCAAAGGGAGCAGCGAGGCAATAGTCATGTTCTATTTTTGGCCAAAAAATAAAAATGCATTCAACGAAAGTGTAAATGTACAAGGGGCGTGCTTTTGGCCCAGTTATGAGGGGGGGAAAGGAAAAAAAAACTCCACCTCTCCAACTATTAGTGATAATTTTAGAGGAAAAACTAAAATAAGATTTAATGTTCCTGCCAGCCTGCCTGCCTGCCACTCATGTCAATGACTTTTTTTCGCCTTTTGGCCCAGTTTATATAGTGCCTCTCAGCTGCTGCTAGTGTTGTTGTTGTTGTGACCCCAGCATAGTTAACAATTTTGCGTCTCGGACATTGGGCCAAATACGTGTGCGATTTACTAAATTTAGATTCAGACACGGGCCCCGAAACCAGGTGAAAAGCGCACTTACCTCACATTTCTATGAATTTTCTTTGGGGTTTGCGCGCAATTTCAAGTGAAAATTCGCCTTAATTTTTGTCCATCCCGTGTCGTCGTCATGTTTTTCATATTTGTGGTTTTATAATATTCCGGATTATTTGTGTTCATTTTTCCGGCTTTTCTTCTCTTTAAGAGAACACACCAGACTCTTTAATTTCCCGGCTGTGCTCTTTCGTATTTATATCCGATGGCTTTCAAATAAAACATTTCAGATCGCCAGCCAGCGCCACAGTTGAGTTTCGTGCGGCCAGCACACCGGATCATCTCAGTTCGATTACAGTTCAGCCAATCCTAAGACATTCAATCCAAACAATCAAGTCTAAACTTTAATGTAAATTCCAATTAAAGACTGGAATCCAATACGTCAAGTGCAATGAGTAGTCTTTCAACCAAAAAACCACAAAAGCTGTCGAGAATGTGTCAATAGATCAGTTTACCTCCTGGGATTAGTGGAGGAGGAGGAGGTGGCTGGGGCCTCCAAAGTTGTTAGCCAACTCGATGTTTGCCTTTTTTGGCCAACTGTGTGGTCACAAGTTCTACCAATATGGTCAACTATTTTGATAAGTTTTTAATTTGATTTCGTGACTAACTATTAAATGTTAAAGTTCAAAAAGATATAGCTTAGTTTGAGATACAAAGTTGAAAGATATTTCTTTTTTTCGTAAATCCCCTCCATGACACAACAGAAATTTAGCAACAAATATTATTATTAGAGAAGGAAAATGTTTGAAAAATTATTGCAAAAGGCCAAACATTAAAAGCCGCTTCATTCATCGTCCTATAGATAGACGTGTTATATATATAGGAAGAGATGTACAGATTCTCATCTAGTAGGAAACAGACTCAGCCCCCTGATAAATTATATGCATTGAAAGCATTGGCTGTGTTTTTGTTTTGTATCGCGTGGGTGGAGGATAGCAGCAGCCTCAACTTTGGAGCAACAAATAAATACCAGGTCCCCCATTTATCAGGTTTTTGTATGTGTTTTCAATCCGAGAGCATCCCGTTGTTATAACACTAGCTAGCCAGGGGGTACCAAAGGCCCCCCAAAATCTGAAAAGAAAATTGTCAAAATTTACGGTTTGACGTCATTTTTTCCCCCAGAAATTGGTTTACCGGTTGGAATTGCGGACGTACTGAACCACATGTCAATATTGCGTTCTCTGAAAGATCCGTTGGGGTATAATATACCCCAGAAAGATATATATATAGACATCCCCCTGATTCCATACACTTGTAAACATCAAGAAGAGTTGTTTGTTTTTCCTTCAGGTTTGTTTATGCCAAATTCATGAACATTTTGGATGTATCGTTCGCTTTGATTATAATTGTACAGCTGCGGCAAAAAAAATAGCACTGAGATGCACAATTTTCTTTTTTGAAATATTTTTTGAAAACTATTTGTTTTTTTGGCTTCTTAATGGAGTTTTTATAAACATTAGGTTATTATTAAACAATATAGAGCGAATTCGACCTCGATTTTAACAAACTTTAGAAAATTTTTAAGTAAGAATGATAAATTTGAGCATTTGACGCGGCAACAAAAATAGCACTATTTTTTTGAAAACATAAAAAACTTAAAAAAAAACATGGAAACAACCAGAAAGTATTCAAATTATTATTTTAGATTGTAATCTTTATCTAAAAAATGCATTAATAATTTATTTTAAAGCCTTTGGCAGAAATGACAGCTTCACAATGTCTCGGCATTGAATTTACCAATCTTTGGCCCCTTTCCAGTGGGATATTGCTCCAAGACTCCTTGACAGAAAGCCCAAAGCTCCTTATTATATTTTGGTTTTGTGTTGGAAACAAAGTTATTCACATCAGACCACCAATTTTCCATAGGATTTAGGTCTGGGGACTGAGCTGGCCAATCCATTACATGGAGAGATCTGTCTTCTTACCACTTTCGAGCTTTATTGCTGGTATGCTTTGGGTCATTATCCTGTTGGAAGACCCATAACAATTGCATTTCATCGTCAGCATAAGGCAGCATGACGTTTTTCAAGATTTCGGAGTATACGAGTCGATCCATTATACCATATTGAGACCAACTCCGTTATACGAGAAGCATGCCCAAACCATAATACTGGTTCCACCGGGTTTAATGGTATTGTACGTAAAGCTGGGACGGTATTTCGAATTTTGGGGTCGCCTTACATATGAACGAGATCCTTTTCCTCAAAATTGAACGATTTTGCTTTGATCGGACCAAAAAATATGTCTCCATTTTTCTGCCGGCCAACTCGGATGTTCTTTGGCAAACGAAATCCAACTTTCCCCATGCTTCACACTCCAAAGGGAAACTTTTCTGGGGCTGTGGGGACTTAAATCGTTTTTTTTAAAGCAATTAAAGCAAATTCTAATTGATGCCGAAATATTTATCTGCATTTTTAGCTCAGTAGCCGGATTAAAGGGCGACTCCTTGCTCCCACGAACTAGTCGGTTGACCTGAAATTTCGACATGGCGACCTTTCTACCGCGGTTTTCTGCCTTAGAAACATATTTTAATGAGTTACTAATCATTTTATTTGAGAAACCGACAATTCTCGCCACCTGAGCATACGTTTTGCCTTCCTCAATAAGTTTTTAAAAGATTATCCTTTGGTCGTCACTACAGTGCCTTTTGTGACCCATATTTATTTTTTTTCCGATCTAATTCGTAAGAACTCTGTTACTGCAATGCTCTCTAATGTAATCAGTAACTAAAAACATCAAAAAACTTCCATAAATTTGAATCTTTGATCAAAACCATTATTAGTGCTATTTTTGTTGCCGCTCTCTTTTGCATCTTACTTGCTAAAATGCCCAATATATAACAAACCGATGGCTAATTGAGATTTAATTCACTTCTCTCATAGAGATAACATGTAAGCCTACATTGTAAAATAAAATAATCAAAAAAATTTCAAAGAAAAACATAATTTGTAATGCATTATAGAAAATTGTGCATCTCAGTGCTATTTTTTTTGCCGCAACTGTATATGCCTGATGTGGGTGCTCATCTTAAAATGGAATCAGAATCGAAGTTGAAATGCCCTTCAATTGAAATTCAATTAAAAATTTTCATCTTAATTGGATTTGGTGTTCAAATAGTGGGGGTATTGTGGTTATGGTTGGTCTATTTAGAAGCCTAATTGCACTTTGGCATTGACTGATGGGGGAATAGCATACCACTAATGGGCTTCTCTAATCACTTATAGTTCTTACAAGCGAGATGTCATTTCGCTCGAGAACCCGCACCCAGGCGCCCTTGCCCAGTCGCCGGCGATCTCTATCCTCTAGCTCCAGGATGAATCCCTCGACCGGAGGATCCAGCATGTACAACTATAATGGGAGTAGCTACAATGGATCGAGTAGCAGTGGTCGTCCACTGAGCACCGGGTACTTTCCCAGCAGCAGCGCCACCTCCAGCTACCAGAGTCCCTATGCCAGTGTCTATAGCTCGAGGGAGAGCCTGTATGGCGGTGGCGGCACCGGCAGCGGAGGTGGTCGCAGTTCCTATGGTAACCGATATGAATATGGAAGCTCCAAGTATCAGTTCATCAGCAGCTCGCATCAGAATCACTATTCGAATAACCAACATTCCCATCCGGCTTCGTCAGCTCAGGCCGCATCCACATCCTCAGCCGCCAGTACAAGCTCCAACTCCATAGCTTCCACCCTGGCTGCGCAGTCAGGGACTAAAATGCAAACCCTGCAACATGGCAATCGCTACTATCTGCAGCTGCAGCCCACTGCCTCTGCCACAGCTTCATCCGCTTCGCCGGCGTCGGGTGGCGGACACCATCATTATAGCCACCTGGTGGTGGGCCACAAGTCCCTAAGTCACAACTATGTCCCGTCTAAAGCCGTCTCTGCTTTCTCCTCTTCTCTGTCCACCGTCTCCTACTCGTCCTCCAACTCCAACTCGAACTCCACCTCCACTACGAATGGAACAGCCAGCGGTGGTGGCTACGACAGTTCCCGGTATAATCCCAGCTCGTACTCCTCGGCGGGCTCTTCGTATTCGGCCAGCGATCGGTATGTCAGTCCCTACTCGAGCAGCTATGACAACGGGGTGACCACCGCCTCGCTCAGCTTCAAGTCCCCCGGCTTGAGCTCCTCCAACTCCTTCAAGGGGTCGCGTCTTCTCAAGACCAAGTCCCTGTCGGCCTCGAATAGTAGTCTCAGTGGAGCTTATGCCAGTACACCAACTAGTAGCACCAGTGCCGGAGCCACAGTGGCGGCCATTGCAGCCACAAGGAGTAATTCCCTGCGGGAGCAGGAACGCAAGTCTAGGAATCGCACCAGATCCAGGAGTGCGGCTCAGCGATCCATCAGTGCCTCCTCGGAGAAAAGCGAGGGTTATGAAGTAAGAAAGGGCGGGGTTTGCTGTTAAGAGGTTACCATAATTATGTTGTTGGTAGTTTTAATTTATTAATTATATATTTATTTTTAATATTAAATATTAAAATTAATTTCCAGAGTGGCAGCGAAAGAACCTCTCGCTCCCGACTGGGCAGCTCTGCGAGTACAGCCACCACAAGTGAATCCAAGAGTTCCGGAAGCGACAAGGCCGAGAATGGCGATGGCATCGACTACAAGGCTCTCTGGGAGGCGGCCAAGTGAGTGAATCTTTAATATTTTTTATTAAAAAATATATATAATATATCCTTTTCCAGATTGGAGAACGATAAGCTGAAGCAGATGCTCAAACAGAAGGACGACGAGGTCGTACAGACACGTGCCACTCTCGAGCGATTCGCCAACGCCGTAAGTACCCTATCATGCCCTTAACCTGCCACGCCCACATATTAAAAAAAATTTACATAAATAAACTATAAGCAGAGTAACCAACAAAAACAACACGCAAACACTATAAAATACTTAGTTTTTTAATAAACAAATAAAATATATTCCTGCACCACCTACTAGATACATAGATACTTTTCGCTGCCTTTCTTTTCCTCTCATGTGAAGCTATTGCTCGCGCTCTCTCTCTCTCACTCTGTCTCTGTCTCTATCACCCCGATCTTGTTTAAACATGTCTCTGAAACAACAACACAACAACTGAACAAGAAAAATATCCGAAAATCCAAAAAAAAAAAATCGAAAAAAAAAACAAAAAAAGAAAAATCTTGTTTTTCCATTTTCCACATTCGCAGACATCGAAAAATTCACTCTCTGAGCTTGAGAAACGCGAAAGAAGAGCTATGGAACGGAAGCTTTCCGAGTTGGAGGAAGAGCTCAAGGTAATTACATAACGTGTCCTTTTGACATCCTTAGCCCCCAATAGGCTGCTTGTGTTCTGAAGACAGGACTTTCGTTTATGTTTCTTATAATTTGGCCAACAGTATATTACCATTTTTATGTTTTTTATCCTTTGGATGCATGCCAAGGACATGCTTGAGATATTTAAAATCATCAAAAAAATAGTATTAACTATTGATTTTAAAAAACTCTAACATGTCTGGTAACCCTATTAGTTTAAGAAAATTTGTTTTGTTTTTATAACCCAAGTTATGATCCTGCTATGATCCTGCACTCGTTTCTTCGCACTGAGTTGAAGTAAACGATTCTCACACCCTTTCAAATTATTTTAAATGCTTTTACTTTTTGGCCAAAATGCAATATTTACACAAAATAGAGAACACCTAGAGTCCACTAGCTGTATTCTGTGTCTGTGTATATGAATGCAATGGCTTTTGTGGCAGAGACCCCCCCTTAAGTTTATTTGAAATTGATTTTCCAAGATACCTCTGTATAGATCATACCGCTGTACAATGAAGCGATTGCTTTGATTTTCGTTGCTCCTCCACCTTCATTATTATTGTGATAATTAGATCATCTCATGTACTTTGATTTGTGTGTTTCTTTTGTGTTTCCTCAAAAATATACAACAGCAACAACAAACATCAGACATGTTCTCATCATCCCAGACATCCATATCTCTTCAGACCATTATGTTTCTCTGTCATCATCATCGTCCATATTCGCTCTATATCTCTATGTCATTCGTCAGTCATTATTATGATTTCTGGTCACTCACTGTCCCCATGCGTCTACACGTTATACGTTTATCGTTATCGTTATCGCACCTAATTAATTGTTAAAAAAAATCAAAATACAACAAAAAAAATTAATTAAAAACAATGCGCTCTCATTCAAAATACGCTCACTCAAATTTGTTTTTCTTTTCTCTCTCTTCCCACGCGCCTCATCGATCGAACCAAACAATCGTAATCGAAATCGAAAAACTGTCGAATATATCGATAATCGCAATAATCGCTCAAATAATCAAAATATGAAAATATATATCACTCGTTTTTCTTGCGTCGCCGCTGTGCTGTTTGTTTGTCACTTGCCTCCTTTTATTTTCTTGTGTGATTTTAGCTATTGCAGAAGCTAAAGACTGAGAACGACCGTCTGCGAGCCGAGAATCGGGCCCTCACCCGGGTCGTCTCGAAGCTGACCACCTCGGCTCAGAGTCAGCTGGCCAAGACCAAATAGATCAGAGCTGAGACCAAAAGCATTTAGATTGCCCAGCACACCAGCACCCACAGCTCCTTTTAAAATATTTTACACTTCCACACCCACACTATATTTCCCTGCTCAATCGCACAATGTCGCGGATATCGTTATCGTTTCTAAAATATATTTATATACAAATACTACTATATAATTAACACACTTTGATGTCGTTACCGAATATATATAAACATATATGATCAAAATAAGCATAACCAAGTATCAAACTTTTGATGTAATGTTCATTAGAAAGTGCAACAAGTAACAATAACTAAATGTATCTTAGCTAAATTAAGTTCACATTGAGCTCATTGGCTTTGGACTGGTCACACTATTGGTAAACTAATTATAAAACATACTACAACTCCAAGGGAGCAAACCTTTAATACTCGATAGATCCTTAGTGAATTTTTAATCTCACAGCTGGAGATAGTTTCTGATTGTTTTTTTGGTTCAATTTATCAAAAAGGGTATTTCTAAAGCTTATTTTAGTGTGACCATGTGCTTGCAATTCTGAAACCAAGGTCACACTTAAATCGAAATAAGTTCTTTGAGAAAACCTAACCTATTTAATATCAAACTATATTGTATGGGAACTATAGAACTAGCAAATCAAAACCAAATCACCAAAAATCAAATATAATGTCATCGAAACCAACGAAATCAACCATCAAGTGTCCCCACCATTATAAATAAATAAATAAATCAAATAAATAAACAGCATCAGCGAGTTGCGGCCCAAGGATCAGGCTACCTATACGAACATCAGTGGGAGCTGAAGTGGTCTAGTTGGTGATACTGGAAGCTTAATGGTAAATGCCCCACCACTGACACTGATTTGAGCCATATATTCTATGAACCTGCGTCCCAAATATTATGAGCTGGCTGTTGTTTTGTTGTTATACACATACCACATAATAAAAAAAAACGAATATAATAAAATATATTTTAGCTATAACTGTATCATAGAGTGTTTCAAAACTTATCATAAATTAAGAATCGTTTGTATTTGATCAATTTTGGAATTGGAGCTTTTTGAAACACTCTTTATGTACATATACATTAAATATACTTCCTAATACTATACTTTATAAATAATATCTAAACTCTATACTATAAATTTAAACCTCTTGTTGTTAATATTGTTACGAGTGTTATCTGCTATTTCGTTTATCCTTTTGTCTGTGTTCTCGAAATACAAGAATACGATCGACCGATGATCTTAATTTATACAAAAATTATGAAATAAACAATAATATTTCCCATTGTCGTTTCTATTGAACTTATTGTTGTTTTGCATTTTTTTGTAAACCTCCCCATAGGGTGGGGTGTATATTCAAGACTTTTCGCATCAAGCATTCTTCAAATTCATGGAACCATCCACCGACATTTTATGACCGACCGATCGTCTATAGCTCGCTTATCATACGAGTCATATATATATATTGTATATCGTATATATACATACATATACCCCTCAGATACTCAGATTTCTCAGATATCCAATACCCAGAGTTGTAGTTTTGTGGTTAAATGCATGTTATCTGGTTAATTTTTTTTCTTACACAAGATTAGGGCGTTCAGATCAGATGATTTCTATATCTTAGGTAATTACTAATTGTTTGTTGTTGTTTCTGTTGTTGTTGTTGCTGCTGCTGTGGCTGCAATAAATAAGCATGCCCCAAGCACATCTAACCCCCCACTGTCATAATTGTACAATCATATAATATTATATTTATAATTTATATTAATTTTTATTGAAAATTTCCCATCAACAGCAACTCGATACCTACAAAACGGATAATCATCGCCTGAAGGAGGAGAACGCAGCGTTGATTAGAGTAATTAGTAAATTAAGTAAATGAAATTATGTTTTACTTTTCAATGTATGTACGTCTGAGAACCTACTATATCATCGAGATGCAACAATTTTACTTTATTAACCAGCTAGGAAAAGGCTGAAAAAAAAAAACAATAAGGAAGAGGATCGTTAAAGCACGAAATGCGCGGAAAATTTCAAAATTTGTTTATTATTTGTGTGTGTTAGGCATTTAAGCATTAGGTGAAACCATGTTTCAAATATCGTTGAGAATTGTTTCGTTCGTTTTTATATAAACACAAAAAAAAAAAAGAAAAACCGAAAAAAGTAAAAATTTTATGTATTTGGTCAAAATTTTTTTATGCGAAATAGAGAAAATTATTATAAATAAAATTACACAAAAAATAAAGCTTATGATCAGACAAGGATTATGAACTAAGCAATGAAAATTGAAAAACAAAAACCTTTAAATACAAACTGAGAACATATTCATCAAATGAACCCTAGTTACAGAATTAGTTTAACTACATACGTATATAAACATATACATATACATATATATATTTTTTCATATATAAATTATATATACACATTACATATTATATATATATATATCTACATATATATATATTTAAAGCAACCGAATCATAAGTTCAACATTTCAATGTGTAATATCATCAAGGATCCTGAGTCGGAGATGTGTTTCGAAACCAGCCCACGCGTCAACTTACTAAGTGTAATCATTATTATCATCCAATTGTAATTGTGTTTTAGTGCTGCATCGATCGATCGGTGAAACTATCATAACGCTATGCTCTGTATATCCTTAAACTGAGGAGTCCTTATTGCCGATAACTCAATGGCGCTACATATATATCTGGATAGTTTACCGATCCGACAGATGCATATTATTATTTTTATAATTTTGGAGTACATTTAAGTTAAGCAGACACACTTTTAGTTTTCTTCTTCACTTGGAAACGTATTATATACATATACACTACATCGTACTATATATATATATTTTAAAAATGATCATACGCATATTTCTGTTATTTATTAAATTCGCTTAAGAGATTTGTGTTACTCGTAAAATGGAAACGATAATCAAGCATAAAAACAAAACATAAAAAACGTGAATTGTGTAATATGTAAAACTGTTTGAGAAAATATTTAAGAAACTTTAATTCAAATACGAAACTTAATAAATGTGATCGCAAGCAAACTTTTTTGAATGTTTTATCAATTGGGCATTTGGATTTGGGAAGGAAGTAACCTTTCTTTCTGTTTATAATTCTGAGAAGTCTTTAATTGGATGATATTAGAGTGATATCACAAGCCCAAGGTTTATGATTTAATTGGCAACAGATTATTATCTAAATGTCTATTTTATGGCCGATATCTGGAATACCTATCTAGAATGATGTAGAATTTGTGGCAAAAATTCGACAAGGTGTGTTTTTGATTGGATGAAGTAATGATTGTTTTTTTAAACTCAAAAATTTTGTATAGCGAGCTAAAACTAATATTAACCCTTTATATGGCCTTGTTGCATATCTGCAACATACCGTTAAAATTCAATTATTTTTCAACCTGCGTTAAAAAACTGTCTAAAATCTTTTTGATGCAGTTCAGCAACTTTCGTTTTTTATATAACAAGTGTTGGTCAGTCAGAATTCTGTCCAATACTCAACAGGTGATTACTTTTCTCGCCAATTTGGTGAATGTGGTAATCTGAATTGGTTGTGCAGTTTCTCATCCAAAATATAAAAAATCAAAAAAAATTGAATTATTGATTCAATTAATGGTTAAAAATAGGTAAATATTATATTATGTTGCATATTTTTGAGTTTTTGTGTTTTTTGCATTATAATACAAATAAATCAACAATTTCGCTTAGTTTAAAAAAATCGCTTTTTTTCGCTTATTTAAAAAAAAATTAAGAAAAACCCACCTTAAAAAAAAAATAAAAAGAAGTGTATTTTTTATTTTCACTTATCTACCGAACAAAAAAAAATGAAGAAAATCGGAGTTATTGCCTTATAAAGGGTTAATTAGGTAAATTTTTAATGATAGTTCTAAGAGATAGTTCATATACTTCTGATTATTCAGATTTCTTGAAATATTCAGAATTTATTCCTTATTTAAGTTGTTTTAAATAAAAATAACACCCTTTCTTTGAGTGTAAATAAATCCAAGTCCATTACTGATATTTGATGCCATCATAGTGAATTTATAGAAAGAATAGCAAACATTATAATCGCCTAGAGGACCCATAAACCAGCACTTTTTCAATATATATAAGACAGCAGATTGGCAGAGTTGGATCAGTTGATATATTCTACCGACCAACATTGAGTTTTGAACAAAAAATGCAAAGAATCCTTACAATTTGTATCCTTCTGGCCTGTGGATTGGTTTCTGCGGTGGACCAGTGTCAGGTCTGCCAGGATTCTAATGATGTGTATTGCCTCAATCAGACTTCGTATCAATACTGCATGGGTAAGTTATGGTTGGGAATCCTTAAAGTTTAATATTTTCAATATTTTTAAAATATAGCTGGTTCTGTTGTCGGCGGAGTACAGAACTGTGCCGAGGGCACTGTTTGCTCCAATGCCAACGATCCCTGTGTGGCTACTTCTGAGCTCAGTGAAACAATTCTGAATGTATGTGCAGACAGTGGTTGTGGAGTTTGCAACATAAACACTGCCAAGTATACCTGTGTCAGTAGAACTCAGTTTGCCCGCTGCACCAGCCAAAATGAATACTTGGCTATCCAAAGCTGCCCTGAGGACCAGATTTGTATTGCCGCTGCCCTTGCTTTTAAAAGTATATGTGTGCCAGCTTGTGCAGCTGAATTTGTAAGTATTTAGTTAACTAATCCATTTGAACAAAATTTCAACTATATACTGCTATAACTAGGTGGATTTAAAAGCTACTTGCAGCAATGCTGAGATTGCCACAACCACCACAACAGCAGCTCCTACCACTACTCCGGCTACGGCAGACCTACAGGGCTCTTGCACCACCGGTGAACCCACATCTAAGCCATCATATTTCTACACCAAATACTCACAAGACACAACCTGTAGAAGCTATGTATATTGTCAGCGCAATAATTCTGGTACTACACCTGTCTGGACAGCCGTGTTCCTAACTTGTTCTTCCACCAAACCCTATTTTGACTCTGAAACCAAAAAATGTGTGGCAGCAAAGCCAGCCAGTTGTTAGTATAATCCCAGCGAAGGCTATATCTTATGCCAATAAACATCCAATTATAAAGTGGGTCAGCCTAAAAGAATTTGTGATTAATTCTTCATCCATCTGCATAAAAATCTAAACACCAACAATTTTTAGAGTATTTTATTTTAATTTTCTAGGGCATCCCCTTCAAAATGTGGGAAAATGCATGGAAGAGCAATATGGCCCCGGGGGATGGCCATATCTTGGGCAATTTTGATCCGATTCTTGAGGGGAATACCTTAAACGATTTCTGGATCGATTCTGCACAAATCTGCATCAAAATATGGAAACAAATTATTTTTTCAATTTTTTGTCCAATTTTCTGGGGCATTCCCTTCAAAATGTTGAAAAATGCATGGAAGAGCAATATGGCCCCGGGGGATGGCCATATCTTGGGCAATTTTGATCCGATTCTTGAGGGGAATACCTTAAACGATTTCTGGATCGATTCTGCACAAATCTGCATCAAAATATGGAAACAAATTATTTTTTCAATTTTTTGTCCAATTTTCTGGGGCATTCCCTTCAAAATGTTGAAAAATGCATGGAAGAGCAATATGGCCCCGGGGGATGGCCATATCTTGGGCAATTTTGATCCGATTCTTGAGGGGAATACCTTAAACGATTTCTGGATCGATTCTGCACAAATCTGCATCAAAATATGGAAACAAATTATTTTTTCAATTTTTTGTCCAATTTTCTGGGGCATTCCCTTCAAAATGTTGAAAAATGCATGGAAGAGCAATATGGCCCCGGGGGATGGCCATATCTTGGGCAATTTTGATCCGATTCTTGAGGGGAATACCTTAAACGATTTCTGGATCGATTCTGCACAAATCTGCATCAAAATATGGAAACAAATTATTTTTTCAATTTTTTGTCCAATTTTCTGGGGCATCCCCTTCAAAATGTGGAAAAATGCATGGAAGAGCAATATGGCCCCGGGGGATGGCCATATCTTGGGCAATTTTGATCCGATTCTTAAGGGGAATACCTTAAACGATTTCTGGATCGATTCTGCACAAATCTGCATCAAAATATGGAAACAAATTATTTTTTCAATTTTTTGTCCAATTTTCTGGGGCATCCCCTTCAAAATGTGGAAAAATGCATGGAAGAGCAATATGGCCCCGGGGGATGGCCATATCTTGGGCAATTTTGATCCGATTCTTGAGGGGAACACCTTAAACGATTTCTGGATCGATTCTGCACAAATCTGCATCAAAATATGGAATCAAATTATTTTTTCAATTTTTTGTCCAATTTTCTGGGGCATCCCCTTCAAAATGTGGAAAAATGCATGGAAGAGCAATATGGCCCCGGGGGATGGCCATATCTTGGGCAATTTTGATCCGATTCTTGAGGGGAATACCTTAAACGATTTCTGGATCGATTCTGCACAAATCTGCATCAAAATATGGAAACAAATTATTTTTTCAATTTTTTGTCCAATTTTCTGGGGCATCCCCTTCAAAATGTGGAAAAATGCATGGAAGAGCAATATGGCCCCGGGGGATGGCCATATCTTGGGCAATTTTGATCCGATTCTTAAGGGGAATACCTTAAACGATTTCTGGATCGATTCTGCACAAATCTGCATCAAAATATGGAAACAAATTATTTTTTAGTTTTTTTGTCCAATTTTCTGGGGCACTCCCTTCAAAATGTGGAAAAATGCATGGAAGAGCAATATGGCCCCGGGGGATGGACATATCTTGGGCAATTTTGATCCGATTCTTAAGGGGAATACCTTAAACGATTTCTGGATCGATTCTGCACAAATCTGCATCAAAATAAGGAAACAAATTATTTTTTAGTTTTTTTGTCCAATTTTCTGGGGCACTCCCTTCAAAATGTGGAAAAATGCATGGAAGAGCTATATGGCCCCGGGGAATGGCCATATCTTGGCCAATTTTGATCCGATTCTTGAGGGGAATACCTTAAACGATTTCTGGATCGATTCTGCACAAATCTGCATCAAAATCTAGAAACAAATTATTTTTTCAATTTTTTGTCCAATTTTCTGGGGCATTCCCTTCAAAATGTTGAAAAATGCATGGAAGAGTAATATGGCCCCGGGGGATGGCCATATCTTGGGCAATTTTGATCCGATTCTTGAGGGGAATACCTTAAACGATTTCTGGATCGATTCTGCACAAATCTGCATCAAAATATGGAAACAAATTATTTTTTCAATTTTTTGTCCAATTTTCTGGGGCATCCCCTTCAAAATGTGGAAAAATGCATGGAAGAGCAATATGGCCCCGGGGGATGGCCATATCTTGGGCAATTTTGATCCGATTCTTAAGGGGAATACCTTAAACGATTTCTGGATCGATTCTGCACAAATCTGCATCAAAATATGAAAACAAATTATTTTTTAGTTTTTTTGTCCAATTTTCTGGGGCATCCCCTTCAAAATGTGGAAAAATGCATGGAAGAGCAATATGGCCCCGGGGGATGGCCATATCTTGGGCAATTTTGATCCGATTCTTGAGGGGAACACCTTAAACGATTTCTGGATCGATTCTGCACAAATCTGCATCAAAATATGGAATCAAATTATTTTTTCAATTTTTTGTCCAATTTTCTGGGGCATCCCCTTCAAAATGTGGAAAAATGCATGGAAGAGCAATATGGCCCCGGGGATGGCCATATCTTGGGCAATTTTGATCCGATTCTTAAGGGGAATACCTTAAACGATTTCTGGATCGATTCTGCACAAATCTGCATCAAAATATGGAAACAAATTATTTTTTCAATTTTTTGTCCAATTTTCTGGGGCACTCCCTTCAAAATGTGGAAAAATGCATGGAAGAGCAATATGGCCCCGGGGGATGGCCATATCTTGGGCAATTTTGATCCGATTCTTAAGCGGAATACCTTAAACGATTTCTGGATCGATTCTGCACAAATCTGCATCAAAATAAGGAAACAAATTATTTTTTAGTTTTTTTGTCCAATTTTCTGGGGCATCCCCTTCAAAATGTGGAAAAATGCATGGAAGAGCAATATGGCCCCGGGGGATGGCCATATCTTGGGCAATTTTGATCCGATTCTTAAGGGGAATACCTTAAACGATTTCTGGATCGATTCTGCACAAATCTGCATCAAAATAAGGAAACAAATTATTTTTTCAATTTTTTGTCCAATTTTCTGGGGATCCCCTTCAAAATGTGGAAAAATGCATGGAAGAGCAATATGGCCCCGGGGGATGGCCATATCTTGGGCAATTTTGATCCGATTCTTAAGGGGAATACCTTAAACGATTTCTGGATCGATTCTGCACAAATCTGCATCAAAATATGAAAACAAATTATTTTTTAGTTTTTTTGTACAATTTTCTGGGGCACTCCCTTCAAAATGTGGAAAAATGCATGGAAGAGCAATATGGCCCCGGGGAATGGCCATATCTTGGCCAATTTTGATCCGATTCTTGAGGGGAATACCTTAAACGATTTCTGGATCGATTCTGCACAAATCTGCATCAAAATCTAGAAACAAATTATTTTTTCAATTTTTTGTCCAATTTTCTGGGGCATTCCCTTCAAAATGTTGAAAAATGCATGGAAGAGCAATATGGCCCCGGGGGATGGCCATATCTTGGGCAATTTTGATCCGATTCTTGAGGGGAATACCTTAAACGATTTCTGGATCGATTCTGCACAAATCTGCATCAAAATATGGAAACAAATTATTTTTTCAATTTTTTGTCCAATTTTCTGGGGCATCCCCTTCAAAATGTTGAAAAATGCATGGAAGAGCAATATGGCCCCGGGGGATGGCCATATCTTGGGCAATTTTGATCCGATTCTTAAGGGGAATACCTTAAACGATTTCTGGATCGATTCTGCACAAATCTGCATCAAAATATGAAAACAAATTATTTTTTAGTTTTTTTGTCCAATTTTCTGGGGCATCCCCTTCAAAATGTGGAAAAATGCATGGAAGAGCAATATGGCCCCGGGGGATGGCCATATCTTGGGCAATTTTGATCCGATTCTTAAGGGGAATACCTTAAACGATTTCTGGATCGATTCTGCACAAATCTGCATCAAAATATGAAAACAAATTATTTTTTAGTTTTTTTGTCCAATTTTCTGGGGCATCCCCTTCAAAATGTGGAAAAATGCATGGAAGAGCAATATGGCCCCGGGGGATGGCCATATCTTGGGCAATTTTGATCCGATTCTTGAGGGGAACTCCTTAAACGATTTCTGGATCGATTCTGCACAAATCTGCATCAAAATATGGAAACAAATTACTTTTTCAATTTTTTGTCCAATTTTCTGGGGCATCCCCTTCAAAATGTGGAAAAATCCATGGAAGAGCAATATGGCCCCGGGGGATGGCCATATCTTGGGCAATTTTGATCCGATTCTTAAGGGGAATACCTTAAACGATTTCTGAATCGATTCTGCATCAAAATCTGAAAACAAATTATTTTTTCAATTTTTTGTCCAATTTTCTGGGACATCCCCTTCAAAATGTGGAAAAATGCATGGAAGAGCAATATGGCCCCGGGGGATGGCCATATCTTGGGCAATTTTGATCCGATTCTTGAGGGGAATACCTTAAACGATTTCTGGATCGATTCTGCACAAATCTGCATCAAAATATGGAAACAAATTATTTTTTTAATTTTTTGTCCAATTTTCTGGGGCATCCCCTTCAAAATGTTGAAAAATGCATGGAAGAGCAATATGGCCCCGGGGGATGGCCATATCTTGGGCAATTTTGATCCGATTCTTGAGGGGAACACCTTAAACGATTTCTGGATCGATTCTGCACAAATCTGCATCAAAATATGGAAACAAATTACTTTTTCAATTTTTTGTCCAATTTTCTGGGGCATCCCCTTCAAAATGTGGAAAAATGCATGGAAGAGCAATATGGCCCCGGGGGATGGCCATATCTTGGGCAATTTTGATCCGATTCTTAAGGGGAATACCTTAAACGATTTCTGAATCGATTCTGCATCAAAATCTGAAAACAAATTATTTTTTCAATTTTTTGTCCAATTTTCTGGGACATCCCCTTCAAAATGTGGAAAAATGCATGGAAGAGCAATATGGCCCCGGGGGATGGCCATATCTTGGGCAATTTTTATCCGATTCTTAAGGGGAATACCTTAAACGATTTCTGAATCGATTCTGCATCAAAATCTGAAAACAAATTATTTTTTCAATTTTTTGTCCAATTTTCTGGGACATCCCCTTCAAAATGTGGAAAAATGCATGGAAGAGCAATATGGCCCCGGGGGATGGCCATATCTTGGCCAATTTTGATCCGATTCTTAAGGGGAATACCTTAAACGATTTCTGAATCGATTCTGCACAAATCTGCATCAAAATCTGGCAACAAATTACTTTTTCAATTTTTTGTCCGATTTTCTGGGGCATCTCCTTCAAAATGTGGAAAAATGCATGGAAGGGCAATATGGCTCCGGGGGATGGCCATATCTTGGCCAATTTCGATCCGATTTTTGATACCTTAAACGTTTTCTAGATCGAAAATAAGAATATGAACAAGATAAGTGTTTTAGCTTAATATAGGAATGTCTATATATCCCAGGAATTAAAATTATTATTGTTTAAATACAAGACTTTCCTACATGAGTCAATAGCCAGGAAACCTTCAACCGTTCCGGTTCAAAGTAACCGTATTGTTTATACTTGGAAAAAGAAAATAAAAAGCTAGTGTCAATTACTGATATGCAGAGAAGCAATATTACTTTACGATGATAGCTTTTCGTCCAACTTTGACGGAATCAGATTTGACAACAGCATTATCACCTGAGGGACTCATAAACGACTGAAGGTCAATTTGTTTTCTAAATGAACACACCTCCTGATATATAAGACAGCCGAATTCTAGAAGGGATCATAACAGTTTCTACATTAGCTGAAAAAACATTACCGGAACAAAATGCAAAGGATTGGAGTAGCTTTGGCCCTTCTGGCTTGTGGACTGGCTCTTGTCGAGGCCCAGGAATGCCTGGTTTGCCAAACGGATAACGATGTCTACTGTTACAATCAGACATCCTATCAGTTCTGTAGTGGTAAGTCATGAAAGGATACTGGCCATTAGAGGAGAGTTCTAAAAGAAAGCTTTCCAAAAAGGATCCAATCTCTTTGGAACCATACAAAATTGTCCAACTGGCAGCGTGTGCTCTAATTCCGACGACGTGTGTGTGGCAACTTCGGCAATCAGTGATACTGTCCTGGATGTATGTGGATCATCCGGTGGAAATGGTGCAGACTGCGGCGATTGCTCGGGAGGATCCAAGTACGTTTGCGTCAGCCAGACCCAGTTTGCCCGATGCGTCAGTTCAGCGGTCTCCGCTGTCTTTGACTGTGCCACCGATGAGATCTGTTCCTACAGTCAATACCAGAATGGATACGATATTTGTGTGCCCTCCTGTGCCGCTGATTATGTATGTACTTGAGGTTAAAACCATAAACTATTGTTTAATTTTTGCCTTTTTAGTTGAAACTTGATGCCACGTGCAGCAACAGCGAGTATACAACTACTACCACCACGGCGGCACCTGCCACCACACCTAGTGCCACGGAACTGGCAACTGCTTGTACCAATGCCGTGCCCAGCTCCAATCCCAGCTACTTCTATACCAGGAACTACGACGACGCCAACTGCCATACTTATATTTACTGCCAGAGAAGTGGAACCGATTCCTGGGTGTCGGTCTTCTTGACTTGCAAGTCCAACCGCTACTACGATTCCACCACCAACACATGCGTTGCAACCTGGCCGGCCAGTTGCTCGGCTACAACAACGTCTTCTTCGTCCAGTTCCACTGAAGCATCCTCGTCTAGTTCTACTGAAGCATCTTCGTCCAGTTCCACTGAAGCATCTTCGTCTAGTTCCACTGAAGCATCTTCGTCCAGTTCCACCGAAGCATCTTCGTCCAGTTCCACTGAAGCATCTTCGTCCAGTTCCACTGAAGCATCTTCGTCCAGTTCCACTGAAGCATCTTCGTCTTCTTCAACGGATGATTCGAGTTCCTCCAGTGATTCATCTTCATCCAGCGAGAGCTCTTCTACGGAAAGTTCTTCCAGTGCCGCTACTTCCGAGTCTTCCACATCGGATGCTTCTAGTTCTTCCAGTGATTCTTCTTAATCCGGGGAGAACTCTTCACAATAATCAGTTTCAGAAGACATCCCTAGAAAGATCAATATAAGTTAATCACTTTCTACAAAAAGCTCTTATTAGTCCAATACTATTATATTTCTTGGTAATAAATAAACATTTTAAAAATAAAAAAATCTCAAGACTTTGTTGAATAATTTAGAAATTGTATATATCATAAACAAGATAATTTAAAAACAATATACACAATAAGTCAGAAAATCTTAATGGCCTTCCCCACAATAATTTTTAATAGGCGTTCAGTGTTGCAAATCCTAAAGATTATTTCAAAGGCCTTTACTTTTTTCAATTTTATATATTTTAAACTAGATATTTTTATAAATAATATTCCATTTTAAACTTAAATAATCATTACCAAGAACATCAACTTAGGCAGTAATTAATCAACAGTTTATGGAGCTCAGATGTCGGGTATGTTGTTTCGCCTTTGAGAAAAGCCTCGAAATATATATATAGCAATATTTGCCGTGAAATACCATAGGATTATTAGCCATAACCCGATAAACGGAGAAATGAATACGATCGAATGTGTTTGTAACAGCTCGCGTCATAAGTATATGTACAAATCGGCTTACGCTAAAAGTAAAAGCATTTTCAATATAATCAAATATTCATGTTGGGGACAACTGATGATACTAGAGACCTTGATATTGTGTGTGCATATGCTGTGATCGGGCTGTGGTTTCTGTTTCTGTGTCGTCGAAAATTAATGGGTTAAGTTCTGTACATTGATGGCCGTAAACACTTGGACATAAACACACAGATGCACACACACGTCAGCGCTTCTAAATATACACACGGATATACAAACATATGCCCACTCGAATCTCGAATATGATATTCCTTTCGACTCGCATGCCGCCGGCTTTCTGCCTTGCTGGCTGCCTGGCTGGCTATTTGATTTATCTAGCGCACCCAGTTCGAAGGCAGAGGGAAAAACAATATTCGAAATCCCAATAGTACACACTGTTCTGCTTTACAATCTACGATAATTTACAAATAAAAGTTTTCGCTTAATTATCTTAATATTGCGCCGAGACAAAGCATATTCTCCTCCACCTCCGGCACTCTTGGCAGCGATTGTCGCGGCAATTAAACATTAAATCAAATGAGCAGCAGATGAAGCTGCCGAAGCAGCCGACAGAGAGGGGTGGAAAGCGATGCGAATCCGGCGACCAGACTAGTTGGCTTCATCTAAATGCGCAAATGGAAATTATGGCCATTGACGACGCACGATCTGCCCGGCACACTGTACGTGGGCAGAGGCGAGTGCACAAACTGCAAGAATAAACAGAAAACGATATAGCTTTTAAAAATGAAAAATCAGAAAATGATGGATCGTCGAACCTTTGGCACCTTCTGTGTGGTGGCCATGTAGCCGACGCAAAACGATTGCGTCGTGTGGCTCCACATCACCTCGCCGCTGCTCTGGCTCGGATAGTAGAGCAGGGTCAGGGCGCCGGCATAGAGATCCTGCTGTCTAGGCAGCAAGGGTGAGTCGAGGAACTTCTGCTTGAACGTCCGGTGTAGGCTGGTTACCGCACAGTCGCTGCTGAAGGCACCGTTGCAGATCTCCCTGGCCAACAGTGTTTTCATCAAGTACTCACCGTTGCCGGTCGTGCAGGTAGCTATTGCCAGTTCATCAGTATCGGTGGCCCAGCATCCAGCACCGTAAGTAGCCGCTTGGCCCACTCTTCCGGGCACTTTGAGTAAAATTCCTCCAGAACTGCAGCCAGCTGCAGTGTTTCCTGCACCGTCCACGCATACTGCTCCCACGGTGTCCAACGCGGCGGATAATTCCACTTCGTTGTCGGCTTCAGGAACAGCTACAGGTTCTTCCGACGGAGCCTTAGCCAACCGGCCCACCACCAAGTCATATTTGCTCTTGTAGTGATTGAACTGGAATTTGGCCTTGGCGGAGATGAGCATAGATGGTTCAACCATGGAGCAGCCAACCTCGTCGGCATACCGCTCTGCCCCACTACCCGCCAGGATCATCGGTGGAATGCGCTCTAGGAGTTGTGGAGTTGCTTGGGCATCGCATATCCTTCGTGCCAGCTGGATGGGATTTTTGACACGACTGACATTTGTGCACGCCCCGAAATTAAGGTTGGATCCATCCATTAAAGCGGCATCACACTGGACGGATCCGTCCATGCACAGATTGGAGCCATAGCCGGCGTTGGTGTAGCCGCAGTTCTCCAACCGAACGATGGCCGCCTCACAGGCATCCACAGCCGATCCGCCGTTCCGGAGGATGTCCGTGGCCCGGATACAGGCCTCCTTTATCACCCGCTGGTACTTGGTCTCGTCGATGCAATTGCCAGCCCCTGAAAGACCGTTTGCCTGCCATCAATCATCCGACCTGTCTGCCCAGTCGAGGGGATACAAACCTGTGTGCACCGCCACGAAGCCGGCCATGTTACCCAGTGTTTGTTGTTTATTCCGATGATACTATTGTTGTTGTCTTGCTGCAGTCCGTGCGCTGTACGGCGTAAACAAATCAAATGTGGATCAGTGTCTACAGCCCGGCGGGAATGCAGAAATCATAACAAAACAAAATAGTTTACCAAAAGGATTTACATTTTATAGATCTGGTCACACTCAATGTTAAATGCACAGTTTTCACTTCTAATTATGTTTATATTGATTTCAGTAAAAAAAGAATATTTATAGTTCTTTACTTTATATTATTGTTGGATTAAAAAATAATTTAGTAATAATATAATAATTTAGTATGTGAAAAAGGTTAAATCTAGGGTTTAATATTTTTATCCGATATTGGAACGTTCAAAAGTAAAACTAGTAGCACAACATGAATCAAAATAGTACATACAACTAAAATAATTTAAAAACGGAGTAATTAAGTACAATTTTCAAAAAAAATATAACGATCGATTAAAGAACCCGATAACGATTATCCTTGTCGCCGATACAACAAACATTTGGTATTCTCTTACTTTCCCCGCCTTGGTCATACTGAATTTGTGATTTTTTGCAAATAAATTTTATTCGCAGGTAAAGAAAGTACTTTACCTGTGCAATGTGTGCCATTTAATTAGCAAAACCCTTTTCGCAACAACTCAATGTCAAGAAGAGTTCGTGTACACTCCCCCAAAATAAAGTGAAATGGCAAGAAAGTGATTTTTGCGACGAACAACTGTTTGTGTATTTGTACTTAGTGACGTGCGCTTGCTGCGCTGCTGCAGCGCTGCTTCCCCCCCGACTGCAACGCAAAAACGCAACAAAAGTTGGATAGCTGAATAATAAAAATCGGTTTCAAATAAAAAACCGAGTGAAATGGAGAAGTTTCCGCTGAAGGGCAGTCGAGAGGCGGCCGCCGAGGGCAACAACTACATAACCGCCTACCAAACAGTAATGAAAAAGGTACGAGTCATACGTGATAACCAGCTGGGGATTAACCCGTCCATCTATGATGAATGTAGATATCTTAAAGATACATTGTATCTTAAAGTCTTTAAAATAATATATAAAATTTTATTACAATAATGTAACTATTTTTAAGATAAACAGCAATGTGAATCACAAACAAGTGGCATTTGGGGGCGGAAATGCTGCCAAATGTAATCCAACGTAGAGAATTTTTATATTATATACTATATCCGTGATAGTAGTGGTACAGCTGCGCAAGAGATCTTAATCTTATCGGAGTCTATGCGTAAACAAAGCCTCTGGTCTGTGGCGTCTGGCCAGTCTTTTCATTGATATTGTTTCGTTATTTTGCGCTTTCCAGTCCAACGGCCACACAAATGGAGGAACCAGTGGCGATGGGGACGGTAATTTTCGCGACCACCCGCTAGCCCAGCACTCAAAATTGACCACCTCGCTGACGGCGGCGGGCACCGACGAGGAGGATATGATCGACATCACACCGCGCTCCAGTCCGGGTGATGTGATTGGCGGCGGCGGCGGCGGCAGCAGCAGCGGCTATCACCGGGAAACGGCTACCGAGTCCGATACGGAACGCGACTTCGGCCAGTCGTCCAATCATCACAATCAACGGACAATGCACCAGCATCACCATCACCATCAGCATGTGCCAACTCACAGTGCCTTCGGTGAACCCATGGACGGTGAGAGAGAAACGATAAATTTTATTAAATTAACTAAAAGATCAATATTTTGTCAAATATTTGTGGCCATCTTAGAGAGTGAGAGAGAGATCCATTGCGTAAAGTTCCATTGTCTGTGGTGTTAATCAAGATCATGATCATATGAGAGCCGCGACGTCACCGCAATTCGTATTTTGGTGGCGTGGCTGGCAGCTGTACTTGTCTGGCGGGAGAACTCAATTAATATGTACCTATGATCATACACAGAGAGAAAATGAGTCAGTTGGTGTATAATATAATAACTTGATGTATAAAAGCTAAGCTTCATTATAATAAACCTGTTAGTGGACTCACGTGATGCTAATTTAATAAGCAAGTATCTGAATGAGGAACATACCAGCTGACAAATCAATTTTGTAGAAGGTAGTAGTAGGTATTCCGAGTCTCTGATTAAAATATAAACTATCAAGTCAAGTACCTTCTAAAGAAAGTTTCTAATGTCAGAATAATAACATAATAGCTGCCAAAGCTCTATTCTATCTTGCTGTAAACTCATCAGAATGTTTCTACCTTTATTTGTTGCTTTAGGAGCTCTCTCCTTCTATGGCTCTTCGGATGTACAAGACGATATACCGGGCATTGGACAATATGAGGATTTTCATACCATCGACTGGCAGAGGGACATTGCCCGAGATCGCATGCGACATCGTTATATAGTCAAGAAACGACAGGACTCTGTCTGGGATCTGATAAAAGTAAGATTGGCTCTTTGAGCTTTTAAGAAATGTTATTTTAAAAACTTTATTTATCTTTCAGGGCTCTATAGATGCTGGTTCTGGTTGGTTGTGTGTTTTGCTTGTTGGTATTGCTGCTGGTTGTGTGGCGGGCATGGTGGACATTGGCGCCAGTTGGATGTCAGATCTTAAGCATGGAATTTGTCCACCCGCCTTTTGGTTCAATCGCGAGCAGTGCTGTTATCCGGCCAAGCAGTCTGTTTTTGAAGAGGGAAACTGTTCCACTGTGAGTTCTTGGTTCTAATCTTTAAAACTTTTCTGTAATGAATGGATCTTTTTAGTGGAAAACCTGGCCAGAGATATTTGGACTGGATCGCACTGGTACTGGCCCCTACATCGTTGCATATATTTGGTATGTGCTTTGGGCATTGCTTTTTGCTGCACTGAGTGCATCTTTGGTGCGGATGTTTGCACCGTATGCCTGCGGATCGGGTATACCCGAGATCAAGACCATCTTGTCGGGCTTCATCATTCGCGGTTATCTGGGAAAGTGGACGCTGCTGATCAAATCGGTGGGTCTTATGCTTTCCGTGTCAGCCGGCTTGACTCTGGGCAAGGAGGGACCCATGGTCCACATTGCCAGTTGCATTGGCAACATACTATCGCATCTATTTCCCAAATACGGCCGGAACGAGGCCAAGAAACGAGAGATACTGTCGGCAGCCTCAGCGGCAGGTGTCTCGGTGGCTTTCGGAGCACCAATCGGAGGAGTTCTCTTTTCACTAGAGGAAGTCTCTTACTACTTTCCACTGAAGACACTCTGGCGGTCCTTCTTCTGTGCCCTGATTGCGGCTTTCGTCTTGCGATCGTTGACTCCATTTGGCAACGAACATTCCGTGCTTTTCTTCGTGGAATACAACAAGCCCTGGATATTCTTTGAACTTATTCCGTTTGTGTTCTTGGGCATCATGGGAGTAAGTTTGATCCTAATCTTTGAAAGAAATCATTATTAATTTGGATGTCCTTTCCAGGGTGTCATTGGAACGTTCTTCATCAAGGCCAATCTGTTCTGGTGCCGCTACAGGAAATTCAGCAAGCTGGGCCAGTATCCCGTCATGGAGGTGCTCTTTGTGACCCTTGTCACTGGCATCATTTGCTACCCTAATCCCTTCACCCGCATGAACATGAACGAGCTGATCTTTCTGTTGGTCAGCAAATGCTCGCCCGGCGATGTCACCAATCCCTTGTGGTAAGTGTCACCTTCAACCTCTCTAGAGAAGATGCCCTAATCCCATTTTTTTCCACTACAGCGAATACAAACGCATGAACATAACAATGGGCAACAGCATCATAGAGGTCACACAGCCTGGCCCTGGGGTTTATAGCTCCATTTGGCTTTTGATGCTCACCTTTATACTGAAACTTGCCCTCACCATCTTTACGTTTGGCATGAAGGTGCCGGCTGGTCTGTTTATACCGTCCCTGCTACTGGGCGCCATTATGGGTCGCATCGTTGGAATCGGCGTTGAACAATTCGCCTACAGCTACCCGAATATCTGGTTCTTTACCGGCGAATGTGCGGATAGCAACCTCATCACACCTGGATTGTATGCTGTTGTGGGCGCTGCGGCTGTGTTGGGTGGTGTTACGCGCATGACAGTGTCCCTGGTGGTGATTATGTTCGAGCTGACAGGTGGAGTGCGGTACATCGTGCCCCTGATGGCTGCGGCCATGGCCTCCAAGTGGGTGGGCGATGCTCTCGGCAGGCAGGGAATATACGATGCGCATATTGCGTTGAATGGTTATCCGTTCCTGGACAGTAAAGAGGAGTTTGCACACACCACCCTGGCTGCGGATGTGATGCAACCAAAGTATGTAATTATTAATATTTATAGAAAAGAATAGTAATATTTTATAATTTCATTTGCAGGCGCAACGAAACGTTGAACGTCATTACCCAGGACTCTATGACAGTGGACGATGTGGAGAATCTACTGAAGGAAACGGAACACAATGGCTATCCGGTGGTGGTCTCCAGGGAGAACCAATACTTAGTGGGATTTGTACTGCGCAGGGATCTTAATTTGGCCATTGGTGAAGACCTTCCTCCCCTACTCTTCTTTCCTGATTGTAACTCCCTTTCATCCACTTTTCTTTAGGCAACGCCAAGCGTCTCATTGAGGGGATCAGCAGCAGTTCTATAGTATTATTCACTTCCACGCAGCCCACTCAAAACCTGGGCCCCCAGCCTCTGAAACTAAAGAAGATTCTGGACATGGCGCCGATCACCGTAACGGACCAGACGCCTATGGAGACAGTGGTGGATATGTTCCGTAAACTTGGACTACGCCAGACATTAGTGACACACAATGGGTAAGTCTTTGCCGACAATATCACCTTCCAAGTGGCTAAAATTTCTGTTTATTTTATAGTCGCCTACTTGGAGTAATTACCAAGAAAGATGTGCTGCGTCATGTGAAGCAGATGGATAACGAAGACCCCAACACGGTGCTCTTCAACTGAATTTATCAGCCAATAAGAAGCTGGGCGAGCACTGCTTCTAGTTATTATTATTATTATTATTATTATTGTGTGAATTATCGCAAGAAAACCAACAATATTTGATATGTGCAAAATGCAGATTGCAATCTAAGCTTAAGTGAAAAGTTGGGAACCGACCCGTGGAATGTGAATTGGACTGAAGAGCGGATTAGTAAAGCCTAGGATCAGACGTTCGAGCGTGAGAGATTTAGCAAAATTGTGTGCAGTTCTATATTATATATTTATATATCGCGTATATCTCGTTAATGTTAATTGTATAATTTATTTTACGCTAGGCAAATGGTTATAAAGATGTACATTCATTTAATGCCATTCTGTAATTACGTCAAATGTGAAACAATCTTTTTTATAAACATTATATACACACATATTATTTTTGTACATCACATTCTCGAGCCTGATAAAGAGTGTACACACTATTGAATGTTTAGTTAATGATATTTACAAATTTATTAATTTTTTTTTTAAATCAATTATTTTTATACTTTTTAACTAATATTGCCCAACAAAAATAAGTATCAATTTTTTTATGAAAATCAAAATGGCTTTAAAAGATTTCTGTTTCGAAATTCTACGCAGAGAGAAACCTCTTGTTTATACAAAAATATATAGTCTATATCTACATGTGGTATTTGTTAGAGATCTGAGAAATTTTAAAATAAACTCGTGTAAATAGCAAACTTAAGAGAAGAGATGAAACCGTACATTAAAATTAAGCAGTCAATGCAAATAAAAGCGATTATTTAAAAGTTTTGGTATTTTTATTTATTTATAATTCTGCCTGGAAAACCTGAAAGTCGTTTCCATAAAACCCGGTGATGATCCAACGTCTGAAAGGAGGGTTTTTTTAATAATAAAGTTTAATTTTTTAAGGGCTTTGACTCACCCATTCTCACTGCATCGGATGAAACTTCCCTTTCCACGCAGAGATCCCTTCACATGACCATGTGCTCCATTACTAGTCCGGTAATACTCCAGGGCTCCATCGTTGGCAGGACAATAGATAATGCTGCCATTCTTGCCGCAGGCAATAGCATTCTTGAAGGGGAGTGGAATCTGTACCACCACTGCCTGATCCTGAGGGATTGTAAAAAAAAGGGAGCTTTAGATATTTGAACTTCCTTAGTCTTGGATTACAGACCTCCTCAGCAAGTCGCACGTTATGGTAAAAGGCTTCTCCACTCAGATCGCAGCTGAGCACGTACGGACTGCCCTCCATTTCGGTCCTGACCAAAGTGGACACCATGAAACGATGTCGATTCAAAACGTAAGTCTGTATCGTTTTGCTGGCCGACACCTGGCGACCCGTGCACCAGCACCGGTAGACACCTCCATCGTTTGTTCCTAAGACGAAGTCATCTTGGCTCAGAGCCACCATAGCTGTGGGTTCTGATGTCACGGATGCGGGTAAGGAGTACCTAAGAGGATTCAATGGTGATGTTGGTCTGTTATTTTTAGGAAACCTAATACTTACTCCCAATCGAGATACATGTGCTTGGTCAAGTCCCATTGGCGGACTGTTCCGTTACTGTAGCAAGCCAGGAGGAGATGCTCCTGCGGCCAATCTATCGCTACCGCAGGTCCCTGGGTGGAGGAGTAGCTATAGAGCTGTTTAATATCCACACTGGCATCTCCAGTGTGAACACTCCGTCCCGGTTCATAAAGCCAGACGATGAGTTCCCCATCCATGGTGGAACCAGCAAACATATTCTTATCGTAGGGATTCGTGGTTAGACTCCTGAGGCAAGACTTAAGCGGCACCACCTGCGGATCTTCAAACAAAACCAGATTCGAGTGGAACATCCTCTTGGGCACGAAGAGCTTTAGCTGTTGGTCAGTGTGTTCACACCAGTCATCGTGGGGCGCCACTGTGGTGACCACCAACACTGGAACATTATTCGTATGAACCGAGAGCCAAATAGCCAGACCTGTCGAGTTCTCCATCGCCTCAATACTTATTTTTTGATATGCGACCACTCGTAGCTCCTCCTCTAGCCGACACTGATTCATTTCCTGCTCCTCGATCAAGGGAGTGGGATTCATCAGTTCTCGTTCTATTGTGGGATACATGTTTCGTAGAAACTTGGCCAATGCCCGTTCATCGTACTCCACATCCTTGTCCCTCGTCCAGACCTGCTCCGTTTGGGTGGCCATACTCTGTTTCTCCTGGGTTCCCGTTCCCGCATCCTTGCTGGGAGGCGGTGGATCGGTACCGGTGCAGTTGTCCACCAGAGCATATTGCTTCTCCAATGGCTGGGTGGCTGGGAATTCTATAACCGGAGAATTATAATGCGAAAGTACGTCCATTTTTCATCCGCCAGGTAAGACCACTGCTGTGGTTATCGGTTTCCTTGGTAACCCATGGTGTCAACCCTTATTTGAATGTTCTAGGAATATAGGAGATCCTTAAAGGATAGTGGTTTAGTATTTTTAATGAATTCTTTATCCTTAATCTTAATTTTAAACTAAAATGTAGTTAGATATTTCAGGGTTTTTTTTTAAATAAAAAATATTAAAATAAAGAAATCGGGAATATCATCAGATCAGATTGGGATTATGGAAGTATATATTACTTATTTTTAAATATTTTGATAAATAAATATTAATATTTCTTAAATAAAACCCTGATATTTTTATTTTGGTGGCAATACTTTTAAAGAGGACCATTTTTTAGATCGAAATCTGGACTCGATCTTAGTAGCCTTTGACTTTCTCCCTTCAGTTCCTTCAACTAAGAGCTGTCATTAAGAGCACTACTAGCATAGTTTGCAGAAAAAAAAAACCAGAAAAAAAGAAAAGAACTTTTGTGAAAAAATTAAGAAAATGTTGGCTTCCTGGACAAGATTAGCAAAGGGTAAGAAAAGTCCTCTACTCCCATTTACTTATAAGACTATAATTCCAATCTAAAAAAAAATATTTAGCTTGCGCCAAAAATGGCCTAAAAGTTGGCCAGATTCGTAATCCAGTTGGGAGCCTTCTAAAGTCTCCACGACATGCCAGGGGCTTGCACTCATCCTTGGCCTTGTGGGATGACAAGGACAAGGGTGATGTTTGCAAACCGGAACCGGTGGAATGCAAGCCGGAACCCAAGGAATGCAAGCCGGAACCGAAAGATGAATGCGAAGATGAGGGCGCTGGAGCCGCCAAAGGAGGTGGAGAGGGCGACAAAAACAAGCCCGAGGGCAAAGGTCGTGAGGGCTATATCCACGCTGTGATTGGACCAGTTATTGATGTCTATTTTCCGGATGAGCTCCCCGAGGTGCTCAATGCCATGGAGGTGATTGATGCTCCGATTGGTCGGCTGGTGTTGGAGGTGAGATATAGGATTAATGATCTATTACCATGTAGGATTAACTTTCCATAACGTTCTCTAGGTATTCCATCACTTGGGTAACAATACTGTACGTTGCGTGGCCATGGACTCCACAGAGGGGCTGCGTCGTGGCCAGAAAGTCATCGATACCGGCTATCCGATCCGTGTGGCCGTGGGCAAGTCGGTGCTAGGACGCATCCTGAATGTTGTGGGCGATCCCATCGATGATCGTGAGCCCATTAAGTCGGAATTCTATTCCTTCATCCACAACGAAGCCCCAGAGCTCACCGACTTGACCGTAAAGCCGGAAATCTTGGTCACCGGGATTAAGGTCATTGATCTCCTGGCTCCGTATGTGAAAGGTGGCAAGATTGGACTCTTTGGAGGAGCGGGAGTCGGCAAGACGGTGCTCATCATGGAGCTCATCAACAACATTGCCAAATCCCATGGTGGATACTCTGTGTTTGTGGGTGCCGGAGAACGTACCCGTGAGGGCAATGATCTCTACCACGAAATGATTGAATCGAAGGTCATCTCCCTGGAAGATGACACCTCCAAGGTGGTGCTGGTCTTTGGCCAGATGAATGAGCCCCCCGGTGCTCGCTCCCGTGTGGTGCTTACGGGACTGACGATTGCCGAGTATTTCCGCGACATGGATGGCCAGGACGTACTCCTCTTCATAGACAACATTTTCCGCTTCACCCAGGCGGGCTCGGAGGTGTCGGCTCTGCTGGGTCGCATCCCCTCGGCCGTGGGCTATCAACCAACTCTGGGCACTGACATGGGCACCATGCAGGAGCGGATCACCAGCACCCGTAATGGCTCTATCACCTCAGTCCAGGCCGTCTACGTGCCGGCTGATGATCTCAGCGATCCTGCTCCGGCTGCTACTTTTTCGCATCTGGACGCCACAACTGTACTGTCGCGTCCCATCGCCGAGCTGGGCATTTATCCGGCTGTGGACCCTCTGGATTCCTCATCTCGCATCCTGGATCCCGATATCGTTGGCGAGGAGCACTACAACGTCGCCCGAGCGGTCCAGAAAACCCTTCAGAGCTACAAGTCGCTTCAGGACATCATTGCCATTCTGGGAATGGACGAGTTGTCCGAGGAGGATAAGCTAACGGTGGCCCGTGCCCGTAAGATGCAACGCTTCCTATCGCAGCCGTTCCAGGTGGCCGAAATCTTTACCGGCCATCCAGGAAAGCTGGTGCCTGTGGAGAAGTGCGTCGAAGGTTTCAAGAGATTGCTCAATGGAGACTATGATGACATTCCCGAGATCGCCTTCTATATGGTGGGGGATGTGGAGGATGTCCTGGCCAAGGCCAGCCAGTTGGCTGCCAGCATGGCACCGGACGCCCCGGCGGCCAAGCCCGCGGAAGCTAAGAAGGATGACAAGAAAGAGGATAAAAAGGAAGAGCCCAAAAAGGAGGAACCCAAAAAGGACGACAAGAAGAAGGATGATAAGTAAAAAAAAGGGTTTTTATGCCCAAGATCCGGGAGGATTAGAAAAATGCAGGGAAATATGTCCTGGCAGATTATAATTAAGATAGTTGCGTTTGATCTTTTGATTTAAAAAAAAAAAAAAAATAAAATGATAAAATTCTCAAATTTTAGTTTTTTATTGGCTGGAAAATATGATTTTTTAATTGTTAGTTTTCGGGAGTTTCCTGAAAAGATAAAAAATGGCATTTTGTCATTTTAAACTTAATATCCACATACAATCCACATGGTACCTAAGTTCCACTCGAACAGCTGATTTCCACTTGCCGGCAGCTGTTACGTTTCATTTATTTTCTTTGCTCCCCAAAATGCTTCGTATTTTAAGATTTCGTCCGGCAAATCGCTATTATTCTGTGAAAATAGCCCAGAAAGATGTTAAAAAATACACAGATACCATTAATTTGCCAAAGACAAAGTTTCCCAACCGACTGACAGCTGTGAAACGTGAAGAACAGGAGCGACTTATTCTACAGGCAAGTTTGGTCAAATTTCCTAAAAAGCTAAATCCTCAAAGAAAGTATTACTTTCTACAGAAGAAGATAGCCGTATCCTATCAGTACCAGCAGGAGCATTTAAGTGAAAAGGATAAACCCACATTCATACTTCACGATGGTCCTCCATACGCCAATGGACAACTCCACATGGGCCATGCCGTCAACAAAATCCTCAAGGACATCACACTGCGCCAACGAGTAGCCCATGGGCAGCAGGTCAATTATGTTCCAGGTTGGGATTGCCATGGATTACCCATCGAACTGAAGGCCACCAGTGCTGCTGCTGGTCAGAATGCTTTGGAAATACGCCAGAAATGTGAGTGGGTCCTATGGAGATTGAGGCATTTTTAAAAATATCCTGTTTTCCAGCCCGATCTTTTGCCCTAGAAGCCATTGAATCGCAGAAAAAGGAGTTTAGCAGTTGGGGAGTACTGGCAAATTGGCAAAAGAATGACATCTACATGACCTTTCAACCTGAGTTTATAGAAAACCAACTTCATTTGTTTTACAAACTCTACGAAAAGGGATTGGTTTACCGGGATTTGAAGCCGGTTTACTGGTCACCATCTTCCAGGTGACTTATACTATATAGAAATAAGATTTTAATATTCATATTTCATGTTTGTTTCCCATAGAACAGCCTTGGCAGAGGCCGAACTGGAGTATGATCCGAAACATATAAGCCCATCGGTCTATGTTCGTTTTCCAATAAACCCAAATGGTCTGGATATAACAGAAAAGGATACACGTCTCTACGCCCTGGTCTGGACCACAACTCCTTGGACTCTTCCTAGCAACCAAGCCATTTGCTACAACTCCTCCTTGGAGTACGTTTTGGTCCGCCTATCGGAACACAACCAAGATGAGTTATACCTAATAGCCTCCGCCCTTTTGGAGGACTTCGAGGCAAATACCCAAATCGAGTGCGAGGTAGTCCAGACCCTAAAAAGCAGATCTTTGGGAGATCTTACCTATAAACATCTAATAGACAAAGATCTGAATGATCTTCCCTTTTACGATGCCAGTCATGTACAGGATAGTAAGGGAACCGGCTTGGTGCACACTGCTCCGGCTCATGGTCCAGACGATTTCCTGGTCAGCCTTGCCCGGAAAATTCCCGTCAAATGCTTGGTGAACGAGGAGGGAGTATACACAGACGACGCTCCGAGTTTTCTGGTCGGAAAATCGGTCTTGGAACAAGGAAACCCTTTAGTCTTGGAGCACATCACCAATAATGTGGTTCACTCTTCCACTCTGGAGCATTCCTATCCCATAGACTGGCGCACCAAGAAGCCTGTGATAATTCGCGCCAGCGAGCAGTGGTTCATCAACACGGAGAAGCTAAAGTCCTCCGCTGCGGATGCCCTCGAAAAAGTAGAAATATATCCCCGGGCCAATGCTGAGGCCAGCAAAAAGGCGCTGCTCACCCAGCTCCAAAAGCGACCCTATTGGTGTATTTCCAGACAGAGGGCCTGGGGTGTTCCCATACCGGTTCTCTACTGCCGAAAGACTGGAAAGGTGGTCTTAAACAAGGTTCTAATACAGCATTTTTGTAAAGAGTTGCGCAAAGACGGCTCTATGGATTTCTGGTGGGCCAAGTCATTGGAGGAACTACTGCCAACAGAGATCTTAAAAAAACTGGGCTACCAAGCCAATGACTTAGTCAAGGGCAGTGATATATTGGACATCTGGTTTGATTCCGGCAGCACTTGGTCGGCTGTGCTGAAGAAGGATAAGGTGGCTGATCTTTATCTGGAGGGCTATGATCAATTCACAGGATGGTTTCAGTCATCCCTGCTGATGAGCATTGCTGCTAGGGATTGTGCTCCTTACAAGTAAGTGGACATTGTGGATAATTATACATATTATTCTTAAAAATTAAATCCCCCTTGTAGAGCTCTCTTTGTCCATGGCTTTACGGTCGACGAGAAGGGTTACAAGATGTCCAAATCTCTGGGAAATGTGATTTCTCCAAAACAGATAACCAAAAAGTACGGAACCGATGTCCTACGTTGGTGGGTGGCTTCCCATGGCACCCAGCACATGTCGATTACGGTCAGCGAGAAGCTGCTTCAGCAAGCAGCCGAAAATCTGAGCAAGGTACGTGCCACCCTGCGGTATCTTAACGGAGCCATTGGAGAAAAGCAACCAAGCCAGGAGAATATTCAAGACTCCAGCTTCTTAAACAGATACTTGCTGAGTCAACTAGTTGACTTTGATGCGGAGGTAAGTTACCGGTTCTTAAAAGTTAACTTAAAATATTAAAGCCCCCTTCCCAAGATAACTAAGCTATACAACGCCTATGAGTACAACCGCGTAGTGGCTTCCATTCAGAACTTCCTGTCCAACCAAGTGTCCGCCGTTTATGTCCATCTAATTAAAGATCGTCTCTATTGTGGGGATGAACGCGAACTCCTTGCCATCCGTCAGACCCTCACCCACTGCTACGAAGAGCTGTGTAAGAGTTTGTGGCCCATAGTTCCGTTTATGGTGGAGGAAAGTTGGAGCTACTACGACACTTCAGGAGCAGCTTTCCACCAACAAAGTGTTGCTGCCAAATCCCAATGGCAGGATCAAAACGCCAACGATGTGGTTAACGCCGCTTTGGAGGTCAAGAAGATCATAAACCAACAAGCTGGAGATGTCAATAGTTGGCACATCGATGTGGTTCTCAAAGTGGGAAACGCAAAGCAGTTGAAACTCCTCCAAGAACTCCATCCCATGGGAAAGCCTCGGTCCAACTCGGAGTTGTGTGAAATACTGCAAGTGGGATCCGTGACCCTCCTCCAAACCGCAGATCAGGACCTCCAGGTGTCCGTTAAGGCGCTCCAGGCACCTCTCTGTCCTCGTTGTCGTCGCTACAGTTTGGAAAACGCCGAGCAGGGGACCTGCCATCGCTGCTCCTTAGTAATGACCGCAAGGAACTAGTCTGTATATCTTGTTGATTCTTTATGACTTAAGAATAGATTTAAGTTTTTAAAAACTCTGTAAGCATTTCATAATGGTGTCTCTCAGTTTGAGGCGTGTTGTGGGCTTTCCGCCGCATATTATGTGAGTTTCGTTATCCTCGAATTTGATAATAGTGTCCTCGTTTACCAGGTTGAGCGTTAGAGCTCCACCCGTTCGATCCAGCTTGATATTGGAGAATCCATCCTGCGTTAGTCGCTTCATCAAAGCTTCCACATCAATACTGCCGTACTCGTACTTGATATTTTTCATCACATCCTCCTTGGTTGGAGCCGTGCTGGTGCTGGTGCCGTTCGTCGCTTCGTCCTGCGTGCTTTCCGCACATGGTTGGATGCAGTGCACTTTGTCTTTGACTTGAAGGACTCCCGTCAGCGTGGAGAAGGTCACACCAGCGGCCACTTCGCGAGGAGAGATTTTTTGAGCCAATTCCGAGGTGATGTATATCCGATCCAGCTTTCTTTTCAGTGGCAGTCGTATTATCTCGCCGCACTTGAAGGTTATTATCTTTTTGTCTGGCTGTTCGATGAACAAATTCGAGGCCGAGGGGTGTGGCTTGGTGTAGGCCTCCGGTATGACCAGGACGTTCGGCTTAAGCTCCTTGATCAGCTTGTTGGCCTGCTGATAGTTTAGGGAGGTGTCGATGGGGCAATAGAAGCCCTTCATGGCCAGCGGCTGGAACGGTGCTAATACTTGCAAATACGGAAAGTCGGGCTCTGTAAAGATAATGCAGTTGTTGGGATTGTTGCCCCACATTTCGATGAAATGAACGGCATCGCCGAAGCGCAGACTGGGATGGCCACAGAAAACCACACAGGGCTAATGGAAAAGAAACCATACATTATAATCGAGGAAGGACTACCTTTGTAAGACTTTACCTGCCGGAAGTCCTTGCTGAAGCCTTCGGAAAAGACATGATTGTAGTGCTTTAGCTTTGAATTCCTCAGGTAGAAGGCATGGGGGAAGGGATCGTCTGGAAGATAGACCTTGTTCTGCTTGGCTGAACTGAGCCACTCCGCCAAAATGTTCGAGTAGGCCAGGGAGCTGTCTGCCACGGGGGAAATAAAGAACATGGGCACGTTGTTGAGTCCTGCATTCTCCAAGTTCTGCGTCAGGCACTCGAAGAGATCGTAGACCACTCCAGAGGGATAACAGGGTATCAAAGCGGATCCATTATTCCGAATCGTCAGAGCCACGTTCATGCAGAGTTCGCCAAGTTTGGTGTCGGGATTTACAGTGGGTGCCTGGGTCAGTCCGGTCATAATAAGGACATCCGCATGCTTCAGTGCCGACTGATTGATGGGCCGAGGATGCGTGGTCAGGGTGGAGGAGCCGCTCACATAGCAGATCTTTTCATGCGCCGTGCTCAAAACCCAGTTACTGGATCCCAGACAGTAGCCAGAGCTGACAGGAGTAGCTATGAAGGCGCCCAGGATGTCCAGCTTCTCGTCGTAGCCCATTATCGTGACCTTGGAGAGACTGCCCTGGACATCCTTCAGACTGAAGATGGTACGCCACTTTTTAGATCGGAATGCTTCGCTTAACGGACTTGGCAGGAGGTGGAGTTTCTCTTTCCAGAGACGAGCCGTACAAGCCTTCGGTGAGACCTCTATATAATCTACCAGCTCCTCCAGGAAGAACCTCCCAATCTGCAGGGTGGGCTCCGTGGCGTAAACTTTGCCCTTGAACCCCGTGTTCTCCGTGATGTACGGTAGTGCCAGCATATTTAGATAGTTCGAGATAAGTATCACATCCACTTCGCTAAAGTCCAGCATTTTGTCCATGGGGAGGTTGAATTCTGGCGTAGAATCCACAAATACTCTCCCGCAACAATCCTTGAGTTCGCCATCCATCTGGGGATCATGGTCACGACTGAGGGTGTAATTGGGAAGGTTGGACCACTTCTGGGACTGGACAAAGGGCAGGGGCAGGAAATTCAGCACCGTCTGCTCCGTCAAGCCGCAGTCCAGCATTATCTTCAGACCCTTGAAAGTGATGATGTAGCATGGCTTGGCCAAATCCCCACTGAGACAGTACTAAAAAAGAGGAAGTCATTTCCGCTGATAAAGCTTATATTAATGACCAGGATGATTTACCAAACGCATTTTGGAAGAGTGATAGTCGCAGTGATAACTCCCGCTACGCCGCCCTCTATTTGTTTACACATTTTGACCAGGGATGGAAGCCATGAAAAACTGGCATCTGGTTCCAACTGGTTCCGAAGGAACTAGAAGCAACAAGTAGTTCCGCAGAATTTCACAATAAAATTAAATATAATTACAATTAAGTAGCCGAAATTGATTATATTCTTGTTATATTTGACTAAAAAGGACCTCAACTTTGTCCTTTGAGAAAATAAAAGTAGTCCTTGGATGCAATGGTTGCCGGATTAAAATTGGTCTCACGCGCACATCTCTAACTCTTTTTATTTGGATTTTAGGCGGCTTAAAAATGTCAGGACAAGTTTGCGTTTTACAATGCAACCAATGCAAAATGTACCAGGTGAATATTAAAAATATCTATAATATAATCTAATTTATAACAGAAATGTAATTATTAAGGGAAGCTTGGTCAGGAAGGCAAAGAAATGGGATTGTAAAATTTGTGGACAAAAACAAGATCTTATTACGGAGATCTTTCGAGGATCGGGGCCAGAATGCCGGGCCAAGGTGCAGCATCTGAATTTAGAACGCGGAAAACGAGAGGAACAGCGAAAAAACACTTTAGTTCACACAGCCCAAGTCCATTCCAATCGAATCCAAGATGAGGAGACTTCTGAAACGAAAAACGTTCCCCAGGAAAAGAAAACCAACAAATGGGCTAGCTATGTAGATGAACCTTTGGAGACTAAACCGAGAGGTTCTACATTCACCCAAAACATTCACCAAGATGAGCACATGGATCTGGACAATGGACTTTCCATGAGCTTTGACAAATCCCAAAGGAAAACCTCCCGATCCTTGAAACGCTCGGCGGAAAGCGAACCCCTTGTGGTCAAAAGAAGCTCCAAATGGGATAGTTTTCTATGAAATCCATAAGTTAAATGATCATTAATGTTAGTCTCTTTCTATATATTTTATTAAAATCTTATCCGCCCTCGTACATATACATAATTATTTGTGTGAGAGGCGGGAGGACCAATGTGTTGACATCTAAATATGAATACTTTTGCATTCAGTTTGACTAATGCTAGAAAAAATACACTTTGCATGTTCCTTTAAATATGGTTAGGGGGTCTCTCTCTCTAATTGCCAACTGGACAGCACATGTTGCACATGATTATTATATATATAAATATCCAGCCCAGGCAACGGATGATGAGTCCCAATCGGTTTCAATACTCGTGGAGATAATAGTTAGTGTATAGTGTATATTGAGAAGAATTGTTATATTTAATAGCCGACTATGTGATTATGAACTAAACTAAGCCGAGTTTCCGCCCTCCTTCTTGGCCACCTTCTCATCGGAACCGGTTTCGTCGATATCCGCCGACTCGGACTCGCCGCCGGGGGCACCAGCCTTGCCGGAGGACCTGCGCCTCTTACGATTGATGCGCCACGGACGCATGGGAAACTTCATGGCCGGCAGTTGCTCCATGCCGAGGACTTTGTAAATTTGGCGGAAGGCGATGTAGCGCAAGAACAGCTGGGCCGAAACAGTGAGATCCTCGCGCTCCTGCTTGGTCAGATTAACCAGAGCGTCTGTGGGGTCCTTTTCACAGGGATCGAGCAAGCCGGGCCCGTTGATCAAGAAGCCCGAGGACAAAGCCTCCATGATGCGGCGCATGCAGTCGCCGGGCGAGATGGGAAATCCAGCTGAGGAGATGACCTTCTCCACCAGCAACTCCAGCGACCACTGGGGTAACGACTGCCAGGATGCGACGCGCTGGCACAGGTCCCGGAGAATGCGAATCACCATGACGCAAGACTGCAGGCCAGTGGCGCGTGCCTGGAACCATTTGGCATGACGCAGGTCAGCCAAAGCCTGTACAGAAAGGACTTTAATTATTGAATTCAAACAAGGATGTCCATTACTTACCCGAAGACACGGCTCTCGTGGCAAGAACTCGGCATCGTCGCCCTCTTCCTTGACGGAACCATCAGAGTTAGCATCGCGCAGCAATGGAGAGGTGAGCGTAATCTTCACCGAAACAGCCTCATCCAGGACGATAACGGCGGCATCGTCGGTGTTAACCTCGACACGATAGTTGACCGGAACGTCGCCTGGAAACGAGAGTAGATGGTTGGAAGATCAAAGGGCTATCCACGAAAGTTGGATTCAAAATACTAGATTCGGGTTGGAAAAAGAGACAAACATTGTGAGTGAAGCGAACAAATTCCAGTGAAGAGACCCGCACGATAATACAATGTAGTAAGAGACAATGATATATATAGAAATAGAAATATTATCACTTATGGGGGGGGGGGATATATATAAGCACGAATAATGTTTGTTTCTTTCCACGATCCAGGCATCCGCTCGGCTCCCAGCAAACATGAACTTCAATCGACTTGCGTGCTGGGATCTCGGGTATGGGCGGCTCTCGTAAACGGAACGGCATCGATGGAGACAATACCCCCCACTCGTTGCAATTCCACTTAGAGCGCACTTTTTACTTGAATTTCGACTTGAATTACATATATTGAATGGTTTTTTAGAGATATTTTGATCTTGATCGGTTAGTGTTTGAAAACATTATTTGGCAACACAAATTTCGGTCACAATTCGATATTTGCAATCTGTTATCTATATTCTATATCTTGTATTTAGACAATCAAGCTTGATACACACATTTCGGCCGCTTGGGCATATACATATATATATTATATATATATTTTCATTTTTTTCTTGCTTTCGAGAGATATATATTATATGGTGATGCAATTTTGGGTCAAGCAGATCCAGTGTGTGGATCAATCGCATTGCTTCATGGCGTGTTTTTTTTCAACTTCTTGGCCATCAAAGGACTTTATTTACACAAAGTTAGTTAGTTAAGGAGGGATTATGACTTAGGACCCCAGATTGGACCAAACATTGGATAGACTTTGTATAAATATACTCCTTTGTATCTGTTTTTTTTTTGAGTTTGGTTAAGTTTTTTGGAGGCCACCACACAACCCATCCGCTTGAAGGGATACTGGAGGCTGGATGACTCCGTCCGTGACGTTGTTACCGTGACGATCCTTTTGGTTGATTTGGCTGAGAGCGAGCGAAGGAGCAGCAGCAGTCAAGACGAGGGAGCAATCTGGACAATCTGGACAACCTGGGAGAACTGAGCTACAGCTACTGACGGCTAACTGAACGACGGCTAACTCTCACTCTAGAGCATTAGAGGCTAGAGCGATAGATACATATGTGTGTAGCTTCTAGGATCGCAAACTTATCCTGCAGAGAGAGAAGCTGAAAACGGCAAATACGTTTTTATTCGCAATTAGTTGGCTATGTTGCTGGGGGCGTTGGGCGCGGTGGTTTTTGGCGGTATTGGCGTGGCAATTCAGATCCACCGCAACAACAGGGCTCAACTGTAGTTGTCCTTACTAGTAGTACTATGTACAATAATTTTTATATATATTTATTTCTTTACTATTTTTTTTTTTGACTTTTTCCACACAAATTGCCGGTCGAATGGGATTTTCGTGAGTTTCGTGAATCTGTCATCTTGGCGCCCGAACACTTGGATATTTTGGATATTGGACTACATATGTATGTAGCTTACAAACTGCCACCAAATTCACCTGCGCTGGTCAGAGTGAAATTGGCCCAGCAAAGTATTTATTATTTATTTCTTTTGTTTTCATTTTTTTTTTGCCGCATTTCTCTGGAAAAAGTACTGTCTTTCGTTCCTCTTAATAGGACAACCAAAATATCATTTTTTCAAAAAATTGTTTCGAAAACAAGGACTACTACCCTGGCGAGTCGTTCACTTACCTGCCACCTCCTTCAGCTTGTCGGGCAACACATTGGCGACGCGCTGCAGCAAACCAGCCGTCGGCTTCTCGGCACACAATACCACCAGCTCCACGGCATTGTCGCCGTGCAGTAGCAGGCCCTTGGCCAAGTAGCCCACCCGCATCACGCCCTTCAAGATGCGCACCACATTGCCGCCATTATCGGCGTCCTTGTGGAACGAGAATATCTGGTTGTCGCGTCCATCCTTCTCCGACGGCTTGTCGGTCTTCTCCTTCTTAGCAGCCTGGCCGGCCTCGCTCGGTTGCTCGGCCAAAGCATCCGAAACCAGCTTGAGGGCACGTTCAGTGTGCGAAACGATACGTTGGATTGTCTGCAGTTCCTCCTCCTTGGGATAGATTTCGGCATGACGGGCAATGGCGTGACGGTCGTCGGTGCTCTCCGGACGACGTACATTTCCGCCGGGCATCATGCCAAAGTGCGGCGGCGGACCATTACCCATGCGACCAAAGCGCTGGGCACCTGCAAAAATATAAAATCATTTTTAAGAAGACACTTATATAGCTGATTGGATCACCCACCTCCAAAGCTGCGCGACATCCAATTATTGTAGTCATATTCCTCGTTGTACTGGCGATTGCGCTGCTCGTCCCAGTAGTTGCCGCCACCCTCGTGGTCATCCCCGCCCCGATGGGAGGACATGAGAGCACGCTGGGCCCGGGCCTCGGCCAGACGACGCTGGCGAGGAGTAGGCTTGAAATCAACCACCAAATCGGGCTGTACTTTGCGCTTGTACTGCAAGCGATGGCGACGTCCCTTCATGTGCATCTCTTTGGCATTTGGGTCGTTGAACTTGCAGTCGCAGAGCTTGCAGTTGAAGCTCAGGATCTTACCCTCATCGTCCTTGACCTCCTCAATGTATTCGCCGCCGACTGGCTTTATGTTGTCCGGGTTCTCGCCCAGCGAATCGTCCAGACCATCATCGAGATCTCCAGCTGCATCACTTTCGTTAGCCGCCCCATCAGCTTTGGCAGCAGCTCCCGACGATCCTGCAGCTCCGCCCGCGGCTGGTACGAAATTGATCTTTCCCAGTTTCTTTGGCTCATCGGAGGGAATCGGTTTTCCCAGCTTCTGATGCAGTTTCACCACCTTCTGGTGCTTGGCACCGCGCACATGGGCGGCATAGGCATCCGTTCCGGTGCAAGTCACATCGCACAGCTCGCAATGGTAGTTGTTGCCTCGATTCTGAGTGGTACTGGTGGCACTGGCCGACATCTTCAGCGAGGCTTCGCGTTTCTTGTGCTTCTGTCCCTCGAGATGTTCGCGGTATGTTTGCGGACCGGCGCACGAAATCTTGCACACTTCGCAGTAATGCAACTGCTGGGGGCGTGGCGGGGCCTTGGGGCGCATGCCTCGTATAGCCGGAGCTCCTGGAATAGCAGGTCCCATCTTGCGCTGATACCAATTGTTGCCACCGCCATTCGGCTTCGGTCCCGGTCCACCCTGATGCTGTTGAGCCACATACATACTGGCTGCATTATAAATAGCCGAATCATAGCCGCTGTAGTTATTGCCCCCCGGAGGTGGGGCATTTGGTGGCTTCTGGGCGCCGTTGGACTTGTCCATCTTGTTCTTGACGGGATTCTTCACCGGCGGGGCTGAGTAGTGGGTTTTGCTGACTGCGGCTGCCGAGCCCGGAGCGTTGTAGCTGGCCGGCGACTGTTGGTAGAATGTCTTGGTTGCGTCGTACGACTGCATGGGATTGCGATAGTCGCCATAGCCACCGTAGGAGGCACCACCCGCACCACCGGAGCCAGCGCCCCCGGCACCGGCCGCTGCATAGCCACCCTGGCCGGCAGCTACAGCAGCATTTTGGTAAGCAGCAGCATTCGCGTATGTGGCGTTGGTTACAGCCGGGTACGAGACCTGGCCCGTGTTGTACTGAGTGCCGCCGTAGTTAAACCCGGCGTAGTTGTTGTTGGCCATTGTCGCTCGTTGCTACTGCAATTACGAAGGAAATCGAATTTGTTGCCAATCTGGTTCAATGCCTAATGCCCCATGGCCCCCAAAACCTCATCCCATGCCCCAACCCCATGTGCTACTTACATTAACTTTGTTTTACTCCTTTACTCGCTATTCTATAGTCAATATTTATGCGGATTTATTCGGGAATTTATATGTGCTTTCCGGGTAATAGCCTGTTTATAGCTGTAAAGGCAAAGTGGTCTTAGTCACGTCATGCCAATTGTTTCTCTCAAAAGAAGCCCCCACCACTTTTCTCTTCTTCCATAAATTTTTTTTCACCCGTTCGCTGGTATTGATTTTTTTCCTGCAACTTTAGACGCACTTTTCGCGTGTGTAGCTGACATGCAATGGGTTACACGTGTGTCTCACAGTTCAAAGGACACTTTTTACCAATATTTTATCCAGTCAGAGGACTGCTATTGTAACTTTAATCACCTTTTTTTCGCACGCTGAAAAATCCAGTCTATATGCGCCGGTAGAGATGTGAGACCGTAGGGTTGTCGCAAAAGGTATCAGCCTATCAATATATCGATATTCTTTTTATAAAAATTTGGTTACTAAAATATGGAAAATAAAATTTATATTAAAAATTTTTATGAAGTAATACAGGAGAAGAACAATAAACTTTCTTTTTTTTTGACAAAAAAGTAAAATTATTTTAAAATTTGGCTACTGAAGTTCTGCTAGAGATGTGCTGGTATAAAACGATATATTTGTTGTTATAAATCTCTTCGGAACTAGTTCCGCTTAGCAACGATCGAGTGTTGCTTCGATAGCCTTCTTGGGTATTTCGTTCGCGCCGAAACAAAACAACATTTGAGTGTCCCTTGCCTGTGATTAGTGTCCTTTTTCTGTGTTTTGTGTTTTTTTCGATGGACGAGAAGCGCTACTTGAAGCGAAAAGAAAAGGCTCGTAGCGATGGAAACCGGGACCAGTTGGCCGATTGTTGCAATCAGTTGGGTGACTTTTATAACCAGCAGGGAAAGTACAATGAGGCGGTCAAGGAATACAAACAGGAGGCCCAGATTTACGCCAGCATGGGCAAGGAGCTGGAAACGGCGAAGGCCAAGCGGATGGTCGGCGAGATGTTCACCCTGCTCTGCGACTATGACGCGGCCAAGGATCATATAAATGACTACTTAAGTGAGTCTTTAATCCTTGCCATATTTTCGGTTAACTCTCATAAACCTGTTCTTTTAGAAATTGCTAAGCGTTTAAAGAATCAAGTGGAGGAGCAACGGGCATATGCTACCCTAGGCCGGGTGCATCTATTACATGGACAGAGTCTGGCTGATAGTTCGGCTTCGGGTGCCATGGAGCAGCTGAAACAGGCGGAGAAAAGCTTCCTACGCAGCCTGCTTCTCATAAAAGAGTAAGTTCTTCATTCTCCTGGTTATCCCAACTAAATATTTTTAATTATTTTCAGACTTTCGGGTCAGATTTCCAAGCTGGAGCAGCTGGATATGCAAGCTCGGTGCTATCTAAACATTGGTGTGGTGAAAGAGCACATGGAGGAGTTCGAAGAGTCGATTGAATACATTGAGAAAGCCATTAAAATCAGCAAAACCCATGAATTGTTCGATCTGACCCACTTGTGTTTCATTTCGATGAGTTTGCTGTTCAATTGCAAAAAGAATGATGCAACCTCAGCACTGCGCTACTGCAACATGGCTTTGGAAGTGGCCAAAAGGCTCCCCAATAAGGTTAAGAAGATCTGCGAGACATTAATCACAAAGGCAGAGATCCTTATCAAGGCGGGTGACTTTGCCAGCGCCAAGCAGATCCTCACAAAGGCCTACAAGAAGAACACTCCAGACGAGAATGATCGTACCAGTATTGAGAGGCAGCTTAGGATTGTGGTTAAGATCTGTCAGACTCTGGATGACCTGGTTGTTGCTAGTTCTGTAGATTATGGAAAACTGAAGAACCTATACGAGAGACTAGGCGATGGCTGTTGCCATCTAATGAATTACGAGAAGGCCTTGGTTTACTACCAAAAAATGCTGGAGAATGCAGAGCTGAACCAGGAGAGCGGCAAAAGTCTAGTCCCTATCTATGTGAGCTTATATCAAACGTATCGCGACAGTGGGCAGTACGATAAGGCCCTGGAGTATCTGTGGAAGGAGTACGAAGTCAACCAAGATGTTCCCTCGGAGGCCTTCACCACCCTGTGTACCATTGCGGAAGTGTGTGAGGAGCAGGCGCAACCCTTTTGGACCGTCCATGATATTTACCAAAAGGCCCTCCGGCAGGCGGAGAAAGCTGGCAGCTCCTCAGCCAAGCTGGAAAAAATAGCGCTGGTGCGATTGAAGAAGTTGGAACAAAAACACAATATGCATGTCCTGGTGGAAAATCTCGAGGCAGAGGCCAAAGCCAAGGGTATTGATTTAAGCGACGAAACGGACCAGGACGATGATGATGATGAAGGAGAGGGAGCTGTGCAGCAAAACACTCCCGATTGGGACGATGATTTCGACTTGAACACGCTCACCGACTCCGATGCCAGTGATTCCGATGAGACCGAAAAGCATCGTCCAGAGCGAACTACTCGTGGAGTTAGGTCGTTTACAATCAAAAAGAATAACAAGGGAGAGACTCAGTTGCACCAGGCCTGCATCTCCGGCAACCTAGAGCTGGCCAGACGCCTCATCGACCAGGGCCACACGGTGAATGTAAGAGATCATGCTGGGTGGCTGCCGCTTCACGAGGCATGCAATCACGGCTTTCGCGAGATTGTGGAGCTTCTGCTGGATAAAGGAGCCGCGTCTGCCATCAACGATAAGGGAGGAACAAGCTGCGATGGCATTACCCCCTTGTTCGATGCCTGCTCTAATGGTTTCCTGGACGTGGCTGAGCTGCTGCTGGACCGCGGAGCGGATGCCACTGTGCGAACTGATTACAACGAGACCTGTATCGAAGGCCTGGACAAGTGGCGCGAATCTGCCAAGTTGGTGGATGGAGAGCAGGCGCAATATGCTCAACTGAGGGAACGTCTGCACACTCTCTCCAAGGTGGGGATCTGCAATGACAAGAATGCTCGTCCTCTGACCAATGCCAACGTGAAGCGATCCAGTAGGGCCGAAAGAGCCATATCATCCGATGAAGACGAAGAGCAGGCTCTCCGCGAAAGCCACAGGCGCTCCCTCAGCCACAACCGCTCGGGGAGTGAATATGGCCCCAAGAAGTCCAGCAGTACAAGTCAACCGAACGCCAGTAAGGAGTACCGCAGTGTGATGGCCCAACTGAAGCGACCCAATCGTATCTCCGACGAACCGCCCATCAGTAGCAGTATTACCAAGCAGAAACGTAACGCATTCCTGGACGAGGGGGAGGTAGATGCCGACAATTGGCTGATCGACGATGTAGGACCCGAACGTAAACGGAAAAGGATTAATTCCGGAAACCTTAGCACTCGTCCCGCCAAGGAAAATCTCCAAGACTCGGTCTTGTCCCTTCCATCCACTTGGGACGATGACTCGTTCCTGCCCATACCGGAGCTGGATGCTTCCCAGCGACAAAAACAGATGCGAAAGCTGACTCTCTCCCGTTCCTCCAGTATGAGCAGCAATCACAGTAGCTCTGATGCTCCTGCGAGAAAAAATCATCAGTCTACTCTCATGGACAGTGGATTCAGTCGGTTTCGCAGCGAGAGTCCCTTGGGCAGTGAGTCCTCGGCCATCAGCTTGCGCACCATAGAACCCGACTCCACCACAAACACCATTCAAGTGCTCATCTCTCCGGCGAAATCATCGCCCATAAAAATTCAAACCACACCTGTTATGGCCACCACCGTTTCGTTTAAAGTTAAAGTCCAGGATGAGCTATTGCTGGTTCCCATAGAGCGCAAGAAGCTGCAAGACATCAACATGCGATGGTTGGCGGAAGAGGCAGGAAGGAGATACAATAAGTAATAAGAGAAAGATTATAATTTATTTGATAATAATCCTAAATATTAATTGTAGGTTGACTGGCTTGACACCTCTATTACGTTTGAAGACGGCGGATGGCTTTGCTTATGAGGAAACGGATCCTGTAAGCGTAGCTTTGGAGCAGAACATGCTACTGGCCACCATTCTGGATTGGAAAATCTCCCCGCTTTCACAAAGATATGAAGAGATGTGCCACCAATCACAAAAGGGTAAGACTTAATATATATCTATATACACCTCTATAATCTGCATTTTAGTTGTAGACAACAAGGTCAAAGTACTTTTGGAACGCTCCCAGAACACGCAAATGCTAGAACTCTCTGGCCTTTGGATGCGGGCCCACCAAACGGAGCCAATTTTTAAGGCCCTGATGCATCAGGCTCGACTAACTGTCTTGGATCTTTCCCGCAATTGTATTGGAAACGAAGGATGTCAGCAGTTGGCCAAGTCACTACCCACGCTTCTTCAACTCAAAGCCCTGAGGCTGCAATGCAATGCGATCGGCTCTCAAGGCTTGGAGGCTTTACTTTGCGGTCATGGCGTGGAGAAACTAGAGCTCTTGGAGGAGCTTCAACTCAGCCAGAATCCGTTGGGAAACTCCAGTCTTAGGATACTTAACAAATTCTGTGGCAGTCCAGCTGGTCGTGCCTTGACTTCACTGCAGATATCCCAATGCGAGCTGACGGAGCTGCAGGATTTCGACTTGGGTTTCAATCAACTGACCCGTTTCGATATGAGCTTCAACCAACTCACCCAGCAGAGCGTTCGCCGGCTGACTGAGCAGCTTAATAGTTGCCGCTTGGAATACCTGAATCTTAGCTACGTTCGGTGGCCCCTGGATAACGACAGTGGCTTCGCCTTGGGCGAGGCTTTGGTTACCCTTCTGGAGGGCGGCACTTGCGAACGATTCATCCGCGTGGAGCTCGCTGGTTGCGGGCTGTCGGATGCCCATCTGTACAAGATATGCCAGCACTTGGGAAAAGCCAAGCAACTCCAGTGGCTGGATATAAGTGATAACGCCCGATTGAGTGGCACCGCCTTTGGTTACATTTTGGATGAACTGCCTCAATTAAGGACACTAATTGCTACGAATTGTACGAATCTTCTGGATGATACGCGCCTTCAGAAACTCGAGGGACAAAAGCAGCTGCCGAAGCGCCTGGAGTTGACCGTCGATGGGCAGGTGTTCTCCATGCCTGGTGCGTTGGAGACTCTTGAATCCATTTGGCAGCTGCAGTTTGGCGACAAGGCCAAGATGCTAACCCTATCCAAGAGGAGAACGGGCCGAAGATACAAAGGAATCCTCAAACTTCTGGCAGATGAAAATGATATTTAATTCTTGTATTGTAGAAACCCCTAATTTTTATATTTTTCCCAATTTTTTTTTTATTGTTTGACAATTATAAAGCAACCCGTAGTACAGTCCTTATCGCACGTGAATACAGGGGGCCGAAAAGTAGAATCTAAGTGGGGCAGACACTCTTGAGTGCCCCCACTGGGCTTATCTAATCGCTGGATGATAGCTGGCCAATTTTTTGCCAGTTGGACGCAGATGAGTAGCCAGACTTTAGACCTTAGGGGGATAACTTGAGTGTACCAGGAATTTGGAAGTTAGTCAAAGGCACTTGTTTACTACTTACGTGCCATGGGGAAATTGTTTACAGACCCTTCTTCTAGATTAGATTAAGAGACAATTATTTCTTTTAATTATTTTACTTATTTTACTTTATTTATCGGACTTGTGAATGTGTGAGGTGATCGGTGATGAGCTAGCCTAAGTGGGATTGCTCTAGGAGCTGCCTCCCTTGGCGGCCTCGTACATGTTGCGGGAGATGATGAGACGCTGGATCTGTGAGGTGCCTTCGTAGATTTGGTAGATCTTGGCATCGCGCATCAGCTTCTCAACGGGGTATTCGCTGTTGAAACCGTTGCCGCCGAAGATTTGGACGGCATCGGAGGCAATCTTGTTGGCCACATCGGCGGCATGGCACTTGGCAATGGAGGCGTAGTAGCTGTTGCGGCGTCCCTGGTCGATTTCCCAGGCGGACAGGCGCCACGCCAGACGGGAGGTCTCCACGCCGATGGCCATATCGGCCAGCATGAACTGGACAGCCTGGTGGTAGGCGATTGGCACTCCGAAGGTCTTGCGTTCCAGGGAGTATTTCAGAGCCTCGTCCAGGCAGCGCTGGGCCAGACCCACGGCGCCGGCGGCCACTGGAGGGCGGGTCTTGTCGAAGGTGCCCATGGCGATCTTGAAGCCAGCTCCCTCGCCAATCAGCACATTCTCCTTGGGCACGCGGACATCCTCGAAGGTGATGCCACGAGTGTCGGAGGCGCGCTGTCCCATGTTCATCTCCTTGCGACCGGGGGTCAGTCCGGGGGTATCCCGCTCCACAATGAAACCGGTGAAGGCCTTGCTGGGCGGGCACTTGGGGTCGGGATTGGTGCGGGCCAGCACGAAGTACCAGTTGGCCACGCCACCGTTGGTGATCCACATCTTCTGGCCGTTGATGATGTACTCGTCGCCCTTCTTCTCGGCGCGGGTCTTGATGCCAGCGACATCAGATCCTGCTCCTGGTTCTGTCACACCATAGGCAGCCACCAGCGGCTCCTCCAGCAGACGTCCCAGGTACTTCTTCTTCTGCTCCGCGTTTCCGGACAGGATCACAGGTGTTTGCTAAAGAGGAAGGATAACATTTAGAATGAAAATCTTGGAATTGGGTGATATGTGGACTACTTACACCAAGACCACTGGCCTCCAGGGCGGTCATGATGCCGGTGCAGCCGTAGGCCAGCTCTTCAGCAGTGAGGCAGGTGGTGAAGACATCAAGATCCATGCCACCGAGGTCGGCGGGAATGTGGTTGTTCATCAGACCCAGCTCCCAGGCCTTCTTGATGATGGGCCACGGGTACTCGCCGGTCTTGTCGTACTGGGCGGCTACCGGGATGATCTCTTCCCGGGTGAACTTGCGAGCCAGCTCCTGCAGCTGCTGCTGCTCCTCGGTGAGGGCGAAGGAGGTTCCATTGGGCGACACCTGGGAGACGGCGGCATAGGCACGGCTCTGGGCCACCAACTGGCGGAGGGCAGGCGCAGCAAGCTATCATTTTGGAAAGGTTATGAAATGGTTATATTAGGTATAGCAATAGACGATCATTCTTTATGAATAATATAGAAAAGTGATGTATTTTGATGAATTAATTAGAGAAAGATATTTTTAATTGAAATGGTTAAGGGGAGATATGACTTTATCTATTATAAAAGTCATAAAAACTATAAAGACTATATACAAAATTTTAAAAACTTTCAGAAAGTTTCCTCAAACCTTAAAAACCTTAAACCGCTTTTTAACTTACGTATATATGTTTACGTTTAATTGTTACCCTATATCTTTTATTGGTATGCTTGATTTTTTAAACAAACAACATCTCGGGTAAATAAAATACGTATCAGTCATGATTATAAAGTTCACATTCCGTATTTAAATCGAGTGCAAAACCATTCGCCATTAGACGACGCTAATAATAATTTCCCGAGGGGGGCAAAGTACAGATTAGTGTCGCAGATAACCAAAAAATAAAAGTGTTTACGAAACCCACACAGCCTCATAAATATATATAAACTATATATACGATCAACAGTTGCTGTCGTCACTAGACTGTCAGGACTTTGACCTCCAAACTTAATATACTTTTTTTCACTTTCTCTTGGGCAGAGTAGGGTAACTGGTATGCTCACCTTGTTGAGGAACGCCATTGGGTGAATTCTGGTTATACTATTATTTAGTTAATTTAAGTAGGTCGCTGGGTTGCTTACTCGTCGACGGCTTGCAGCGAAATGATCCAAACGAGTTGTACATCTGCCGGTATAGCGAACAGCGAAGCTTGGACATTGGACTTTGTTGCGCTGGCAAGCATTTTATATATTTTTTTATATAGAGGGGTGGGAGATAACAAGACCATGTCTCGACATTTGTTTGCTCTTCTAATGTTGCTGATTTGCTTTATTTTACTTAGTTAAATGTTTAGTCTAAGTTTTAGGTTTCTTTTATTTAAGCATAACTGATATTTCTTCAAAAATGACACGCCCCCTTTTTCATAAAGACAAACAACCCATCATACCCTACATCAAATATGCGAAAACGTAATCATATGTTGACGTAACCTTCAAGAAACGTAAGGGAAAGCTTTCCCTCAAAGTACGTAAGCAATGCTTTTAGGTATAACGAGGTTCAAGGGTATATTCGACCTTAAGATACAAGTTTAAACCTTGATTTAGGAATAAATATAATCTGTTATTAAAATATTATGATAAGAAAGGTTACAATTATTTTGAAAATAATGATTTTATTATTAAGAATCTAAATATGTCATAAATATTAAAAAAAACAAAGCTTATGTCCATAATTTTCAGTTATGCATTCATTACAAAATAGCACTACATGAACAAAATGATAAAATATAGCACTAAAGTAAATAGTTACATAGTTTTATTAAAATTTTTGCTTTTAGAATTTTTTACAACAATTTCATTACCTTTCTTAAACTTCATATCCTGAAGAGTACCCCCAAAGTCGAAAGCATTTCCTTCCACCTGTTAGGGCCCTTGAAAAATTGGAGCATACTTTTCGGCATGACACAAATAGCTGAAACATGTTCTTCTGGCTGCGTTAAAAATAACAAAAAACAGCGTGTCACACACAGAGATGGCCCCCATCCACCTGCCCAGCATTTTCCAGCGAAATAAACTGGGAGTCCGTGACACAGTTGACAGCCAGATAAAAAAGCGAGCGAGTCGTGGAGGCATCATTAAATCACCATCAGATTTCGCATCCACTCAAAGTTATCAGCAGTATCGCTAGGGACGAGTAAGAGCTGGAGCAGAAGGAGGAGCAGAAGCAGGAGCAGGAGCAGGGAATCCCTTATCAGCCAGGCGCATAAAACAGGGTCCGGTTAAAGCTTCCGCCCAACCAGGACGACGGCGACGAGCTGCACGAATCGCCTGCCGAAGTGTTGTCGGGCGGCGGTCGGGTTGGGGGCGGCCGTTTTGGGGGTCCTGTGGCATCTAAGGCACAACTGGGATAGCTTGCTTCTAGGCTGCTCGCCAGTCAGTCATTTGACATTGCTCCTGCGAGAAGGTTGTCCGCGCTCCGAAATCCAGAATCCTCCGTCGCCATCGTCGCGTCCTGCGGATGAGTGAGTGAGAGTGTTAGTGTGCGGGTGTGTGTGTGTTTTTTAGCTACCCGTTGCCACTTCTGGGATACATATAAAAGTGCCACCCCCCCCCTACCCCATTCAAAATAAAATACCCCTCGCAGAGCAGTGAAAAATTAAACAAGTGTTACCTAAGCCCCAAAAAAATACAGTAGCTATAGAGAAGTAGTTTAAAGGTCTCGCCGAGATGGCCCAGTTTGTGACCCACATCCAGCCTACGCTGCTGGAGGCATCGCAAGGTCATGTCCCCCACCATCATGGACACCAAGTGGGAGTGCAGCACTCCTCCCATTTGCCCCACAGTGGGCACAACATGCCCTCGCCGCCCACTGCCCACAACCATCATCATGGACACGGGCACGGGCATAGTAGTGCTGCCCATCATTCGCATCCTCACAAGCCATCAAAGGATACTCATCATACCTCAACTGGACACACCTCCAAGAAGGACCACCACAGTCCTCCATCACAGGTATCTTCGCCTCCGGCGGAGCATCATCCCGATCATGTCGGACACTATGAGTACTTTCAGCACCAGCATGAGGTGGCCTTCCACCACGAAGGAGGAGCCAACAACAAGCACCACCACCAGCAGCAGCAGCAGCAACCACACCATCACCACTCCACCAACAAGCACGAGCACTGCCCCACAGGACACCAGAGTGCGGTGAGTCCTGCCTAGGATTACATCATTGGGAGCGGGTAGAGTTCTTGAAAAAAATAGATAGTCACGAGATCTGGAAGGGCTATAAAAAAAATGAGTTAGAGGTGACCTTACATTTTCAGAGTTGCAGTCGTAAAGTTTTTAGGAACATTTTAAATATTTATATGGGTAATGTGTCCTTACAAGGACGAGGTCATTTGTCCTAAAAGTAAATATGGCCAGGAAAATGAAGAAAGTTTTAAAAGCAAGTCCCCCCCTTTTTAACCCTAAACTTTAAAAGGCTTAGCATATGAGTAATACAATTTGTTAAAGTATCCTTATCATCCTTAAAGTGAATAATGTGCCTAATCTAAACCATTTTATGTCGTCCTTAAATCACTTAGGGAGGAGCTGACACACAATAATGCTATCTACTTAGTTAGGCCAGAGAAATCTGACACAAATCATCCTTGAAAAGGGCACAACTTTTTTTGTGGCATCATCTTGGTTAGTCACATCTTGGAGCTGGAAAAAACCCATCCGCCCGTTCACCCCCTCCCCTTTCTGGAGATGACGCAATCGTGATCCTTGGACTGACTCTATCCGCAATGCCAAATGAGTCACCATCAGGGGCAGTGCGCATCCGTTGTCCTTGCGGGGGCATTAACAACTTCGGTGTGGCGCCTCCGTAGCGGCCACATAACTTCTCTGATTTGGATGAGTAACAGTCCTGAGAAATGAAAGCTCTTTCGGGCCAAATTGTACGCATTGTTTTAGCCTTTGCACATAAATAGCCAACGCCAAGTGGCTAAATGTTTGGGGCTAAACGTTCTCTTTGGCCATACTCTTTGGATTTGGCATAGTCCGACGATGTCTGGTCTTCGTAGTCGGGTCTATTATATTCTATTCTGTACTGGGGCTCTCGTCCGACGGGGCGCATTCGAAAATAATTCAGAAAACGACTCAAATCGCTCGGTGCGGCTGCCGCGTGAGGCCCTCTAGACATCTAGACAATATTTAGATATATACGCGTATATATTCCAATTTATTGGCCCGCTAGTTAATGTGCCTTCGTGGATAAGCAGGAGGGAGATCTAGCCAAATGGAGACGCTGAAAAAACGCTTCCCGTCGCTGCAGAGTTTGGGCGTAAGTTGCCACGCTACCTTGGACTCATTTTATGTAATTTGGGGAGGAGGGGCACTGCCTCCCGCCTCGTCATCTCGGCATCTGTTTGGGGTCGCCCTATAAATACGAATATTGCGAATATCGCGGCGAGGAATTTTACAATTTTTATAATATTATGCGTGAGTTGTTTTTGAGTTTAGCTCGGGTGTGTGTGTCCGTGTTGTTGCCCCTCGGGTGCAGTGAACTGAACACGGTGAAAATGTTTCCATTTTTTCCTCTCATTTTACCCAGAAATTACCTGCGATATATATTTTTTTGGCGTGCCCAATTTAGGTTGCGTTTTTTGAGGTCGTAAGAATTATGGGCAATCACCAGGCTGGTAATTTACTTAGGGCATGGCCCCAGAAACATTCCTGCCACGTCGCAGGTCCTGGCGCTGGGGGGAGGGACTTTGAAATATCATATTGCAGGCGACAGCCCACAGCGACATGGATGCTAACACAAATATTAACTTAAATGAGGGGGAGGTTTCAAAAGTGGTTATATTTTCACAAAAACGAATTTTGAATACTCTTTAAAGGCTTAAATATTAGCTAAATATTTGGTAAAAAATTTACAAAATTTAAGTTCTAAGATTCTTTGATGCCAGTCCACTCCTGAGACTCTTTTACTTTTAAAATTTTTAAGAAATCTTCTGTTTTATTATATGTAAAATTAGAAATACATACTCTGAAGTAAATATCGTAACAGATCCATAAACTCTATTATATTTCGAGACAAAACATTTCCATTTCCCCGAGGGCTTATGCAAGAAAACAATCCAAGAAAACAAAAGTAATTAAGAACCTATCAATTGTATGCGAATGAGAATAGAATACCCTGTTCAATTATTAATTAAGACACAAATAAATGACAGTGTCCTCAGGCACTGGGAGAGTATAAACATGGCTGGAGTGCCAGGTGACATGCAAACAAGCCATTTGGTTTCGGGCCAACCCTGCTGGGCAACTCGATGGGCTTTTGGCTTTAAAGTGCGACCGGGAAACCCCTTCAGTTGGCCAAAACAAAACAAACAGGCCATAAAAGGCCGAGCAAGCGGGAAGCTCTTTAATTAAATTCAAAAAAATTCCCACCACCTTATAGGTTGCAAGTTGCAGGTTGCCACCCACTCTTAGCCCTGTTAATTACCTGCAACGTGATTCACGCACACCCAGCCAGGGTCTATTATTTACTGCAGAATTTGTCCCGGTCACGATGCAGTTAGTAATGCATTTTTATGCAAGTGCAGGAAGGGGGTGGATTCAGTAAGCAGTGGGGTTTCTAAGGGTTCTGCCTTGAATAGAGCGAAGGGTGGGTTTCCTGCCCAAGAAATTAAATTAATGGCACTGTCAGAATAGTGCCTTTGTGCCTTACTGGAGGCACAACGTGACCAGGAATTCATACGCATCCGATTGGGATTTTTAACCAAGCTCATAGTATCTTGGAGGGTGGGTTTTGGGGTGTCTTTTTTCGAACTGGACCTGTTCGAAACGGGAAGTAAACAAAGTCCAGTTGAGCGGCGCAACTGCGTAGAAGTCACTTCTCGGCTGGAAGTAAACCCAACCCAAAAGCCAAGCCATTTCCCGCCAACCAACTGTGGATTGTGTGCTCTCGGCCTGGCCTCTATTTGCTCCCGGTCAACAACGTTATAGCCGGGCCGGCAGATTATCTAGGGGAAGAACCATTGGGTAATTTCATCTTTTTTTCGTTGTGTACTTACCTAATTAGTCTAATGTGCGAACTGAAATTGTCGTGGAAATATAATGCTATGAGTTTTATTGTGGCAGCAGTTAGGGAAAGAATAATGTGTGTTTTGTTAGGATAGTTACACCCTCAAAGGGATTAATTTAGTCCTGCAAATATTTGTGAGGAGTACTTAGGGGGTGGTTGCTCTATCTTTTAGGGCTTGCTTCATTAAAATTAAAAGAATTCTGAGAAGTAGAAAGTCTAGGCTCTTGTGTTACTTGAGATCTAAAGTGGTTTTCCAATGAAAATAATTTTTATTGATTAAAAAAACCATTAAACAAACTTGTTCTTGAGTTATATCCCCCTAAGGGGATGAAAAACAACAACAGTCTTTTAAAAGAAAAACATTGTTTGTAGGGCTTTCTTATAGTATATATTTCATCCCCATATTAAAAAGTCCTGCTCTTGTCAGAAAACAACGAATTAATCTAAAAAATCATGCAATTCCCTCAATTTGCATGGTTCAGCTACTTTGCAAAAAATAAGCCATTATATCTACCAAAAAATTGCCTAAAAACAATTAATTTTAGTACGCAATGGCAGGACCTCTTTCTTTAACTTCCTTGAATGCACGTGCTACCCGATTATCAAAAGTGTCAACAATAACAAAGGGCACGTGCCCTGAAGGGAGAGATTGCATTTCGGAGTTCGGCCTCTTTCTCGAATAACTTCCGCTTCCACTGCCACTTTCACGGGAGCCGCTTCTTCCAGTTGGGTGAACTACCCTTGGATTTTTAGGGGTGGCATTCCAATTGGAACAGGGCCAAGTGCGCAGGTCCTTCGAAATCCTGACTTTGAAGTTTTTGGTTTCCACCACTGGCGACAGGACTCGGCGGCGCATCCAGTCTGGAGTTGAACATCGAAGAAAACGGCAGCAACGAAAACTGCTCCTCGAAACCGTGACATTTTTGAAGGCACTGTGTGAGAGCAGTCAGGAGAATCCAATCAGACACCAATACACACTAACCCCGACACGCACACACCCGACACAGTCGCCTGTACGAACACACCCTCGCGCACACAATCACACACTCGTCCACACACACCCATGCACTCGTGAATATATAGCTTACATAAAGTCTAAGGAAAAATCGATAGGAGTGCATTAAAAATTCCGAAAAAAAAAAGATTTCTCAATTAAGTGTGATTTTCCGACGCGAAACATAAACTTTTTGGCTGTAAATGTTTGTGAGGGACCCGTGAAAAAATATGACTAATCTGCTACAGTGACGACATACGCTGCTTACACAATTTCTCTACACTACAATTAATCGCAGACTCATAACTATAGCCGGAAACCGAATAATTGGCTAAAATGGTCACCGAAAATGGAGCTCAGGTAAAGACAAGTTTTCCATTTTGAATTTTCAGTGGCCTTTTCAAGGCTCCAAGCAGAGATTTTCGGGGAGCAGCCATGTTGGCGTCCATTTTGTGGATTATCGATTTTTCATTGTCTGGCTGAAAAAGTGCAGTTAATCGGGAGAATATATTACCGATTGTAACTGTTTCAAGATACTTTAAGGATATTTAAGCTATAGATGTTAGGTTTTTCTTTATATCCTTAGAAAAGTTATGATTTTCTTGTCTTTGAGGATGATTATTGATTTTTCATTTCATCAAAAGTCACCCATTAATTTGTGGGCGTTGCAGGCCATTGTGATTTGTGTCTAAAAATAGTCTCTGTACTAACCAGTGGCAATGCAAAGTAATTGTAGCCAAGTGGTGGCTCACAGTGGCACCACCACCCGCTATCCTTTTATTAATCGAAACCGAGAACTGGGTGTGGTACGTGCGTGTAGAACTGTAGCTGTATAAGGTAATCGAGATTTAGGTTAAACCTAGATGACATGCGACACATTCACGACGGAACGGCCAGAAAATCCATATTAGATGACTCACTTTTTCATCTGTTCTTGTCCCCGCTGAGATGCATTAGGAGATTGTTTGTTGCTTCCATCTAAGGACCTCCACTTGGACATCGATTAGGCGTGGAGAGCATGATTTCAAGTGGCTACGTGGCCACACAAGTTCAAAGCAAATCCACTTCAAGGCGAAACTCCTTTAGTCGAGCACTCAATTTTGCCAAGTTGAGCTTCTCGTTATTATACAATGAGCTGGGGAGGGAGAAGAGCCAAGGACCTGCCCAAGAACCTTTGAACTTTTGGCCCATGTCTGTGCGACACCTCACCCTAGACACTGAAAAAAAAACTAGTTATAGGTTGGGGCTTACTGGGATCTTTGGGAATGTTCATAGGAATATACTCTGCTTTCAAAAACTACTAACTTTTCATTACAAAACTTAAATGGCTTTTTAATAATTAGACCAAGAACTATACTATATATAATATGATGTATAATATATATACTATGTGTAAAATATATTTCCTCTTAGAATGTCTCATAAAATCCTCTTTAAAAAAAAGAAAAAATCCTTTTCCTCAGTATAGTTAAACAAACACCCATCCGGAAGCAGTCGGCGCAAACAAGCTCCTTTTGAAATCGTATGTGTATATGCCCGGGGCATTTGAAATGAGTTTTGTATATCCTTCACACACTTCCGTGTTTGCCAAGCAGGCCGGAGTGTAGGCGGTGGGTGGGAGCGTGAATGGCCTGGTGCATTGGATCGTTTGGGGCATTGGATGGTGAGGATTTGAGTGCCAGGAAGCAACGGGTCTGGCGGGCGTCTGTGCTGCGGTCACCTCCAGTGCGAATTTTTTGGCCGCTACTTCCAGTCGCGAAATACTCACCACTAAAGTACCGAATGCCGACTTCCAGTTGCAGTTTTAAGCGGCCGGGAAAATGACGTCATTTTCGAACTCGAATCCGGATCCGGGTAACCGAATTGGGGGAAGAAACAAAACGTAAACAAAACGTTGGTGGTTAAAATCGACAGCTGAGTCCGGCCCAGGGGTTGGGCTCCGAGTGGGTGGTTCCTGGCCATTGGACCGAATTATTCCTACACCTGCGCCAAAAGCCGGATAGTGGAATACGGCGGAGCAGTATATATGGAGGTGACCCCTCGCCTTGACCGACACGACTTGAACTTGAAGCTAACGAGCAGGTGCAAAAATAAAAAGCGATAGGCAACCATCTGGGGAGTTGCGCAACCTAGGTAACAATCAATAAAACTCCAAGTGCACCCACTACCCCCGGCCAGGTTTTTGGCCAGGTGATGTATACGCAATTGGCACGCAACTGCCACAAAAAGCGAGATGGAAAGTTTCCGGTTTGGCGGAAAGTTTGCGAAGATAGATTGCATTGCGGTTGATAGGAAGTTATTTCTCGATGACCTTTTTCTTTTCAGATAGTTTGGTAACAAAAAACAACAGTTTTTGTTACTTAATGTAGTCTAAGGGAAGGCAATTAGGTAGTACTTTAAATAGATATTTCAGGGAGCTTCAAAGAGTGTCTTAAGGTTAAGGTTGACATAGATCTTGAAGCATACTTTATTACAGGACTACGATACTTTCTCCGATAATTTTCGAATTTTGTAAAACACCTTCAATCTCTTATAATCCTTTCAGGGTGATGGCAATACTTCCTTCCTCCGTGCCGCCCGCGCTGGCAACCTGGAGCGCGTGCTCGAGCATTTGAAGAATAATATTGACATCAACACCAGTAATGCGGTAAGCTTATAATAACTACGGCTTTTAATTTCAAAATTATGACCTTTTAATCTTTCTTAGAATGGCTTGAATGCTCTGCATTTGGCCTCCAAGGATGGCCATATCCATGTGGTCTCGGAGCTGCTGCGTCGCGGGGCGATCGTGGACAGTGCCACCAAAAAGGGCAACACCGCTCTCCACATCGCCTCGCTGGCTGGTCAGGAGGAGGTAGTGAAGCTGCTGCTGGAGCACAACGCCTCTGTCAATGTGCAGTCCCAGAACGGATTCACGCCCCTCTACATGGCCGCCCAGGAGAACCACGATGCTGTGGTTCGCCTGCTCTTGTCCAATGGCGCCAACCAGAGTCTGGCCACCGAAGATGGCTTCACGCCTCTCGCCGTGGCCATGCAACAGGGTCACGACAAGGTAGTGGCCGTACTCCTCGAGAGCGATACTCGTGGAAAGGTCAGGCTACCGGCCCTGCATATTGCCGCCAAGAAGGACGACGTCAAGGCAGCTACCCTTCTCCTAGATGTAAGTATCACATCCCTCATCATGTAAAATATTTATTTATATTTAATGAATCCTTCAGAATGACCACAACCCGGACGTAACTTCCAAGTCGGGCTTCACCCCGCTGCACATCGCCTCCCATTACGGCAACCAGAACATTGCCAATCTGCTGATCCAGAAGGGCGCCGATGTCAACTACTCGGCCAAGCACAACATCAGTCCCTTGCATGTTGCAGCCAAGTGGGGCAAGACCAACATGGTCTCCCTCTTGCTGGAAAAAGGTGGAAACATTGAGGCCAAGACCCGGGATGGGCTTACCCCTCTGCACTGTGCCGCTCGCTCGGGACATGAGCAGGTGGTGGATATGCTGCTGGAGCGAGGAGCTCCCATCAGCGCCAAAACCAAGAACGGACTCGCTCCACTGCACATGGCCGCCCAGGGTGAGCACGTGGATGCCGCCCGCATTCTCCTGTACCATCGTGCTCCGGTCGACGAGGTCACCGTGGACTATCTGACCGCCCTCCATGTAGCCGCCCATTGTGGTCATGTGCGTGTGGCCAAGTTGCTTCTGGACAGGAACGCCGATGCGAATGCCAGGGCTCTCAATGGATTCACGCCCTTGCACATTGCCTGCAAGAAGAACCGCTTGAAGGTGGTGGAGCTGCTACTGCGTCATGGTGCCAGCATTAGTGCCACCACGGAGAGTGGATTGACGCCACTGCATGTGGCCGCCTTCATGGGTTGCATGAACATTGTCATCTATCTGCTGCAGCACGATGCCAGTCCCGATGTACCCACTGTGCGTGGGGAGACGCCACTCCATCTGGCCGCTAGAGCCAACCAGGTGAGTTTGTTAATACTCTTCAATGTTATCGGTATATGCTATAATCCTTTAATCCTTAGACCGACATCATTCGAATCCTGCTGAGGAATGGCGCCCAGGTGGACGCCCGTGCCCGAGAGCAGCAGACTCCTCTGCACATCGCCTCCCGACTGGGCAACGTTGACATTGTTATGCTTCTGCTGCAGCATGGAGCTCAGGTGGATGCCACCACCAAGGACATGTACACAGCACTGCACATTGCCGCCAAGGAGGGCCAGGACGAGGTAAAGGAGCTGATTGCCAAAAAGATCACCGATCACATCGACACTGTTTACCTGATGCAATTGTTTTGGATCCGTCATCAGGAGTTTTTCATTTGATCCTTTATTTCGACGATTTTTCCTTTTTTCCACCCGACGAGTATTCACTTTTGTGTTGTTGTCTTTTTTGCGTTTGTCTCGAATAAATGTTGTGACTCTTTTTTAAGTATTTTTGAATTTTGGTTTTATTTATTTAAATTATTTTTTAAGTTTTATATGCAGTATATATTGGGATTTCATTAAAAAATTATTGATTTTGTTTGTATGCTTTTGCTTTTAATAGTATCTTGTATTGTCGAACTTTGATTTAAAATTCTTTATTATTTTGATTTTTAGAATTGAAAATTATGTTTTTTCAGTGTATTTTTGAAACAATCTTTCACTAGAAAAGTACAATTTATTTAAAATTTGTGAGAACAAGGCAGAATTTGAAAGTTCTACCATTTATTTGAATTTTTTGAAAACCTTTCCTAGGTGGCTGCTGTACTTATTGAAAATGGTGCCGCCTTGGATGCCGCCACCAAGAAGGGCTTCACGCCCCTTCATTTGACCGCCAAGTATGGACACATCAAGGTGGCCCAGTTGCTGCTCCAAAAGGAGGCCGACGTGGATGCCCAGGGCAAGAATGGAGTTACCCCGTTGCATGTGGCCTGCCACTACAACAACCAGCAGGTGGCTTTGCTGCTCCTCGAGAAGGGAGCCAGTCCTCATGCCACGGCCAAGAACGGGCACACACCCCTCCACATTGCCGCTCGCAAGAATCAAATGGACATAGCCACCACTCTGCTGGAATACGGAGCCCAGGCCAATGCCGAGAGCAAGGCCGGCTTCACTCCACTCCACTTGAGCAGCCAGGAGGGTCACTCTGAGATTTCCAACTTACTGATTGAACACAAGGCCGCCGTGAATCACCCGGCCAAGAACGGACTCACCCCGATGCATCTCTGCGCCCAGGAGGACAACGTGAATGTGGCGGAGATCTTGCAGAAGAATGGAGCCAATATCGACATGGCCACCAAGGCAGGCTACACCCCGCTGCATGTGGCCTCGCACTTTGGCCAGGCCAATATGGTCCGTTTCCTGCTGCAGAACGGGGCCAATGTGGATGCGGCCACCTCGATTGGGTATACTCCGCTCCATCAGACCGCCCAGCAGGGGCACTGCCACATTGTGAACCTTCTGCTGGAGCACAAGGCCAATGCCAATGCCCAGACCGTCAACGGACAAACTCCGTTGCATATTGCCCGCAAGCTGGGCTACATCAGTGTCCTGGACTCCCTGAAGTCCATTACCAAGGAGGACGAGGGCTCTCCAGCCCCTGCCCAGACCGAGGAGAAGTACCGCGTCGTGGCTCCCGAGGCCATGCACGAGTCCTTTATGTCCGACTCCGAGGAAGAGGGCGGTAGGTATCTCCTTTCTTTGAAACCCCAAATCCTAATCATAAGCCACATGATCACAAGAATCACCAGATCGGAAGATCACAGCCCAGCTAGTCAGCCAGCACACAATCAACACAATGCACTCCCCCGCCCAAAAAAAAATAGTTTAAAGATATCTAGTTTTAAGCAAATCCTGTTCCCTGTGCCGTCAGGTAACACTAACTGGGAACTGGACGCCGGATACGAGTACGGCATTGGGCCAGGTCGGTCAGATGCCCACGTCTATCTGCCGTACTACCAGGGCGACCATCTCTATGTGACCAGTAAGTGGGCCAACTCACTTGCAAGTCCAGAAACCGTATTCGTATTTATATTCGTATCTTAAATGCTGGCCGTTATCAAGTGCACTAATTGGCTGTGTCTTTGGATCGTGATTGGTTGTCATACAAAATATATATAATCGCAAAAAGTTTGGCACTTTATATGGGGCTACAATGTGTATAAATGTGTAAATTATTCTTGACGTTGTTGTTGAGCAAGGATATACCGTCTTCTAGCTACTTTCCTTATCCTTGCTATCATTTCTATATGCATTTGCTTCAAGTTTATTTAAAGAGTTATATTCAAGGATAGGGTTGGGTAAAGATTATATACTGATGACTAAACTATTTTAAAATATTAACTTAGTATATCCTTTAATGATATATAATAGACCCCTAAATCTGCAATATTACAAATGGGGTTTTAAATTACTTAAAAAAAGAAAGTATTTTCCTATCAAGACTTAAACTTTTAAAGAGTCTCTACATATTTATTTCAATTGAAAATTTCCAACATCCTTTTAAAAAGTACTCCTATTTCTTTAACAGAAAAGAATTTTAAAGTTTTTATCAATACATATATATCCAAGAAACTTTTGAGTAGGTTGTCAGTGTGAAGGTGGAAATCAATATACTCGTAATCGCGGCATGAAAATATGTATTCTTGTGTGTATGTACTACCTACTATCATCATATCCATGTACTATATGCTCCTATTAATGGTCATGCTAGCTTTACATACTATATCACCCCCAATATGCATATATATAATTATAAATATATTTATTCTACCGATTATAAAGTGAAGCATGTAGATTTACGAAATTTTTTAACTAAAATCAAACTCATTTGCATTCTTCTATTTTCAATGCACTGCGCTCTCTCATCTGCCACATCAATAAATACCAACAACCGACTCCAACACCACAACAAAAACAAAAACACCAATACAACAAAAATATAAACAACAACAATATGACAACAATATAACAACAACAACGCTATATGGCCAATTGGACTGTCTTGTGCTTAATAAAAATGCAAATGCTGCGGAATGCCCTCGAATCGCATCGAAATCGAACAAAAACTCTAGGCGAAGACAATATGCTATCAGATCAACCATACCGCTATCTGACCGTTGATGAAATGAAATCCCTAGGCGACGACTCCCTACCGATCGACGTGACCCGGGATGAGCGTATGGACTCCAACCGGATGACCCAGAGCACGGAGTATGCCTCCGGCGTGCCGCCCACCATCGGCGAGGAGGTCATCAGTCCCCATAAGGCCCAGGTATATGGCAGCTCACCCAAGGCCACCGTGGATGGGGTTTACATTGCAAATGGATCTGGACACGATGAGCCACCTCATGTGGGGTAAGTAGAATGAAAATGGAATGGCTACTATTTACAATGTAGGATTTTTTTTTGACGTGCTCTTTTTATACTCTTCCAGTATAAGTCCGAACGGCCATATCAGCCAACTATTTCCTATAGCTGCCATATAACTGTTTGATTAAAAATGTCAAAACTTCGGTATTTTTACAGTTAGAAAGTTAAGATTTGTTAAAGATTCTATTTTGGGCAAAATTTTGCGACATATATTTTCATAGGAACGGATCCCCATCATATAGGAACGTATCATATAGGGGAAAGCCCCATTTTCAAGGGGTCCTATCAGAAAAATGGACAAAAAATCTAAAAAATATTTTGTCTCAGGATTTTGATGCAGATCATTAGAGAATTCGTTTAGAAATCGTTTAAGATACTCCGCTTGAGAATCGGATCAGAATTGCCCAATTTTCCAATTTTCAAGGGGTCTTATCGGGAAAATGGACAAAAAATTTAAAAAATATTTTGTCTCAGGATTTTGATGCAGATCGGTGGAGAATCGATCTAGAAATCGTTTAAGATACTCCGTTTGAGAATCGGATCAGAATTGGCGAAGATATAGCCATCACTGTGGACCCTATAGGGAAAACCCCATTTTCAAGGGGTCCTATCAGCAAAATGAACAAAAAATCTAAAAAATATTTTGTCTCAGGATTTTGATGCAGATCGGTGGAGAATCGATCTAGAAATCGTTCAGAATTGGGAAAGATATAGCCATCACTGTGGACCGTATAGGGGAAAACCCCATTTTCAAGGGGTCCTATCAGAAAAATGGACAAAAAATCTAAAAAATATTTTGTCTCAGGATTTTGATGCAGATCGGTGGAGAATCGATCTAGAAATCGTTTAAGATACTCCGTTTGAGAATCGGATCAGAATTGGCGAAGATATATCCATCACTGTGGACCCTATAGGGGAAAACCCCATTTTCAAAGGGTCCTATCAGAAAAATGGACAAAAAATCTAAAAAATATTTTGTCTCAGGATTTTGATGCAGATCGGTGGAGAATCGATCTAGAAATCGTTTAAGATACTCCGTTTGAGAATCGGATCAGAATTGGCGAAGATATAGCCATCACTGTGGACCCTATAGGGAAAACCCCATTTTCAAGGGGTCCTATCAGCAAAATGAACAAAAAATCTAAAAAATATTTTGTCTCAGGATTTTGATGCAGATCGGTGGAGAATCGATCTAGAAATCGTTCAGAATTGGGAAAGATATAGCCATCACTGTGGACCGTATAGGGGAAAACCCCATTTTCAAGGGGTCCTATCAGAAAAATGGACAAAAAATCTAAAAAATATTTTGTCTCAGGATTTTGATGCAGATCGGTGGAGAATCGATCTAGAAATCGTTTAAGATACTCCGTTTGAGAATCGGATCAGAATTGGCGAAGATATATCCATCACTGTGGACCCTATAGGGGAAAACCCCATTTTCAAAGGGTCCTATCAGAAAAATGGACAAAAAATCTAAAAAATATTTTGTCTCAGGATTTTGATGCAGATCGGTGGAGAATCGATCTAGAAATCGTTTAAGATACTCCGTTTGAGAATCGGATCAGAATTGGGGATGATATAGTATCACTGTGGACCCTATAGGGGAATACCCAATTTTCAAGGGGTCTTATCGGGAAAATGGACAAAAAATTTAAAAAATATTTTGTCTCAGGATTTTGATGCAGATCGGTGGAGAATCGATCTAGAAATCGTTTAAGATACTCCGTTTGAGAATCGGATCAGAATTGGCGAAGATATAGCCATCACTGTGGACCCTATAGGGGAAAACCCCATTTTCAATGGGTCCTATCAGGAAAATGGACAAAAAATTTAAAAAATATTTTGTCTTAGGATTTTGATGCAGATCGGTGGAGAATCGATCTAGAAATCGTTTAAGGTACTCCGCTTGAGAATCGGATCAGAATTGGGAAAGATATAGCCATCACTGTGGACCGTATAGGGGAAAACCCCATTTTCAAGGGGTCCTATCAGAAAAATGGACAAAAAATCTAAAAAATATTTTGTCTCAGGATTTTGATGCAGATCGGTGGAGAATCGATCTAGAAATCGTTTAAGATACTCCGTTTGAGAATCGGATCAGAATTGGCGAAGATATAGCCATCACTGTGGACCCTATAGGGGAAAACCCCATTTTCAATGGGTCCTATCAGGAAAATGGACAAAAAATTTAAAAAATATTTTGTCTCAGGATTTTGATGCAGATCGGTGGAGAATCGATCTAGAAATTAAGGTACTCCGCTTGAGAATCGGATCAGAATTGGGGAAGATGTAGCCATCACTGTGGGCCATATAGCTTTTTTTGACATTAGAAGTCATAGGCCAGAATTTTGTTTTTTTAGGATTATCGTTTTTTTCCCATTAAGAGGGTTTTGAGAAGAAATGTAAATCCTTTTATATAAAGAGTGAACTAATCTTTGAAACCTTTACAGCCGTAAACTAAGCTGGAAGAGCTTCCTGGTCTCCTTCTTGGTGGACGCCCGTGGAGGCGCCATGCGAGGCTGCCGTCACAGCGGCGTCCGCATGATCATACCCTCGCGCTCCACCTGCCAGCCGACGCGGATCACCTGCCGCTACGTGAAGCCGCAGCGCACCATGCATCCGCCCCAGCTGATGGAGGGCGAGGCCCTGGCCAGCCGAGTGCTGGAGCTGGGTCCGTGCTCCACCAAGTTCATTGGGCCGGTGGTCATGGAGGTGCCGCACTTCGCCTCGCTGCGTGGCAAGGAGCGTGAGATCATTATCCTGCGCTCGGACAACGGCGAAACCTGGCGCGAGCACACCATCGACAACTCCGAAGAGATAATCCACGATGTCATGCAGCAGTGCTTCGAGCCGGAGGGTGAGTGGATGCTGCGATATCTAAACTATCCAAAATATAATTTTAATATTGTTTTCTCCGTATAGAAATCGCTCAACTGGAGGAACAGGCTGGCAACCATGTCTGTCGATTCGTCACCTACGACTTCCCCCAGTACTTCGCAGTGGTATCGCGCATCCGCCAGGAGGTGCATGCCATTGGACCCGAGGGCGGTATGGTGTCCAGCACCGTGGTGCCACAGGTGCAGGCCGTCTTCCCCCAGGGAGCACTCACCAAGAAGATCAAAGTGGGCTTACAGGTAAACCTCTTTAAACCGCGCAAGGGCGTTGCGCCTGAGAAATTGCGCAAGATTAGCGTCAATCATGTGCCCAAGAAGAAGCGCTTCTCGCTCATCTGGTAAATCAGCCACCAGGGCAGTTATCTATCTAACTATAATCCGAAAATACCAAATAGCCAACATATATAATCGAGCATTTAATCTACAACTTCCCAATGAATATCAAAAGAAAATAATGCAAAATATGTTTTCCAAATCGAAAATGAGCATTTATAGCCGAAATGTCCTATAACCAGTAACTAATAACCATCTATGTTAACCCGCCCAAACTCCTGTGTAGCCAGATAAAGTAGAACAATAGTCCAAAGTTTTGTTTACAGTGCGTTAGTAGTTTGATTTGTAAACACTGTAAAGAAACTTTTGTGCTGTCCTTCCAAATGTTATTACTCGTATGAAATATGTGCACTTTGTTTGATTATGTATTGAGACACACATTTAGGAACTTTACGGCACTAAGCTTATGGGAGCCATTGTCGAATCGGTATCCTCATGCCTAACCAAATCACAACTGCTATGCAACCAGTGACATACAATAATATCTATTATACCAATTGAATTTGATCATGGATCAAGCGATTTCTGTCAGATCGCATATTTTTTCGTAAAGCTTGAAAAAATCCGCAATGCAAAAAATAAAAGGCAAGAGCAGCAAAAATTGTCCAATTTGATAAGTCAAATAAAAGTAACATCTATATCGAATATTATGATACATTTACCTATATAATAACTACTCTTAACTATTCATACATTATTTATGATTATTATCTACTTATGCATAAGATTATACTTACAAGTTATCTGAAATGCAGTACTACCCAATAAATTTAGTTCAACAAAAACTTTATGCCAATGAAAATGTTTTAATTAGTTTTTGTTTGATTACTTTTTCAATTCAATTGCTTTTTCAAAAAAAAAAAAATAGTAGAGAGAAAAAAAATATTTAAATAAAAGAGAAAAAGTGGTGAAAAAATGTTTCGAAAGTTACAATTGGGTCCGGTTTGAAGTGCCTAACGAAGTTGTAACCATTTTAGCCAAGCCGTAAGCCAAAAAACGATTTTATAATGGCCCCACTCATGATTTTCAATTTTTCGCACGTTTTATTTGCATTTATCTGTATATTCTGTAAATTTTCCAAACTAATTTTTCTTAATATTATTCCATTTAGTTTTGTACATTCTGTATAGTTCAGTTCTCTATTTAGTATTTTAGTTGTAGTTCAAAGTTTTTTTGATGACTAAATTTATTGGGACATAAATGGGCTCGAACATTGTTATCGTTTGTAGTTAACTTATGCTGTATTTTAACAACAAAAACCATGAAAACGATATGCATAAACATCAAACAGAATAAGCATTGTACAAAAAACATGAAAACCTAAAAAGATGATAACAAATTTAATGTTTTGTGTCGAATTGAGAATGTTCACCATTTAGCCCAAATGCTCATTTCATTTTATTTGTCTTTATTGTTTCAATTCCTTACAGACAAGAAGCGCATATTTCGTATGATATTTTCAGTTGTGATCTTTAAGTTTTCTATATATTTATGTTGAAGTCATTGTATTGTGTAAGCGTGGCCGGGAAATCGATTTTTGTCTACCGAAGTTCGTTACACTCGTTCTAGGCCCAGCCGGTCGATCCCGATCTAACCGCCAAGCTGCTCGGCCGTGGGGTGGCCGTATCCCCAATTGTTACGGTTGAGCCGCGGCGCCGCAAGTTCCACAAGGCCATCACCCTCAGCATGCCCGCCCCCAAGGCCCACAGCCAGGGGATGATTAATCAGTACTCCGGAAACACTCCCACCCTCCGCCTGCTCTGCTCGATCACAGGTAAGTTGTAGCCAGCCGATCTGGTCCGATCTGGTGTTTCGGTCTTTTGTGTTGTTTGTACGATGTGATCCAAGCCAGTTATTATCAAAACCATTTACTTACGACTATTACGAGTATATCCAGTTTCATTACCATTTTCATTAAGTTAGTTGATGTTTTTTGAATCCCCGATTTTGATACCCAAACTTCCACATCCCTCTTCCGTTTCTCTCTATCTTAACTAACTTATCTGTCTCTATATACATATATATATCTGTCTCAGGCCTTCATTTCCTTCATTCCTGGTTATGATATTATTTTTTTCAGTGTATACGGTTTGCTTTCGTTGAATTGAGTTTGTACGTGCTTCCGTTTTGGTTGTTTTCCTTTCGATTGTCTATAAACATTTAGAATACAAGTATCTCATGTGCTAATAAGTAGTACTATATATATACCATACATGCCATATATAAACTATATCCCAACCTATACATAGTGTTGTACAGCGGAAATTGCCAATTCAAAAATTAACTAATTCCAAACTCTGGGAAAGGATGCAATGTCCTTCCGCCTTGAAATTAAGACAGAATTGAAGCGCAAAAAATATCTAGAAAATTAGTTTGTTCGACCCATCCGATTTGGCTTGTGTCTGTGTGTAGATTCGTAACCATAAGTTGTGTTCGTTCGGGTTCCGGCAGGAGCCCGCATCGTATCCTTTGGAACTTTAGCCAGTTGTAGAACATTCGTCACTCACACAACCTGCATTAACCACAGTCACTCCACAATTAAAGATACAGATACAACAAGAACAAATACAGATACAGATACAGATACAGCAACAAGATACAGATTGAAATACACTCAGATTTAAACTCAGATCGATCCAAAAACCAAATCAAATGTCATGTCTCTTCATTGTGCCAGATGATGGTGGTGTTCGTTACCCTATTTTCGATTTGCGTTCGTTACCCATTCAGTTCGTTCATTCTAATTTTCAATGATTTCGGTTAAGATTTCGGTTTCGATTTCCATTTCGATTTCGTGTTGAGCAAAAACAAACCCAAACAAAACAAACTTCAATTCAATTCTTTGATTGATTGAAAACCTATTTAATTCTTCTATAATTTCGTACTAATGCGTCATTGCATATTATGTGCACGCATTCCGTTCTGTTTTCTCAATCCATTGAAGGTGTGTTTCGGAAAAGGTCTCTAAAAGGTAACTAAAACTGACTCAAATGTCACAAATACTAAAATAAATAATACAAATTCAGAAATTCACAAACATGTATGAAGTTTCAAATTGAAACCGTTTACAAAATAAGATCGTTATTTGTTCATATTTAGTTGTTTCGTTCTATGCCAACCAACAAAAAAAAAAAACCAAAAAATAATAATAATAATATAAAAAATAAAATATCTAACAGTAACAATATTATTGTATTGCAAAATGTGGCAAACAGCCGCCTATTTAAAGATAACAAATTTGACAAAATAAAAAAATTTGAAAATTCTGCATATTTTATTTATGATAAATTCTCTTGTTAAGAAACTATTGCAAATATTTCCAATAATTATTTTTCAACTTTTAAGCCCTAAACCCCTTATTTATTTTGTATTGGTTTTGTTCAGTTCTTCAGTTCCTAAGTTGCTGTCATTAAGTTCCTTAGTTCGTTTTTTGATAATTTGCTTAAATTCGGGTTGCGCTGCGTCTATATGGGTTTTACTGTACCAGAAGCTCAGGGTTATTCTTCTGTTCTGTTTTGGGGTCTGATCAGGATCCCCGCTCCATTGGCAATTCTCTATGCCACGATTACGCTTCCAGCTCAAAGCAGCTTAGTTTTTGAAGTAAGCCAAACTTTCCAATTTTTCCAATCTTTTTCGATCCTTAAGCTTGTCATGCAAACGTCCTTGCCGCCTTCTCTTTCTCTCCCTCTATCTCTCTCTCTGTCTAATCTCTCTCCCTCTAATATACAACCTAAGCGAATTTCTGACTGCACGCGGTTTATAACCCAATCTAATATATGTAACCTAAACTGCACAATTTCATTAAAGAGTTTGTAGGTTTTGTAAGCTAAACTACTAAACTAAATGCCAACTAAAGTTGCTCTTTGGGCCATTTAAACCGTAACAAATGCAAGGCAGACTGATTGTGCCGAGATTACCTTTGATTTATTCAGTTGTTTAGTTACCGATTCGGATCTTATCCCATATCTTATTAATACTAATATTGTAAGGCTATCCAGGCTTTATGATTCATTTCCGATTTACATACATTTTCGGTTGGAATGTCGTGCACCTGATTGTAGTTTGAGTTTCTGTTGTTTATTAAGCGTTAATAATTCTTATTGTGTTGATTGTGTTCAGTTCGTGTAAAATATTATGCAGAATCTTATGTCCCTCAATTGCTTTCCAAAACCAAAAATATCTAAGATTATATACATACGAAGATCAATTTTGAAAATCTACTGTTTGTGGCACCAAAGAGAACTTTTCTGAAACCCAACAAATGTCAACTATTGAGTAAGAAACTAAAGTCAAGCGATCGCTGTGGCAAGCCCAATAAATAATATCTAATTACAAACGATGTTTTGTTATTGTACCATACGAATATAAACATATAAAATCTATCAACCAGTTGACGATTTTTTAACATTCCCGAATTTAGTTCAAGTTGTTTTCGGTTCGAGTTTAGTTGGTTTCGTTTCATTTGGTTTGTTTTGAACACATTTACAAACAGAAACACGGTACACGCTCACTTATTTTACATTCAAGAGATACCAAGAATATGATTTTTTTTCCAAAATATTAAGCATGTTGTTTCGAAACGGCTTCAAAGTAAACGCAACAAGTACCCTAGTACTCGTACCTCTGTAAATGCTACAGCCCTACCAATCTATCCAGATATATGCTTGAATCAAGATGCCTCATGTAATACCAGTCATACCTCACCACACAACTCTTGACATTCAACAGACACGAACCACTCACCCACATCCATTCCATGCCACATAAAACAAGATACTTAATATTTCTAATACCTATCGCTATATAAATACGATTTTGATACTATACCATAAGTTATATACTTACAATAATACCTTTCAATAAAACTCCTATCTAAATGCTTTGTAATTAACACACACAATCGTAATTCTCTCTGAACAAGTTATTGTTTTGAGTTTATGGTTTCGTTTGTGAAATTAGTTCAACAATTTTGGAATTCAATTCAATAATTATCTGCTAATGAGACAACAGTAGAGTTTTCAAGAGTTTTTACATACATTTATGTAGTCTATGCGTAAACCCCATATCACAAGGTCTCCTGCCCGAAATTAAACGTCTCCTTTCCATCTACCTCCTCCATCGCCAGGCGGACCATCTCGGGCCCAGTGGGAGGATGTCACTGGCTCCACGCCCCTGACCTTTGTCAACGATTGTGTCTCCTTCACGACCACAGTGTCCGCTCGTTTCTGGCTGATGGACTGCCGCAATATTTCCGATGCCACAAAGATGGCCACTGAGCTATACAAGTATGTCTTGATATCCAGAAAAAGTTATAGAATGGGTTATCTAATCCTTTAATTTTAATTATTTAGGGAGGTAATCCACGTGCCCTTCATTGCCAAGTTTGTGGTATTCGCAAAGAAAATCGAACCCTACGAAGCCCGCCTCCGGGTATTCTGCATGACAGACGATCGCGAGGATAAGACCCTCGAAAAGCACGAGCTTTACACCGAGGTGGCGAAGAGCAGAGACGTAGAGGTGCTGGAGGGCAAGCCTCAGTTCATAGAAATGGCTGGAAACCTAGTGCCCGTGACCAAGTCTGGCGATCAGCTCCAACTGCAGTTCAAGGCCTTCCGCGAGAACCGTCTGCCCTTCACAGTCCGTGTCAAGGATCAGCATGCCGATATTGTCGGTCGCACGCTGTTCATGAAGGAGCCAAAGGTGGCCAAGGGCGAGCCACCGCAACAGCCCATCTGTATCCTGAACATTGTTCTTCCGGAGGCAGTGATACCGGACTCCACCACCGCCTTCTCGGATCGCGTCACTTCCGCCTACAGAACCTCGATGTTCAGCCTCAGCAAGCACCAGAACGATCACTACATCGGCGATATCCGCATCGTAGACCTTTCAAACCTATTGGGTAAGGATTGGATCCAACTAGCCCCAGAGATCGGCATCAATTCCGAGGAGATTGACGAGATCATCGACCACAACACCGACAGTATTGCTCGACAGGCGCAAAGTATGATCCGCCTGTACAAGGACAAGCCCAACTACGACATCCTTTCCCTAGAGTCAGCCCTCAAGAATATTGGCAGGGATGATATTATGAAAAAGTGCAAGAGCGGAAGACTTTCACATTCCCGGGAGTTCGATGACACAGACATCATGAAGAACTCGGAATCGGTCGAAGAGCTGGTTCGAAGAGAAAGTAAGTAGTCTTTAAGGAAAGATATATCTTTCCCCTTTGTCCAAATTAAAACTTTAAGCTATAACTTCCAAAGTTGCTTCCCCAGGTAAGCGGATCCAGCAAATAAACGAACGTGAAGAGGTTAAATACTCCGCAGAGGAGAAGGAGGTCGAAGAATCCGAGTCCGACGAAGAAGCAGCCAAACGAACTGTGGCGGAACGCCGGGAGAAGATTGTGAAGCGCTTGTCCATGGAACGATCCATTCCTGCCTCGACGCAAAAAAGGGAGATCACACGCGAAATAACTGAAATCAAACGAAAGAGTCTCATCGAGGACAAGAAGGCCATTCACGAGTCCGAGATTCTGATGCAGCTGCCTGCCGACAATGTCATCATCAAGGGCACCCCTGTACCCGACCAGGTCATCAAGATGAAGATGGGTAAGATGGATTCGACCGAAGTGACCAAGAGTGAGTTCGACAAGGAGCTGACTCACAAGTTCAAGACTTCCGGACGTAGTTCTGAAGAAGAGGACCAGCCATCGTCACCCGACCAGACAGACAAAATCGTCCACGACATAAGTGCCGCCGAAAAGAAGGAAAAGGACAGCGTTTCCTTCAGCAGGGTGGCCATCACCCGCCAGGAAGCCCGCGACATTACTGAAGATTTCTTGGAGATGGAGAAACGAAGCCAACTCCCAGCGACCACCACCAGCGCTACTGTTCACGAGAAGTTCGTTGTGGAGATCAAAGAGAAGACAAGTCCTATGGACTCAGTGCCCCAGGAAACCGTCAAGGAGGTACAGCAAGTAATCAGCGAGGTGACCGAAATCGCCAGCAAGAAGGTTGAGAACATAATAAGCTCCTTTGAGAGCGGGAAACCAGAAGAAGTTCCAGCCTCAATTACCACACAATCAGTACCCGAATCAGTCAAAGTAAGCGAGACTATTAAGCATCTGCAGGATACTAAGAGCCAAGAGCAAGTCAAGTCGGTTGAAATTATCGAGAGCTCAAGTATAGAACAGACCATTTCCGAATTTGAGGCCAAAAAGGTGAAGTACGACTTCCATGGCGGTGAGCCCAAGACCCAGATTCCCAAGTTCACAAGAAAGCCCAGCGATGATATAATTAAACCTACAGCTGCTCCTCGTGCAACAGCCGAGCCAGAGGCGGATTTCTCTGCGGAAAGCAAGCCAGAGAAACCAGTGTCCAAGATTCCGGTTAAGACAACTTCTGTTGATGCCCCAAAGATTGGAGAAGTGGAGGCCCGGAAGATTACACATGACTTCCTGCAGGGAGAAAAATTGGCGGCTGAGCCAAAGCCAGCTCCAGCAGCCAGCAAGATTCCCAAGGTGGAGCCCAGGAAATCGGTAGAAAAGTTGGTCGAAAAGGAATCTAAGATCTTGGATGATGTGGTTGCCTCAACTGCGACAATCATGACAGCAGGACTGGGAACCGAACAACTGCCGGTGAAACAGCCAGAAATTACTGACAAAGCTGATGCCGTTGCCGAAAAAGTATCCGAGCTTATTGAGACATTCCACAAGATAGAGGAGAAGGTTACCAAGTCTGAAAAGACCTCCGAAATTACCAGCAAGGTCGAGGACCTCGTCAAGATTGAGGAAAAGCCCCTTCAGAAGGAAGAAAAGAAAGAGGACAAGGTGGCGGAGAAGATTGCTGATGTTGTGGAAACATTCCACAAGATTGAGGAGCAGATCACTACCGCCGATGCCCGCAAGCTCACCCACGATTTTCTCAGCATGGAGCAGCAATCGCAGCTGCCGAGCTTGCCCCAAGCCCAGGAGAAGACGTTGGAGTCGAGTTTGACGTCCACCACCACTTCGGAGCCAGAGTCCTTGGTGTCCATTAAGCCGGCACCGCCTGCAAGCAAGATACCTGTAGTGGAACCCAGAAAGACTCTGGTGGACGAAGCCGCCAAAACACAAGTGGAGCCTTTAATTGAACCTACCAAGACCCTTGTGGAGGAGACCTCAAAGCCTCTGGAGGATACAAAGCCAACTGAGAAGAAAGCACTGAATGAACGTCAGCTTACTGCCGACTTTCTCAGCATGGAACAGCAAACCCAATTGGTTTCCCAGCCCGTAAAGACACTCATCGAAGAAGTTGTGAAAACCGCCGAGCAGGTGGTCGATCTTGCAAAGGACCAAAAGCCAATTGATGCGCGTCAGCTCACCTCGGACTTCCTAAGTATGGAGCAGCGAACCCAGCTGCCTTCCCAGATCGTTAGTGGTGATGCCAAGCTGATCGATGGCATTGAGTCTGCGGCTCCCGTTGGGGAGGACTCACCATTCCACACCACCAAAGTGGTTACCAGTGTTCTAAGCGAGGAATATGATAGTGATACTTTTGATAAGCGAGCCACCGTTCCACTAAGCCAGACCCTGAAAGAGGAGGGACTTACTGCTCCAGTGTCAGTCGAGCCACGAAAATCCCTTACCGATGCCGAGTTCTGCAAGTCCGTGGGCGAGACAATCTCCAAGAAGATGAGCGAGGGCGTAATTGAGATAACTGATGAGCTCAAGAAAATAGGTAAGACACTTGAATAGATTCCAAAACGATTCTAACTTTCATATCCTCCATAGCGAGCGACATTCCACACTCCCAGACTCCGCCGCCCACGCCCTGTGACATCAAAAAGCAGAACGAGCAGCCCGAACTCACAAGCTTAGAACGTGGTAAGTACTCCAACTTCCTTGAAAACGATGACCCTCTATTAACCGGGGAATTCATTTCGAAGATTACCTGGCCGACACTGTCACCACTTTGCACACGACCACTGAGTCGACCTTTGAACGCGTCTCTGCCATTACCACAGTTGGTAAGTGTGACTTTTGAGATGAGTGGCTGCCCTATGCTCAATTTTTATGCAATTTGTAATTGTTATGTAAACTGAATTTATATATTTTCCTATGTTTGCCTTTTTGGTAAAAGAATATAAACCTGTAATCATGATTTTTTGTACACCTCTTAATTTTGATTATACCTTGTGTTATTGCCACCATCCGTAGTGTTTCTTGAACTGTTTGTTTTTCGATTTTATCCAGACTTTCAATCCCCACTCTTCTCTGTTTCTCTATATTTATTTTTGATTTGAGTCCAAAGGCTTTTTGTCTGCAAATTCCCATTGAACCATTAAACGATTGCGATCCAAGAACTCCTAGTTAGTTAATTGTATCATTAAACTCGAATAGCAAACTGCTACTGTGTGTATCTTAATAAAAAAATGCTGTAAGTGCGAGAGTAAATACTATACTAAATGTAAAATAAATCCTAAACAAACAAGGGATCTCACAGTCCCAAGATAACCGACTGAAAACTATGGCGCATTGAATGAATGTGGTCACAATATCGCGTAGATACTTACTAGTAGAACTGAAACAGGTATTGCCGAGCTGCCGGCTAATCCAATTACGTGGACACTGACGAAAGGTCGCGAAAACACGGCTAATTGTCTGGCCGGCGCCATCCTGCCTTGCAGATACGTAACATTCGGAGGTGTCAATGTCAGTGGGCCAGACAATCGATGGATCGATCGATGAATCGATTCGGCGTTGATAACTTTAACTTTACGCTGGAAAGCCTCGCCGATCTGGGATACTTTCCTGTTGACTGACAAAAGCCTATTAGTCCCCTAGCCCATGGGCCTCCCAGTGTCCGCAGTTAATAGCATTTCCACAGTGCTTTCCTTATATAATTGGTGGATGGATAGGCAAGCCACCGCAGCCGCGCACTTATGTCATGAGGCCAGGGGCCACCATCGGCCGAGCGGTACACCGAGGCGTATACTTAATTTAATTTGTCTCTGGCATTCTTGCATTCTTGCAGTACAGCGCCGAGCGCTTTTTCCGTCAAGATTTAGTCACGAATTTGTATTTCCCAAGTACGCGCGATTCGAACTATATACGTGGATTTATACGCCAACACCTCTCGTGGCCAATCAGTTGTCTGCAACCTTAATAACTCATGAGGAGAATAAAACTTGAATTTTATTAAAGACTTTGATTATTGTGCTTGTGATTCATTCAATGCCCAGCGAAATAAACTTATCAAATCAAACTGAAACAGAAAACTAAAGTAACTTTAAGTCTATTGTAACTTAATGGTAAGTTTTCGTGTATAATTACAATCAATTTGAAAAGTTGCCACAGTTTAAGGACTTTTATTAAATCATCTATGATGGGTATCGTTTTATCTAGGCATACATAGGTATCTCTCATTGTTGTCGGCCCCAAATCTCATGGTATACCAATTACGTTTGCAATTTTTGAACAACTATTTAAGCAATTCAGTTTATGTTTTTCGATCAACTACTGCAAGTTACAACTTAAATAATTCGATTTGTGTTAACCTATCTAATAATCTTGTTAACTTTTCTCATATTCGATTGGCCGTGATCTATGGATAAGCCAAATCATATTTATGATACTACTTATATATAATATGTACCTAAACATTCGTTAAGCAATTAATACAAGATTTTTTTCATTAAGATAAACACTTTTGGCATATTTTGGATTTACCAAATTGAAAACAATCCAAATTGGAACTCGTCTCATATTGGGATCTATAACGCTGACACGCTATAACGATCTCCATATGAGGTTTCATCGAAAAACACTCCAACCACCATGGCCTTCAGTTTGCAATGTTTATGTTTGATTTGATTTCAGCAAATACTTATGTGTTCTGTTGCTTTTCGTAACTTATGCAATCCCTAACGAAAAAGCATACATATATACCTAACATATATACTTATAAAGATAATAGTATACTCTAACTGAATGTTAAGCCAAGCCACATCAAGGTCTCACTGTAGAATCTCTATATAGTATATAGTATATCGTACTCGTATTCGTACTATTTGTCATTATTTGCGAATTAAAAAACCGATTGCAATAACCGTATTAGCTAGCCACGCATTTGAGTTTTTTTGCACCCAGTCCCACCATCAACCCAGCGCGCTTCTTAATTGTATAATTGGTTGTTTATAGTTCGCAATATCGTACGAGTATGTTGACATATGATGTCGTGGTTTGTTCTCATTCTTGCAGTAATAGCTAGTTTTGCTTTTTGATTTCACAATCAACATAAACATTGCTTAAACATTTGCAAACCAAAAATGTGCAAACGTAATCAGCCCAGCTCAAGAATTGTATTCGAACCTTTGAATTTTGTGCAGCAGCCAAACAGAACGGGCCCAATAATCCACGACCTCATATGCAGCATATGTCTGAACATATCTGAACGATCGGCTCTGATCGGTTCAGATTAAGCTCCATCTGGCTTCTGTTAATTGCGGAACAGATATTTTGATTTCGCTTCTCAAAGTAATAAATAAGCATAAGCATTACTTGCATGTTTGTGTCTGCTGCTGGGTTTTTGGAATAAAGCTTGTAGTACCAATAAATAAAATACAAAATAAATATATATATTTTCATACATGCCAAAAATAATCGTATGTATGTATGATGGCAACTTCCATTGCACTGTGTACATAGACTAACCCACCACAAAAAAATAAGTACGTTTTGAATGATTGTAATCGGTGTTAACTGTCTTTATATTGCCATGTTTTCTACTCTACTCTACTTCTAAACAAACCCTATTTGCTATCCTGGAATGCCTAAAACAGAGCACTTCAGTGTTCATAGTGTAAAACCCGAAACCTTTACAAGAACAGATGAAACTGAAAAGCTGCTTCATAGTATGGTAGCTTCCCCCGATAACCACAACATGTACTCACAAGACACTACCTCATTTCCAGAAATGAGTACAAGTAGTCAAGCCCCGAAGATGACAACTACGACGACCCTGACAGCACACATAGATCGCACCAAGGTAGACTTGACAGTACCAGAGCCCCAGCCGCAGTCACAGGACGATAAGAATCAGCAGAAGGAGCAACTTCCTGTAGATAAAGATGCAGGAACACCAGATCTAGATAAACCTTCTTCCAGCGATAGGGAGTATTTAGAACAAATAATGGGATGCGGTGATGTGAGGCGCAAGATATTGCGTTTGGAGAGCAGTGGCAGCACTGAATCCCTGGACTCGAGTGCCAAGCAACCGGGAGTGACTCCCAAGTATATAGGTGACAATGTTCCGGTGGTGCGAGAAGTGGTGCAAAGCATCGAGGACAAGATCTGCGGTACAGTGGTGTCGGCTATTCCGTTCGCCGTTCACAAACGTGACCCCCAAGAAAAAGACACAGAACCGGACGTTGTAGAAGTAGAAAAGCAAATACTTACGCCAGCTGACCTGGCTTTTGAAAAGTTAATAAGAGGTGAACCGCCAGTTGAGGTGGTAAGAATTTCGCCAATTAAAGCTATGGAAAATGTTGGCATTGGACTGAAGGAAATCGAAGAGGATGTTTGTGAGAGGGTGTGCGTAAAGCGCAAGGCCTTTGAGGTGGCCGAAGACTTATGTGAAACAGAAAAGACTTTTTCAGAGCAGGTAATAGGATTAGGTAGGAATGTAGAACAGGTACCTGGGAAGATTTTAGCTGAAACCACTGAGAAGCACTTAGACATAGAAGATAAGGAAGCCTTGGAGGCTGGTGCGAAGGTCAGGGAAGTCGTGCAAGACATCGAGCGTCGATATCCTGCATCGAGACTAGAGGCTAAGCCTTTTACTCCACGAACACGACTTACCACAGACCGTAAGGCTGACGTGTTGTCAATAGAGCAACAGATTTTAAACGAAACCGATCTGATTTTAGATGGCTTGGGTTCTAAGCGTATACCAGAACAAAAGGTCAAGTCCCCAGTTTTGGAAACCGCCAAGACCAGTCCTAGTATTGAAAATCTAGAAGGCGCATGCGAAAAGATATGCTCAAAACGAACAATCTCTGAGATGGCAAAGGCCTTTGAAAAGCCAGACCAGCTTGAGACTTCAGCTGCCGTCGCTGACGTCAAATCGATTACGTCCAAGTTCCTAGAGCACGAGTCCAAGGGCGACGTAGCTGAGAGTGTTAAAGAGTTTGAGGCCAAAAACATTGTTCATGATAGCCTAACAGGGAAAACAGAACGACAAAATATTTTACTAAGCGAATGTGATATACAAGAATTTCCAATAGAAGAGACTAAGGATAAACTTATAGAATTTCCAAAACTAGGACACACTTTTGATCGATTGCATTCCATTTCCAAAACTGATATAGCTGACACAAAAGACTTTGTACACGTAGTAAGCGATTACGAAGAAAAGCTGGGTGAAATAATAGATCATCAGATCACACAAAGTAACACAGAAGATGCAACAGTTCCAGTTAAATTTCCCACAAATGAGAAAAAAGATGAGTTTGAAACCCACCAGCTCATGGTCTCAAAGACCTTTGTACTTTCCCAAACGACTGACAAAGCAATAACCAAGTTTCCGTCTGATTTAGAAACTACATTAGATAAGCATGGAAGTGATAGCGAAAGTGACGAGGAACTAGACCATAATACTAAGTTACTCAAACTGCAGCATTTAGCGACAACTGAACGCACATCCAGCCAAAACGTTACACAGAAGCATAGCAGTTCTTATGAAAACGAACCAGTTTCTATTAAAACTACAGATATAAGAAAGTTTCCTACAGGTCACGATATTTTAACAGATAGTCAATTAAAATCTGCTTTTGATATTGACAAGACAGATACATTTTATGAAAAGCCACTAAAAAAAGGTGACACTGAAACCGAAATGGCGGTTCAGTCCGTTCAGCCAGTGCATCCGAAGCCCAAAACATATATCGATGGTGAAAGCGATGAGGACTTCGATGTCCCCAAGCCCCAAGACAAACCAGTAAGTCAGCCATCTCCACTGATTACTCCTTTCATTGGTACTGGCGAAAAATCGCCTGCTAAGGATAATTTCAATCCTCAATCAATTACGACATTCAAGGCAGAAGAAACCTTGACGACTATTCAATCAGACGTCAAATCTGTGAGTACTGTCGTATCTGTAACTGACAGTCACGTAACAGACATCAAAGCACCAAGTAAGCCAGAGGAAAAGCCTCAGGGACCCATTGACTCAGTAAAACCAGGTCCGAAAGAATATTCCGATGATGAAAGCGATGAGGACTTTGATGTTCCCAACCCCCAAGATAAACCAGTTAGTCAGCCATCTTCGTTGATTACTCCTCTAGTCGGTCCTGGGGAAAAATCACCAGTCAAAACTGATGCAAAACCGAAACCGATTGACTTGAAGGACTCCACTAAGCCTGACGAGAAGCCCAAGGCTCCGATCGTGTCAGAGAAGCCAAGTCCAAAAGAATATTCCGATGACGAAAGCGATGAAGACTTTGATGTTCCCAAGCCCCAAGACAAACCAGTTAGTCAGCCATCTCCTTTGATTACTCCTTTCATTGGTACTGGCGAGAAATCGCCTGCTAAGGATGATTTCAAGCCTCAATCAATTACGACATTCAAGGCAGAAGAAAGCTTCACGACTATTCAATCAGACGTCAAATCTGTAAGTACGGTCGTATCTGTAACTGACAGTCACGTAACAGACATCAAAGCACCAAGTAAGCCAGAGGAAAAGCCCCAGGGACCCATTGACTCAGTAAAACCAGGTCCGAAAGAATATTCCGATGACGAAAGCGATGAAGACTTTGATGTTCCCAAGCCCCAAGATAAACCAGTTGGTCAGCCATATCCTTTGATTACTCCTTTCACTGGCGAAAAATCGCCTGCTAAGGATGATTTCAAGCCTCAATCAATTACGACATTCAAGGCAGAAGAAAGCTTCACGACTATTCAATCAGACGTCAAATCTGTGAGTACGGTCGTATCTGTAACTGACAGTCACGTAACAGACATCAAAGCACCAAGTAAGCCAGAGGAAAAGCCTCAGGGACCCATTGACTCAGTAAAACCAGGTCCGAAAGAATATTCCGATGACGAAAGCGATGAGGACTTTGATGTTCCCAAGCCCCAAAATAAACCAGTTAGTCAGCCATCTCCTTTGATTACTCCCCTAGTCGGTTCTTGGGAAAAATCACCAGTCAAAACTGATGAAAAACCAAAGCCCTTTGACTTGAAGGACTCCACTAAGCCTGACGAGAAGCCCAAGGCTCCGATCGTGTCAGAGAAGCCAAGTCCAAAAGAATATTCCGATGACGAAAGCGATGAAGACTTTGATGTTCCCAAGCCCCAAGACAAACCAGTTAGTCAGCCATCTCCTTTGATTACTCCTTTCATTGGTACTGGCGAAAAATCGCCTGCTAAGGATGATTTCAAGCCTCAATCAATTACGACATTCAAGGCAGAAGAAAGCTTCACGACTATTCAATCAGACGTCAAATCTGTGAGTACGGTCGTATCTGTAACTGACAGTCACGTAACAGACATCAAAGCACCAAGTAAGCCAGAGGAAAAGCCTCAGGGACCCATTGACTCAGTAAAACCAGGTCCGAAAGAATATTCCGATGACGAAAGCGATGAGGACTTTGATGTTCCCAAGCCCCAAAATAAACCAGTTAGTCAGCCATCTCCTTTGATTACTCCCCTAGTCGGTTCTTGGGAAAAATCACCAGTCAAAACTGATGAAAAACCAAAGCCCTTTGACTTGAAGGACTCCACTAAGCCTGACGAAAAGCCCAAGGCTCCGATCGTGTCAGAGAAGCCAAGTCCAAAAGAGTATTCCGATGACGAAAGCGATGAAGACTTTGATGTTCCCAAGCCCCAAGACAAACCAGTTAGTCAGCCATCTCCTTTGATTACTCCTTTCATTGGTACTGGCGAAAAATCGCCTGCTAAGGATGATTTCAAGCCTCAATCAATTACGACATTCAAGGCAGAAGAAAGCTTCACGACTATTCAATCAGACGTCAAATCTGTGAGTACGGTCGTATCTGTAACTGACAGTCACGTAACAGACATCAAAGCACCAAGTAAGCCAGAGGAAAAGCCTCAGGGACCCATTGACTCAGTAAAACCAGGTCCGAAAGAATATTCCGATGATGAAAGCGATGAGGACTTTGATGTTCCCAAGCCCCAAGATAAACCAGTTAGTCAGCCATCTTCTTTGATTACTCCTCTAGTCGGTCCTGGGGAAAAATCACCAGTCAAAACTACTGAAAAACCGAAACCGATTGACTTGAAGGACTCCACTAAGCCTGACGAAAAGCCCAAGGCTCCGATCGTGTCAGAGAAGCCAAGTCCAAAAGAGTATTCCGATGACGAAAGCGATGAAGACTTTGATGTTCCCAAGCCCCAAGACAAACCAGTTAGTCAGCCATCTCCTTTGATTACTCCTTTCATTGGTACTGGCGAGAAATCGCCTGCTAAGGATGATTTCAAGCCTCAATCAATTACGACATTCAAGGCAGAAGAAAGCTTCACGACTATTCAATCAGACGTCAAATCTGTGAGTACGGTCGTATCTGTAACTGACAGTCACGTAACAGACATCAAAGCACCAACGAAGCCAGAGGAAAAGCCTCAGGGACCCATTGACTCAGTAAAACCAGGTCCGAAAGAATATTCCGATGATGAAAGCGATGAGGACTTTGATGTTCCCAAGCCCCAAGATAAACCAGTTAGTCAGCCATCTTCGTTGATTACTCCTCTAGTCGGTCCTGGGGAAAAATCACCAGTCAAAACTGATGAAAAACCAAAGCCCTTTGACTTGAAGGACTCCACTAAGCCTGACGAAAAGCCCAAGGCTCCGATCGTGTCAGAGAAGCCAAGTCCAAAAGAGTATTCCGATGACGAAAGCGATGAAGACTTTGATGTTCGCAAGCCCCAAGACAAACCAGTTAGTCAGCCATCTCCTTTGATTACTCCTTTCATTGGTACTGGCGAGAAATCGCCTGCTAAGGATGATTTCAAGCCTCAATCAATTACGACATTCAAGGCAGAAGAAAGCTTCACGACTATTCAATCAGACGTCAAATCTGTAAGTACGGTCGTATCTATTACTGACAGTCACGTAACAGACATCAAAGCACCAAGTAAGCCAGAGGAAAAGCCTCAGGGACCTATTGACTCAGTAAAACCAGGTCCGAAAGACTATTCCGATGACGAAAGCGATGAGGACTTTGATGTTCCCAAGCCCCAAGATAAACCAGTTGGTCAGCCATATCCTTTGATTACTCCTTTCACTGGCGAAAAATCGCCTGCTAAGGATGATTTCAAGCCTCAATCAATTACGACATTCAAGGCAGAAGAAAGCTTCACGACTATTCAATCAGACGTCAAATCTGTGAGTACGGTCGTATCTGTAACTGACAGTCACGTAACAGACATCAAAGCACAAAGTAAGCCAGAGGAAAAGCCTCAGGGACCCATTGACTCAGTAAAACCAGGTCCGAAAGAATATTCCGATGACGAAAGCGATGAGGACTTTGATGTTCCCAAGCCCCAAAATAAACCAGTTAGTCAGCCATCTCCTTTGATTACTCCCCTAGTCGGTTCTTGGGAAAAATCACCAGTCAAAACTGATGAAAAACCGAAACCGATTGACTTGAAGGACTCCACTAAGCCTGACGAAAAGCCCAAGGCTCCGATCGTTTCAGAGAAGCCAAGTCCAAAAGAGTATTCCGATGACGAAAGCGATGAAGACTTTGATGTTCGCAAGCCCCAAGACAAACCAGTTAGTCAGCCATCTCCTTTGATTACTCCTTTCATTGGTACTGGCGAGAAATCGCCTGCTAAGGATGATTTCAAGCCTCAATTAATTACGACATTCAAGGCAGAAGAAAGCTTCACGACTATTCAATCAGACGTCAAATCTGTAAGTACGGTAGTATCTGTAACTGACAGTCACGTAACAGACATCAAAGCACCAAGTAAGCCAGAGGAAAAGCCTCAGGGACCCATTGACTCAGTAAAACCAGGTCCGAAAGAATATTCCGATGACGAAAGCGATGAGGACTTTGATGTTCCCAAGCCCCAAGATAAACCAGTTAGTCAGCCATCTCCTTTGATTACTCCCCTAGTCGGTTCTGGGGAAAAATCACCAGTCAAAACTGATGAAAAACCAAAGCTCTTTGACTTGAAGGACTCCACTAAGCCTGACGAGAAGCCCAAGGCTCCGATCGTGTCAGAGAAGCCAAGTCCAAAAGAGTATTCCGATGACGAAAGCGATGAAGACTTTGATGTTCCCAAGCCCCAAGATAAACCAGTTAGTCAGCCATCTCCTTTGATTACTCCTCTAGTCGGTCCTGGGGAAAAATCACCAGTCAAAACTGATGAAAAACCAAAGCCCTTTGACTTGAAGGACTCCACTAAGCCTAACGAAAAGCCCAAGGCTCCGATCGTGTCAGCGAAGCCAAGTCCAAAAGAATATTCCAATGACGAAAGCGATGGAGACTTTGATGTTCCCAAGCCCCAAGATAAACCAGTTAGTCAGCCATCTCCTTTGATTACTCCTTTCATTGGTACTGGCGAGAAATCGCCTGCTAAGGATGATTTCAAGCCTCAATCAATTACGACATTCAAGGCAGAAGAAACCTTGACGACTATTCAATCAGACGTCAAATCTGTGAGTACGGTCGTATCTGTAACTGACAGTCACGTAACAGACATCAAAGCACCAAGTAAGCCAGAGGAAAAGCCTCAGGGACCCATTGACTCAGTAAAACCAGGTCCGAAAGAATATTCCGATGACGAAAGCGATGAGGACTTTGATGTTCCCAAGCCCCAAGATAAACCAGTTAGTCAGCCATCTCCTTTGATTACTCCCCTAGTCGGTTCTGGGGAAAAATCACCAGTCAAAACTGATGAAAAACCAAAGCTCTTTGACTTGAAGGACTCCACTAAGCCTGACGAGAAGCCCAAGGCTCCGATCGTGTCAGAGAAGCCAAGTCCAAAAGAGTATTCCGATGACGAAAGCGATGAGGACTTTGATGTTCCCAAGCCCCAAGATAAACCAGTCAGTCAGCCATCTCCTTTGATTACTCCTCTAGTCGGTCCTGGGGAAAAATCACCAGTCAAAACTGATGAAAAACCAAAGCCCTTTGACTTGAAGGACTCCACTAAGCCTAACGAAAAGCCCAAGGCTCCGATCGTGTCAGAGAAGCCAAGTCCAAAAGAATATTCCGATGACGAAAGCGATGGAGACTTTGATGTTCCCAAGCCCCAAGACAAACCAGTTAGTCAGCCATCTCCTTTGATTACTCCCCTAGTCGGTCCTGGGGAAAAATCACCAGTCAAAACTGATGAAAAACCAAAGCCCTTTGACTTGAAGGACTCCACTAAGCCTGACGAAAAGCCCAAGGCTCCGATCGTGTCAGAGAAGCCAAGTCCAAAAGAGTATTCCGATGACGAAAGCGATGAAGACTTTGATGTTCCCAAGCCCCAAGACAAACCAGTTAGTCAGCCATCTCCTTTGATTACTCCTTTCATTGGTACTGGCGAGAAATCGCCTGCTAAGGATGATTTCAAGCCTCAATCAATTACGACATTCAAGGCAGAAGAAAGCTTCACGACTATTCAATCAGACGTCAAATCTGTGAGTACGGTCGTATCTGTAACTGACAGTCACGTAACAGACATCAAAGCACCAAGTAAGCCAGAGGAAAAGCCTCAGGGACCCATTGACTCAGTAAAACCAGGTCCGAAAGAATATTCCGATGATGAAAGCGATGAGGACTTTGATGGTCCCAAGCCCCAAGATAAACCAGTTAGTCAGCCATCTCCTTTGATTACTCCTCTAGTCGGTCCTGGGGAAAAATCACCAGTCAAAACTGATGAAAAACCAAAGCTCTTTGACTTGAAGGACTCCACTAAGCCTGACGAGAAGCCCAAGGCTCTGATCGTGTCAGAGAAGCCAAGTCCAAAAGAGTATTCCGATGACGAAAGCGATGAAGACTTTGATGTTCCCAAGCCCCAAGATAAACCAGTCAGTCAGCCATCTCCTTTGATTACTCCTCTAGTCGGTCCTGGGGAAAAATCACCAGTCAAAACTGATGAAAAACCAAAGCCCTTTGACTTGAAGGACTCCACTAAGCCTAACGAAAAGCCCAAGGCTCCGATCGTGTCAGCGAAGCCAAGTCCAAAAGAATATTCCGATGACGAAAGCGATGGAGACTTTGATGTTCCCAAGCCCCAAGATAAACCAGTTAGTCAGCCATCTCCTTTGATTACTCCCCTAGTCGGTCCTGGGGAAAAATCACCAGTCAAAACTGATTTAAAACCAAAGCCCTTTGACTTGAAGGACTCCACTAAGCCTGACGAAAAGCCCAAGGCTCCGATCGTGTCAGAGAAGCCAAGTCCAAAAGAGTATTCCGATGACGAAAGCGATGAAGACTTTGATGTTCCCAAGCCCCAAGACAAACCAGTTAGTCAGCCATCTCCTTTGATTACTCCTTTCATTGGTACTGGCGAAAAATCGCCTGCTAAGGATGATTTCAAGCCTCAATCAATTACGACATTCAAGGCAGAAGAAAGCTTCACGACTATTCAATCAGACGTCAAATCTGTGAGTACGGTCGTATCTGTAACTGACAGTCACGTAACAGACATCAAAGCACCAAGTAAGCCAGAGGAAAAGCCTCAGGGACCCATTGACTCAGTAAAACCAGGTCCGAAAGAATATTCCGATGACGAAAGCGATGAGGACTTTGATGTTCCCAAGCCCCAAGATAAACCAGTTAGTCAGCCATCTCCTTTGATTACTCCTCTAGTCGGTCCTGGGGAAAAATCACCAGTCAAAACTGATAAAAAACCAAAGCTCTTTGACTTGAAGGACTCCACTAAGCCTGACGAGAAGCCCAAGGCTCCGATCGTGTCAGAGAAGCCAAGTCCAAAAGAGTATTCCGATGACGAAAGCGATGAAGACTTTGATGTTCCCAAGCCCCAAGATAAACCAGTTAGTCAGCCATCTCCTTTGATTACTCCTTTCATTGGTACTGGCGAAAAATCGCCTGCTAAGGATGATTTCAAGCCTCAATCAATTACGACATTCAAGGCAGAAGAAAGCTTCACGACTATTCAATCAGACGTCAAATCTGTGAGTACGGTCGTATCTGTAACTGACAGTCACGTAACAGACATCAAAGCACCAAGTAAGCCAGAGGAAAAGCCTCAGGGACCCATTGACTCAGTAAAACCAGGTCCGAAAGAATATTCCGATGACGAAAGCGATGAGGACTTTGATGTTCCCAAGCCCCAAGATAAACCAGTTAGTCAGCCATCTCCTTTGATTACTCCTCTAGTCGGTCCTGGGGAAAAATCACCAGTCAAAACTGATGAAAAACCAAAGCTCTTTGACTTGAAGGACTCCACTAAGCCTGACGAAAAGCCCAAGGCTCCGATCGTGTCAGAGAAGCCAAGTCCAAAAGAGTATTCCGATGACGAAAGCGATGAGGACTTTGATGTTCCCAAGCCCCAAGATAAACCAGTCAGTCAGCCATCTCCTTTGATTACTCCTCTAGTCGGTCCTGGGGAAAAATCACCAGTCAAAACTGATGAAAAACCAAAGCCCTTTGACTTGAAGGACTCCACTAAGCCTAACGAAAAGCCCAAGGCTCCGATCGTGTCAGAGAAGCCAAGTCCAAAAGAGTATTCCGATGACGAAAGCGATGAAGACTTTGATGTTCCCAAGCCCCAAGATAAATCAGTCAGTCAGCCATCTCCTTTGATTACTCCTCTAGTCGGTCCTGGGGAAAAATCACCAGTCAAAACTGATGAAAAACCAAAGCTCTTTGACTTGAAGGACTCCACTAAGCCTGACGAGAAGCCCAAGGCTCTGATCGTGTCAGAGAAGCCAAGTCCAAAAGAGTATTCCGATGACGAAAGCGATGAAGACTTTGATGTTCCCAAGCCCCAAGATAAATCAGTCAGTCAGCCATCTCCTTTGATTACTCCTCTAGTCGGTCCTGGGGAAAAATCACCAGTCAAAACTGATGAAAAACCAAAGCCCTTTGACTTGAAGGACTCCACTAAGCCTAACGAAAAGCCCAAGGCTCCGATCGTGTCAGCGAAGCCAAGTCCAAAAGAATATTCCGATGACGAAAGCGATGGAGACTTTGATGTTCCCAAGCCCCAAGATAAACCAGTTAGTCAGCCATCTCCTTTGATTACTCCCCTAGTCGGTCCTGGGGAAAAATCACCAGTCAAAACTGATGAAAAACCAAAGCCCTTTGACTTGAAGGACTCCACTAAGCCTGACGAAAAGCCCAAGGCTCCGATCGTGTCAGAGAAGCCAAGTCCAAAAGAGTATTCCGATGACGAAAGCGATGAAGACTTTGATGTTCCCAAGCCCCAAGACAAACCAGTTAGTCAGCCATCTCCTTTGATTACTCCTTTCATTGGTACTGGCGAGAAATCGCCTGCTAAGGATGATTTCAAGCCTCAATCAATTACGACATTCAAGGCAGAAGAAAGCTTCACGACTATTCAATCAGACGTCAAATCTGTGAGTACGGTCGTATCTGTAACTGACAGTCACGTAACAGACATCAAAGCACCAAGTAAGCCAGAGGAAAAGCCTCAGGGACCCATTGACTCAGTAAAACCAGGTCCGAAAGAATATTCCGATGACGAAAGCGATGAGGACTTTGATGTTCCCAAGCCCCAAGATAAACCAGTTAGTCAGCCATCTCCTTTGATTACTCCCCTAGTCGGTTCTGGGGAAAAATCACCAGTCAAAACTGATGAAAAACCAAAGCCCTTTGACTTGAGGGACTCCACTAAGCCTGACGAAAAGCCCAAGGCTCCGATCGTGTCAGAGAAGCCAAGTCCAAAAGAGTATTCCGATGACGAAAGCGATGAAGACTTTGATGTTCCCAAGCCCCAAGACAAACCAGTTAGTCAGCCATCTCCTTTGATTACTCCTTTCATTGGTACTGGCGAGAAATCGCCTGCTAAGGATGATTTCAAGCCTCAATCAATTACGACATTCAAGGCAGAAGAAACCTTGACGACTATTCAATCAGACGTCAAATCTGTGAGTACGGTCGTATCTGTAACTGACAGTCACGTAACAGACATCAAAGCACCAAGTAAGCCAGAGGAAAAGCCTCAGGGACCCATTGACTCAGTAAAACCAGGTCCGAAAGAATATTCCGATGATGAAAGCGATGAGGACTTTGATGTTCCCAAGCCCCAAGATAAACCAGTCAGTCAGCCATCTCCTTTGATTACACCTCTAGTCGGTCCTGGGGAAAAATCACCAGTCAAAACTGATGAAAAACCGAAACCGATTGACTTGAAGGACTCCACTAAGCCTGACGAAAAGCCCAAGGCTCCGATCGTGTCAGAGAAGCCAAGTCCAAAAGAGTATTCCGATGACGAAAGCGATGAGGACTTTGATGTTCCCAAGCCCCAAGATAAACCAGTCAGTCAGCCATCTCCTTTGATTACTCCTCTAGTCGGTCCTGGGGAAAAATCACCAGTCAAAACTGATGAAAAACCAAAGCCCTTTGACTTGAAGGACTCCACTAAGCCTAACGAAAAGCCCAAGGCTCCGATCGTGTCAGAGAAGCCAAGTCCAAAAGAATATTCCGATGACGAAAGCGATGAAGACTTTGATGTTCCCAAGCCCCAAGATAAACCAGTTAGTCAGCCATCTCCTTTGATTACTCCCCTAGTCGGTCCTGGGGAAAAATCACCAGTCAAAACTGATGAAAAACCAAAGCCCTTTGACTTGAAGGACTCCACTAAGCCTGACGAAAAGCCCAAGGCTCCGATCGTGTCAGAGAAGCCAAGTCCAAAAGAATATTCCGATGACGAAAGCGATGAGGACTTTGATGTTCCCAAGCCCCAAGATAAACCAGTCAGTCAGCCATCTCCTTTGATTACTCCTCTAGTCGGTCCTGGGGAAAAATCACCAGTCAAAACTGATGAAAAACCGAAACCGATTGACTTGAAGGACTCCACTAAGCCTGACGAAAAGCCCAAGGCTCCGATCGTGTCAGAGAAGCCAAGTCCAAAAGAATATTCCGATGACGAAAGCGATGAGGACTTTGATGTTCCCAAGCCCCAAGACAAACCAGTTAGTCAGCCATCTCCTTTGATTACTCCTTTCATTGGTACTGGCGAAAAATCGCCTGCTAAGGATGATTTCAAGCCTCAATCAATTACGACATTCAAGGCAGAAGAAACCTTGACGACTATTCAATCAGACGTCAAATCTGTGAGTACGGTCGTATCTGTAACTGACAGTCACGTAACAGACATCAAAGCACCAAGTAAGCCAGAGGAAAAGCCTCAGGGACCCATTGACTCAGTAAAACCAGGTCCGAAAGAATATTCCGATGACGAAAGCGATGAGGACTTTGATGTTCCCAAGCCCCAAGATAAACCAGTCAGTCAGCCATCTCCTTTGATTACACCTCTAGTCGGTCCTGGGGAAAAATCACCAGTCAAAACTGATGAAAAACCGAAACCGATTGACTTGAAGGACTCCACTAAGCCTGACGAAAAGCCCAAGGCTCCGATCGTGTCAGAGAAGCCAAGTCCAAAAGAGTATTCCGATGACGAAAGCGATGAGGACTTTGATGTTCCCAAGCCCCAAGATAAACCAGTCAGTCAGCCATCTCCTTTGATTACTCCTCTAGTCGGTCCTGGGGAAAAATCACCAGTCAAAACTGATGAAAAACCAAAGCCCTTTGACTTGAAGGACTCCACTAAGCCTGACGAAAAGCCCAAGGCTCCGATCGTGTCAGAGAAGCCAAGTCCAAAAGAGTATTCCGATGACGAAAGCGATGAGGACTTTGATGTTCCCAAGCCCCAAGATAAACCAGTCAGTCAGCCATCTCCTTTGATTACTCCTCTAGTCGGTCCTGGGGAAAAATCACCAGTCAAAACTGATGAAAAACCAAAGCCCTTTGACTTGAAGGACTCCACTAAGCCTAACGAAAAGCCCAAGGCTCCGATCGTGTCAGAGAAGCCAAGTCCAAAAGAATATTCCGATGACGAAAGCGATCAGGACTTTGATGTTCCCAAGCCCCAAGATAAACCAGTTAGTCAGCCATCTCCTTTGATTACTCCCCTAGTCGGTCCTGGGGAAAAATCACCAGTCAAAACTGATGAAAAACCAAAGCCCTTTGACTTGAAGGACTCCACTAAGCCTGACGAAAAGCCCAAGGCTCCGATCGTGTCAGAGAAGCCAAGTCCAAAAGAATATTCCGATGACGAAAGCGATGAGGACTTTGATGTTCCCAAGCCCCAAGACAAACCAGTTAGTCAGCCATCTCCTTTGATTACTCCTTTCATTGGTTCTGGCGAGAAATCGCCTGCTAAGGATGATTTCAAGCCTCAATCAATTACGACATTCAAGGCAGAAGAAAGCTTCACGACTATTCAATCAGACGTCAAATCTGTGAGTACGGTCGTATCTGTAACTGACAGTCACGTAACAGACATCAAAGCACCAAGTAAGCCAGAGGAAAAGCCTCAGGGACCCATTGACTCAGTAAAACCAGGTCCGAAAGAATATTCCGATGACGAAAGCGATGAGGACTTTGATGTTCCCAAGCCCCAAGATAAACCAGTCAGTCAGCCATCTCCTTTGATTACACCTCTAGTCGGTCCTGGGGAAAAATCACCAGTCAAAACTGATGAAAAACCGAAACCGATTGACTTGAAGGACTCCACTAAGCCTGACGAAAAGCCCAAGGCTCCGATCGTGTCAGAGAAGCCAAGTCCAAAAGAGTATTCCGATGACGAAAGCGATGAAGACTTTGATGTTCCCAAGCCCCAAGATAAACCAGTCAGTCAGCCATCTCCTTTGATTACTCCTCTAGTCGGTCCTGGGGAAAAATCACCAGTCAAAACTGATGAAAAACCAAAGCCCTTTGACTTGAAGGACTCCACTAAGCCTAACGAAAAGCCCAAGGCTCCGATCGTGTCAGAGAAGCCAAGTCCAAAAGAATATTCCGATGACGAAAGCGATGAGGACTTTGATGTTCCCAAGCCCCAAGATAAACCAGTCAGTCAGCCATCTCCTTCGATTACTCCTCTAGTCGGTCCTGGGGAAAAATCACCAGTCAAAACTGATGAAAAACCGAAACCGATTGACTTCAAGGACTCCACTAAGCCTGACGAAAAGCCCAAGGCTCCGATCGTGTCAGAGAAGCCAAGTCCAAAAGAATATTCCGATGACGAAAGCGATGAGGACTTTGATGTTCCCAAGCCCCAAGACAAACCAGTTAGTCAGCCATCTCCTTTGATTACTCCTTTCATTGGTACTGGCGAAAAATCGCCTGCTAAGGATGATTTCAAGCCTCAATCAATTACGACATTCAAGGCAGAAGAAACCTTGACGACTATTCAATCAGACGTCAAATCTGTGAGTACGGTCGTATCTGTAACTGACAGTCACGTAACAGACATCAAAGCACCAAGTAAGCCAGAGGAAAAGCCTCAGGGACCCATTGACTCAGTAAAACCAGGTCCGAAAGAATATTCCGATGACGAAAGCGATGAGGACTTTGATGTTCCCAAGCCCCAAGATAAACCAGTCAGTCAGCCATCTCCTTTGATTACTCCCCTAGTCGGTCCTGGGGAAAAATCACCAGTCAAAACTGATGAAAAACCAAAGCTCTTTGACTTGAAGGACTCCACTAAGCCTAACGAAAAGCCCAAGGCTCCGATCGTGTCAGAGAAGCCAAGTCCAAAAGAATATTCCGATGTCGAAAGCGATGAGGACTTTGATGTTCCCAAGCCCCAAGACAAACCAGTTAGTCAGCCATTTCCTTTGATTACTCCTCTAGTCGGTCCTGGGGAAAAATCACCAGTCAAAACTGATGAAAAACCGAATCCGATTGACTTGAAGGACTCCACTAAGCCTGACGAAAAGCCCAAGGCTCCGATCGTGTCAGAGAAGCCAAGTCCAAAAGAATATTCCGATGACGAAAGCGATGAGGACTTTGATGTTCCCAAGCCCCAAGACAAACCAGTTAGTCAGCCATCTCCTTTGATTACTCCTTTCATTGGTTCTGGCGAGAAATCGCCTGCTAAGGATGATTTCAAGCCTCAATCAATTACGACATTCAAGGCAGAAGAAAGCTTCACGACTATTCAATCAGACGTCAAATCTGTGAGTACGGTCGTATCTGTAACTGACAGTCACGTAACAGACATCAAAGCACCAAGTAAGCCAGAGGAAAAGCCTCAGGGACCCATTGACTCAGTAAAACCAGGTCCGAAAGAATATTCCGATGACGAAAGCGATGAGGACTTTGATGTTCCCAAGCCCCAAGACAAACCAGTTAGTCAGCCATCTCCTTTGATTACTCCTCTAGTCGGTCCTGGGGAAAAATCACCAGTCAAAACTGATGAAAAACCGAAACCGATTGACTTGAAGGACTCCACTAAGCCTGACGAAAAGCCCAAGGCTCCGATCGTGTCAGAGAAGATAAGTCCAAAAGAATATTCCGATGACGAAAGCGATGAAGACTTTGATGTTCCCAAGCCCCAAGATAAACCAGTTAGTCAGCCATCTCCTTTGATTACTCCTTTCATTGGTTCTGGCGAGAAATCGCCTGCTAAGGATGATTTCAAGCCTCAATCAATTACGACATTCAAGGCAGAAGAAAGCTTCACGACTATTCAATCAGACGTCAAATCTGTGAGTACGGTCGTATCTGTAACTGACAGTCACGTAACAGACATCAAAGCACCAAGTAAGCCAGAGGAAAAGCCTCAGGGACCCATTGACTCAGTAAAACCAGGTCCGAAAGAATATTCCGATGACGAAAGCGATGAGGACTTTGATGTTCCCAAGCCCCAAGATAAACCAGTTAGTCAGCCATCTCCTTTGATTACTCCTCTAGTCGGTCCTGGGGAAAAATCACCAGTCAAAACTGATGAAAAACCAAAGCCCTATGACTTGAAGGACTCCACTAAGCCTGACGAGAAGCCCAAGGCTCCGATCGTGTCAGAGAAGCCAAGTCCAAAAGAGTATTCCGATGACGAAAGCGATGAAGACTTTGATGTTCCCAAGCCCCAAAACAAACCAGTTAGTCAGCCATCTCCTTTGATTACTCCTTTCATAGGTACTGGCGAAAAATCGCCTGCTAAGGATGATTTCAAGCCTCAATCAATTACGACATTCAATGCAGAAGAAACCTTGACGACTATTCAATCAGACGTCAAATCTGTGAGTACGGTCGTATCTGTAACTGACAGTCACGTAACAGACATCAAAGCACCAAGTAAGCCAGAGGAAAAGCCTCAGGGACCCATTGACTCAGTAAAACCAGGTCCGAAAGAATATTCCGATGACGAAAGCGATGAGGACTTTGATGTTCCCAAGCCCCAAGATAAACCAGTTAGTCAGCCATCTCCTTTGATTACTCCCCTAGTCGGTTCTGGGGAAAAATCACCAGTCAAAACTGATGAAAAACCAAAGCCCTATGACTTGAAGGACTCCACTAAGCCTGACGAGAAGCCCAAGGCTCCGATCGTGTCAGAGAAGCCAAGTCCAAAAGAATATTCCGATGACGAAAGCGATGAAGACTTTGATGTTCCCAAGCCCCAAGATAAACCAGTTAGTCAGCCATCTTCGTTGATTACTCCTCTAGTCGGTCCTGGGGAAAAATCACCAGTCAAAACTGATGAAAAACCGAAACCGATTGACTTGAAGGACTCCACTAAGCCTGACGAAAAGCCCAAGGCTCCGATCGTGTCAGAGAAGCCAAGTCCAAAAGAATATTCCGATGACGAAAGCGATGAGGACTTTGATGTTCCCAAGCCCCAAGACAAACCAGTTAGTCAGCCATCTCCTTTGATTACTCCTTTCATTGGTACTGGCGAGAAATCGCCTGCTAAGGATGATTTCAAGCCTCAATCAATTACGACATTCAAGGCAGAAGAAAGCTTCACGACTATTCAATCAGACGTCAAATCTGTGAGTACGGTCGTATCTGTAACTGACAGTCACGTAACAGACATCAAAGCACCAAGTAAGCCAGAGGAAAAGCCTCAGGGACCCATTGACTCAGTAAAACCAGGTCCGAAAGAATATTCCGATGATGAAAGCGATGAGGACTTTGATGGTCCCAAGCCCCAAGATAAACCAGTTAGTCAGCCATCTCCTTTGATTACTCCTCTAGTCGGTCCTGGGGAAAAATCACCAGTCAAAACTGATGAAAAACCAAAGCCCTTTGACTTGAAGGACTCCACTAAGCCTGACGAGAAGCCCAAGGCTCCGATCGTGTCAGAGAAGCCAAGTCCAAAAGAATATTCCGATGATGAAAGCGATGAGGACTTTGATGGTCCCAAGCCCCAAGATAAACCAGTTAGTCAGCCATCTCCTTTGATTACTCCTCTAGTCGGTCCTGGGGAAAAATCACCAGTCAAAACTGATGAAAAACCGAAACCGATTGACTTGAAGGACTCCACTAAGCCTGACGAAAAGCCCAAGGCTCCGATCGTGTCAGAGAAGCCAAATCCAAAAGAATATTCCGATGACGAAAGCGATGGAGACTTTGATGTTCCCAAGCCCCAAGATAAACCAGTTAGTCAGCCATCTTCGTTGATTACTCCTCTAGTCGGTCCTGGGGAAAAATCACCAGTCAAAACTGATGAAAAACCGAAACCGATTGACTTGAAGGACTCCACTAAGCCTGACGAAAAGCCCAAGGCTCCGATCGTGTCAGAGAAGCCAAATCCAAAAGAATATTCCGATGACGAAAGCGATCAGGACTTTGATGTTCCCAAGCCCCAAGATAAAGCAGTTAGTCAGCCATCTTCGTTGATTACTCCTCTAGTCGGTCCTGGGGAAAAATCACCAGTCAAAACTGATGAAAAACCGAAACCGATTGACTTGAAGGACTCCACTAAGCCTGACGAAAAGCCCAAGGCTCCGATCGTGTCAGAGAAGCCAAGTCCAAAAGAGTATTCCGATGACGAAAGCGATGAAGACTTTGATGTTCCCAAGCCCCAAGATAAACCAGTTAGTCAGCCATCTTCGTTGATTACTCCTCTAGTCGGTCCTGGGGAAAAATCACCAGTCAAAACTGATGAAAAACCGAAACCGATTGACTTGAAGGACTCCACTAAGCCTGACGAAAAGCCCAAGGCTCCGATCGTGTCAGAGAAGCCAAGTCCAAAAGAGTATTCCGATGACGAAAGCGATGAGGACTTTGATGTTCCCAAGCCCAAAGACAAACCAGTTAGTCAGCCATCTCCTTTGATTACTCCTTTCATTGGTACTGGCGAGAAATCGCCTGCTAAGGATGAATTCAAGCCTCAATCAATTACGACATTCAAGGCAGAAGAAAGCTTCACGACTATTCAATCAGACGTCAAATCTGTGAGTACGGTCGTATCTGTAACTGACAGTCACGTAACAGACATCAAAGCACCAAGTAAGCCAGAGGAAAAGCCTCAGGGACCCATTGACTCAGTAAAACCAGGTCCGAAAGAATATTCCGATGATGAAAGCGATGGGGACTTTGATGGTCCCAAGCCCCAAGATAAACCAGTTAGTCAGCCATCTCCTTTGATTACTCCTCTAGTCGGTCCTGGGGAAAAATCACCAGTCAAAACTGATGAAAAACCAAAGCCCTTTGACTTGAAGGACTCCACTAAGCCTGACGAGAAGCCCAAGGCTCCGATCGTGTCAGAGAAGCCAAGTCCAAAAGAATATTCCGATGACGAAAGCGATGAAGACTTTGATGTTCCCAAGCCCCAAGATAAACCAGTTAGTCAGCCATCTTCGTTGATTACTCCTCTAGTCGGTCCTGGGGAAAAATCACCAGTCAAAACTGATGAAAAACCGAAACCGATTGACTTGAAGGACTCCACTAAGCCTGACGAAAAGCCCAAGGCTCCGATCGTGTCAGAGAAGCCAAGTCCAAAAGAATATTCCGATGACGAAAGCGATGAGGACTTTGATGTTCCCAAGCCCCAAGACAAACCAGTTAGTCAGCCATCTCCTTTGATTACTCCTTTCATTGGTACTGGCGAGAAATCGCCTGCTAAGGATGATTTCAAGCCTCAATCAATTACGACATTCAAGGCAGAAGAAACCTTGACGACTATTCAATCAGACGTCAAATCTGTGAGTACGGTCGTATCTGTAACTGACAGTCACGTAACAGACATCAAAGCACCAAGTAAGCCAGAGGAAAAGCCTCAGGGACCCATTGACTCAGTAAAACCAGGTCCGAAAGAATATTCCGATGACGAAAGCGATGAGGACTTTTATGTTCCCAAGCCCCAAGATAAACCAGTCAGTCAGCCATCTCCTTTGATTACTCCTCTAGTCGGTCCTGGGGAAAAATCACCAGTCAAAACTGATGAAAAACCGAAACCGATTGACTTGAAGGACTCCACTAAGCCTGACGAAAAGCCCAAGGCTCCGATCGTGTCAGAGAAGCCAAGTCCAAAAGAATATTCCGATGACGAAAGCGATGAGGACGTTGATGTTCCCAAGCCCCAAGATAAACCAGTCAGTCAGCCATCTCCTTTGATTACTCCTCTAGTCGGTCCTGGGGAAAAATCACCAGTCAAAACTGATGAAAAACCGAAACCGATTGACTTGAAGGACTCCACTAAGCCTGACGAAAAGCCCAAGGCTCCGATCGTGTCAGAGAAGCCAAGTCCAAAAGAATATTCCGATGGCGAAAGCGATGAGGACTTTGATGTTCCCAAGCCCCAAGACAAACCAGTTAGTCAGCCATCTCCTTTGATTACTCCTTTCATTGGTACTGGCGAAAAATCGCCTGCTAAAGATGATTTCAAGCCTCAATCAATTACGACATTCAAGGCAGAAGAAACCTTGACGACTATTCAATCAGACGTCAAATCTGTGAGTACGGTCGTATCTGTAACTGACAGTCACGTAACAGACATCAAAGCACCAAGTAAGCCAGAGGAAAAGCCTCAGGGACCCATTGACTCAGTAAAACCAGGTCCGAAAGAATATTCCGATGATGAAAGCGATGAGGACTTTGATGGTCCCAAGCCCCAAGATAAACCAGTTAGTCAGCCATCTCCTTTGATTACTCCTCTAGTCGGTCCTGGGGAAAAATCACCAGTCAAAACTGATGAAAAACCAAAGCCCTTTGACTTGAAGGACTCCACTAAGCCTGACGAAAAGCCCAAGGCTCCGATCGTGTCAGAGAAGCCAAGTCCAAAAGAGTATTCCGATGACGAAAGCGATGAGGACTTTGATGTTCCCAAGCCCCAAGACAAACCAGTTAGTCAGCCATCTCCTTTGATTACTCCTTTCATTGGTACTGGCGAAAAATCGCCTGCTAAAGATGATTTCAAGCCTCAATCAATTACGACATTCAAGGCAGAAGAAACCTTGACGACTATTCAATCAGACGTCAAATCTGTGAGTACGGTCGTATCTGTAACTGACAGTCACGTAACAGACATCAAAGCACCAAGTAAGCCAGAGGAAAAGCCCCAGGGACCCATTGACTCAGTAAAACCAGGTCCGAAAGAATATTCCGATGATGAAAGCGATGAGGACTTTGATGGTCCCAAGCCCCAAGATAAACCAGTTAGTCAGCCATCTCCTTTGATTACTCCTCTAGTCGGTCCTGGGGAAAAATCACCAGTCAAAACTGATGAAAAACCAAAGCCCTTTGACTTGAAGGACTCCACTAAGCCTGACGGGAAGCCCAAGGCTCCGATCGTGTCAGAGAAGCCAAGTCCAAAAGAATATTCCGATGACGAAAGCGATGAAGACTTTGATGTTCCCAAGCCCCAAGATAAACCAGTTAGTCAGCCATCTTCGTTGATTACTCCTCTAGTCGGTCCTGGGGAAAAATCACCAGTCAAAACTGATGAAAAACCGAAACCGATTGACTTGAAGGACTCCACTAAGCCTGACGAAAAGCCCAAGGCTCCGATCGTGTCAGAGAAGCCAAGTCCAAAAGAATATTCCGATGACGAAAGCGATGAGGCCTTTAATGTTCCCAAGCCCCAAGACAAACCAGTTAGTCAGCCATCTCCTTTGATTACTCCTTTCATTGGTACTGGCGAAAAATCGCCTGCTAAGGATGATTTCAAGCCTCAATCAATTACGACATTCAAGGCAGAAGAAACCTTGACGACTATTCAATCAGACGTCAAATCTGTGAGTACGGTCGTATCTGTAACTGACAGTCACGTAACAGACATCAAAGCACCAAGTAAGCCAGAGGAAAAGCCTCAGGGACCCATTGACTCAGTAAAACCAGGTCCGAAAGAATATTCCGATGACGAAAGCGATGAGGACTTTGATGTTTCCAAGCCCCAAGATAAACCAGTTAGTCAGCCATCTTCTTTGATTACTCCTCTAGTCGGTCCTGGGGAAAAATCACCAGTCAAAACTGATGAAAAACCAAAGCCCATTGACTTGAAGGACTCCACTAAGCCTGACGAAAAGCCCAGGGCTCCGATCGTGTCAGAGAAGCCAAGTCCAAAAGAGTATTCCGATGACGAAAGCGATGAAGACTTTGATGTTCCCAAGCCCCAAGACAAACCAGTTAGTCAGCCATCTCCTTTGATTACTCCTTTCATTGGTACTGGCGAAAAATCGCCTGCTAAGGATGATTTCAAGCCTCAATCAATTACGACATTCAAGGCAGAAGAAAGCTTCACGACTATTCAATCAGACGTCAAATCTGTGAGTACGGTCGTATCTGTAACTGACAGTCACGTAACAGACATCAAAGCACCAAGTAAGCCAGAGGAAAAGCCTCAGGGACCCATTGACTCAGTAAAACCAGGTCCGAAAGAATATTCCGATGACGAAAGCGATGAGGACTTTGATGTTTCCAAGCCCCAAGATAAACCAGTTAGTCAGCCATCTTCTTTGATTACTCCTCTAGTCGGTCCTGGGGAAAAATCACCAGTCAAAACTGATGAAAAACCAAAGCCCATTGACTTGAAGGACTCCACTAAGCCTGACGAAAAGCCCAAGGCTCCGATCGTGTCAGAGAAGCCAAGTCCAAAAGAGTATTCCGATGACGAAAGCGATGAGGACTTTGATGTTCCCAAGCCCCAAGATAAACCAGTTAGTCAGCCATCTTCTTTGATTACTCCTCTAGTCGGTCCTGGGGAAAAATCACCAGTCAAAACTGATGAAAAACCGAAACCGATTGACTTGAAGGACTCCACTAAGCCTGACGAAAAGCCCAAGGCTCCGATCGTGTCAGAGAAGCCAAGTCCAAAAGAGTATTCCGATGACGAAAGCGATGAAGACTTTGATGTTCCCAAGCCCCAAGACAAACCAGTTAGTCAGCCATCTCCTTTGATTACTCCTTTCATTGGTACTGGCGAAAAATCGCCTGCTAAGGATGATTTCAAGCCTCAATCAATTACGACATTCAAGGCAGAAGAAAGCTTCACGACTATTCAATCAGACGTCAAATCTGTGAGTACGGTCGTATCTGTAACTGACAGTCACGTAACAGACATCAAAGCACCAAGTAAGCCAGAGAAAAAGCCTCAGGGACCCATTGACTCAGTAAAACCAGGTCCGAAAGAATATTCCGATGACGAAAGCGATGAGGACTTTGATGTTCCCAAGCCCCAAGATAAACCAGTTAGTCAGCCATCTTCTTTGATTACTCCTCTAGTCGGTCCTGGGGAAAAATCACCAGTCAAAACTGATGAAAAACCGAAACCGATTGACTTGAAGGACTCCACTAAGCCTGACGAGAAGCCCAAGGCTCCGATCGTGTCAGAGAAGCCAAGTCCAAGAGAGTATTCCGATGACGAAAGCGATGAAGACTTTGATGTTCCCAAGCCCCAAGATAAATCAGTTAGTCAGCCATCTACTTTGATTACTCCTTTTACTGGCGAAAAATCGCCTGCTAAGGATGATTTCAAGACTCAATCAATTACGACATTCAAGGCAGAAGAAAGCTTCACGACTATTCAATCAGACGTCAAATCTGTGAGTACGGTCGTATCTGTAACTGACAGTCACGTAACAGACATCAAAGCACCAAGTAAGCCAGAGAAAAAGCCTCAGGGACCCATTGACTCAGTAAAACCAGGTCCGAAAGAATATTCCGATGACGAAAGCGATGAGGACTTTGATGTTCCCAAGCCCCAAGATAAACCAGTTAGTCAGCCATCTTCTTTGATTACTCCTCTAGTCGGTCCTGGGGAAAAATCACCAGTCAAAACTGATGAAAAACCGAAACCGATTGACTTGAAGGACTCCACTAAGCCTGACGAAAAGCCCAAGGCTCCGATCGTGTCAGAGAAGCCAAGTCCAAAAGAGTATTCCGATGACGAAAGCGATGAAGACTTTGATGTTCCCAAGCCCCAAGACAAACCAGTTAGTCAGCCATCTCCTTTGATTACTCCTTTCATTGGTACTGGCGAAAAATCGCCTGCTAAGGATGATTTCAAGCCTCAATCAATTACGATATTCAATGCAGAAGAAACCTTGACGACTATTCAATCAGACGTCAAATCTGTGAGTACGGTCATATCTGTAACTGACAGTCACGTAACAGACATCAAAGCACCAAGTAAGCCAGAGGAAAAGCCTCAGGGTCCCATTGACTCAGTAAAGCTTAGTGAAGAAGAGTATACCGATGAAGGTGTGGGAATTCCAAAGGGCCAAGAAAAACCAGTTCATGAGGGTTCTGTAGCTGAGGGAATGAAAGAAATGTATTCTAGTTATGATGAAAATAGATCTGTGCAGCAAATTGTAGAGGACACTCTGAAAGCTGGCGACGCTGAGGTACAAAAGATTGTTGACGAAACCCTTAAAAGTGCTCAACAGTTAAAAAAACTGGACAGCTTGAGGGAGCAATTAGTTGACACTGACGACGATCGTTCGGTGGAGCAAATAGTTGAAGAAACTTTGAGAAGTGCCAAGTTAAAACCTTGTTCTTCTGAGAAGAATCAAATTAGGGAGGTTGATTCCGACAAGAAGCAGATTAAGGAGGTTGAGAAAGAGGAAAGTAAAGAAAGTCGTCCCGTGGCCTACTTTGTAAAATTGGATGAACAAAAGAGTAGTGTTTCTATTAAGAAACCAACTAAGAAATCTGAAGAAAAAAGCGAAATAAAGTCCGAATCAAGAAAAGTTGTGAGGGAAACTGTTTCAAAATCAAATCTAAAGGTTTCGCAGAAGAAAAAAATAGTTAGTGAAAAGGAAAAATCTAAGAGTGATTCTAAATCTGTACCTAGTGTTCAAGCAAAGCCTAAAGCAACCTCTGGGGAGAAGAATATAATTAGGAAAACATCGGCTACCAGCAAACCCAAATTGACAGCTAAAACAGAGTCTAGACGATCAGTAACAAGCTCAACATCAACCACCACTAGTTCAGCTTCCGCTACTAGTCGAGTAATAAGTGAACTGCATTTCGAAAGATCTGCTAGCCCAGCATCTAGTTCAATATTCTATGAGAGTCATCCGCAGGGCGACAACAGCCGTTCCACCACCCCCAGACCTAGGGTTAAGACTGACGTAACGCGAATTCCATACAATGCCTCTGTCCGTTCCTTCAGTCCCCAACCTCAGACCAAAACTACTAAGACAGCAAAAACCACTGTAAAACAAACAAAGTCAACTGCCACTCGATCTACCAAAGAGCTTACTATTAAAAGTTCCAAGAAGACTGAGAAAACTGGCAGCCAGGAGAACGTTGATACTAAGCGAACGAAAACACCGACTCCGTCTGCTACCCACAGATATATGCAACCCACCCTGGCCCACAACATGCGCTACGGTTTGAGTGGCGAAGGCGAGATTGGCCAAAGCGTAGCGCCGGCTCAGCCAAAGTCACCAGCCCCACCTAAATCGCCCGCCCCGGGCCTCACTAAAATTACTTACAGAACTACGACAAGTGCCTTGACAAAGTCCAAATCCGTGGATCCAAAACAAAAGAAACAATTAGATGAAAAGACACCGACCCAACCCCAATCACAGATACAGATCAAAAGAGGTTCACAGAGCGATAGCAAGGAATCCCTGAAGAGCACAGAGCGCCTTTATAAGCGACAGATATCCAAGGAAAATAAGCTAACAAACGTGATAGGCTCCAAGAGCCAAGAAACCAAAAGCATGAAGACACAATCAGTTACTGCATCCAAGACACTAGCCTACAGAACTTCCATAGAAACCGACAACAAGCTTCTGAAAAAATCCACAGCCACTATACAGCGCACTAAAGTTCCGATTAGCGTGTCTTCCAGTTCAAGGACTGTAACCAAGCAAAGCAAAAGTGATGACACCGACAAGCGACCTCAGGTAGACAATAAGAAACCAGTTAGACGAACGACAGCCAAAGCCAGTGAAGCAAGTGGCGCACCCTCTGCGATCAGCAAGTCCATGCAGAGTTCTATGGAGCCGAAGCTTCAAAAGAAGATGAAGGACTCGATAAACGAGTCCAGTTCGGTAACGAACTCAAACTCCGGAAGTGGCAGTACCAGCGCCAGTGGATCCTCAAACAGCACTCGGCGGAGCGTTCGATCGGTGAGCACGGTCAGCCGGAAGACGGACAAGGAGCTGACCAACATCCGGCGCGCAGCAGGAGGTGTAGCGTCCACGTCCACAGTGCGAGTTCATAGGGAACCGACGGCTACCACCAGCGCTGTTAGCACCGTACACATTGACGACGACTGTGAGGTGATAACCATACGCTCCATTAAATCAAGCGATAGTACAAAAAGTTCTAACTCATCATCCTCCGGTAGCGGCAGCAACAGTCGCAAAGTGCTTACCAGCGAGGTATTCACTAAGACCTTTGGCCCCGACAAGCCACTCGAAGTGGTCTACCGCCAGCCCGAGTTCGATGTAGAGCACCACACCATCATGTCTGTCCGCCCACCATCCACCAGTGGCGACCAGCAGCGGTGCCTTAACGAGTTTGATGTCAGCTTCATCGACACCACAGACTCCAGTCTCTCGGACTCGATAGCCCTTCCCATGTTCGGTACCGCCGAACCGGAGCGCCTGTTGGCCGCCAGCCCCGGCTCGCCCAAGCCAACCCGCAGCCCGTTGGCCCTCATTGAAGAGACATTACGCCGCCAGCAACACCATCATCACCATCCCCAGCAGCACCTCCATAGCGGCGTTGCTGTGGCTGGTGCCGCTGCCCTTGATAGCTCGCTGCCGATGCCCGGTATGGGTGGTGAGAGTCAACGGGAGACGGAGGTGGAAAAGATTAATACAACAAAAGGTAAATATGGTAATGCTTTTAATGACATACATACATATATGTTAGGTAACTAGCACATGGATAAAGTCTCTCTTAAGATTAGCTTAGTTACGATACCCATCATATTCAGGAATTAGTTATTAAATGCAACTTTTCTATTGATATGCTTAATTATATGACTTACTTTACTTAACCTAACTCTAACTTGTTTTCCATAAATAGCAAACACGAATAACTAAAACCGTCAAAACAAAGCCTTAATATACACCACTACTACTATTACTACAAACCCACCAAACTTACCCATCAAAATGTCCAACAAACTCCCAACTATATCCGTAACTGCCGACAAGCATTCAGCTCAATCCGATCTATCATCCTCATCGTCCTCCCATGATACCGACAGCAATGACATGGACTACGGTCGCGATGGCGCCGGCGGAGTGACCGATGTGGAGGACTTTGACAGTCAGGCGGAGGTGTTGAAGCCACACTCCCGGCGGGGCTCGGGATCCGTAAAGCCCAAAGCCGAGCCCAAACCAAACACAGGCGATGTGACCGATGTGGAGGACTACGATACAGAATCTGAGGATGAAGAGAAGAGCACGGCCTACCCTGAACTGAAGTTGTCGCTGAGGGAGTTTCTTCAGCAGGGATTGCAGAACCAGGAAGCCGTCGACAACGATGCCAAGGAGAGCTGTGAAATAAAAGCTGGAGACTTCGTGCAAGCACAAAACCTGAATGGCTTGGCCGACTATCTGACAGACTGCGAGGACTACGACACCGACTCCGAGGTAGAGCATGGCTACGAGAAATCAGTGTGTGTGGACTTGGACCACGCTGTTGGCGATCAGGGACGCGTTAACATAGCCGATGGAGAAAAGAACCAGGACGACTCGGACCAGTACGAGGACGTGTCCGTGATAAGCGACATCAGTGACCTGGCCTCGGCCATGTCCGAATGCACCGGCGTGGGCATTCGTGGAATGTCCGAGGATGAGGTGCTGGAGGTGTCCGACAGCGGACATGAGGAGGTTTGCCAGATAGCCTGCTCAGGCAGCGAGTCGGAGCAAGAGGGTGCCGCTGGGTGGAGCCACAGTGTAAGTGAGTCCAGTTTTCCAGCTATAGATGTGGCCTTTGTGAGCGCCAGTGGCCAGCCTCGCCGCAACTCCAAGTCCAGTATGCCCATGCCGGGACAAAAATATTTCCTTCAACCGGCTGCTAGAAACGATGAGGTGTTAACCGATGTGGAGGGCATAGATGACTCGGCTGCTGAGGATAGTTTTGACAACGAGGAGGAGGACGAGCAACCCATACCCCGCGCCATCATTTTGGCATCTGGAGATGACGGCACTTGTGTCACTGACGTGGAGGACATGTTCTGTGAGGACTCGTCCTTAACCAGCAGCATACCAGAAGTGAAGACTGTTTCCCACGAAGCCCTGCCGCTGCCACATCGTGAGGTGGTGGAGCTTAAAGAGGACAAGTACGGGGATACTATTACCAACGTCATGCCAATGGATAAAAATTACGAGTTCGGTATCTACAACCACCTAAAGGACGCCATCCACACCGATTCTGAGGACTACTCGTGCGCTGATGAATGGAGCCTGCAGCACTCTCTGGCCGATGATGCCGCAATGGGTGGCAGTCTCATTGAAAACGAAGTGATCGTGTCCAACGAATTGCTGAAACAGCAGCAAAATAAACGCCTGGAAGTCCAGTCCAATGCAGAGTCAGTCACAGATGTGGAGGAAATCTTTGTGGCCGGTACAAATCGGCGCAAGAAGTTGAAGGCTCGCACCCCCAGCAAAGGCAAAAACAAGCTACTTGACATCACCAAAGGTAAGGAGGATGGAGTGACCGATGTCGAGGACATGGATTTGAGCGAGTGTGGTCTGCCGCCAGGAGTCAAGAGAGTGGAGCAACTAAAGCAACAGGCCAAGGAGAAAGTCTCCGACGCCGAGGATGCATCCACCGACGATGTCTCTGATATGTCGGAAGCCTCTGATGCCTTGCCGCCGTCAACATGCGATAAGTCCAGCTCCAAGATCAAGCTTCCACCGCTTCACTTGAGATTGCTGAAGGACGATATTGTTAACCAACAGCATACAGATGTGGAAGACGTGCAGTGCCCTTCTGAGGCGGAGGATGCCCTAGAACCGCCACCAGTGCCGGTGGCCAACAGCAATAGCAAGGAGCTAAACGACATGCTGAACGAGAGCTATACGGTGGTGCATGAGAAGACCGGGAGGATCTTCAACAGCGAGGCCGAGAAGCTACACATAAAAGGCATGATCAGAGATGCCCATACCGACGTTGAGTATGTTGAGTCCGACGAGTCAGCCGCTAGGGGAGGCAACTAGTCTTCTTTTCGGGTTCTGATCCATTCCGATATTAGTCGGTACCCAGCTGTTGCCAAACGAAATCTCAACAATAGTTCTTAAGTGTTCATAGATACGAAAACCCAACACACACACTCAAGCATTTTGTAAGTAAAGCCAACAATTATCAAGCATTTTCGTTACCACAATCAAAGCAGCAAAAAGCCTTAAATCTACTCACATCGTTCCCATATACAATACCTAACCCCCTGTGCCCCTGTCATACTAACTAATTTTTACTATCACCTACTAGGCGTCGTTTAACTAACATCCACACCGTTACTTCTTACTGTACTCGATACTAACCGAAATGTTATTTGGAATCCATTTTGTTCGTTCTTGGTTCGAATGTCTGTAAATCATTCATTATCATTTCGTTAGTAGCGTAATCTAACGTAGTCCTAGGTCCACTTTTTTGTTCATTTCCAGCATATATTGCAAGCCACTAACCTCTTAAATGTTTATTGCAGAAACCCTTCAAGAGAAACATATTGAACAACCCAAACTGGATGCCGCAAAGATCTCAACAGAAATTGGTATGTCCTTGATCGTAAACGCCAGCTTTTCATAGTGCTCGTTAGTCATAACGCTTCATTAGATTGCCAAATTAATTAGTTATTTTATTCGTTCACCAAATGCAATTAAAGCTCATTCGAAATAGTAAAGTCAGCTTCAACCGTATGCGACAGATCTCGATCACATCACCAACCGATATCACCATCATCTGCCAACACTCATTGTCTTGCACATTTCTACTGCCTTTCTCATGATTTCAAAGCTTCTCCTTTCGCTTTCGCCTCGAATCTTTGATCTTACTCTGTTCTATCTGTCCAATTTCTATCTACCAATGAACTGTGCAATTGTCTTCCAGGTGATGTTAAAGTTGGTGGTGGTGATGTAAGTGATGGCGAAGATCTTGTGGCGCGCATTCGCGAAGAAGCCAATATCCTAGTGGATCGCGTGCTCGAAGAGAGTGTCGAGATCATTGAAGGTCACGGTCATCAGGCCAATGGCCAGGAAACCGTTAAGGTGGATTACAACTCAGAAAGTGAGAACTATGCCATTACTTGCGATGACATTGGTGGCGTCGATGTCATCAAATCGCCCACTATTGAGTCCATGTCGGGCAAATCGTTCGACGACAACATGAGTTTCACCGATGAGCACATACATTTACCCATGCATGCCCAAAACACAACCACCTCCACCACGACAACGACTATTACCACTCAGTTCCAACAGCAGCAGGCCCAGGCAGGTGCCACAAGCTCATCAACGGCAAAAGGTAACATACATAATAGAGTCATGCGTTGAGGTAGTCCTACGATAGCTTAGCAGTTAGGATCGTAGCTCGAGCCCAGCAAACTGTACTCCATAATAGTGCTGCTTAGTCCGTTGGCTATAACCAATTTCCTGTATCGTTTGTTCCCATTCCCGTTGTCATGTACCATCTAGAATCAGCTTCTGTGCCCAGTTCCGTGCCGTTAGTACCTAGTCAAGATCAGGCCGACGAGAAGACTGCTATTCGCGAAAGGCGGATCGATCGCAAGATCGAAAAGTTGTTAGATGCGGACATGGAAGATATGAGCGCCAAGTTCGATGAAGCGTTTGAGGCGACGGTGCCCGAAGATGAGATCAGCGCCCTGCAGGGCGATTTCTCCAAGCTCAGCTGGGATGACAGTGTTTCGCCCACAACGAATACCATGGCAGATATAGGCCAGAACCAGATAACGCCCGATAACGATATTAATGATCTTGTCGCAGGTACCTAAAGCAAAAACGATGACCGTACAAAAAAATACAATTTTTCTATTATTTTGCCAATTTATTCCGAGAATATGACATCAAGAACTCTAAAATCTAGATGTATGTGCAGTATTCAGTTTGGTTTATGTTGTCTTAATGCGATGTCGAATCTTAAACGGCGGCCAATAAAGACTTTTGGTTTAAGTTGAGCTCTAATTGCATTTACCTTAATTATCGATTTAGTTTGTACTCATACTAACTCATGTAAAATATGCATGCAATCCTACTCTACCAACATTACTCTATCTCTGCGATCTATCTATCCTATGCTAACATAATACTCGAATGCATTAACCTCTCTATCACTGTAACCTTTATATTTCCTGTTTCTACCTTTGTAATCGTTTGATTGTGTTTCTCTTCCTCATCTTTTGTTGTCTCGACTATCACAACACTTTTAAAATTGCTTTCGTTTTCACACCTATTGTTTTGTAGAAACAGGCGGCGATTTACCGATCTCAAGTGAAACCGAAACTACTCCCGTACCACCGTCGAAAGAATCTGAAACTAAAACCGAAACTGAGCCGGCGGTAGAAACCAATACAATCACTACCACCAGCCATGACACACCCACACCAAAACCACGTGTACTCAAAGCAAGCTCCCCAGTTTCCGAAGGCACCGATAGCACTACCATTCCCGGTCCCGGTCCCGGTCTGGTGTCGAAGCCCGATGCACCGATTGATATTAGTATTGAGCCGTCAGCGCCAGTTCCCAAGCCCCGTGCTCCCATCAAGCACACGGAACCGTTTGAAAATCTGGCGGCCCTAGCCGAGCAGTCCGATAGCATTAGCTTGCGTAGCTTTGACTTCACCGAGGAGCTGTCCAAAACCGACGAGCCCTCCACCGAGATTTCCCTGCGTTCCCAGCTGCGCGACGTGGTCACAACCACCACAACAACCACTGCCTCAGAGGATCACACCGAGAGCTTCGAGCCGACGAGCGAAATTTCAGTGGACGATGCAGATACTGAAAAATCGGAGGGGGCTGAGAAAACCACAAGCTTCTATATTGGAGAGTCCAGTCGTAATGTCATCACCAAAACTACAACAAGATCCGCGAGTGTCACGCCTCAGGAGGAAGAGGCCCAGACCGCTATCGGGATTGACGCCAAGGACGTGTCGCTGATGAAGGAGGTATCCGTGGACTCTGACGAGGCCAATGATGTCTTTAAGGAATATGTCACCATGAAGCCGGACGAACCAGCATCATTGGATAGCAAGATAGCTAGGCAGGGTTCCGAAACGAGAAATGATATTCTGGAATTTGAAAATGCCGACAAAGACAAGACAGGCGAACCGAAACTGTCCAAAGTGACCACCGAAGAGAGCTTGACCACATCGACTGGGTCCAGTGGACGGGCCATCTTAGAAGTGGCGCCTTCCAGCAGCGAGGATCCCGATGAGTCCGGCAAGGAAATCCCAGAAATAGTAAACACAATCTCTGAAAAGACTGCCTCATCAGATAGGTTTGAATTGCCTTTAGAAAAGAGTGAGTGGGAAACGTCGGAAAAGGATATTCCAACCTCCGGTAAGCCAAAAGTAGTGCACTCACCACAACAGGCTCCAGATGCCTCCGTTAAAAGTGAATTAGATGACTCACTGGTCGGTGAGTCTCTTTCCGAGGTTCAGGAACTTCAACAAATACCCCAGAGTGCTGTAAAAAGCGTTATTGAGGATCCGCTGCCAGAGTTTGAATACCACGGCGTGCCCCATGGAGTTGCTACCTCCGCTGAAAGTGAAGACATCTCATCATTCATTGGTATACCAGAATCCAGCATGCTAACATCAACTCTTGATAGCACTCAGCCCCCAGAAGGACTCTTTGACACCACAATTACGGAAACCTTAAACAAGGAAGCAGCCATGGCTCACTACGCCCAGGATGTGTTCGGAAGAGTAGAGAGGCGCGATGATCACGGATCTCTCGGCTTTGTTTCCACTGGAACAGCAGAGGAGCTAAGCTCCATGGAAGATCATATGGCCAAGGAGGAACAAGCTTCCCTGGGATTTATCTCCACAGAGACTGCGGAGGACTTTAGCTCCATGGAAGATTACTATACCGAGAAGCTGGCCACTGCCAGTGTCGTGGCTGAGGAGATAGCTGCTGACAAGTCCATAACCACCAGCACTTTTGAGGAACTAACATCTGACCAGTCCATGAAGCCAGTGGATGTTGTAGTTCATCGGCTGAAGACCGAGTCATCACCAGATTCGACGAACCGCTGGTCCATTCCCGACGTGGATAACTCCAGCTCAAGTGAGAGCTTCCACAAGAGTTTTGACAAGACCCAGAGTAGGCCTCTCTCCTCCGACATGGACAATCTGTTGACCGCCACTGGCACCGGCACCTCCAGCGAATACCAGACCGCCCGCGAATTCACCTCCACTTGCCGAACAGAAGGCACGGAGTATGTGAGTGCCGTGAGCACTTTGGGCAGTAGTAGTTTGGATTCTCAGTCGGAAACCTCCGCTAATTTCGCTAGCATTGATGTGTCTGAGCTTTCGGAGACTCTAGTGGCCTCGTCTGCCGATGCTGATGCATTTGAAGCCGATGAGATCTCAAAACTGAGGGACTTACGAGCCGATGACGAGGATAGCGATGACAGCATAGAAATCCCGGAAGGTAATTATCCGACTAGCGAACAGCAGAGTCTTATGAAGCGCTCCCAGGAGATGATTTTCAAGCCAAAAGCTGAGGAGCCTGTTGAAGTTGAGTCGGTCCAGATCGAGGAGTCTCCCAAGCCCAAAGAAGCGGAACGCACCTGGGGACTGGCATATCCTTTAGAGGACAACAAAGTGGATAGCCCACGGGACAGTGAAAAAGGCGAAGACATCCTTTTGTACCATAGTGATCCGCGTCGTTCCATCGACGAATCCAAGTTGGCTTCAAGCTTGGATGAGGGAAGTATCCTGTCAGTGAGCATGTCGAGTACCTCGAATATTGACACCGTTGTGGAAAACTTTGAGGATATTATCGGATCCGCAGGATCTTCCTCTCTGACCGGCATTGAAGGCTTCCAGTATGGCCATGACGAACATGGCCCATCATCTTCGGTGCCCGAAGATGCCACCTTCGTGCTGGAAATGGAAAGCAAAGAACACTCTCCCCAGGATTCCAATGCCAGTACGCCGCCTGGAGGAGAATCCAAACGACGTGGACACAAAAGAAATGAAAGCATTTCCGGAGATGCTCTGAAGAATCTGGACAAAGAGGTGGCTCTGCTGGGCGAGGGCAAGGAGTCTGAGAGTGAGTCAGACACGGATCCCTATGAGTCTGAATATGCCCGCCAGTTCCGTTCACCCAAAGAGCGGAAGAACAAGAAGAAAAAGCAGGCAGCTGCCGAAATGGATCACAGTGCAGAGTTGGAGAAACGTCCGTTCACCCCGTCCCAGCTAGTGGCAGAGGTAATCGTTGAGGATAGCTTAACCGAGGAGTTGGAGGCCGAGGCCGCCATGATCGAGGAGCGTCGACCATCCCAAAATATGCAGGATTACTCAAATATTCCTGATATCATGGTCACTGAGGATATAAAGTCTCCAATTTTGGAGGAGGAAACCGATGTGTTTCCCGAAAAAACCCTGTACAAGGTCCGCACTGAGGAGGAGCTCCACAAAGCCAGCGATTCATCCGTCTATCAAAAAGCAAAGGCCGAAGAAAAGGAGCAGGACTTTCAGCGACGTGTTCAGGAACAATATCGACAGAAGCTCGAGGAGCTGAAGCGGGCCGAGATCGGAGCCGATTTCGACGACCACAGGGCGCCCGACTCCCCAGACTCCTTTGAAATGGTTGAGCAGCCAGACATCTCAGATGAGTTTGTGATTATCGAGGAGGTGGCCAAGGAAGCCGGAGAGGTGGATCTCGGCGGCAAGAGCATCAAGATAAAGCCAATCAAGTATGAGCAGAAACACGACGAGGACGTCGAGAAAATAATCATAAAATCGGCGCCAGCAGATCCCAAGCTGGGCTCCCAGTTGTACAAGGACGACTTGAACTTTGAGTTCGAAGAGAGTCCGCCGACCGGAGCCAGTAGCAGTAGCGAGCAGCCGGAGGAAAGCGACTCCAGCGACACGGCGGCGGCCAACAAGCGCTGGGTTGAGATGCAGCTGACAGACAACCAGCTGAGGTATCCCTATGATCTGGCCGGAGCCGTTTTGGAGGATATCAAGGAGGAGGATGGCGAGTTTGAGGTGGGCAGCAGCCGCATCAGCAGCTTTAAGGATTCCTTTTCAAGCACGCCTGAGTACGACCTCGCAGCACGCCGCTATCACTCTCGGGGTGAACACGACGACGTATCAATGAGCAGCTTGCAGGAGTTCGAGTCCTTGGAGCAGGCCATCTCACTGGAGAACCGCAATCGAACACACCAGGGATCCACAGACTCCAGCAACGGTAGCTTCACCCGCCGCTACGTGGTGCGTCACAGTGGCAGTGGAACTGCGCCTGGCGACGATGTGTCCATTTCCAGTCTGAAAGAATTCGAGGGCCTAGAGAATGCCTGTATCGAAGCCCATTTGATTGAAATTAAGGCGAGGGAGGAGGCAGCACTGCTCTCCCGCTCCGACGAGTCCAACAAATCGAATGGCAGTGACAAAGGCGCCGCTGGCAATGTGGTGGTCACCAAAGTTACCCGCACGGTAACCCGAACCGATGTTGTGCCCTCCAGTCAGGCGGAGAACATTGAAGCTTTGCTCAAAAAGAAACTGGAGCAGGAGGAAGGAGATACCAAGGTAGTCAAGATCACAGAGGTGACCAGCACCACCACGGATCTGGAGCCAAAGTCGAAGATCGACAGCCAAGACTCCGAGAAGGACAGCATCGACAGCATGGAGATTAGCAAGAGTGGCCAGGACATGATGACCAGCAGCATCGAGAGCTTCGATATATCGAAAGACGCCACCACGAGATCGGACATCGACTCGCTGGAAATCGACAAGCGCCACTCGCGCCAGGAGAGTATCGAATCCTTCGGCGATGAGCAGCTAGATTTAATGACAAAGTTCGTCAGTGGCGGTGGAGTAACGTTGGGCGATGGCCTGACCACCACCACAACCACTACCACCACCAGCACGGATGCCGATGGGCACGAACATACCGTGACGAGAGTGGTTACCACGACGACCACCGTGGGTGGTGGCATTCAGGAGCTGCCGCTGGACGAGAGCGGCATGTCCAAGGACATATCGGTGGATTCGCTGAACTTGTGCGTGGAACAGACCACCAGCTCGGCGGGAACCACAGCCACTTATCAGACCAGTGCGGGAAATTCGCAAATGTCCGGCAGCGTCACCAGCTGCGCATCGAGCACGCTGATGGAGGACTCATTTCCTGGTGTGGGTGGTATGTCGTCGTCACAAATGTCGGCCAGTTTCTGGTCGCACGATGAATCCACGGTGGTCGAGGATGAGGGCCACGACCAAACCAAGAAGCAGTAGGCGCTGGATGAGAGATGATAAGAGATGAGATGAGAATGATATGGGAGAGATGAGTCATGCGTAATCCTATATGAAAATGGGGCTTGAACATGGTGACATGGTGACATAGAATATGTGGCTAGGTAAGCATTTCACGCGGCTTTCTGTTTTACTTTTGATTTTTGTCTTTTCTTGGCCTTCAAATTAAAAGCAGAGCTCAACTTTGACAGAGAAAAGTAATACTCGCCGCCTTTTTTAAAAGCTCCTTCTAAATATTTATTAAATTTTGTATTTTTATTCTTCTACTCTAATTCCAGACAAGTCACACTAAGAATCTATGGAATTTCTGATCTCTCTAGATGGGGACATTCAGCATTCACCGACTCTGAACATCACCGATTTCAAATCGAACAGCAGGAGGGATTTAAAAATTAGCTAATTCGACATTTTTCCATCTCAACACACATTTTTAATGATATTGAAGTGCATACACAAGTTTTTAAATGCAAATATATATATTTTATATATTTAAAAAAAAGAAAACTATAAAATCGCAAATATGAATATGAATATACGGCAAGCATTAGCTGTTCAACGCATTTTCTCATTGGCTTTAATGTTTAAAATTTAAATGATATTGCAAAAAACAAAAACTCAGAAGTAACAAAATAAAACAAGAAAATGTTTTTTGCTAGAACGATGTAATGGAATACACCTTTGCTTTTAATTTGATGTAGTTATTATATATGTATATGTACGAAGGATATTTATTATTAAATGAATCGCTTATTATTGTAGTTTAATTTAAGCAATTATACAAGCGCATGTGTAAAAGGGGACGTAATGAAATAGTCGAAGCCTGGAAAGTGAAATGCTTTTAAAGTCTCATTTTTTTACAAGACCAAGCAAATTTTTAAGCTTGCATATTTTAACAGTGGAATATACATAAATATACAATCCGAACAACAGCGTATAGATCAAATTTAAAGAATATACATTAAAGATATTAAATTTATTCACATAGAGCTACCACATACATCCATCAAGTGTAACGCTAAGTTTCGTAATGCACATCCTGTGTACGAGTATTCGTTAAAATGCCTATTTATTGAAAGGGTTTAGCATCACCACTCTTATGGGATATAAATAAAATAATATTTGTGTTAAAAACATACAAGAAATATTACAAAAAAAAAAATGACATTATTGTATTGTAAACCACACGCGTATGAATAACCAAATAAAATGCTTAATACAACTTTGAATTTGACTTATTATTAATAATGTGGAGCTCTCCATAATGATATCATCTGTCCAGGATTCTGAGCGAGCGTTCCGCTCCAGCAGTATGTTCCATCTATCTGGTGATCATCACCAAGGATCCCTTGTAAATGGGGATTTCCCCTATAGGGTCCACAGGGATAGCTGTATCTTTCCCAATTCTCATCCGATTCTCAAGCGGAGTACCTTAAACGATTTCTAGATCGATTCTCCATCATTCTGCATCAAAATCCTGAGACAACATATTTTTTAAATTTTTTGTCCATTTTTCGTGATGGGATCCCTTGTAAATGGGGATTTCCCCTATAGGGTCTACAGGGATAGCTGTATCTTTCCCGATTCTCATCCGATTCTCAAGCGGAGTACCTTAAACGATTTCTAGATCGATTCTCCATCATTCTGCATCAAAATCCTGAGACGAAATATTTTTTTAATTTTTTGTCCATTTTTCGTGATGGGATCCCATGAAAATGGGATTTTCCCCTATAGGGTCCACAGGGATGGCTGTATCTTTCCCAATTCGCATCCGATTCTCAAGCGGAGTACCTTAAACGATTTCTACATTGATTCTCCATCATTCTGCATCAAAATCCTGAGACGAAATATTTTTTTAATTTTTTGTCCATTTTTCGTGATGGGATCCCTTGAAAATGGGGTTTTCCCCTATAGGGTCCACAGGGATGGCTATATCTTTCCCAATTCTCATCCGATTCTCAAGCGGAGTACCTTAAACGATTTCTAGATCGATTCTCCATCATTCTGCATCAAAATCCTGAGACAAAATATTTTTTAAATTTTTTGTCCATTTTTCGTGATGGGATCCCTTGAAAATGGGGTTTTCCCCTATAGCGTCCACAGGGATGGCTGTATCTTTCCCAATTCTCATCCGATTCTCAAGCGGAGTACCTTAAACGATTTCTAAAACGATTCTCCATCATTCTGCATCAAAATCCTGAAACAAAATATTTTTAAAATTTTTTGTCCATTTTTCGTGAGGGATCCCTTGAAAATGGGGTTTTCCTATAGACCCTATAGGGTCCACAGGGATGTCTGTATCTTTAACAATGCTCATCCGATTCTCAAGCGGAGTACCTTAAACGATTTCTGTATCGATTCTCCATCATTCTGCATCAAAATCCTGAGACAAAATATTTTTTAAATTTTTTGTCCATTTTTCGTGATGGGATCCCTTGAAAATGGGGTTTTCCCCTATAGCGTCCACAGGGATGGCTGTATCTTTCCCAATTCTCATCCGATTCTCAAGCGGAGTACCTTAAACGATTTCTAAAACGATTCTCCATCATTCTGCATCAAAATCATGAGACAAAATACTTTTTAAATTTTTTGTCCATTTTTCGTGAGGGATCCCTTGAAAATGGGGTTTTCCTATAGACCCTATAGGGCCCACAGGGATGTCTGTATCTTTAACAATGCTCATCCGATTCTCAAGCGGAGTACCTTAAACGATTTCTAGATCGATTCTCCATCATTCTGCATCAAAATCCTGAGACAAAATATTTTTTAAATTTTTTGTCCATTTTTCGTGATGGGATCCCTTGAAAATGGGGTTTTCCCCTATAGGGTCCACAGGGATGGCTATATCTTTCCCAATTCTCATCCGATTCTCAAGCGGAGTACCTTAAACGATTTCTGTATCGATTCTCCATCATTCTGCATCAAAATCCTGAGACGAAATATTTTTTAAATTTTTTGTCCATTTTTCGTGAGGGATCCCTTGAAAATGGGGTTTTCCTATAGACCCTATAGGGCCCACAGGGATGTCTGTATCTTTAACAATGCTCATCCGATTCTCAAGCGGAGTACCTTAAACGATTTCTAGATCGATTCTCCATCATTCTGCATCAAAATCCTGAGACAAAATATTTTTTAAATTTTTTGTCCATTTTTCGTGATGGGATCCCTTGAAAATGGGGTTTTCCCCTTTAGGGTCCACGGGGATGGCTGTATCTTTCCCAATTCTCATCCGATTCTCAAGCGGAGTACCTTAAACGATTTCTAAAACGATTCTCCATCATTCTGCATCAAAATCCTGAGACAAAATATTTTTTAAATTTTTTGTCCATTTTTGGTGATGGGATCCCTTGAAAATGGGGTTTTCCACTATAGGGTCCACAGGGATGGCTGTATCTTTCCCAATTCTCATCCGATTCTCAAGCGGAGTACCTTAAACGATTTCTAGATCGATTCTCCATCATTCTGCATCAAAATCATGAGACAAAATACTTTTTAAATTTTTTGTCCACTTTTCGTGATGGGATCCCTTGAAAATGGGGTTTTCCCCTATAGGGTCCACAGGGATGGCTGTATCTTTCCCAATTCTCATCCGATTTTCAAGCCGAGTACCTTAAACGATTTCTAGATCGATTCTCCATCATTCTGCTTCAAAATCCTGAGACGAAATATTTTTTAAATTTTTTGTCCATTGCCAGAATATATATAATTTATAGGGTCGTAGAATTTTCCTTTACTGCGCTGTTCACTTTTGACCAAAATTATAATACCCTCTGCAAGGGTATAAAAACTTAAGCTGAAGCTTGTAAATGTCGTTCTCCCCATAATTTGTTTTTAATTTCCCTTTTGGGTTTAAACATGCCATATGTTCATAAAACTTAAATAGCTTCAAAAAGGCGACATTATGCAAATGGGGCGTTCCTGGTTGAGATTCAGACTAAAAAACTTTTCTTTTGCAGAATTATGTTACAATATAACATTTTTTTTAGTATTGAATATTGTAAAATATTTAAGTCAGTAGATTTTTTAAACTGCGAATGGTCAGGGAAATTTTTAAAAAAATATACCATATTGCAGGATTAGTGTTGAAAAATACCATAAAATAGGGAATTTTCTGGTATTTTTGGACTTTGGCAATCTGGTAACACCATATCTCGGACACAAAAAAAATTCAGCTGATTCTCGTATCAAAACGAATTGGGAGAATCTTGAAATTTTCAATAGGAATCCGAACCACCTACTAAATTTCTCCCAATTCGAATTGAGAGTGGAGAATCGTGTTTTTTGTTTTTTAGTGCGTAATTCTATTAGACCTCTTATCAAAATTGTTTGAAGTAACTTGTCAAAAATGTGGTTTTCTGGCAAGAAGTAGTACCCGTGGAAAATTGAAAAACGGATTCAAGAAGCCGAGCTGAGGCCGTGATATTGGTAATATTGGTTCTAATTATACAACCAGCCGTAGCCGTAAAGCGAAACTGGTTATACACACAGCAGCAAAATCAGCAGAAGCAGCAGCAGCAGCAGCAGGAGGAGGAGGAACAGCAGCAGGCGGTGGAGGTGGAGAGGGGAAGGTGAGTAAAAATCGATTTGTTGCACAAAACACACGACCACGTATATCTGCACTCGGGTGGGCGAAAATCGGATCGGGGATGGGAGGAGGTGGGTGGGGCCTTTAGCTAGTAGGTCGACCTGGGCAGATCCCCTTTTCATCGGTCTCTTTTTTTGTTTAATCCCCCCTCATCCAGGTTAGATGGACAAAATCAAGTTAAAAGTCATTGGTGTGCTGCGTGAACGCGACGGTGGCAATCGCAGCACTAGCGGCTCCAATGCCGGCCATCAGGTGGGCGCTGGGGGCACGGGAATGGGCGTGGCCGTAACAATCGGGGTCACACAGGACAACGGCAACAACGATGGCAACGCCCCGGGAGTGGGGGCAACGCAGGATAGCAGCACTGTCACTATACAAGGAACAACGGTAGTCGGTGGTGGAGCAGGTGTCGCAGGCGGAGCAGGAACAACCGGCGTGGGAGGAGCTGCTCGCACCTCGGTACTATCCCGGCCTCAGACCTCGAAAATCAGCGCCCTGGACCTTGCTGGGATTCTGAACACGCGAAGGCGTCTCGAGTGGACCAAGGAGTGGTTGCGAAAGAACCAAACCGAGTTCCTCAGCAAGGAGAACCTGCTAAGCGAGCTGCAGTCGCGCAAGGATGAGTGCTACCACTTGAATTACTTCCTAGCCATCACGGAGAGCCAGTTTCGATACTTGGTCCAAAAGATGGAGCCGATCATCAGCCAGTACGCGCCACAACGCAAAAAGAAGTCATTCAGCGCCGAGGAGCGGCTGGCCATAACGCTCAAGTATTTGGCAACGGGTATGGAAATCCCCCTCCTGAAATATTTCACATTCTATATTCCATTTTTCAATGCTTAGGTGAAGTGCATTCTTGTCGAAACTACTGCTTCCGTGCCTCGAAATTTGTGATAAACGAAATGATTGCCAATATCTGTCTGGGCTTCTACGAGCACCTCAAGGACCAATACGTGACACTACCAAAGACTGACGACCAGTGGCGCACCGCCGCCGAGGAGATGGAGCGCAAGCACAACCTTCCCCACTGCGTGGGCAACCTGTTCATGCGCAGCATCCAGCTCCAGAGCTCCGGATCGGGTTCCGGTTCGGGAACAGGATCCAGTGCAGCAGCGAGTAGCGACGATCGCAAGCGGGCGACCGTCATCTTTACAGGCATCGTGGATGCCGACAACAATTTCCAATACGCAAAGGTGGAGAGGGCGGCGAGCAGCCGTCCGAACGATATCTATAACCAGACCACTGCCGTAGAGCTGATAAGGCACAAGATGAACGCTCTGGAGGAGCAGTCCGAACATCTGGACCGCCAGGGCTATTACTTCGCAGGCGATTCGGTGCTTCCGGCCACCTCTTATTTGGTTACCACGCGCAACCTACCCAAGGATCGGGCCGTGCTGGAAGCACTGGAGCAAGTCAATGCCCATGCGGAGCAGACAATGCGAATCCTCTGCAATATGTTTCCGATTTTGGCCCAACCGCTACGCATCAGCGACAAGCATATCCGCGAGGTTGTGCTTGGTTGCGTGGCGCTCTACAACTTCCTGCGCAAGACGGATGACTCTTTCCGCCGCAACAGCGACAGCATTGTGCAGCAGCGTACCGAACAGCTATACAGTGTCGATAGTGAAGAGATCGACGACGACTGCATCATGCTGGCCACCGAGGAGGAGCTGCGCGAACGGGCCGAGTTCACTCCAAGCGTCGGCCTGACCACCTGTTTCCAACCGCTGTGTACGCAACGTGGCGAGACGCCCGAAGGACTGGCCAAGCGGGACTGGCTGCTCCAGCTGCCCATCGGCATGGGCGGCGGCTCGTCCAGGGATGCCAGCGGCAATATGGGCGGCAGTACAGACAGTGCGAGTGGCAGCTCGAACGGTAGCTTATATTAGTGCAATTTACCTAAGTACTTTACGAATTTTGTATAGTTCCTTGTTTTATATTTTCTAAATTTATATTCTATAATGAATAATTTGTAAATCATAATTCGTAACGGCATACTTCATCCTTTACCTCTTGTTGGCGCATACGATTATTGTTTTCGTTTCAATTATGTTCCGTGCTTCTACTAGGATTCTGTATAGTAAGCTTAGTTTCTTGCGGAAGTTCCGGTTCGAGTTTGGTGAATGATGCTATGTGATGTCTCAAATCTCTATTGTGGCCCAGTGCACTGCTCCAGCTCCTGGGGAGCCAGCAGAGTTTGTTGGCCAGGCAAGCAAAAAAGGTGGCAGCTGACAAATGCAAAAAATGCGAAGCGGAAACAGATCAACAAAATTACAATTTTAGTATTCGTATTTAAGCAAAAAACAAATATACATAATTATATTTACAAAATAAATGTGTAAGGAGTGGTCTTTACGTGTCGAAATCTTATGAAATTGTTCCATATTTTTCAATATTGTATTTCTTTTCATTTAAATTTGTTCACTCCAGTGCGGCCATTGTTTGATGAGTGAGTAGAGTGCCTCTCCGGGACTCTTGGTGGCGCTTAATTGTCGGTGTCCCACTAGCTTATAGTTCTCCAGTAGCTGACCCTGCTTCACGGCCTGTTCCAACAGCTTTTGGGCCACTTCCAACGCCTCCTGATTCGGTGCCTGCTCTTCAAAGTTTCCAATGAACGCGATTCCCAGGGATCCCTCGTTATTCGAGCCAGCAAAGGCTCCTCTTTGATTGGTGCTCCTGCCCTCGTAGACCTTTCCATTGCCTCCGATTAAGTAGTGGTATCCTATATCCGAGAACATCTGTTTGGACATTTGGTAGTGCTGCAGGTTGCGCATGGCCTGGGCACATCCTGTATCATCGCTACATCCACTTCCGGCTGTATGAGCAATCGCCGCTCGGGGTAGTGGATTTTCCATGCTGTCCATGGGTCCGCTAGGGGCCTTTGCATTCCATTCGGCTCGCGCCACTATCGGTACTTCCCCCTGGACAGAAATCACTGCCAAGCTGAGAGCCAGACATCCGAGCCACTTCGAGATCATTCCGTTTCTGTGTCTTTCCACTGACTGGGTAGAGATCTCAACTGTTGTGGCACTTATTGTAGCTGATAAGCAATGTGCCCCTAGGCAGATAGCTTTTGGACTCATATGTGTAAGGTGATTTTTCTCAACATTTGAATATGGGGTAGGGCATTTATACAGAGGGGTGCTTAAGGAGTTTTTTTTGCATAAATAGAGGTGGTCCTTACTAAAACAAAAATCCCACGAAATCTTAATTCTAAGATAATTCTCTTAAAGCTTAATAGGAAACCTCTTACAAAGTCTTTGAACTTCCAACTGTGAGATCACTTGAACCATACATTTTATTTAAAGAAAACTATGATTAATCTCTTCAATTAATAGAACCAGTTCCCAACTTTTAATACAACCCCCGATGATTCTATGACCTACCTCAGATACTGATGATGAAATAGAAGCAATGCGTCAATCAGTACTACCTATTTTGTAGATTGGTTTTACGGGGATTCACCGATCCAGACGGTACGCCCATAACCTAACCGAAAGGTTAACCCCCTTCTGATTATGGTCCCGAAAACGTCGCCTTGACACAGATGTTCAACGCAGTAATTTAATTAAAAAACTTTCGCAATTAAATGCAAAAATAGCAAGTAACAAAGCAGAGTGCAGGCCATTATGCTCCGCAAAAGGGCTGATGGCTGATGGGGAAGTGGAGAAGTCTGAGGACCAAAGTCAGGACGAAATCGCAAAGTGACAACGAAAATGCAAGTAAGCGCCCTCAATTAAAAGCCAAAATGAATATAAAATGCCAGGCTAACAGAAGAAAAAAAAAACCCCTAAAAATAAAGCGGAGGCGAAGCAAAGCCACAACATCCCAAAAGCCAAAAAACCCGAAAACCAAAAACCGAAGCCAAAACTATGCTCCGCTGAAAAAGCCAGCTGCGAACTGCAGAAAACCGAACTGCCGGAATATAAAAAAAAGAACTCTCCTGTCGGGGGCTGTTAACTTGAATTTAAGTGAGTTCTTCCCGCCTCCAAGCTCTCGCCTGTTCCCCCGGAATTTGTTGCATGGTTATTCGAATTGTTTGGGCCAGGAGGCGAGGCGAGGCCAAGTTCCCGGCCCGCAACTGATGCGGGAAAAACACAATTTTTATTCCTTTTCGTTGTCTCTCGGAGGCTCAATTTAATCTGAAAACCCGCATCCGCATTTCGGGGCAGACGGAGTCGGCGGAGTATCGGCGAGTCGGCCACGCCCACAAGAACAGGCGCCATGCCGGCTCATTTGCAAAATTGTCAGATTTATTTCGCTAATTGCTGCTCATCCGTTTAATTAAAATTAAAAGAACTTGCACAAGTTAGGTTGAAAGTTTTTATGCGAATTCTCTGGAATCTTGCATTGGGCACGTTTAGTTTTCCGTATTCCATTTTCCGTACTCCCTGCCCCGTTTGCCCCATTCCCGCCGTATTGTTGTTAGTAAAATGCCATCTATTAAATTGGTGAAGAAAGTTCTAGATCCCGAGCACCTGGCAACAAACAACGAAACTAGCCAAGACCCTGATGACGCTGACGATAATGATGATGTTGCAAGATGCTAGTAGATGGGGTGGCGTGTAGCAACTTCAAGCGCCCCCAGCTAGGCTTTCCATTCTGGACAGCAAGCAAATTAAACGGCAAGTCCTGCAGGCTGCAGGCTCCGTTAAAGCTGTCACATTTCCCAAAAGGTGTCAATCGTGCAAGCCGGAAAGTTGTGGCGAACAACGAGGCAACAAAACTAGTTGCAACACCAACACCACCAACACTACACGGTTATAAGTATAGAAATCTATGATCATCTAACAAAATTCGTAATATTGTGCTTTTTAAATAATTCAAGACAAGGGACCATAGGCAGTTCTTGTCCCTTAGACTTTTTGTTGCCACATTTCATGCCACAAAGTGTTGTTTCCTGTGTATCAACAATTTGCACGCAATGCTGCACCAGCTGCTTTTGCCCCACCACCCCCTGGAAACCCAACCAGATCCCTGCTTGCATCCTCGAAGGCCTTCGCCACGAACCGGAAAGAGCAAAAGTTGCCTGCAACCACACTGTGGATTTGGCCAACTTTGCAGTGCGGATTGACACCTTCCCCCTGGCGCGGCCCCCTGAAATCCGAATGCGGTGAGCTTGAAGCACGGAGTTGGGGGCCCAGAGGGCGTGTCGATGGGGGCGACATTTTTATGACAACTTGCTTAAATTTCATAACAAGAACTCCCGCAGAAAAGGAAAACTTATTTCGTTTACGAGTCGTGCAACTTGTGTGCTGATATTTTTGCAGTAAGCGCAATGAAGGCGCCTTCGCCACCGCCAACGCTAATGAATAAAGTTCGTTTATGAATACATATATCCTGGCCAGGACTTTGACGATTCGAGCTTAAAGTTGGCACTCGATTGCCATTGACCGAGTTAGGCATTTGAATATTTAAAGTATGTCAAGCTTATTTGGTAATAGTAGTAAGTGCAACACCCACTTGGCCCACTTAATGAAAATATAAATTAAACAGAGCCATAAATTAAAATACTCCTGCATATTAGGTTAATGGAGAGGCATTATAAATTCAGAAAATATTACCGATTTGGGCCATAATAATAAATATGTGTCGGACATTATTCAGAACCAATTTGTTTACAAAATTCTGTTTATTTCATGAGCTTGAAGCTTTTGTTCTTCCACCAGGTAATCCCTTTAAGTTTTGTTTATTTTTTCTAAATCAGCATACCCAAGCTTATTGCAATTTTTATTTTTTGTATACATACATCTACATCTACTTTACTGACGTTGCATTCTTGAGACCCCTTTGAACTGCACTGCACTATTTTTAATATGAAAGCAAAATATGCGCAACAATATAATGCTATATTAAAGCCAAACGATGTGCGTAACGGCAACATCATCAGCAACGTCATCGTCATCATCGTCATCGTTGTGAAAGTGGCTGCCTTTTGCCATCCAAAAATTTTGCAGCGTCCTGCAATGGCAGGAGGAGGAGGAGCTCCTGGCCCCCGCATCTCCTGCTGACATCTTGTCAGAAATTTTCATGCTGCTGTAAGCTGTTTTCATGCACATTTTGGGCACTTGTGCTCAGCCAAACACTTCAATTTGGCTTCAAGGATGCGTGCATGCGGCCAGGGTTCCAGGATCCAGAAACCAGGAACTGATCCACAAGGCAGACAAAAATCAACCAGCCAACCATCAAGGCAGCCCGGCAGTCAAAGTGCCGGAAGGAAGTTCGCTGTGACGTCGACACAGGACGATATGGGGACCTGTGATGGGATGCACTGGAATATGCTGGGATGTGGCGGCAAACAACGGGCAACTCTTTAACTATAACTTTTGATATATGCTAAGGAAATATTGTGGGAGTGCACTCAATCGTGGTTGCCCTGGCATCGCCATCAACAGTCATCTGGAGATGGTCTTTGGGAGATGCGGTGGTGATGGGGAGGACCTCCCTGAACGCCCCAATGCCTGCCATCAACTACTTAGCGTCAAAACGCTTAAAGTTGAATTTGTAACGCTCGAAGTGAGACGACGGCACAAAGCCAATGGGGTGTACGAGAAAGACAGCTATGATGCTGGAAGGGTAAAGGGGAGAGGCGTGTAAAGGGTCCTGTCTAATGCCGGTTTACTCATCTATTTTTATTAAATCGCCACGGATGCACACATGCCCTTATGTCAGTGCGCCTGCATCGACCAAAAAGCCACAGCCAACACAACGTTATGTATACGCAGCGTGGGACAACCAAAGAAACTGACCAAAGGTATTAAAAAATATTTTTCCCGAGTTTTTCCAAAAAAAATATAATTTACTACTCACAGCCAGTTTTAAGTTTCCTTAAACCTTTAAGTTTAAATCCAAATTAATCTTTAAAAGAGGGATTAAGCTTATTCCTTTGAAGGTATTTTGTTGCTTAATTATTTAGGTGAAATTGTTTCTTAAGCCTGTAACTTTGCTTTCCTTAAGAACTTAATTATATAAAAGTATCTCATTTCCTATTTAAAGCAAACTATAACTAAGCCGCAATAACAATTAACTTCTGTTCAATGATTTGGAAAGAGAAACCATTTAAAATCATTGAAAATTCATAGTAAGAGCTTGTGGGTCCATTTAGTGAGCATTTAAAAGCCATAATTTATTTATTTGTGACAATATATAGAAAACACCTTTGATAATTTTAGGAAACCAAGGTAAATAAGTAACTGCCTGTTATTTGTAGATTAAATTAAATTATTGGCCGTAATTACTTTTAAATTCTTTCTAGCTCTTCCACCTCTTGTGTCTTCAAACTTAGCTAGAACTAAAATTTTATCAAGGATATTGATAAAGGGAAGAAATTACACATGAAATGTACCGTAAAAACACTTGGAATTGATAAGAATATGAGAGGAAATTTGAAGTAATTTCAACGAGAGTTACATGAGAATTTCCTGAAATTGCTGGACCCTTGAAAGTATACTCATAATGGAGCAAGTGTGCGGCAATGGCAGCAACAAAGCCAAATGACTTTAGACCCTTGATTGTGTTGCACTTGCAGCTGCAGTGGTAGCTATAGTGGCAGCTACAGTGGCAGCTGTTTTACGGCACCCACCCACACTCGAAAACTGCAGCTTATTTTCGGGGGTTTAATTTTGATTTAAACGCTGTCAGACAGCTTGAATCTCGCTGCGTGCTGAAGCGGAAGGACAGACATGCTCGCTCACTCGGATATCGGACATCGGACGACTCTGGCACATCGGACATTGGACATGGCAGCCCGGGGAATCGACTGGAGAGCCGAGCAAGTTCCATTTGGGACTTTATTGAAATTTAAGTTGCATTTTCGGAATCACAGTGGGTGGTGCTGGCAACCGTAACTGGGCTAATGAAAGGACACTTTAATACGGCAGCCTCTTACAGATTGATGCCCCTTGCAGGCATTTAATTTTCATTAGATTAAGGTGAGCACCAGAGCAGGGAACTCCTGAAGATTGGAAAGGCTTTGCTAGCTGCAGAGAAAACATAAAGTTTCCTTTGGTTACAAAAAAGGTTTTTATTGAAAAATCTTTATTTATGACCTCAAAGTGGTATATTTTACTAAAAGTAAAAACGTTTTCCTTCAAAAATCTAATTTATGGATTCAAAAAATCTTAAAGAAACCCTTCTTTAGATAACCAGATTATAATCCAACTTTTAAAGCCATTTTCCCGTCGAAAAAATAACAAATTGCTAACCAATTGGGATGATCCTTTTTCTCGGTGAGCTGAAAAGAGGAATAGAAGGGACTCGCCAGACAGCTCCTGGACTGGATGTTGCTACGGTTGCTGTTTGCTCTTGTTCTCGTAAATGTAAAAGTTGCAACTTGTAGCCTCAAAATAACCACAAAGTAAACACCAGAGTGGCGCAGTCCGGAGCTCCGGAGTACGGAGTTCCCTCTAGTCGGAGTGGCTGTCGGACGGAGGAGTACGGGTATTTGAATAGCTGGCGAAGACATTGCGTATTCGCACACTGTTGCAGCCATGGACAAGGACATTGTACGTGAGAACAGGACATGGCCACGGCGATGGTTTGCCGATGTCCTTCGAACTGAACGAGCTTCATTGGGGGCTGCCCAAAATAAATAAGTGTGTAATTTAATATTTAAGGCTTTGTCAGTAATTATTTCAGCACAGATGGTGAAACTTTTCCTTTGTCGTTGCCGGGGCAACTAGGATGCCCGAGAAAGGATAAAATGTGGGCGATTGTTTTAAGAAGGCTCTCGGTTGTGTGGGTTAGTGTGCAACTAATTTGCCTGCATCGACGATGGGAGCCGATTGAATCCCTTTTGGGTGGCAGCCATGGCTACCAGGCAAGACTCTGCCCTGACGGAGGGGATAGAAAAATCCTTTGGCTGCTGCAACTGCTGCACTCATAACTCAGAGATCGCAGCTTGCTAGGCACTCGTAAAATTGACCCACTTGCTACACATTTGTCTTTATTAAATGGAGGAAATTACGAGTTCACGAGCGTATAAATTATAAACCAATTTAATAACCAGCCAGGCACAAAATGTGCTCAAAATGAACTACCAATTTGCGGAGTACAACGGAACGAAACATAATAATGGCTCCGGGTGAGCGTGAACATGAATTACGGGTATAAGGGCGTCGGGATGTTGGGGTGTTCCGGTGAACAGGAAGGGGGATAGGGTGTAGTACTTGGCCTGACAATGAAGCCAAATGGAAGTGAGGAACAGGGGCATCCACCTCCCACCTGTGCGAGCTATCGAATTCCTTTCCATTCCCTCTGCTGCCACAAGTCCTTTATTTTTTTTTTTAGCTGATATGTATGAATTCCTTTAACTTGACTCGCCCCTACCTGTGCATAGTTTAAGCTTGTAATTATTCCAACATTTAGTTTAACATTTAGCCACGCCCCTGGCAACGGTGGAAACTAAAAACCCAGAATTTCCTCGCCGCTGCATGCGCATGTTAAAGTGAATTTTAAATGATTTATTGCACATCGCGCCAGACCACTGATACTACAAATTCTACAATTACAGGACCACCAGGGCTGTCTGTGGTGTCGCCACCAACTAAAAGGACCCGCCATTGCCACCCATTTTCTCTGACCTCTGTGTTTCAGGTATTTTTTGTTTTTACCTTTGAGGTGACACTTTTGTGTCGTTTTCTGCCGTCTCGTTAGCATGTTAATTGTAAAGCTCATCCTAATCGCATTTCAGGGGCTAAAATGACTCTAAGCTCAGAGTCCTGAATCCTTGGCTCGGGTCTAATTCAAGTCCTGGATTTTAAATTTTTTTTAAACAAGCCAGATATGATATTCTATCGTATAAGAGGGGTAACAACCCCAATATCTTTTCACTCAGTCAAGGTTTGAGCTTAATTCTACTGTGGATTCTATCCTTTCAAGGACCTTTCGGGACCTATCCTTGAAGTTGGATCGAACCACGTTGCCAACCATGTTGCGAGTCCTTTTTAAACCCCTCCAACACGCAACTGCAACATATTCGAAGGATGTATCGAACAAGGATGTGTCTGCCATCAAATTTGTGTCCTTACGAGTCCTTTCCAACTTTGCAGAAGTGAGCCAGAACGTGAGTGGCAAACGGAGCTCGGCGGAGAAATTGAGTCAACTTTTGAGCTTCAAGTTTCGAACGATGAACAATAATTATAAATTATATGCCATAATTTGATAAATTAATAAAGCCATTAAAACAAATAAGCCGCCGCCCAGTGGGCGACACACACAAAAAAAAGGTAAATTAAACAAATTGCCAACTGCAATCGAAAATCGCATCAATCAGACAGCGTAGGACCTCCGTGGAGGTCCTTATGGTGGCTTGTTTATGGCCCAGAGTGGGGCATGGTGGCTGAATTATGGAGGGGCGGGTTGCATAAAAAAGGTCGTCACCAAAGCATAAAAATAAATTGATATCACAGCGAATTTGAATGAGCAATATGGCCCCCCATCCTGCCGGAGCAGGAACTATTTTTCCTGCCCTGCCACTAGCTCGTCCATATATATCAGCGTTGATTTTTTTTTTGCGATGAATTATTTTGCCTGCTGCATGTGAAATTTTTCGGCCAAACAATTGCCAAGCAGCAACAACCACGGACGACAGTCGGGGAATGAATATGATGCATGAAATAACAATAATGAAATGACAACAAAAGGCACGGATAACAAAAGGATTGCCAGGATTGGATGGAGTGGGCCTAGGGGCACATGTCAGCCAGTTGAGCTGTGACTTGGGCAGTGGAGCTGCCTAGCTGCCGAGCTGGGTGCTGGGCGGAGCAGCGGATGCAATGGCAATTCAAAATCAAATGCGATTTTTGGTCACTTTGAAAATTGTTGATTAGTGACGCCTGAATGCAGCCCAATGAAACCGGACGCTCTGCATTAAAGCAATTTCAAGATCTCCGCCCGCCTGTCAGTCAACTCTATGTGGAACTGGATGCGAAAGTGCAGCTCAGTCAGGCGTGCACTCGGCTCACTACTATTCCAATTTCACAAAAATATATAAAAATAAATAACCAGCATAAGTACTGTAACCATATAACCATACTAGTAGTATAACCTCTACATGCAATTCGATTTTAAGCAATTAAAGCAACATAAATTAAAAATGTGGTCAACTACCACCGCCAAAAGTGTAGTGGCGGTAACTAGAGCCGTATCTATTGCACATGGTCTATAATGAACAATTTATATACGAACTGGACCACATTTAAGGACATCCTATGACCCGATCCACCCACCTATCAATTGCCATTAATTCGAGCATATTAATTCCGATCCACATGCCAGTTTTCTGTGCATGCTTTCGGTTTCCAGATAACACCGCAACAGGGGTTCCACTTTACGCCTCCGTTCTCACTGTTAATTGTTAATCCATTGCAATCTCCAGTTGACACTCGACCTTTGCCATTTTGTGGGTGGCATTGTTTGCATCCGCTGGGAAAACTATCGCTTTTCGAAAGCTTAGTGGTTAGCTAATAAATTCAGATATTTGGATAGCTTAGGAATACTATCACAAATATATATTTTTTACTCTAGTTCAACATATACTTATTAAAATCGATTAATCAGGCAATATATTCCATGCCTCTTTTAATACTTTACTGATAGGAGAACGTTATCCTTTTGGTTTTTGCATAAAAGTAGAACCAAAGTTAGGAATTGAGCCAAATAAAAATATATCAAAAATATGGTTCCAATTTTTCAATTTTCAAACAGAAAAATGTGTATATCTTTGCAAATACTTGTCAGATCTATAAATGGTATACCTTCACGATTTTGGAATTTTGGAACACGATTTTGGAACAACCATTTTCCATCAAAACCTGAAAACAAAATTTTGGACCCATTTTTTTCAATTTTTCAAAGGGGTAACATCGTGATTTTGCCCAAAAATAGGGTCAAAATTTTAGATTGTTATTTATTTGATATTTTGATGCAGCTCAAAGGGGAAAAGTTCTCTGATTCATAAATGGTATTTCGTTTTTCGATCAGTTGCGAAGAAGTTGAGATATTCAATAAAAAGGGAGCCAAAAAATAAGATTTTTACCAAATAAAAACATATCGAAATTTTGTTCCAAGTTTTAAGTTTTCCTGATGGAAAAATGTGTATAATTCTGCTACTACTTGGCACATCCACAAATGTTATACTTTTCCGATTCGAGAATTTGAAGTACAATCATTTTCCATTAAAAACTGGCAACAAAATTTTTGACCCATTTTTTTCAATTTTTCAAAGGGGTAACTTCGTGATTTTGCCCAAAAATAGGGTCAAAATCTTAGATTGTTATTTTTTTTATATTTTGATGCAGATTAGGGGGAGGAAGTTCTCTGATTTATTAATGGTACTCCGTTTTTCGATCTGTTGTAAAGAAGTTGAGATATTCAATAAAAAGGGCGCCAAAAAATAAGATTTTTACCAAATAAAAATATGTCAAAATTTTGTTCCAAGTTTTAAGATTTTTTGATGGAAAAATGTGTTTAACAGGAATACAACCATTCTTTTTTATTGGATTCTTTTATTTGGAATTAAAACCCGAGCTACAAATATTTCCCTCCATTTGATTTAAAAATTGATACTAGTGTCAATTTGGTATCAAATATTTTTAATACCGTACAAAAAAATATTAGGCGGCATGGTGTAGCGTTAGTACATAATACCAGTATCGAATGAGCTTTTTTAAAACATCTGGCTACATCGTTGTTATTTAACTCCTCTTAGAAACATCTGATTTTATTTATTAAAACTTAATTTAAAAGAGGAAATGTTTACAATAAGAACAGTACTGCCCCGTGGGGCGCAGTTTGCTGCGTGCCTTGGCAGCGCAACCCGACAAATCCACCTGTCAGGAAGAACCAGATACATCGCCGGCTCCTATGGAGCACTACAAAAACAACATCATCAGCTGCAACAGGAAAAGTTTCCAAGCAGGTGGCTCGCCACCCAGTCCACTAAAGATGGATCGGAGAATGAACTGCAGCGCATATATTACGGAACATTGGCTCCCCGCATGAAGCTCGTCAAGTTTTTTTCGCTGAGCACGAGTCTAGCCGGCTTGGCTGCCCAACCGATCCTCATGGAGCAGGGAATGAAAATTGGCGGTACGGGAATGGCGGTTTTCCTCTGTTCGGTTGGAGGCTTCTTCACTTTTGTAACACCTCTGCTCCTGCACTTTATTACCAAAAAGTATGTGACTGAGCTGCACTACAATCCACAAACGGAGGAATACACGGCCACCACGATCTCACTTCTCTTGCAGAAAATAAAGGTAATGATCAACATGGTTTTTGGTTTTCTATTTCTATAGTCTTTTGATTTTCAGACGACATTTCGAACCAGTGACGTTGTGGTGCCAGAGGTCCCCGGCATGTTCACTTCCTTTTTGGTCAATAAGCGGCCTTTATTTGTGGATCCCGCATTGTTCGATGATCCTGAACACTATGTGAAAATCATGGGATATGATAAACCTATTGATTTCAAGCTGGATTCAAGTGTCAGGGAGGATAAGTCAACGAAAAGCAAGGAGCAGCAATAAATGGTGTTTACCAAAAGCAATTTAAGTTTTTTATTTAAAACTTAATTCATTTTTTTTATTATGAAATTACATTTCTATCCCAAAGATAAATTTAATATCTTCAGGCGACATTGAATCGCGGTCTCTGCATTTGATGAGTCTTTTAAGGACACGGAAAAGCTTTGCTTTGTAGTTATAGATATCCTTTTTTTGTAAATGATCCAAAACGTTAGATTTCGGCACCAAAAAGAATGGAAGAAATCCTCTATTTAAATGATTTGTTGTTTGAACAATTGCCTTTAAAATGAAATTTCAATATCAATTATTAAAATATTTGACGAAGATTACTCTTACCCGAATGAGTATTTTTCCAGGCGACTGATTCCAGTTAATATTTTTCTCGGCGTCGTTCAGGAAAACGCTTTTAATAGTGTAGCTAAATAGTAGAGGTAGATCGTTTGCATCCCTCACGGCTTTCAGGAGACGGTATCCATCCTTAAGGTTCTGCTTCTTATGCAAAACCATTCGTTCCCAGTGAGGAGCGGCAACAATAAAGGATAATGGATCATCCTCAGCTAGAGGGGATTTGAATGTTCTTGGCACTGCGTACCAAGCCTGCTCCCCGTTTCTATGTCGTGGAAATTCTCGAGGCCATTCTCTGGGGGAAAAAGCAAACGCTGGGACGAAATCAAAGTCGATAAAGTGGCAAGGATTGGTCAACAAAGTCGCCTTAATGGTATGGGCCACATGCCCATTGGGTATATATTTTAATCTGTAACGTCGCCCGCCACCGCACGGTATATTTTGTAGAAGTGGAATAACCGCGGCGATGTTTTTTCGGAACCATTTCTGTAACTTTCGCCGGCTTATGTAGAATTCGTTTCCATGTTGATTCGTTAAATGATAAGGAATGTTATTACCCCTGACCCGTAGGAATATGTAGCTTTGATGATGTCTTACTGGCACTGGATCTATAAAGCAGGGCAACTCCACCTTGGTTAACATGTCGAACTCGTTTGGCAGGTTGGTTCTAACTCTATCCAAATAGCTTCCCGTTAAGCTGAGTCCTCGAAAAGCACTTTTAAAAAATGGATCCCTTTGGGATATTTTATGAATAAAGGCGTTTTCGATTATTGTGGCGTCTATATTAAAGTTTACCCGATCTGTGGGTTTGATGGAAATGTTTTTCAGGACTTTTTCAATTTCCCCGCCAAAGGTACACATTGTTTGCTTGGACTTTTGCTTTAGCTTCCTGTGGCGTTCGTGTTGAAATGGAGAAACATCGATAATTCATGTTATCGCTGTCGATGTTTTTGTCACCCAATTAAAGCAAAAGCTAAAAAAGTTACTGAGGAAGAAAATATATTTACAATTTTAAATGTATAAATAAGTAAGTAAGTAACGTATAATCATAAGTTTTAAGGATAAATATATAATATTAAGAGCTTTTCAACTGTGTGAGCTCCATATGTTTAACCAAGACTTGGTCACTCTAACTAAATACCAAAACAAAAATATTAAAAATACTATATAGAAATCATATGGAATCATGAGCACGCCAGAATTGAATATTATATTGGAATTCAGGTAAATAAAGGTTTACTTAATTGATACTTAAAATTTAAACAATTTAACTCACAGCGCAGGGGCTGAACTTTTGTTTGGAAACATTAAGCGACGCCAGTTGGCCCTGGATGGTACAAAAAAATGTGAGTTTAAAGAATTGGTTTAAAAATTCGTTTATTAAGATTGTTTTTATAGGGAACATTGCTAACCTGCTAAAGTGGATGCATGCCAACATATTGACAGAGCGACCAGAACTCTTTCTTCAAGGCGATACAGTGTAAGTTGGCCATTAGTGTCCGAAATATTCACTTTAATAACAAAAATATTCTTGTGTTTTGTTTTCAGACGACCCGGCATTTTGGTTTTGATCAATGACACTGACTGGGAGTTATTGGTGGGAATATCCTTAATCTATTTTCTTTATTTTTTTTTATAAAGCTTTTAATTTAATTTCAGGGTGAATTGGATTACGAACTGCAACCCAACGATAATGTTCTGTTTATATCAACACTTCATGGCGGTTAGATGATGTCGCTCCAACTTGAATAGTTCTAAGTAAAATGTGTATTTATGTACAAATTTAAAAGAAAAATAATATAAGTGATTAATAAAATAAATTATCAGAATTACGTCCCCTAATCCAAATAGGTTAGGGCCCACACCGTCGCAAGCGACTCAGGTTGTTGGTCTCATCATGTACGATAAAATATATGGCTACGACTCCATTATAAGCCACATACCCAACGAAAAATAACTTGGGAATTATAATGTGCCTCAAAAAAACTCACCACAGTATTTTTTTAGGTTTGGCGGGATATTTAAATGAACAATTCCAACCGGGAGTTTTGACATTGAAGCAAACTTTATTGAATTTAAGTTTTTGCTTATAATTATTTACGATACATTTTTTTGTTGTTTAAATATAGATTTATGTATTATGTTTAAATGTAGGCACTTAGTTTACATATTATCTAGCTGTACGTAATGATCTTCGATTCAGATACGTGGGCGTGTGGCACATCCTATCCGCCCTCTTTCGTATTATCCATCCTCTATGGTGTGTGGTTTCATGGGGTTTTCGTGTGCACTGGTTCGATTGTGGGTTTTATGATCTACATACATACAATACATATATGTGAAATATGCTTCGACATTGACACGCTGAATTCAATAATTTCAATCGATTTTCCAAATCAAATACAGAGAATGTGACAAAAAAATTAACGAAACTAAAGTGTAATAAATAATAAATAACAAAAATAATGAAATAAAATGATCGATTATTCATCGTTATGATGAAATCGAAGATGAAACCGTTTGCTAAAGCTATAAATTGTTCGCTATTTAAATTCTAGGAGTAACTCCTCTATTTGTTGCCGCCGTCCGGACTTGCTGATTCCGCCGCATGGGCGTAGGATCGATACCGTCGCAGGATCACCGTGGAGGCGCTGGTCGTTGAAGTCGCCGATGCCGATGTTGTGGACGTCGACCAGCTGCTCCGGCTGCTCTCCCCCGCCGACTGCTCCTGATCCGGAGTGACACAGATATCCGAGACTATTCCGCTTTCTGCATTGGAGGGATATTCATATATGTGAGTAGAAATCTTAGCGGACAGTCACAACATACAACATAAACATGCAGCACACGACACAGATACGGATTACGGTTTACGATTTACGGTTTGTGGGTTAAGTGTTCATAAGGTGGTGGTGTTGGGATTATATACAGTAATACTGGGAGGTTCCTAAATGTATGTACAGGGATCAACTACTATCTACGGGGTGCCTCTAGAAGAAATAACACAGTTCAAGCTCAATACCCATGGACAGCTGGCTGACAATTGTGGTCGATCGTTTGTGGTGTCGTTTACTGCCTCCGAGTCCTTGTCCGTTTCCGCCCTCACTGCCGCCTGGCTCCGATCCTTTGGTGCTGCCACTGGCCCCGCTCTGCGACTTGCCCAGCTTGAGGGTCTGTGTTTCGTTGATTAGTTCCAGGGTGGCGCTGCATGGGGCTGACCCGGAGCTATGAGGTCCGGGCAGCTTACCAAAATGCAGACTGTGGCGTCCCCCACCACCATCATGGTGGCCGGAAGATGAGCCACCACTGATTGAGGAGCTGCTGGTTGTGCTGGTGCCACTTGACAGAGAGCTCTCCGAGATCAGCGAATTAGGGCGACGCATGCTGCCCTTTCCGGGCTCCGAGGGACGCAGCTTGGGTGCTACATAGAGATTTTATTAGATTTGGTCCAACATTAGACGACAACGGGCCTTACTCTTGTTCAGCTGGGCCAAAGGAATGGAGCGATCGCTGATCTGATTGTTGCTGGGTCGAATATCCAGGCAGGGTTTGCTGCCAATGCCCATCGAGGACATCTCCGCCAGACGAATTTCTGTCAAGGATTTAATAGGATTATTTATTTATTATTTAAAACTTTAGTAGAACTCACCTCTGTTTCGTTTCGCCTGCTTCCAAAGCAGTTTGGAGATCTCCTCGGTCCAGGCATTTTTGATATCCTCCGACATGCACTGCAGCATCCAGGTATCATCCGGCTTGCGTTTCCGGAACCATATCTCGAATTTGGTGGCCGAATCGCCAGTGTGGGCAGTGAGCCCAATGTCTGAGGTCTTTATGCTGTTTTTGTAAATATATATATCCAGATTCTACAAAAAAATGGTAGAATGAATTAGCTTATCAATTAATTAAGTAATAATGCTCACCTTGTGATCGGGAAAGCGTCTAGCCTTGCTGAAGAGCACCAGCTCCTCGAAGAGGAATACCTGACGCAGAGTCTTCTTTCCGCCGCGTCCCTGCCACACAAGGAACTCGTTCTGACGCAGCAGACGTCCCTGCTCCTTGAGATTCACATCGCAATCTCGAAGCGAATCCATGGCCAGAAGATCATTGCCATGACGCAGCTGGAACTTGACCATCTCCTCTGCGCGCTGCAGCTCCTCCACATCCGCGGCAATCTCCTGAAGAGCAGGGCCCTCTACACTCCGGCAGGCTTTGACCAGCTGCTGGAGAAGCAGAGCATACTTTCCCATCCGTTGGACCGGCTTAAGGAGGTATGATGCCAGATCGAGCTTATCCTCCAATTGAAGTTGCTTGGGCTTGAAGAAGGAGCTGCCGTACTCGCTCAGCAGAGTATCGCTTTTTGGTTTGTTCTTGTTGTACAAGGCGTACAGGTAGAACTTGGACTCCATTTCGAGGAAGGCGGCACCCACTTTCAGGGGATTTCGCTCGTACCGCTCCAGCTCGCCCAGGAAATGCGAGTTGTGGAACTCGAAGATCTTCTCGATGTTGCCGAAGATCACATTGCGCTGGCCCCTCAACGGCTGCGGGATGTCCTCCCGGAGCAGCTCATCGATGTAGTTCTCGATGACGTAGTAGAGGGAGCGCACATAGTCGCGTTCGGTACCAATCATCTCGCGCATGATCAATAGAAGCGTTCTAGATGGCCATAAGAATTTAGATAAGATTGTAATTCTATAAGATATTTGTCTCACTTTTGTATTTTCGGGTCCAGACAGCTCAACTCCTCCAGCTTGGGCAGCTCTAGACTGGAACCATGGCACTGCAAGTGGGCATTCGCCTCCATGGGGGAGTGCATGTCCATGTACCGCTTCGATGGACGATCTCCGAAGCACTCGTCCTCCATTAGCTCATCGTGACTATAAAAGAGAGGTACAAATATGTACTAAAATGGACAAAATACTAAGTACAAGACTTACTTCTTCTCATTGAGACTCTGGCAGGAGCAGATCCTAGCCAGCTTGGGATTACGTTCACAGTTATCGCAAACGCCTACGCCGGAGTCGGCAATCTTGGACTGCTGCTCCTCTCCGTCGCCGCCATCGCAGTCCTGCTCCTCTTCCTCCTCCTCGGGCTCGTCCATGTCTTCCAGGTTGCGGCTCTCGCGCCAGCAGCTGCAACTGCCACCCGAGGGGCCGCCCTCAAAAGATACAGAGCTGCCGGAGCTGCAGCGGTAGCTCACCCGCTTGCCGCTGGAGGTGGCGGGTGTGCTGTTGGCTGCCGGCAGGGTGTGGCTCTTCCGCATTGCCGGCCAGTGCTTCTCCAGAAGCGCTGTTGCGCCCAGCTGCTCTGCCAGGCGCTGCAGCTCCTCTCGCCCGGCGCCATCCCGCTGCTGCTGGCTGAGCAGGTGCAACAGGTGCCCGGCGGACTCGAAGCGTTCGTGAGCCAGTTCCAGATTGTGGGAAAATTTATCCAGAGCTGCCTTCAGGTTGTTGGCCTTCTCGCTCGGAACGGGGAGTTTCAAGGCTGCCGCATGTAGATCTCGTCCTTTGGCCAAATGTTTCTGAGGATTCAGCAATGGTTTTAAAAATCATTCATTAAAAGGAACATTCAACACTTACCATTGCGATAAAATAGAACTTTTCAAAGTCTTGCTCTTGGGCCCTCAGCTGCATTTCGTCGTCCCAGAGTAGCTGAGAAAACTTTTGCAGAATTTCAGCTTCATCGCTCCAGGTTAGCCAAGTGGTGACCTTAAAATATAGGACAACAGCGTTAGAAATCAGTGGGAAACCTTCAACTTAATGTTAACAAGCCCACGCTAGGCCAAGGTTCCCCATCGACATCTATATCTAAATGTATCTCCTCATCGCCACAGTCGTCTCCTCCCCATTTCCATGTCCCAATTCCCCGATCCCCGAGATCCCAGCGCTGAAAAGTGAAACTCATAGAAATGATCGACGCTCTAATTAGCCTCCACTTTACAAATTAAAATCCAATCGAACACAAATCAAATAAAACGACTCAACTATGGGTATTATGAAGCTCTAGCCTCCCAAAGGTATTGGAAATCACAATAATATAGCCACACAGGTAGACATGGCCAGAAACGAGAAAACGAAAAAAAGTAAAATAAAAAAACAAAACACAACAGCCACGGGGCAATCAACGATCTCACATTGATAATTTTGTGGCTCTAACCAATTTTTAATCACCTGCTGCGTCCAATTGAATTGATACAATCGACAAAGCCGATGATGATGCTGCGGAACGAAGCCTAACCAGCTTCCATACCAAACTGTGGCATACCACAACTATGTAGTATAACCATCCCAGGGAGCACCCGACTCCCAAAGATTCCCAGGGGGAGACGCGGGCGCGTGCTCCGACTGATTCACTTTCCGTTTTTGGGTTCTCCCCCAGCTCCTAAATCTGTAATTCTGCACAGAAAACAATTTTTATAAAATAGATTTGTTTGTATTTGTAGGGAAATAAAAATAAGGGTTTTATCTGGATCTATGCAAAAATATAAATATGATAAAAAACTGCTGACTCTACTTCTGAAACTCAAGCCAAAGAATAAACTTCATCAATAGTTCCCCAACGTTTTAGTCAAGTGTTGATCTTTTCTAACTTTCAGATAGTAACTCGGAACCTCTTTTGGGGGCATGTCCACGTCTGCATCCCATCCAAATGAATGAAAACCAAAACCTCCAGGGACGGTAGAGAAGTGGGAGTTGAAAACGGGGTGCTGGAGGAGATCGGGCCGAGGAAATGGAGCAGGGGCTCGA